TCTGTTGTACTTCGTTCAGTTACGTATTGCTAATCTTTTAAAGTGAGCACAAACCTGAGGGACCGCAGCCGCGTCGCTTGATCATCTACATCTCTACTTTTCTCTAATCCTACGTCTCATGTGACCTATTGCTAAATCATTGAATAATCGACTAAATCTCAAAGTGGGCCTTCAAGGATACATGACAAAAACACCTCGGACAATGATGACCATAAAATGTCATAATTTAACCAAAAATAGCAATTTTTCCAACTGGAACAGCTTGATGTGGATATCCCTGTCCGAGGTGGTGCTGAAATTATCGAAGAGGACAAAAAATATCAAAAGTCAAAATCATTCTTTGGTCACATATCCTTGGATAACTAAAACTGAGAATGTAATAAAACTAACAAAAAAAGTGCCGTTGAGCTGGATTTTGCCGACAGAACTGGGCAAGACATGTCAGAAGGTTCATCCAAAGAGCAGCTACGATTCGCCCAGTTCTTCGTTGCCCAGTTCTGTGTGGTCAAAACGATCGGGTCACCGTCTGAAAATAGAAAATTTATACAATGTACAAAAAAAAATAACTCGCCTTCTTTTTCTCCGAAGTCGAATGCTGGACAGAACTGAGAAATCGGGCAAAAAACAAAGAAAAAAAAATTCCAAAATCAAATTCCATTCGTCGATATTATCCTTCTTTTCCAATTCAAATTAGTCTCTGAGTTTTGCCCCATTGCTCAGTTCTGTCTCCAGCCGGAATGGTCGTCGAGGTTCTCTGAAAGATGAAGATTAGTAAGCAAAAATACGAGAAAAATAGGAAAAGTAGAAAAAAATCGATGAAAAAAATGATGACAAATCAAAAGAGGCGCGAACGCAAATTGGCCAGATGTACGGTGGAGGTCAAAAACATATTTTTTCAAACTTCATATTCTTAAGTATTTTTTTCACAATAAATTAGGGGGAGCGCAAAAAAACGTGTTGATTTTTGAAGTTAAGTGCACAAAAAAAGCTCTGTATACAAAAAAACGCGACAAGTTCAATTGACGTCAAGCCATGACTTCAGAAAAAGATTTTTCCAAACTTAAAAGCTTGAGTTCTATGAATCACTTTGTTTTTCAGTTCAACATAATTTCGAGTGACTTTTTAAAAAGAATAATAAAAAAATAAATGAATCCACTAAAAAAAGTTTAAAGTCGAGAAGAAATTTTTTTATTTGCAACTCTCGTCATTTCTAATGCTTCCAGTGCATGCACAGTGTACAATACGGGAATGACCATTACAGTAATCTTTTTCAGAAATTTTCTGCTTCCAATTCTTCGAAAATTTATCTATTAGCTTTTTGATTGGAATTTTTAGAGACGCTTTTGATGCGATTCGTTAAAATTTCCACTCAATTTGCTTTTTTCGCTTTCTGTCTCATCTGTTCTCAAAATGACAGTAAAAAAATTTTTTGAATTTGATCAAAATAATGCGATTATTACCTTATTTTTTTGCTTCAGAGATTCATTCGCTGTAGCCGTTGTGACCTCAAGTTCCAATGAAGCAATTTTTATTGAACCTATAAATTTTAAAATAATTTGTAGATAGGGAACTAGGTCTAAAAAGAAGATTTTTGCGGGCAATTTTTATAGGAATGTTGAAAATTCGTTTCCGACTTCAAATAACCATTGTTTCATTTTTATTGAGTTCTTTGAAAATGAAGTATTATTTCAATAAAGCAGCTTGGGGGACGTATAAAAGCCATGTCTTCGAAAAAGACGGAAAAGTTTTCATCCCATACTGAAAATGAAAAATTCTACTAGAATTTTTATAAAAAATAGAAAATTTTCAGGACTTTCTTATGCAACGCTTCAGGGGAAAAAATGCTTCGAATTATCTGAAAATCGATCAAAACGGAGACGTACAAGTTCCGGCGATGGATATCTAACTGGGAAGCGGAGAAGAATCGAAGTAAATCGTGATGAGCCTTCGGTCTCTCGTTCCTTTTTTCATTTATTGCTACGTCCTCTACCATTTTGTCACTGTTCGATGGGTCATCAGTTTGGTTTGTCTTTCAGTTTTTTTTTCCAACTTGTCATTATAAACTGTGGACATCATTCAAGAGAAAAGACAAAAATTCACAGGATCGAGTTGGATTCTACAGGCATTCTAAGTCATGTATGGTGAAGTATCTGAAGAATTTCGAAAAATTCAAGGTTTGTAACTAAAAAAATTCGACGATTACGATAGAAACCAGGTTCTTCGGAAACTTCCAAACGTCGTGGATCGTTGTTTGATGACGTCATATCTCGGACTTGAAACTTATGGGAAAAATGATAGTCGTTTGAATATGCTTCCCTTATATGTAAGTATGCAAAACTTTTATATATTTGGCTGATTCTGGCTTAAGTCATCAAAAATTGGGTCCTGACACGATAAAAAAAGAGACAGTGCCTGCTCAGTGGAGAGCGCAGACAGGCCACGCCTCTTTTTGCGTCCCAAGCTAGCCGTGAATTTAATGAAACCATTTTTAGACCTTCAAAGAAACTTGTTTGAAAAAAATTGCGTTTTTTTCAAATTTTTTTAATGTTCTCACTGGGGAAGAACTTTTTAGGCCTTTTTTTCAAAAATTTTTAAAATGAAAACTTTCTTAAATGTACCTCCTGATTCTAGAACAAAAAACTCTCACAATACATCTAGTTAAATCTCTCAAAAAGATTTTTTTCATAATACGCTCATTTTTTTCAAACTTTGAAGCTCCATAAATAAGAAAAAAAGACTTATTGCGAGATATATTTTTGGAAATCAGGAGGTCTTTAGTACTTTTTAGAGAAGTTTAATCAAAAGTTTCACTTAGGGCTGAAAAAGCTTCTCTAGTTATAGTCTGTGTGCCACGACTTGAATTGTCACGGAACGACATTCCGCTGTGCCGCTGCGGGAACCTGGGTCGCGCTTTTAATTTTTTCTTTTTTGAAGGGACTCTACTTTCATGTGCGCCCACAGCAATAACAATCAATTGAAAGGCGTGACCTAGATTCTAAAGACGCTTCGCAAACGCACGCAGCGGAACAGCGGAATGTCGTTCCGTGAAATTTCAAGTCGTGGCACACAGACTATAGTTCTCGTCTCATTTAGCGAAATTCCAATTTTCTAAAAAAAATTCCAGGTAGCTAGCAAAAGACAGTGTTGGCCGTTCCTATTTTTCGGTGGTTCGAAAAACTTGGAAGTCGAACGAGATATCGTAGAATCAATGTATTTTCAATCATTGAAGTGTGAAGCTACTCTGGTTACAAGGCAAAGCGTTGAAAAAGTCAAGGTTATTTTTTCACTGAGTAATAATAAAGAAGGATCTACAGGGCCTTGAAATGATACAAGTTTCGAAGTTGGACAATGGATCCTTCTTTGAAATTATCGATCAAATGAAGGAGCGGAAAATATTCGTGAGTTTTTTTTTTTGAGTAATTGGGAACATTTTTAGTGGCCACTATTGGGTTTTGACGTTTTAGTGGCCACTATAGTAGTCAAATTAGTGGCCACTTGAGGTGTTTAAAATAAGTGGCCACTATAGAGGTCTAAGTAAGTTTGTTTCAAAATTATCAGAGTTACTGGAAGAAATATTGGATGAAAAACTACTGAAATGGCCAATTTTCCAACTAAAGCTTTTGCTTTGAAGAATTCGCAATGAAGTATTCAGGTTTTCGATCACCTATTTATTAACGAAATGGAGGATTTGATAGATTTTCTTCCAAATTTCACGACGTTTCGAAGGAATCACCGCTTAGTTTTATGCCAGGTTTGTCAAAGTTCTTTTTTAATATTTTTTTGAGAATTTTAAAAGCGTCGGAGTCTCCAATGAAAAAAACAAAATTTGAAAATTCCAAAACCAAGATTTTTTTGTTTCAAAAAGTACTCACAAGGGAGGTCATTTCACTTTGCGGGTGGATTTTCCGGAAAATAGCCAGAATATTTTTTGATGAACCAGATAAAGATTCTGAAAATCTCAACCTGCACATCTTCTTATTTTCCAAAAAAGATAGGTTCAAAGTCTGAAAATATGTCATTTGAAAGTTTCCTTTGACTTTGAGGTGTCCTTTCTCGAAAACTAGGGTGTTTTGGAGATTGAGACTTTCAGAATGGTCTTCTGCATCATCAAGGAGGGTTCTGGCCAACCTTCAGGAAATTCTAAACTGTAAAAAAATGACCTTCCTTATGAGGACGGCCTTTCGCAACAATCTTAGGAACTCCTGAGTGGTCCCTATAGGGAAAAAGTTAGGGGCCCTTGGAGTGTCTTTTTAGGGGCCACTTTACCAGCCCCTATAGGGGTCCCTAAAGTTTGCAAAATGATCCCTATAGGGGACATGTTAATCGATAACCTTTAGGAACTAGATGCGAAAAACTGAAGAATAAACCAATTTTTTTTTTTGAGTGAAATTGAAAGATCCCTATAGGAACCACTTAGGGTTTTGGGGCCAAGGGATCAGACCCTAAAACCCTATGGGAACCACCTTGATTTTACCGTTACAGGGCACTTTTTTTCAATCCTTCTATTTTTCCCCTAACCCCTATGAGGACCCCCTTGATTTTACCTCTATAGGGACCACTTTTTCGACCCCTATAGAGGCTGTTCATCCCCTTAACCCCTATAGGGACCACTCTGGATATTCGTATGAAATGAAAGAAACCTGCAGATAACGCTGAAAATCCCGAAAGAAGACGTCAGAAGGTCATTTTTGAAAATCGTCGACTTTCTCGAAGGGGTTCTCCGGCACGATCCGTTCACCATTCTGAACATCAGGGATTCGAAAGAAGATTACCGGATTTACCTGTTCAATTTCGCCGACAACGAGTGCAATGTTAGGTTCTCCTGATTGTTATAATGAATTTTTTTTAACTTTAAAATCACAAGTATTGCATTTAAAAACGCATATGGACACGAAAAAAAGTAAAAATCGAAAAAAACCGTTTATCATGCGAAAAAAGAATCACAAGATGTAAAATTCATATATTTCAAAGATTTGGAGAGATGAAAGACAACACAGTTAAACCCGTCAAACAAAGAAAAACCTATCGAAAAAGCCCAAAAAATGTTATTTTTAAAGGCATAGAGGCAGGAAAAAACGGTGTTTCAGTTCAAAGCAGTACTTTGTAGAGCTTTTCATTGCGAATCGAAAGGTGAACTTGGAAACGTACAGAAGTTCCTAGTTTCGGAGAAAAAATAATTCAAAGTCGAAGAAAGGAAAGATTGAGTGCCCGCCAAAAGGGCGCTTTGCAGTAAAGTTGCTCTATGGACAAAACGCATCGTCATTTTTCGGACTTTCGCTTTTTTCTTCGTTTCTTTCAAATTTCAATTTTTTCTGTTGTCACTAAAGTTCTTTTGGTCCTTGAAAGCTTTCTATTCATATGAAATTTGCAAGTTTTGATAATAAAAATTTGGAAAATGGCAATTTTATACAGCGTTCGGTTGGAATTCGGCTTGATTTTTTATCGGTTTGTTTTTTTTTCCTAATTGATTTTTCAGGAAAGAAACTCTTGAATTTTTTTTTACTGTAAACAGTTGTCCGTACAGCGATCCAAAGCATGTTTCAAATTTGAAGGCGCGAAAGTAAAATCGCGTTTTTCTTCAAAAGTAGTCACATCCGTAATTTTTTTGATAATACCGTTCGATTCGCAAAGAAAACTATACAAGATACTTCACCTGAAACACCGTTTTTTTCTGCCCCATATAGCTGACTCACGGCTGTCTTGAACCATCGACAAAAGGGTCCTGCCACGAAAAGAGAAGAGACAGTGCCTGGTTGGTGGAGAGCGCAGACAAGCCACGCCTCCTAGCGTCCCAAGTTAGCCGTGGATCGGCTATATGCCTTCAAAGAATTCAATAAGTGATCGGCTTCTCATGAACTGTAAATAAGTCGTCGAAAGCAACAAGAACAATGAAAACAGCAAAAGTGAAGCCGCAGAAGGTGGTGAGAAGGATGCGGTCGAGTACATTCGCCAGGAACTCCCATTCTAGCGCCACCCGTCGTGACATTTTCTGTCGTTTGACGTTTCTCGCGTGGCTCGTGTCCTGCTTCATCCGGTTCTGGTTGTACCGCCGCTCGCGTTGTTTCGCCTCAAAGGGAAGTTTTCGGTCTGGGGATAAAGTTAAATCATACATCAGCTGGATTCCACCCCCGCACTTTTTGGGGGTAGGCCGCTCTTCTTGGGGAGTAGGTCGCACTTTTTAGGGAGTAGGCCACACTTTTTTGGGGGGAGGCACCACTTTTTGGGGGGTAGGCCGCTCTTTTTAGAGGGGTAGGCCGCTCTTCTTGGGGGGTAGGCCGTACTTTTTGGGAGGTAAACCGCATTTTTTTGAGGGGGTGAGGCTGCAGTTTGACGGGGGTTACTCCGGGGTGGGAAATACTCAATCAATTCCTTGGATGGTGCTGGGACGATAGCTTTTACACCTGCCAGCAACCTTCCAGATGCCTGCCAGAAACCTGCTGGCTGGCTTCCGGCCCAAAGTTTTCAATATTCTACCTTCCAAGGGTCTTCCAACTACCTGCCGAAAGCCTTCTCAAGACCTTCTAGCTTTTATTCACCTTCCCACCTCCTTCTCATAATTTACCCGAGTGGAAAACAATCGGGATGCTCAAAATTCGTCTATAATATCAAAAGAAGGGCGGGAAGACCTACAGACCGTTCTTGATCAACTACAGTTTCGAGAACCGAAAAAGAACTGTTCAACTTTTCAATGACCCCATTATTTAGCAGAGAATCTTCTCTGAAGACTGAATAAGAACGATCATCTCTCCAAGCTACAGAACCTTTCCTTTCGATGCGCGCAGCCTGTCTCGGTGTATGCGCCTTTAAATTAGCCTAAAATGTCCGCTATATTAAAGGCGCATACACAGAAACAGGCTTCGTTCATTGAAGGGAAGCCTTCCGGAAGGGAAAGGAAAAGAAAAATCGTGACTAGTCGAGTAAGAATCGACTAAATTCCGAAAATCTTGCGGGATCATTTTTCGAGTCTCTGATTCAAGCGCCCCCCCCTCTGAGAAAATGATAACTGCTCCTGAATAAATTACGGTAAGCCCACCTGGGCCGTGTATTGTCGCGTGATTGTCGCGAGTCGAGCCGTGTAGGTGTAGGTGTACTGTAGGTCGCTCAGCTCGGAAGATAACGAGCCAAAAAAGACTCTCGGCGTCGGCGGCATGTTCTGAAGTGGTGCTACAGTTCTTTGAAAATTTACTAGAGCCGCATAAATTCAGGAAAGAAGCTGATTTAAATTGATTCATAAGTGGGCCTTCTCGGCACCCCTTCCCCCTTCCACAAAGTTTTAAATTGGAAAAATTATAAAGTCATTGGACTTTCAAGCAAGTATAGCCGTCGGTGGAACGATGATTCCTGTATGAATTTTATGAAGACGTACAGAAAATCTTCAAAAGAAAACAAATCTCCCACTCGGGCTTCGCTACCGAAAATCGGACGCGCTCCGGACGTTTTTGATCAATCCAAGGGATTACTTAAGAGCGCTCACACTACTAAAGTGTCCACTAGGAATGTTCCCACCCTCTGGTCCGAGCATAAGTAAATAAATGATCACCGATGCCGGATCGATCGATTGGAGCAACAATGGATCAATTTGGTCCGTCGAGAGGCGTTGCTCTGAAATGACGCCAAACTCCGTCCAGAGGTCGATCAGAGACGTCGGGGGGCTAGAAATTGATTATTTCTTGTTGGATTTTCATTATCAACCTCAAAATCAGAAATTCGACGATTCGATTATAAATAAGCTTGCGAGTGACGCTTGACAGGGGCCGATTATAGTGCTTCTGGCCGTGGATGGCTGGAAAATCGGAAATCGTAAATCTACACAGATGGGGTTCTGTTTTCTAAGCCGCTTCGTTGCAAAATTATCGCGCCCCATTTGCATAATTAGAAAATGTTTCCGACGACAGGAGCTCCAGAGTAGTCCCTACTGAAGCTTGCAAGAGGGACACCTACAGGGCTTTTATTGAGTGGCCCCTACAGGGGTTTTAGTTAGTGGCCACTATAGGGGCCATGAAAATCATTCATTGTTATGAACTCTGTAAGAAGAAGCATCTCAATAGACTACCGCGTTTTGACCCCTATAGTGGGCTCTTTTTCTCTGATCCCTCTAGGGATCTCTTCGACGTTCCTAAGAACTGTTTCGAAGCGCCGACGCCATGAAAGAAATCAAAAGTGAAGTTCACCCAAGACGATAGTGGCCAGAAGTGTGCCGACGACGATGACGAAAATAATTCCAATATAATACCAGCCTGAAAATGAATTCAATCCACATTTTCGAATCAAAGAAGCAAGACGAACTCATCAGAGGAACATAGGTGCTGGTGGACGGCATCTGGTTGCAGACCATCAACATCATCACCGACATTGTCAGCAGGGTATTGATTCCGAGGTAGCTGAAACAGTCAAAACTCTCAAATTTTACATTAACTCCGGCATCTGGTGGGTGTCTTTTTTCCCTTTCTTTCTTTTTAGGGACTCCTGAGAGGTCCCTATAGGGGCAACCTTAAGGACGACTTTACCAGCCCCTATCTTCTTCTTCTTCTTACGCCTTTTTACCGCTTGAGCGGCGTCGGCGCCCCAAGTCGATTAGCCGAGGTCCTATCCTGATGATAATCAGTGGACTGGCTCCAGTGACATATCCGTCCTTGTGTGTGACGGCTGGGGATTATGAAGCCGTGGTTTCCCACTACCAACATTTCTTAAACCCCTTGGTTGGGTCGATGCGGGAATCGAACTTGTGACCCTGTGGACCGTAGACAGGCACACAACCTGTTAGGCTACGGCGCGCCCCAGCCCCTATAGAGGCCAATAAAGCTTGAAAAAGTGCTCCCTATAGGGATTTTCATTAATGACCCCTATAGGCACATGTTAGTCGATAAGTTCTATGCGTAGAAGCATTTCATGCAAAAAACTAAATTAATAAGCGTTCTCAAAATGAAATGGAGAGGCCCCTATAGGGGTAACTTGAACTTCAGGGACTAAGGGGTCAGACCCTACACCCCTATAAGGATCGCCTTGATTTTACCGCTATAGGGACCAATTTTTCGGCCCCTATAGGGACCACTTTAGAATATTCGTGTTCATATTAGCTACACGCTTTTTTAAAGGCAATACTAAGAGAGAATTGTGTTTGGACCCTATCTTTCAAGGTAAAAAAAAGGAATAACGGTTCAAAAAGCACAATAATTTCCATTTTGTGACCAAAAAAGCCGTTCCAAACTACCGTTAGACCGGTCATTTTAAACAGGTGCTTATATTAGGTAATACATTTCGTTTTTCTCCAGTTTTATGCATCCTTTTCTCATCATGAGGCTCAGGTTTGAAAAATATTTACAATCATATCCAATTTTCTTTCAAATAAGGTTCTCCAAAACTCGCAAAAAATCACTTGAAACAGGCCTAAAAAGCGGCCAAGGACACCAATAAGTGATGCAAAAAAGAAAAGAGAAAAACTCGGAAGCAATTTTTCTTCTCAAAAAGGCGAAAACAAGAGCCACAGTCCCAGTGCAAAAAAAGTAAAACGAACAGTTTTTCGTCCCTTTCGCTGGAAGATGAAGTCGGCGTGAAGAAACCCGTCACGGCGACAATCGTGATTATCGAAGTTGGGATGACCTGGAAGTTTGCATTGAAGAAAAAACACTAGGAAATACATAGGCAAAGTCGGATAGGGTGAAAAAAGGCTCCATATTTTCAGGGAGACAAAGGTTCCTTTTTTGCTGCCTTTTTGCGCCATTTTCGAAGCTCATATGCACCATTTTTGCTGCCTCTCCTTTTTTTCCACTATTACTTGAGCTTTTTAAAGGTTTAGAAGTTCTAACTTATTTTTTGTGGCATCTTTTAGAGCATACCAAAAGACATATTCCATGAAAGCTATCACGATACGATTCTATGGCGACGACCAGGGTGACCGAAAAACCGACTTTTCAAAGACAAAAAGTACCGTAACTCGAAAATTCCTACAGTAACCGAAGATGGCATGCATTTTAAAAGTTCCTGAAATTGGATTACCTATCGATTGATATTGCCTAGTAAAAACTCCTCAATACTTAGATAAGCAGCCTACCGTAACCCGACTACAGTAAGAGGGAATGGCTCAAAAAGTTGTGTCCGCATTTCTGATGATGGGTTATCACACTGGATGAAGTTTCATCAGAATCAAAAAATATTTTTTTTTTATTGTAACCGTTGCTTTTTGAAAATTACAGAGACAGCGTATTAAAATCCCAAAAAAAAAATGAATGGCTCGATAAAGGGACCCTTTTTGCTGCCTTTCTGCGGCCTTTTTTGAGCCTGTTCCTTTTAGCGGGCCAATCCGACTTTGGCCGAGTCGAGGAAAAGGCTATAAATGTCTCACCAAGTTGATGATATAATAGAGCGGTTTCCTGCGGATGACCAAGTACGCGTAGAGCATCACCCAAGGCGCGTCGCAGCATTTGAAAGACTCCTGGAATGACTTGAAAAAGTTACAGTAAATTTTGTTTTTTTTTGCGCTTCATTACAAAACTGCAAGGTCTTGAAGCGAATTTGGCAGAAAAAAAACGTGACAATGTGCTATATATTCGGATAAGGCGCAATGACGTCATCCAATATTACTCTCTGATTGGCCTATCGTGGAACTAGGGGCGGAGCTTGAAGAATAACATGACATTGGAAATCTGAACAGGCTATATGAGCCCGGCGTTTTTGTTAGTGGAAGAAAATGAAGGGGCGGAGTCAAAACCACCGCATGTGACGTCATGGGAAACAAGTAATATTAAAGGCGCATGTTCAATGGGTCTCGAGACGAATCTATTTCTCATTTTGAAAAAAAAAAAAAAACATAACTTTGGTGTTTCAACTTCGATTTTAACTGGAAAAGAAGTGGGTTTGATATTAAAATCGAAACGGTTTTGTTAGTGGAAGAAAATGAGGGGGCGGAGTCAAAACCGTCGTTCCCTAGTGACGTCATGGGAAACAAGGAATATTAAAGGCGCATGTTCAATGGGTCCTGAGACGAATCTATTTCTCATTTAGAAAAAAACGATTTCAACTGGAAAAAGGCGGGTTTGGTATAAAAATGACGAGAAAAGAGCTCTAAAAAAGCCCCAACCTCAACCCGGACAAACTCGAAACTGACGACCTCCCATTCGTCGTTCTTGGCCATGTTCCTCAGGTTGACGTCATGGCTTTTCGGCCAATAATCGATCGTTTTCTGATGGAACAACGTTCTTTTTCGGAATTATAGAAGAAACGGGAAACTTTATCATGTGTCCAGCTGGAGATGATGAAGCTGCAGTTCTGGCTGTCGTATGGAAACCAGCGGACCTAAATTTGACCGAAAATATATTTTTTCAAGCCAAAATCTTCCTTTGTAAACTTTTCTATCTTCCATTTTTTTCGACTTAGCATATGAATTTCGTATCATGAGGTCTAAAAAAATCTCAAAATCAATGCTTCGATGGCCTGCCCTGTCAGCCTACTCCCCCATCAGACGACAATTTTTCTAAGGCCTATTCGGCCCGGCCTTAGCGAGGCTCATACATGGGTAAGTCTCGATGGGACCTGAAAAAAAGGGAGGGGACTTGACAAAAAAACGAGAAAAAAAGGGGGTGCTTAGCATTGAGTGAGGGGGACTCAGCTGTCGCCAGTCATGCTCATAACATGTATGGCGAGGCTTCAAGCAGATAAAACTGAAAAAAAGCGATAATTTTCACCAATTTAAGTATGAAGCTTCTTTTTTTACGACTTAAAAATCCCGTTTTTGTTTCATTTTCACTTAAAATTCAACAGATACTATGATTCACAAGCATTAAGAGTTTTTTGGTGAACATTTTGAGTTAAAATAAAAGTTTTTCCGGTTCTTTACCCCTCCCGAAGCCCGGGTGGACCCGGGCCAGTCCTATGAACAAACACGAACATCCATCCGGCAGGACAGCTTGTAAATGGCCGGGAACATGAGCTGAACTCGGGCTCCCAACGAATCGTTGGCCCAATAGCCCGTCTCCAGCTGGGCGTTCATCAGCGATTCTGTCTTTTTCTGCTCCAGCTCCTCACTAGAAAAAATCAATAATTTATTCAGAAGCAGTTGAAATTTTACAGTCAGTACAGATTTTGAATGTCAAGCCATCACTCAAGCTCCGCCCCTAATTGCCCGATAAACCAATCAGAAGGCGAGCCATCCACGGAGCGTTTTCGAATGACGTCATTGTGTTTGATATTCAAAATCCGGACCAACTATACCGAAAAACTTTTAAGTTCAACTTTTTTTTTGAATCATCCCGTTTAAAAATCGTAACATCCCTTATAAAAAAAGTCATTTTTTATTGGCTCAAGTACTAAAGCTTCTTAGGATTCCCAGAGTGCTCCCTATTGGGGTTCGAGGGTAAAACAACCCCTATAAGGGCCGAAAAAGTAGTATGGGCGTAAATTTAAGTTGGACCCTATAGGAGTCTAAGGTCTGACCACTTAGCCCATAAAGCTTAAGTGGTCCCTATAGGGGTCCTTCAATTTCGTTCAAAAAACGTTTATTGGTTCGGTTTTCCCCATGGAAATGCTTTTTCGCACAGAGTTTATAACAGTTGTCGACTAGCATGCCCACTATGGGGACCTCTTTCGCAAGCTTTTATTGGCCCCTAAAGGGGTTGGTAAAGTTTAGAGGGCACCCTTCAAGGGCCCATAAGATTGCCCCTATAAGGAACACTCTAGAGTTCCTAGGTTCTTTCAAAAAAAAAAATTTCATTCCTCTGGGAAAATTTTTAGTGGCCTTTATAGAGGCTTGCCTACTTGGAGAGGACACTAAAGTGGCCACCAAAACCACCTCTCTAGAAGCCGCTATTTTGGGTCTTAGTGGCCACTAGAGTAGTTTTAAGTAGGCTAGTAGTAGCACTTAGACCTCTATAGCGGCCACTAACCTTTGACCCCTTAAGCGGCCACTAATTTGACTACTTTAGTGGCCGCTAAAACGTCAAAACCCTATAGTGGCCACTAAAAAGTTTCCCAGTTTTCCGGGAAAAGTTCTGTTTCAATTAGAGTGGTGCTGTTCTCCTAATTCAAAGTTAAATTTCCTAGTACAGAGTCGATGAGTCATTCCAAATGCGACCAAAAAACTAATATCTTCGCTAACCAAGAGTGATACATGGAATATGTCAATCACAAATCGAACATAACCAATTTTTTTTTGGTAAAGTTCAAATTTCAAAGGCTTCACCTATTGTACAGGTAAGTGTCGGGGATCCAAATCTGGTTATACGGTACGATCGTCCGGTTGATCATACCGTACTCCAGGGGGTTCCAGTCCAAGAACTCGTCGTACCAGTTCTAAAGATATCTTTTCGTTTTTTTTTTTTTTGAATTACTCAAACTTGAACCATCCATACGTTGACTTCGAGGCTTTGGAAATGTTCGTCCTGGAAAAGATTCATGTTCAGAAAATCGAATAAAAAAACGCACCACATCTAAAATTTGATACAAGCTCATGCTCAAGTTCACTCGGGTCGGTTGCCGATGATTGCGCTGAAAAATCCCGATATTCTATTTCGATCCAGCCCACGCATAACGTCTCTGATTGCCTTCAAAAAAAAAGAAAGCGTGGGAGTAAAATTTGCGATCTTGGGAAAAAAAAGTCGAGAAAAATATCAACATTTCCCAAGCATCGCGAATAATTGAATTATGATTCAATCGTGCACTGAAACGTTTCAAAAACGTCTTGGGAATCCATCGAATCCATCACAGTTTATTTGATTATTTCCAGTATAAATACAGCGGGATGGGAAGGAAATATCGTTCAGTTTCGTCTTTCTGCCGTCCTCGACCCTCAGGTTGGTTTCTGAGAATTTTAAAACTCAGATTCTTGCTAAAATTCTGAGAATAACTACTCGTTTTTGTAATACCAAACGCTCTATTGGCTGGATAAGCGTTTTCTTTTGAATATTTCACTGAAAAGTTGAAAAATAACGCTGTTAGAAACTTCTTTGCCGTGTTCAAAGGTGGTCTGCGAGGTTGAAAATATTCGTCAGGGAGTAAAAAAAATGACTAAAGACAGATATAATTTTGAGAATCGCAAAAAAAAGTAACAAGGAAAGTCATTTTTGCGTAGGGTTTGAAATTCCTAAAAATTTGCTCAAAAAATCTTTGATGGACTGGACAGCTAGGAGGGTGGTGCAGTGGTTAGCGCGATAGTCTGCAAAGCCTATGATGAAGGTTCGAATCTTTTGGCCGCTATCGTTTTTTGCCTGATTAAAACCGTTCCAAAACCTTTAGAATAGCTGTCCGAGATAGTGCGAAACATATTGGTCGCATTGGGAATGGCTTCAGGCTTAATGAATAGAAAGTACTATGGAAAAAGTGCAGCTTTCAAAATCACAAGCGTTTAGCCATTCTCAAAGCATCATAGCGTTTTGAGTTGTAGCAAATCTTTTCTCCAAAAATGAGCTCAAAAACAACTAAATGTCGAAATATTCAGAAACGATGCGATTGCTGACGTTCTCGACCCTCCTGGCCCTTCTCGGCGTCTCGTTGGCCTACGTCGCCCAAGACTTGGACCACTCCCAGCCCGACGACGAATTCAGCCACAAACGCTTTGGATTTCCAAAAATTCCATTTTTTGGAGGAAGACCCGGCCCTCCGATGAGACCCGGCCCTCCGATGAGACCCAGTCCTCCAGTTCAAGCTGTTCCTCCTGGTAGTAAACCGAACTATTGGGCAGAAATCATGCCTTCAATTATCACGACAGCCGGTACTCTGGGCAGCACCTATATAATGACCCATCCGCAGCAACAGGGTAGTTATCCTCCGCAGGGCGACTATCCTCCGCAAGGTGGTTACCCGCAGCAAGGTGGTTACCCCCCGCAAGGAGGTTTCCCCCCGCAGGGTGGTTTCCCTCCGCATGGATAATGAAGCTCAACGTTCTTGTTGTTATGTGACAATAAAGTTATTCAAAAAAGAAATGTTTGTAGTGACAAAACACGACTTCGACATCCCCAGCCGTCACACGCAAGGACAGATATGTCACTAGAGCCAGCACATTGATAATCACTGATATCATGATAGGACCTCGGCTAATCGACTTGGGGAGCCACGCTCAAGCGGTACAAAGCCGTAGGAAAGAAGAAGAAAAAGTGGTCCATGCATTTGAAGATAAATCACTAACAGTTTGACGCCGTTTGAGAGATTAGGTCCCCCTTTTAGGGGGGTAGTAGGCCGCAATTTTTTTGAGGGGGAGGGCGGTAGGCCGCAGTTTGAGGGGTAGGCAGTCCTTTTGAGGGGGCGCACTTTTTTTGGGGGAGGCACCACTTTTTGGGGGATAGGCCGCCGTTTCAGGAGGTAGGCCTCCCTTTTTTTGGGGGGCGGGGGGGGTGGGATCCAGCCGACGTATGCTCTGGTTACTCACAGTTTTTTTTCAAAACACTAAAAAAAACCTTCGGATGGACGGTTTTCTCGTAGAAGTTCGGATCGAGCAGTTCGTCAACCAGTCTTCGATGGTCCGTGATATAATGGCCTTAAAATGAGAGAATAACAAACTTCATCTTAGCGAAAAAAAAAACCTTCATTCAGCTTTTCCAAGTATTTATTCCTCTCATCGATCAATTGCTGCATGAATGTTTTATTTTGATATTCGGTTGTCTGTTCTGAAAATTGAAATCATGTTTTTGAAAGTTAGAAAAAAATTGAAATTTTTGAACGAAAGAACCCTATTGTAAAAAGTCAAAAAAAGTCAAAATTTCAAATTTTAAGTTGAAAATATTCTTTTTTTGGATAATCAGGAGAGGATCGGATAAAAAAAACGTCCGCCGTTCCCATGTAACGTCATGCGAAACACGCGTAAACAACAGGGAATATTAAAGGCGCATGTTCAATGGGTCATGAGACGAATCGTTTTTTCATTTAAAAAATACGCAATTTTTCTGTTGCCGTGTTCGAAGTGAATCCGCGAAGTTCAAAATAGCAGCCAGAGAGTGAAAAATATTACTGAATTTCGGAATTTAAGAAATTTTTTTTAATTTCGCACAAATTGCTTTGAACACGGCATGTGCGAGAGCGCCGCAGTGCATGCACACGACACACTACACTTGACGGAAAAAAATGGGGGTATCGTTTAAAAAAACGCTGTGAAAAACGATTAAAAAAATCAATAAACGCTACTTTTTATCTTTCAAAAAAATCTTGGAAAATTCTAAAACTTGAAATAGAGCATCGTCAAAAAAACTCCGTGGGATTGGAAGAATACGGTTCACATGATAACCCGCCGAGAAAAAAAACACAAAAACCAACCCAGACTCCTTTTCAACTGCGTGTTGAAGTCTCCAACGGTAGTGTCGTTATTGCGGCTGTGTTCTCGGTTCTGGTCGTACCAGTCTTGGAAAGTCATCGTGCTAGTCGACAATCTGCATTATCTTCAGTTGATGAAAAAAATTTTTTTCTTCATTTTTTTAGAAGCAGATTGAAAAATTGAAGAAAGCAGCTAAAAAGCGAAAGGGAAGCGTTAAAATTTGGAAAAAAAGAAGCAAAATTTGTATTTTACCTTTGGAGCCATCCCGTTTTCAAAATGTTGAAATGATTATTTAATAAAAAACCATCGTGATTTCAAAAAGTGCCCAAAAGTTACAAATAGAAATTTTTTTTTCTTGTTTTCTAAACTTTTTTTCTTTCCGTGAAAAACTCTAAAGAAAAACCAGAATCACTTCGATAAGACCTGGATAATGATCCGATCCAAGCTTTTTTTATAAAACAATTTCTTTTCATCTACTATAAAAAGTGTCATATGTCCGACGGCCTGTCAACTCGTTAGGGTTGACTCTTTTTCGTGTACTGTTACTTTTTTCTGCCCATTCTTTATTTTTACCTCTTATTTTTATATATTCTGATTGTTATAGCCCGTTCACGGCTGGCTTGGGACAGCGAACGGGCGGTTTAACTTGCGCGGTGATGGTAGATCATGGTGGTCATACATGCGCCTTTAATAAGAGCCTCATTTGGTGATTTATTTCTGTTTCTATTGAATTTATTTTTTTGTTTACATTCATTTCATTAGTTTTCAGATTTTTCTTAAGTCGACGAATAATAAGATAAAAAAATAAATAAGTCAAAAAATGGGTGGTATGAAAAACACCAGCGAAAATTCAAACGGCGACTTTTTCCAATTTTTTTCATATCGCTAGGGAACTTCCCGACTAATCTTTTTCCAACTTTTTTTCTCGATAAAATCTTCGTTTTTAAATTTTTCCCATATAAAGTAGGTAGTTGGTTCATGATTAAAACATAAAAAAAATAGGAAAAAAATGTTTATAGATGTTTTAAAAACCGGAAAACAAAAGGGAAAAAAGTCGGAAAGGGATTCGTCGGAAAGTTCCCTAGCGATATGAAAAAATCGGGAAAGTCGCCGTTTGAATTATCGTTGGTGTTTTTTTCATACCACCATAAAATGGGGCTTTTATGGAAGACGCATGGATAGTCGCCACGATCTGCCTTCGCCGCGAAAATTAAACCGCCCGTTCGCTGTCCCAAGCCAGCCGTGAACGGGCTATATCGTGTCTGGATTTAACCCCATAAATCTACACCATTTTTGTCGCGCATATCAAGATGTGCATGTCACTTTCACAGTTCCACCTGCTCAATCGCGTCAGGCGATTGAATTTTTGTTTTTTTTTAGTGGATGTTTTTACTTTTATTTCTCATCTAGTAAAAGGGTTTTGAGTTAATTGTATACTCCACACTACAACACCGATCTTAAAAATGGCAGTGAATTGACTATTTTTCGAGATCGATCACTCAAAAGCCAACAAGCGAAGCACGTACGTCACGCGTTTCCCATACTTCTCAAAGTCGGCGGCGGAATTCGTCGGCGGCAAGAGAAGAAAGGCGAGTAAGAGCCGCATCGCTGTAAAGAAAAAATCATGGAAAAAAGACGACTCAAGACGTTGGGGCAGAAATTTTTTTCCTATTCACAAAAAGTCATAAATCTTATGTTTGGCATAAAAATGGGAAATGTGCAAACTCAATAAATGCATATCAAAAAAACAAAGTAAACGAAAATGAAATGGTTCAAAAAACACCGAATGAAATCCCGAGACGTCTCCTGAAGTATTTGGAAGAAAATGAATAGGAGGAAAGTTAAAGAGAATTCCGAGAGTTCGTCTGTGGGTCTCCTGGGAGTCCGATATGAATTTATCTACCCGTTCGCACTCAGTCGGCGTGGGCCTTGGAAAGCAGAAAAAATAACATAAAAAAGGCGAATTTTTTATTGTAATACCACGTATAGGTTGAAAAAAAAACCAAAATTGTGGATGGCATGAAAAAAAAAGCTAAGACAGAACACTTCTCAATGTACAAGACGAAGCTTCTTAAATCTCAATCTAAACTACACTCTATTTTTAAGAGGGAGCCCTTTATAGTCAAGAAAACCTTCAAAAACCATTAAAGAAGGCTATTTTGGGCTTTGAGCTTTTATTCCAGGAAAACTAGAAAGGTTTGTAAGTTGAAACATTCAAGGCTTTCTGATGGTACATCAAGTAGTCTTTGGGCCGAATTTGTAAGAATTTCTAACAAGGGAAAGTTTTTGAGTCCCGGTTGAACTTTCAAACTTTCTTGAAGTGTACTTACGGACCTCTTGGTTCCAGAATACTCGGGCGAAGTCGGAATGGTGGATAATGGCTGCTAAAAGGGAGAGGGTCAAAAAAGGTCGCAGAAAGGCAGCAAAAAGAGTCCCTTTATGGAGCCTCTTAGTTTTTCTAGGAATTTAAAGGCTCAAAAAATGGTTGAAAAAGGGAAAGGCAGCAAAAAATGGTGCAAAAAGGCAGCAAAAAAGGAGCCTTCGTCACCCTAAAGGAACAATTATGGAGCCTTTTTCACCCTTTCCGACTTCACCTATGTCTGTTGCAAGGAGCTTTTTTTCACGCTCTAGAGGCCCTGAAGTATATTTCAGCCAATTTTCAGCAAAAAAACAACCAGTGGCTAAGAAAGGCTCCCTAGTAGAGTAACATGACTTCCCTTGTCAAAAAATTGGTAACTTCTTCGTGGAAAGATAGAACCGAGCGAATAGAACAACAAAAATGTTCGCACTTTACCGACGTAACGAAGAAGGTTCGGCCAAAGCAACCCCAGGCTATGGCGGCAATTACGGGGGCCGTTCATCGCCTCCTCGACCTTTTCCTAATTAACGGCGGCGCCCAAAAGCTCTTCCCTATACATTTTTCGAACGATTACAATTTCCTCCCAGTGTGATGACGTCCTCATTTTTCTTCTCATCTGTTTCCGCCTTGGGAAAGGTTATTTTGAACCCCAATCATTTTCTGCTAAACTTAGTTTTGAGGTTCAGTCGGAAAAATCGTTTATAAATAAATTTGTGTTTAATGCCGTTTCAAACCAAAAATCGTGTCATTTTGTGTTTCAGGAAATTCACTGGCTTGTTGGTTGAGAAGCAAAAAAGAAAAATGTAGAGAAATTTTTTGCTGGATTATAGTCATATATAGAAAATTCAAAACTCAAAACTTTTTTTCGAAAAAAACTTTTATTTTTATTCTCGAAGAACATTCCAAGCTATTAAACACTGTGCTTCGAGTTCCAACTTCATTTTTTTTTTTACTACCTTCTTCAAAAAAATTTGAATGGACTATGATCGATTATCGTTTGAATTTTCAACTAACTGGGAAACATTTTAGTGGCCTCTATAGGATTTTGACGTTTTAGTGGTCACTATAGTAGTCAAATTAGTGGCCACCATAGAGTTCTAAGTGGTACTATTAGATGACTAAAACTACTAAAGTTGTCACTAATGAACAAATAGTGGCCTAGAGGTGGTTTTAGTGGCTACTTCAGTGTACTATTCAAGTAATCCTTGAGACGCCTCTATAGTGGCCACTAAAAGATTCCCCAAAAAGCTCAGAAAATGAATCGCTTTCCTGGGAATTACAGAGTGGTCCCTATACCGGTCGAAAAAGTTGTCCCTATAGAGGTTTAGGGACTGACCTTAACCTTTAAAGTTGACCTTTAGCCTGACCTTTAACCCTCAAAGCTCAAGTGGACCCTATAGGGGTCTTTCAATTTTATTCAGAAAGAGCTTATTTATTTAGTTTTTCGCATGGAAAAGCTTCTTCGCTTAGAGTTCATAAAAATTATCGACTAGCATGTCCCCTATAGGGGCCACTAGCTAAAATCCTTATAGGGACCTTTTTGCAAGCTTTGGTGGTCCCTATAGGGGTTATAGCTAGCGGCCGTGGTCTTATCGGAGTTGGTAAAATGGTCCCTAAAGGGGATCCTTCAAGAGCCCCTATAAGGACCCCTCTGAAGTTCCTAAGTCTCGCAAAAATAGAATTTCCGTTAAAGGTACCACTAAAAATGCGAGTAAAATGGAAAAGTTCAACATGACGATTTTTTCCAAGGCCAACTCCAATCAATTCAATCCTCAAAACTGAGCGATTTCACGTTCGAATGATTTCGCGTCCTCCACGAATTACTTTCTGAATAATTCATCGTCTGATTCCAGGAGGACCCCGCAGTATTTTTCAATTATTTTCTATGAGAATATGAAGTTTTTTTCCATGGGAGGAGGCTGTTTTTTTCAAGAATACTGGCTCAATTAAGTGGAAAAAAAGCTATACACAGTTAAAATTGTTTTTTTAAAGCTAGTTAAATCTCTGGAAAAAAACATATATAAATATAAACTAGAAAATATCCGGGCAAAGAAAAAAGACAAGAAAAAAGAAAAGAAAGGAGCCCAAAAGTGGAAAACAAACGCCACCCCAAATGAATATTGCTATCCTCGCTTCTCACTTTTCCTTTCGTCAAGGGTAAAATGGAAGCTACTTGGGAATTCCAGAGTAGTCCCTATAGGGGTTTAGGGGGAAAAAAAGCTTCTTCGCTTAGAGTTTATAACCATTTTTCCACTAGCATGTCCCCTATTAACTGAAACCCCTATAGGGAACACTTTGCGATCTTCAATGGCCCCTATAGGGGTTGGTAAAGTGGTCCCTAGAGGCGATTCTTTAAGGGCCACAAAGGCTGACCCTATAGGGACCACTCGGGAGCTCCTAAGTAGTAATGAAAAAAATTAAAGTTTTTCTAATCCAAGGAATGTCTTGAAAGAAAAATTCATTCCCAAAATATTTCCCAACTTTTTTCTTCGACTTTATTACAACTCCATTCGTAGTTTAAGACTTGAAAAAAACGTCTAAAACTTCGACTTGACTTGTTAGGAACTCTCATGATGTAAAGCTAGTGGTGACTTTTGAAATTTACTCTAAAAAATGGTCACCAAAATTCTAACGCAACTTTCCTCTAGTGTTTTTTGTTCTTTCCATATTTTCCAGGAATACTTTATAAACAACTGGAAAATGATAAATTATCTCAAGTGGTCCCTTAAAGGTTTATACACTCTATTCATGAGTAATTGGAAAATTTCATATTATTGCTATTCGGCCAATTCCAAATTTCCCGTAGAGCAAAATGACTCAAAAATGTAAATATTGGAAAATGTTTCCGGGAAGAAAAATAATTTTTGCAATAAAGAATAAGCCTGTTAGTGAAACCGATAATAGTCGAACTGGTAAAATCAAGGTAAAAAAATGTTATCAACGGAGCAAATTTACACCAGAGGAGGCGTAACCGAATTTTTAAAAAGTTAAAAAAATAAAAAAATTTTGAGAACGAGGAATCTTTTTTTACATAGTAAATTTTGACAGTAGTTTCATACAAAAACCCGAAATCTTCACTAAAAAAAAAGAAGCATAAAAAAAGAAAAAAAAAAATCTAATTGAAAAAGCCCTGATCTACACAGAGCAAAAACGACGAAAAGAAAAACCAGTTCAACTCTGAAAAAGCTCAGAAAAGAACAGAAAAATGATCAAGAAACAATTTTCCGGGGGGCCCCCCTTCACTAGAACATATGGAGAAGCGACAGGACCACGAAAATAGAGGGTCCTGGGGCGTTGGAGCGCGAAATCGTGTCTGGACACGCAGCTCCGCCTCTTCATTTTCCAAGTTGGTTCGCGAAAACTCGTGGCTACACTAGGGAGCGACAGAGTGGCCCCTATAGGGGTTGGGGTAAACATTTTGGGGGAATGCTTTCTTCAAGGCTGGTGGCCTCCTATAGGGTGAGGTATGTCGGTACCTAGGAGTTCCAGAGCGGTCTCTATAGGGGTTAGAGAGGACAAACAACCTCTGTAGGGGTCGAAAAAGTGGTCCCTATAGCGGTAAAATTAAGGTGGTCCCTATAGGGGTTTAGAGTCTGACCTCTTAACCTCTAAAGCTTGAGTGGTTCCTATAGGGGTCTCTAAATTTCCAACTGTGGCTACTAACTGAAACCCTTGTAAGGACCACTTTTACAGCTCTAGTTGCCCCTATAGGGGTTGGTAAAATGCTCCCTAAAAGGGCTTTCAAGGTTGCTCCTCTAGGGACTACTTCTCGAGAAGGTGTTTGAAGGTACAATTTATTTATTTTGACCTCGAAAAATAAGCTTTCTGCTTCAAAAAATTGTATATTTTCTTCGAGTCCTGCATGATTTTTTGAAATAACTATAAAAATTACCTCATTTTTGCACCTCAAAATGAAGTCAGCAGAAAGATTTGAAGTCGAAATAGACGCCATCTGAGAATTTATTGGAAAATTGAAAAAAATCTTTCAGATAATTTGTCATGGGTTCAATCCGAACAACTTACTTTTTAACTCAAAAAAAAATCAAAACGATTTTTCCTGAAATCCTAAGAAAACTGCTATGCATCATGATCTTTGATTGAATCCTTAACATTTTCATAAAAACCAAAATTTTTCATAAAATAATTAAAAAAATGAAAGATAAATTTTTTTCAAGCAAAAAAATTGTGTAGCCGTACAAGTTTTTCTGTAAATTTCACTAGTAATAAAAAAACTTTTTTTGAAGAAAAAAATTAGGCCTGGTCCTGCTCCTTTCATATTTTTTTCAAGGCTTTATGATTAGGATGAAATTATATTATTTTTTTATCACAATCTTTTTTTCAAAACAAGTTGAACATACTGCAGAAACTCTGTAACTTCTTCTACGCACCACCCAGGAACTTTAGAGTGCTCTCTATAGGGGCAACTTTAGGGATCCTTGAAGAGTCCGCGCTAGAAATGAAAATGAAAAACCCCTATAGGAGCCACTTGAGCTTTACGGACTAAGGGATATCCTAAACCACCTTTTCAGTCACTATAGGGTTTTTTTCCCTCCTAACCCTATAGGGGCCACTTTTTCAAATTTTTTCAAATTTATACGGCCAGAGATCTATTGTCCTTTCTGATGAAGTGTTTGAAGTACTTTCACGGAACACAAAATTATCTCTGACTCTCCAAAAATCAGTTATCTTTTCCACTCTTTAACGGTTATTTTTAGTTTGGAAGAATCACTTTGAAACTTTGAACAGGGCATGAAGTCCAATTAAAAAATGAATGATCAAACTCGAAAAATCATTTTCTCCGTCTCAATCGCGCTCCACTGAGAATCGACTACTCGGACCTTGGTAACGCGAACGGGACGCGAATCGGACGTTTCGGGGCAATTCTAGTGACCACTTTAGTAGCCTCAGCACTCTTAAGTGATCCCTAGAGCCGCCCAGAAACGTCCGGAGCACGTCCGTTTCGTGTTACCAAGGTCCGAGTAAGTGCAAACTAAATTCGAAACAAAAAAGAAGAAAACTCAAGGACAACTAGAAGAATCTAGGTGAGAATCGCGAAAAAGCCGGAAAAGGCGAGGAAATTGGACCGAAACCAAAAAGTCATTCATTCCAGTGGAAGCATCCCCATTTGAATTCAATTTAAGTGGTGGGAGGAGGTCTCTTTTTTTCGGGAAAAGGAGGCTGGCGTTCGTGGCGAGTTGAAATAAGGAAATTAAAAAGTGCGATGGGGCGCGAAAGCGTGCACGATTTCGGCCCAAGTTGGCAACGTTTCGGTTAATCAGCTGATTTCAGTCTAGTTCGAGTAGCATTAGGAATAAATTGAAAGATAATTTTGAGTTTAAGAAAAAGAAAATGAGCCCGATTCAGACCATGAATATTGCCTTTTTAAGGGACTATAAATGAGAAACTTAAAAATTTCAGAGTGGCCCCTATAGGGGTTAGGGGAATAACAGCTGGGGCTTAAAAAGTGGTCACTATAGGGGTTTAGATTCTGAACCTTCAGTCCCTAAAGCTTAAGTGGTCCTTATAGGGGTTTTTCGATTTTCGATTTTGTAGTTTTTGTCATGGAAATGCTTCTTCGCATATGGTTCATAAAAATTATCGACTAGCATGTCCCTAAAGGGGCCACTTTTGCAAGCTTGAGTGGCCCCTTTAGGGGCGGTAAAGTGGTCCCTAGGGGGGACCCTCGAAGGGCTCCTAAGGTTGCCCCTAGAGGGACTACTCTGGGGATCCTAAGAACTATGCAAAATTAAGAAGTTACAGAGTTTCGAAAATCAAAAGAGCAGGACGTAGCCTCAAATTTGAAAAATTAACTTTTTCCTAATATTTTTCATTTTTGATACTCTTCTATCAAGCTTAAATCTTTTCAACAAGTAAAACCAGAAGAAAACTGATAAATTTTGTACATCAAATCTTATGGGGAAAAAGAATCTTTATATCTTGAAAAATATACAAAAGGGCCCTGAAACAGGCTCGGTGATAGATAATGAAGACATCGACACGTATAATTCGAATATTTTCAATCTTTAATGATAACAACCGCAATTATCAAAATGACGTAGGCAAAGTCGGAAAGGGTGGACAAAGGGTCCATAGAAATGTTCCCTTTTTGCTGCCTTTTTGCGCCATTTTATCGGCTCTTATGCACCATTTTTGCTGCCTCTCCCTTTTTCTATAATTTCTTGGGCCTTTAAAGTCCCAGAAAAATGGGAGGCTCGATAAAGGGACCCTTTTTGCTGCCTTTTTCGAGCCTCTCCGGGGCCATTATCCACCATCCCGACTTTGCCCGAGGAGTTACAAGAAAAAGTAGAGAGGAATGATAATTACAAGTGTAGAGGTGAATAAGAAGGTATAAAAAATGAATAAAAGAGTACAAGAATTACAATTTGAAAGCCCGGAACATATTGATCAGCGATCGACGTCGTTCTGTGAAGTCATAGTCGTTTTGCTGCGCCGAGCCAGCCATGATCAGGGCCGATCTTCAAAGTTTCTTTTTGTACAGAATTTCAGATTGTCTCACTACTGAGAAAATTATGAGTGGCCCCTATAGGGTTTCGACGTTTTAGTGGCCACTATAGTAGTCAAATTAGTGGCCACTGAAGGGGTTGAAAATTAGTGGTCACTATAAAGGTCTAAGTGCTACTACTAGACCACTAAAAGTTCTAGTGTTCACTATAGGGGTCAATGGATCAACATAACTGGTCCAATCTGTCTGTTTTAAAATTATCAGGGTTACTGGAAGGAATACTGGATGAAAAGCTACTAAAGTGGCTCTTAAAGAGAGAACCTCTCTAGTGGCCACTAAAACGGGGAATAGTGGCCACTATAGAGGCGGGTTTAGTGGCCACTTTAGTGTCCTCTCCAAGTACTCCTTGGCGAGCCTCCATAGTGGCCACTAAAAATTTTCTCAGTAGATATGAAATACGGACTCTACAAATTCGCCTCTTAAAGAAGCATAAATCCACCAACCGATGAACCAGCTCTCGGAGGTGCGACGTCTTGTCCAGACGCCGGAGCTTGCGCATCAGAATCACGTGGGAGACGTACGTGTAGAGGATGAAGCCGATCACGGAGCCGAGGATCATGAACGACATGACCTGCGAGGAGCGGGTCAACCTGTAATTTATAGTCCGTTATTGCCGACTAGAAAGGACGGGACATCTCTGCGCCCCCTACTCAGAAGACTGTCAGGCCGAAAAATTCGCTCTCCAAAAAACAGAGCTCAGAAAATGAAGCAATTTCAAAGATCGAATCTAATTGGGTACCAAAAGGCGCCATAACTCGGCTTGAACTAAAAAGGCGCACTTTTTTCAACTTTTTTGGATTCAGGGTGTTCGAAAGTACACAAAGTTTCATCGAGTACCTCAACTTTTCGCACTTCCCGTGTTAATAGGTACAACTAACCAGGGAACATCTTCCAGCCCACGGATCAAGTTTAGATGAAACTTGGCTCAAATGTACTTTCGGGTCTCCTGATTCCAGAACGAGAAAAAAAAATCTCTATGAATCTTATTTCCGAATTATGAAGCTCCAAACCGCTCAAATAATGCTTTTGCTCTTTTTTTTGTGTAGTTTGAGTTTGATATAACGAATCGAAAAGAAAATCTATTGCAAAAAAATGTTTGTTGTTGAATTCGGAGATCTCAAGTCACACTCCAGCCAAGTTTTGTCGAAATTTCAACAGGGGGGGCAAAAAAAGTTCCTTTGTGAGCTACACTCCAATGTAATCACTCCAGCTCTAGAAGCTTCGTTCTCTTAAAATAAACTTTTATTCTGTTACTTAATCCATCATGCTCTTTCAAATTCATATAAAATCCACATAGCCCGACTAGAAAAGCCTTGAAAATGGAGCAAACTTCACAAAAACACACGCAAAACATTTTATCACATCGATTCAATTCAACATCAAGTCTCGGAACAAAATGACGTCATCGGTGTCGTAGAAAGCGCTGCCTTCGTGCTCTTCGTAGAGAAGGAAGTCGGCTTCGAAGTAGTCCTGCGGAAGGAAGTCACGTCTTCTGACCGGGTTGGCTGTCGTCTTCAGGATCAACAGAATCACGAGGAGACCGACGACACGAAGACAATAATGCATGGCGAAAGCAGAAAAAGTTGGGAAAAATCAAACATTTTCTATGGGAATCGGAGTGATTTGAAAAAGGGACGCCGTTCTTATTAACATAAAACTTTCAGGGAAATTAGCATTTTCTCTTTTTTGTGTGAAATTTTAACGAAATTCGAAGAAGTGACACTTGTCCGATGATTTGGTACACATTTGGTAGACAATTTGAGAAAACACATTTCATAGTTCTAAAAATCACGAAAATCAGTGAATAATTTAGGGGGGAAGTTCTATGATCGCCCCCTCCCCCTTGCCCCCACCGAGTTAGGGGGGTCAAACCAAAGACCTTTTGATAGGGGCTATATCATATTCTAGAATCGCATCCCACAGTGCTAAGTGGAGGACGATTTCAGAATGCCTGGGCAAACTTAAAGGATCGCCCCCCCCCCACCCCTTTGGAATAAGCATTGCAAGCCTTGTTCGGATCAGCCCCCCCCACTTTTCAGGATCGCCCTTTCCTATCATCATATAGAATCTCCCACATATTTTCTACTAGTGGTTGGGGAGGGGGGGCATTTTGGAATAATCCCTAAAAAAAGTTGTTCATTACGATTTTTTTCCCTTTCTTAAAAATTTTCTCTCTGTAGTTTTTTTCCTATAAATTTTCCAACAAAATCTCTCGTCGCAACGCATTTTGATACCTCTCAGAATCGAGTTTTTGATTTCCGACCGAAGTCCGACCGTAGTCGGGATGATACTGCGACTCCAGACTCCAAATGATCATCCTGCCTTCGTGGGCGTCTCTCCAGTCGTTCTCGCGCAAGGAAATGAAGGAAGACGGGTCGATTTTGCGCTTAAAATAGGATATATATAACTCATTTAAATATTCTAACTAAATATTTGAATGTAATTTGCGCTTTCTTCTCGTGGAAAAAAAGGGACAGGGAAATTCTTTTTAGTAATGACTCTGGAAGTTGGGCGATCGATTCAAAAAAACATCTTGAAAAAAACTCAAAAAAATTCATGAGATCTAAATTACTTTCGTCAAAATTTATAAATTCAAAGAACTTCTGATTATTTTTAGCGGATCGAATAGATGAACTTAGGGAATTCCGGAGTGGTCACTATAGGGGTTAGGGAGAAAAACAACTCTTATAGGGGTCGAAAAAGTGGTTCCTACAAATGTGAAATCAAGATGGTCCCTATAGGGGTTTAGGGTATGACTTCTTAGCCCCTAAAGCTCGAGTGGTCCCTAAAGGGGTCTACCGATTTCATTCAAAAAATTTTTTTTAGTTTTTCGTATGGGAATGCTTCTTCGTATAGAGCTCACAAAAACTATCGACTACCATGTCCCCTATAGGGACCACTTGAAAGCTTTAGTGGCCCCTATAGAAGTTGCTCAAGTGGTCCCTGAAGGGTCCTAAGGTTACCCCTAAAGGTCTCTTGAGTTTCTAGGAACGTGGTTATCTGCAAATAAATGTTCTGGAAAAATGTTTAGTGGCCACTATAGAGGCTCGCAAAGGACCACTTGGATAGGACACTAAAGTGGCCACTAAAACTACCTCATCAGTGGCCACTATAGTAGTTTAGTGCGTCTTGCACTTAGACCTCTATAGTGGCCACTAACTTTGAACTCCTAAAGTGGCTACTAATTTGACTACTACAGTGGCCACTAAAACGTCAAAACCCTATAGGGGCTACTAAAAAATTTCCCAGTTGCGAATGAAATTCAATGTCGGGTTTCCGCAAGATTCAAAACAGCCGTCAGAGAGTGAGAAAGATGACTAAATTTAGGAGGGTCGTAGATAATTCAAAGGATTAGTAAAATTTTCAAAAAATCAACCTGCTCATCCTCAGCCGTCGTCCCATTCAAAATCGCTTCAAGAAGGTCGAAATCCCTTCCGAAATAGGTGCTATTGAGATCCATGGGAACGACCGTCGAGTTATCCGAAAAACTATCGACGGGCCTCCGTATCACCGGAAACGGCCAAGAGGAGCCGACGAGGACAAGGAGCATGACAGCCCACAGCATACGCCACCATACGTCAGGAGGGTCTGCAGAAATCCGAAATAGCGAGGAAAAAACAAAGTTTGAAAGGCAAAAGGCGAAATTAATGAATAAAACAAGAATAGTCCGAGGAAAGGAAAAATGGGTGTGTTTTACGTAAGATGAGTGATTGACGTCGGGTCCTGGGAAGTTATTAGCCAGCGGGGGCACAACAAGCAAAATTGGCAGCGGCTCACGAGATGTTTGTACCTTTTTTTTTCGGTCGAGCAGAAGTCTTCTAAATGACCTAAATGTGGAGGAGCTGCAAGTAGAAGAGTGGTGAAGATATGAACAAGGGTTCAAGGTACGAATTATGTTTTTTTTTTTCGTTTCAAATTGGGGAGTTTTGTCTTTTTGTTCGTCTCACTTTCTGGAAGAATTCGCTTTGAAGGTATAACGAAAATGGTTCTCAAGCTTTAAAAAAAACCTTCTAACGGTCCCTAATAGATTTTTTCCTTCACTTTTGCATATTTTTCAAATTGTTTTATGAAAAATGCTGAAAAGCAATTAAAAAAAGCTTTCAGGCGATTTTCAAAAAAAGGACAATCTGATGAAAACTATGAAAGAAGAGCTCAAAAAGGTTTTTTTATTCCTCATTTTTTTGAACGGACCTTTTTGAGTTCCTTCTGAGGGTACTTTTCCGTTTTACCCATTATCCAGATGATAGTATTGAGCTGGAGAAATTTCTACGGAATCAGACTTCTGAAAAACTTTTTTAGTCATGCTATAGCTACACGGGCGAAGTTCAAAAAGTCTCAAAAAGGACTTTCGGAAAAAAAAGCTCCTTTTTCTATAAATGACCTTTTAAGGAGCTGTAAAAAAAGCGGAAAAAAGGAGATGCCGAGAAAATTTTGACACACTTTTAAGAGCTTAAGAAAGGAGCTTTAGGCTCTTCTTTTTAAGGCCTTTTTTGAGGTCGTTTGGACAGGGATTTTCTGAAAAAAAACTGTTATTTTTTCCTATTTTTTTCAAAGATTAAAGGACGTCTACAAGGTTTCCGAAGCGTTTCGGCACGAGAAAAACCCAATGAATAGTAAACGTTGCCTTAGTCACACACACACATCATGAAAATAAGAATAGAAATGGAAAAGAAGGGCCCATTCATCGCTCATCATTCTCCGATGGCTCATTTGATTTTTTGAAAGAAAAAATGAGCTTGAGATGAAAAGATCGAACCGAATTTTTTCGAAAAAAAAGATAATTATCGTCTCTGACCAATCGTATGGACTTTTTTAAAGCATGAATTTCATTTTTAGATTTTTGAATGGATCTTTTTGAACTAAAAAGCTGATTAAAAAAGAACAAAAAACAGAAAAAAGGACCCAATTTTTGGTGAATTTTTTAATTTTTCAAGCTTCTAACAGCTCTTTTTCTCTCTACAGCTTTTGACTAGAAAAAATCCCTAGAGTGAAAAAAATCACTCGACACGTCCAACTTCGCAAAGTTAGGTTCACTAAATAAAGACTCTCATACATTTCAAAATAACAAATTTACCTACAATGAACGGATTTTAATAGGAAAAAAACAAAAGCTTCACAAAAAACTGGAAATTTATTAATAAAAAACAAGAAAGAAGATAGGAGCAAGAAACGTGGGCAGGAAGCAAGGTCCGAACACCGTCAAGATTTATTCATGACACCCTTTTTTACCTTGTCCGACGGCGGAAGCAAAGAAATATCTTCGAAACGAGGGGCATTCTCGTAGTAATTTTTTTGGTGAAAAAAAAATCCTTGGAATTTAGGAAAAAATAACTGTGAAACTACAGAAGTTGTTGCATAAACAATCAGTCTTCGGAAAAAATAATTTCGTTCAGAGAATTTCGAAAAAAAAAGAAAATTAATTCTTGGTGACGTCAAAAAACCTCTTACAAAAATTCACCAAAATTCATATTTTACCATGAGAACAAGAACCTGTAAGTTGAGAAATAGCTCAAAACGTACAAAATGAACAAAGAAATTAGCCGTCAGTTTTCGAAATATTTTTTCCTGGAGCTAAACTTTGATTCTCCAGCTCAAAACAGGGAGGAATCGCTGGAATTGACGCATTGTTTACTATTCTCTTCTTCAATCCAAACGACAGACCATCAATAATTAATAAGAAGCGCTTCTTTTCGTTCTAACTCACAAGGAAATCTCGAAAAAACTTTCGTAATCCCAATTTATCATTTAAAAAGTTTCGAAGTGAAAATTTTCTATAACTCATCCAACCGCCGAAAGTTCCAAGAAATAAAAATGAAGATTCCTATCAAGAGATTAAAATTTAAGAAAACGAAGCTGGAAGGGTTTTCTTATCTTGAAGATTTTTGTTGAAGACATAATCCTCGCAAGAAGAAAAAAAAACTTCTTTGGAATCATAAAAATCAAAAACCTTGTTACTAATCACATCCAGATGGGCTTCACACGACATTTTTGCGACTCGTAAGGAGAGGAATTTCGAGAAAAACAGCTGTTTTAGCAATTTGGATTCGAGAATGTAGTGACTCAAATTACTGGTGCGCCTTTAGAAGGTTCCTGGTTGCGGAAAAAAATATACATATATAAATTCATTCATTCTGCGTGGGTCAAACAAGCTCTGAAAGGAAAAAAACACCGAACATAATAAATTTTTGGATGAAAGTTTACCAACGTTTTTCTGTTGATTTAATCTTTAACTTTTTCTGAAAAATAATAAAATAAACCATTAAAATGCTAAAAAAAAACCCAATCATTCAAAAAATAAAAAAAGCTTCTAGAATCCAAACCAACCTAGCGGTCAAAAAGAAAAACAATACTTGGAGTTTTCGGGAAGGACGAGCGGAATGAAATGGAAAAAGAAGAGGGGTTTTATGCCTTTTCCACAAGCCTCAAATGACCCACGAATGAGCGAAAATGCACGATCGACCGCTCTTCTTGAAAGAAAAGGTTGATTGTAATTTTTTCATATGAAAATGTTTTAATTACTAGGTCTAGGTCGAAAGCATTCAATTTCTAATAAACTAATAATCAGCTCGGTTAATTTTAAAGAAAAGAGAGTGGGTTTCTGAAATTTTTTCCAATAATGTTTAAAAACTTCAAACGTGTTCATCTTACAGCTTGGCACCACTTCTTCTAGAAAGCAAATGGCGTGTTCTTCGGACAAAACGTAAATTGCTTCGAAACACAAAAATTGCTCCAAAACAACAATTAGTAAATTTTGGAGCAACTTTGGCGCGCCGATGAACACGATTTTTCGTTTTGGAGCATGTTCCTTTTCTCCGATGAACACGCCAAAAAGGAAATATCGAAAAGAACAAATTAAAAAGAAACTTTTAACTTTCAAAATTTTGAAGAAAATGAGAACTGCGCGTCGAATAAAATGTTCGCTGTTCCTTCACATACACCTTGCGTATTTCCAACATACAGTAAGAAAAATTTTGAAAAAAATTATATATAAAGCAGAAAAATACAGTTTTTTTCTGGAAATAGAGCTTTACTCTCTTTCAATCGTTATCCACGTATTAAAAAGGGTAAAGTGAAAATTCTTTATTGAAAAAAAGGAAAGAGGATAATAAAAAATCAGGAGAAAAGGTGGATGAGTCGTTAAATGAAAAACTAGGCCCCCCTGTAAAAAATCAGCTTTTTCAAGATGCTTATGTTTTTGCTTTTGTAAGCATTCAGAGTCAAAAATTTTTTTAGAACTGACTTAACGTTCAAATTTCGGATAAACTTCTTCATTGAATATTCTCAATAATCAAACCAGTATTATTCGAATTTTTTCGCAATACAGCAGATCAAACAAAATGAACACACAAACAGTGAATAGGACCACGAATCCAATTTTATCGATTGCTATTTCTCTATTGATGTCGTCTAAACTAATTTTTTCGATTCTGGTCGTTTCCGTCTTGAGAACAACAGCTGAAGGTATTTTTTTGTGATTAAAGAAACTTCTTCATAAGGTTTTTTTCATTCTTCAACAGCGAAATATTCCAGAAAAGCCCTGTAGAAACGCTCCCGGCGTTCCCTGTGTCCATTTGAAGGAATTCTGTCACGCTCCAGGTTACGTGGATTATTTGAAAGAGTAAGCCAAATTTTCCTACTTCTTTGAGAGAAATATCAGGTACTGTGCTCCATTCTGTGGCCACTGTATTCCACCCTTGGAAATGAGAACAAAAGAAACTAATAGCATATTATAATGAGAAAAATTTAATAAAGTTTTATTTTTTACACCGTTTTGTAACACTTTATCCCGGTTGACTTGTCTGGAATGACATGGAGACGGCTTGGAATTGAGTATATCTGAATAAAATATATATTTTCTTTCGAGAATAGTTACTTTACTTTAAAGGATCGTATCCAAACATGCTGGTGAACACTTCAATGCACTTGCTCCTCACTTTGTAGTGACTTGGCTTTGATGACAAATTCGGCTTTGACTAAGTTTTCCTTCAGGCTGTCTGGAAAAAATGCAAGAATAACAGAAGATGGACGTGGAAGGATTATTTAAGATCAAGCCAGATGCTTTTGACAGACAAGGACATCCAGAAGGGGAAAACTGTCTTTTAAGCTTCGTGAGCTCTTTTTCTAAATTTCCCATAGGCGAATCGAGAAAGAGTCTCGCGATATCCTCTGAGGCTCTGAAGTCTCACGATGGTATAGTCCACGACTTGGAATTTCACCGAACGACATTCCACTGTTCCGCTGCGCGCCTTCGCGAGCCTTGGTCGCAATTTTAACTTTTTTTTTCTTTTATTAAGATACTCTACTTCCATGTGCTCTCACAGAAACAACAATCGATTGAAATCGTGACCTAGATTCGAAAGACGCTTCGCGATCGCACGCAGCGGAACAGCGTGTCGTTCGGTGAAATTTCAATCGTGGCACACAGATTATAACTCGAGTATACCTTTGAGGACTTTGATCAGAAGGATATAGACCTAAATTACCTCCGAGATGGCTCAGATATAGCTAAAAAGTATGCAGGAGGTCTCACGATGAAAATATTTAGGGAACCATTTTGAGAGGTATATTTAGCGGACCCCAAAGCCACGCCTTTTATATTTGTGGACACATTATGGTACCCTTCCGATTCGTGGATCTTTAACTGTTTTCGTGAAAACTTTCTGACCCTCTCACTTTTTTGACTGGGACTGGAATTTCAAAGTTTTACAAACAAATTCTGAGTTTCTCACTTGAAATCTCGATAAAGAGTCGTTTTGATGGGCGGTTTCTTGGTTAAATGAGCGATGAGGAAGTTCATCGCAATGTCTTCACAGTTCATTGTCGCGTCGACGTGTTCACGGACGCTTGGATCCATTTGGTAGGTGTACGCTTCGAGGTAGGTCTGAAATTGGGAAAGATGAGACGAAGATGTCTCGATAACTATGATCAGATCTGCTGATATAGTCGATGTGCCACGACTTAAAATTTCATGAAACGACACTCCGCTTGGTGGCCTTGTGGCCGTGAAAGCGCCTTGCCTCTGCGAATTTCGGTCGCGCTCTCCATTTTTTCTTTCATTTGAAATTTTGACTATTTTTCTGTGCAAAAGCAATAATAGTTCCGTTTTTGGCACATAAAAACAATTAAAAACATTGTCAAAAAGTTATACATCAAATAAAAGAAAAAAATGGAAAGCGCGACCGAAATTCGCAAAAGGCAAGGCGCTTCGCGACAGCGCGCACTAGTATCACAAGAACATCGGACTGTCGTTCCATGAAATTTCAAGTCGTGGCACATCGACTATAAGACTGGGCTTTTTTTTCTTAACATTTTCACCAGCTTGTTTTTCATTCGTTTTCTACATTTTTACTTTTTTTTCTCAATTTTGTGGGCCGAGGCATCCCATCGACAACTTTCACTATGACATCACCTTATGAAGAAACGCCGACGTCGGTAAGATCAAGCTGAATTGACACGCGCCGTTGGGTTCGTAAACCGGATGGCCTGCACTGTACTTGGTCGACCTGTGAACCAGACCGACGAGCTGATCCCGGTTCTCTCGCCAGACTCTGGGAAAATTATTATACAATTATTCTGGATTTCTTCAGGGAGATGATTCTAATTTTTAAAAAAAACTTTGTTTGACGTTTTTTTCAACATTTCCTCTAACCAGAGTCTCACTGACGGTAAAAAAGAAATGCCGATTTTTGAGAAAGTTTTTTTGATTTTTGGTAATTTTTTTCAAGAGTGCATCCAACTATACAGCTGATTCACGGCTGGTTTGAGCCATCAAAAAAAGGCCCTGGTACGAAAAGTATGCCTGGCTTGTGAAGAGCGCAGACGGGCCACGCCCCTCAGCGTCCCAAGTTAGCTATGAATCGGCTATATCTTTTTTCATACCGGAACGAGAAAAGAACCATCTCGTGGCTCAAAACGATGTCGTCGTCCAAGGAGAGCACGGCCTCCGTTTTGATATTGTCAAAGGGGATGAACCTCGAGTTCAAACTGTCCGGAGCGGAAACGAATCTGAAAAAGGCCTTTTTCATGGGAGAGCCGAAGGTTCAAACTCGATGGGAACTTGGATTTGAGGCCAATTTCTGGGCGGACTTCTCTTTTCGTTGCACCACACGACAACGATCTGAAACCATGAGGCACAATATTCATTCATTCTGGAACCTTGTTCAGATAGGCGATTTTGTGGAAACTTTTCAGAGTCGAGTTGAGCATCTCGTCCCGGTCAAAAGTCGTTATAACAACTGAAAACCCGACTTTTTCAATAACTATTTTCCTTTGCAACTTGTGAATTGCTCGGTTGGTTGATTTCCGCCCAAATACCGATGAAATTGTCTGGCCGTGTCGGCTCTGCTCAAGGCTGAAACTGTTGTATATTTTCTCTTTAGTTCAGGTTTTTTTTGAGAACCATGCCGAGACTCGTTGAAAATTTGAACATTGCTAGGAGGTTCAGCTGCATTTATCAAAAACTCTGGCAAAGTGAACGGGTTGAAGGCGTTGTTCCACAGATCATAGGAGTACTGCAATTGAAAGCTTATCGATTTCAATTTATTCTATAGTCTGTGTACCACGACTTGGAATTTCACCAAACGACATTCCGCTGTGCCGCTGCGCGCCTTTGCGAACCTTGGTCGCGCTTTTAATTTTTTTTTCTTTTATTAAGGTACTCTGCTTTCATGTGCTCTCACAGCAATGACAATCCATTGAAAGCGTGACCTAGATTCGAAAGACGCTTCGCGAGCGCACGCAGCGGAACAGCGGAATGTCGTTTGGAGAAATTTCAAGGCGTGGCACACAGACTATATCAAGAAGTACCAAGTTCAACGACGTGAAGTTGTAATCGTATCTGGCAGAATCATGAGGCTCTTGGTCTGTCGGAACGCCTGGAAACTTCAAATTTTCTTCAAAATTAGCAGAGAAATCAGAAAAATTGCTAGATTTTTTGGTTTCGTTTCCCAACTCTTTGGCAAAATCTGAATTTTTGATAATGACCGCTGAAAGGGAAAGGCTCAAAAAAGGCCGCAGAATTGCAGCAAAAAGGCAGCAAAAAGGCCGCAGAATGGCAGCAAAAAGGTCGCAAAATGGCAGCAAAAGAGTCCCTATATGGAGCCTTTCTTTTTCCCTAGAACTATAAAGGCTCAAGAAAGGTTAGATAAAGGTTAGATGGCTGCAGAAATGGGGCATAAAAGACGATGAAATGCCGTAAAAGGAAAGCAAAAAAGAAAAATTTTCATGGAGCCTTTTCTACCCTTTCGAACTTTGTCCGAAGATGATTTCGTGAACCTCATTCTCATTATAATGAGTCCGAAAATCCAAAAAACTGTACCCTGAATCTCGAATTCGAGCGGTCCATCGTCAGGAAAGGGATCTGGAGCTACAAAAGAATCGCCAAAAAGAGGCTTGGCAACATGCTGAAAGAATTTCCATTTTCAAATGAATTACAATAAAATTGTACCAATTTATCAGGAGAATCGCTTCCTAACTGAAGTCGGTACCTTAAGCCAGCCAACAAAGTCTTTGCGAAAAACTGAAAATTCCAATTTTTGGAGTATTTCACTAAAATGTAACAGTAACCTGTCTCTTTTCCGAGGTAATTCGTGTAAATAGCTCGGCCGCGTTTTCTCATTTCGATAATATCGAGCCATTGAACTGATTGGAGTACTGGGATGATTTCAGGAAGTCTCTGGCTGGGAAATCGGAAAACAGCCTGCCGCCAGTCGATCAAATCTATTTTCGTTTTGAAATAAATTCGCTTGAGAATGATATTTTTTACCTTCAAAAGGCAGTACAGCAGAAGTAGATAATAGCACAGGAATACAGCCAGAAGAAATGGATTTGTAAAGCAAATTGATAATTTGAGGAGAATCTTCGATTAAACAGAACAAAGACTCCGTCAGAGAGTTGTCTGAAACAGAACTAACAAAAAGAAAAAAATAATATCAGGCTGTCCAATAATTCATGTCCGAAAATTTTTCAAAAATTCTATAATTTTTCCTTAGAAGTGTTATAATATCAGGCAAGTGTAAGAACCTTTTAGAAGGTTCTCCAGAGTTTCACGCTAGGGGTATATAAGGCGCAGTCGTCGCGTCCAGCTACCAGTACAGGCTAAAATGGACCAAGGTCGAATTCGTACGTTCGTGTACTACGAGCTGCTGCGGGGCAACGACACGGGCACCGCGATCGCCAACACCTGCAGAGCGTGCAAGGAGGACGCAGTGCTCCCGCTGAAGGTCATGCTCTACTGCTGGTGGGCCGCCAAGAACTGCTGTACTCCGAGCTGTTCCCGCAAGACACGACGGTCACCGCTTCCATCTACACCGATCAGCTCGAGAAACTAGCCGCCGCCATCCGAGAAAAGCGTCCCCGACGTGCCTCGGTCCACCTTCTGCACGACAACGCGCGCCCCCAGGTGGCGAAGGAGACCCAGCAGAAGTTAGCGACGCTCGGCTGAGAGACGGTTGCCTATCCGCCGTATTCCTCGGACCTCGCTCCCTCCGATTACCACTTGCTCCGCCCGCTCAAGCACCGTTTGGCCGGAAGAAAATTCGCCAACTACGACAACCTCAAAACCGACTTTGCGGACTTCTTCGAAGCGCAGCCCCCGGAGTTCTGGGCGAAAGGTATCGGCGACCTGCCCAATCGATGGACCACTGTCGTGAATAACTGTGGGGATTATATTGTTGAATAGACTAGTTTTTTTCGATGAAGTTAAAAATTAAAATGGTGAAATTTTCGGACAAGAATTATTGGACAACCTGGTATAATTTTTAATTGATTTTTGTCTTCGAGCTGCTTCTCATCTCACTTGAACGAACTCCATTGACAGAGAAAGTTTGAGCACACGATTCATTTTTTTCTCTTTCACATTCGACGGCTTGAAACGCGACATTCCGAGACGCGGCGACTTGTTTCAGAGTTTCAATGATTCCTTTCGCTTCAGAATCGAATTTCACAGGAAAATATGTCAAGAAGTTCTGAAAATTTCCTCCAATGCCAAACATCCGCGATTTTCTTAAACTTCTCTCGGAAAAGGTAGTATTGGCTTCAGAAAAATCCATTGCCCATTCAAAAATTCGAAACTAGCAGCAAAATCAACTCTTCTGAACATATTCATAAGAAAAGTCATGAAATAGCGATTTCCAACCGTCTGTCTGGAGAAATATGTGACTGGACTACAGTTCCTTGAAAATGGCGCGTGTCAACAGGATCTCCAATATTCACTACGACAAGATTTTTCGTTGGCTCTGTAGGAAGCGTCCCATTCGTGAATTTGATCTAGAATTTCATTATTTCTCTGAAAACCAGTTCAAGTTCACAATTAAACAGGCATCCTCAGCATTTTCTGCGATTGGAGAGTGGGATTTTTCGAATAAACTCGTCCAATATTGATATTCCTCCGTTTTCACGACATGAATCTTCATCGGCGAATGGAGGGGACATTTACTGAAGGAAGATTCTTTGTTTGAAAGAGAAAATAAGCTCACCTGAAATCAATGAAATCTTCGATTGATTCGATGGAGGAAGGTACATCGATTCGAGCTTTTTCTTGTGTCAAAGGTCTTTTGAATTGGAAAAATACCAGGAAACACACAATAAAAACAATCAAGAGTGAGATGAACTTGCAAAAAGCAGCGTTTCTCATAAGAGAGAGCTTTTAAGGTTTTTGGAAATATCCAAGAAAACGTAAGGTTCTTGGAAGTCCCGCCTCGATCTCGAGGTACCTTTTGGGAGAAAACTAAGAAGGGAATACATTCATGACGATGGTTATCTGGTCAGTGGGATCTTTATTTAATGATATGCTAAATGAGGCCTTGTTCCCGGAATGGAGGACAAACCACGGATGATTGATTTCAATCAAAATCAAAATGTTTTATTTCTCACACACAAGTACTAAATTTCACGAAATAGATGTAGGGAGAATTTGGGAACATATGTGTCGGAACTTGTGGTGATGGAGGGAAGAGGACTCGCGGTCGTGTTAACCCCCCACTTGAGTAAATTGGAATAACCTTGAAGTTATTCTTTTTAAATGTCGATTATGTAGCTTTCATATTTTTGTTGGATCAAGAGTGTTTAGTTCTGTAATGTTGTTTTTCAAACCATTTCTCAAGTTTAGATCTGAACTTCTTTTTCATACTCAAATACTATGTTTCTATCCATATGATTCCAATGATTGAATACTCTTTGATTAATGAACCGGTAGTGTATGTCAGAAAGTAGAGGCCGCTCTATTTTTGAGGCCATTTCCTCGCAGTTGATTCGATCTACTTGTTGTATTTTTGTAAAGGGATTGGAGATGGGCACCAATAGTATCCGTAAATGAAATTGTGAGCAGCAGTTATGTCTTTCTTTAAACGTCTTTGCCAAAGGGTGTTTAGTCCAAGACGTTGAAGTCTTTCTTTGTAATTCATCTTAGGGAAAAGTCTTTTTGTGAATTTCCTTTGAACTGATTCCAATCTATCGATATCTGTTCTTGTTAAAGGACAGAAAAGTTCTGACCCATATTCAAGAACAGGTAAAATCTTCAACTTGTAGCAGTTCATGAAATTAGTGTGCGAGAAGGTAAAACATCTAAAAAGATTATTCACAATTTTCATGCATTTTTTTCACAATTACATTCACGTGACCATTCATTTTTTTAAATTAGAACTAAAATGTACTCCCAGATCTCTGATGAATATATCTGTTGGAATTTTTTTGAGCCATTTATTGTGTAAGAAGGGTTCTCAGTATTGGATTTACCATATCTGACATGTATACTCTTTGAACTCGATAGGACAAGCTGTCTATCTGCTAACCATTCATAAATAGAGTTTAAATCTTCCTGAAGCTTATGTTCGAAAATTTTTCTATCTTTGAGCTTATCATTAATTTACAATCGTCGGCATATGTTAATAGTTCGCTGTGTTTGACTACTTTATCGATATCATTGATGTAAAGAAGAAAAAATAAAGGACCCAAACAACTACCCTGTGGTACACCCGAAAGTACGGGAATTTCATCGGATAAAGCTTCATTTATGCGTACCATTTGGGTACGTCCAATGAGATAGCTCTGAAACCAGGAGAGTAGCCGACCATTGCAACCATAGGATTCCAGTAAGTTCAACATTCTGCGATGTGTTACGGAATCAAAGGCTTTACTTATGTCCAGATAAATTACGTCTACTATGGCTTTTTCATACACGTTTTGAATCAAATATTTTTGCTTTTGAAGCAATTGCGAAACGGTATTTCTGTTGTTCAAAAATCCGTATTGTGCTTTGGATATTATGTTTTTGTTCCAAAGATGATTTCTTAAACTTCTAACGATAATGGATTCGAGTACTCTGCATGGGACACATGTTAAACTGACAGGTCTGTAGTTTTTGAGGCTCACTAAGGCTTCCTTTCTTATATATAGGTCGAACTATTGATTTTTTCCATAAACTAGGCAAGCATGAGGTATCCAATGTTTTTTGGAATATCATTGATAAAGGTAGTGCCAAAGGGGCCGCTAGTTTTTTTGTATTATGATATTAGACAATTTATCCGGACCGGCAGAATGTAAAAGGTCTAAGCTTCTTCAAACATTCGTATACGATATATGGATCAACGTTTATTTCTTCCATACTTCCAACCGAGCTCGTATTATTTATGAATGGTCTCTCATCGTCTTTAGTAAAAACTGAGCAGAAAAAATCGTTAAAAGCCTGAGCTTTCTCATTATCATCGTTGGTGCATCCATTTTTAGTCTGTATGAAAGGCGGATCAACGAATATGGTGGTCTTATTTCTAATATAATTCCAGAACTTCTTGCTGTTTGGTCCTTTATCGATAGCTTTCTCTTCTTCTTTAATTCTAAAATCTTTGATAGCTTTCCGGTATTTCCACCAATTAGTTTTATAGGTCAATAAGTCTTCGGATTTATTCGATTTTTTTATATTTTTATGTAGGAATTTTTCAGAGTATCTCTTCAGTTTCATTATCTCGGATGGTAGATTAGACTTTTTGATAGTTTTTCTTGGGTATAAATTGATCAATTAGTGGCAAAGTTATATTCAAAAAAAGTGCTGTACATTTTGTCAGCTGTGTCACATGTACTGAAACGATAATTCCAATCAATCCAAGCCAATCTTTGTCCTAAAGATTCAAAGTTTGCCTCTGAATAATCATTTACAGTAAAAATGCCTTTCGATGTTAATTTTTGGATTATTTATGTTCACTTTGCAAGTGACTGTTGAGTGATCAGATAAAAGGCTTTTTCAATTTTTTTATATTTTTCCACCATATTTTTTTCTTAGACGTGAAAAATTAGATCCAAAAATATTGTTTCCACGAGTACTCATATTGATCATCTGATAATCTGATTTACTCCGATTTTCACGGCTCATTTTTTGACCGCAGACTTTTTTTTTTTTTTTTAAATATTTTCTTAGGAATACGATAGTGGTCCCTATAGGGGTTAGGGTGAGAAACAACCCCTAAAAGGACCGAAAAAGAGGTTCCTCTAGGGGTAAAATAAGGTGGTCTCTATAGGGTTTCAGGGTGACCCCTTGAAGTTCAAGTGAACTCTTTTCGGGGTCTTTCAGTTTCATTCAAAAAACGCTTATTTATTCAGTTTTCCCCATGGAAATGCTTCTTCGCTTTGATTTCATAACAAATATCGACTAACATGTCCCCTATAGGGGCCACTAACTAAAACCCCTGTAGGAGCTACATTAGCGGTTTTAGTAGCCCCTGTAGTGGGGAAAGGACCATAATGACTCTCGTAGTGACCATTTTTGCTCCCTCCGAGACGCGAAAGTTTTGCGAAGAACCATCAAACTTACCGAAGTAAACATTGAAAACTGATCCGTCTGAATAAATTGAAAAAAGCCATTATTTGAATATTAATTTCGTGAAAAACTGTTTCTGATTTGTTCTCTGTGATGTGTGAATAAAAACCAAAAACACTTAAGTTCAGAGTTTTGGTCAGCGCAACTCATGACGCTCATATTCATACTATTTATTTTAATCGTTCATTTTCTTATTTCTTATTTTTTCTCCGGCTAACTTTTTGAAGTTTGTTTTTCGCAGCTTTTTAGAGGATAGATTTTTTTTTTCATGAAACTACGATGAAATACATGTCAGATATGGTAAATCCAATACTGAGAACCCTTCTTACACAATAAATGGCTCAAAAATTCCAACAGATATATTCATCAGAGATCTGGGAGTACATTTTTAGTTCTAATTTAAAAAAATGAATGGTCACGTGAATGTAATTGTGAAAAAAATGCATGAAAATTGTGAATAATCTTTTTTAGATGTTTTACCTTCTCGCACACTAATTTCATGAACTGCTACAAGTTGAAGATTTTACCTGTTCTTGAATATGGGTCAGAACTTTTTCTGTCCTTTAACAAGAACAGATATCGATAGATTGGAATCAGTTCAAAGGAAATTCACAAAAAGACTTTTTCCCTAAGATGAATTACAAAGAAAGACTTCAACGTCTTGGACTAAACACCCTTTGGCAAAAGACGTTTAAAGAAAGACATAACTGCTGCTCACAATTTCATTTACGGATACTATTGGTGCCCATCTCCAATCCCTTTACAAAAATACAACAAGTAGATCGAATCAACTGCGAGGAAATGGCCTCAAAAATAGAGCGGCCTCTACTTTCTGACATACACTACCGGTTCATTAATCAAAGAGTATTCAATCATTGGAATCATATGGATAGAAACATAGTATTTGAGTATGAAAAAGAAGTTCAGATCTAAACTTGAGAAATGGTTTGAAAACAACATTACAGAACTAAACACTCTTGATCCAACAAAAAAATATGAAAGCTACATAATCGACATTTAAAAGAATAACTTCAAGGTTATTCCAATTTACTCAAGTGGGGGGTTAACACGACCGCGAGTCCTCTTCCCTCCATCACCACAAGTTCCGACACATATGTTCCCAAATTCTCCCTACATCTATTTCGTGAAATTTAGTACTTGTGTGTGAGAAATAAAACATTTTGATTTTGATTGAATATAACTCCTCAGAAAGACCCAAGTTTTTTTTTAGCTGAATAGTTGCTATCTAGCGGATAGCTCGCTTGGGTAAACCTATAACCGAAATCTATCGACAAAAATAATGACTCCATAACTCGAAAAATCAGTTTTTAAACAATATTCCAGACAAGGATGTGTTTCCCTTTTCAGAACTAGACTATTCTCTCAAAAACTTCCTGATAAATGTTCTTCCTCGTTTATCCAGCAGGACAAACAGATGCCATGTCCGTCTAGTAAATAAAAGCGTAAAATTCTTTCCTTTGTCTACTACTTTTTAATATGTCTGCTGGATTAGTTATTTTGATTATCTCATTTTTGATTGTGAGAACGACTGAAGGTATTTTTTTCTATGGTCAAATTAGGTTAGGAAAAAAATTTAGAGTCGGTTTTTTTAATCTGAATATAAAACTATATAAAATTATTTTATAGCATATATAACTAAGTGATTGATATACGACTTTGAGGGTAGTACTAAAATTTTCGGCCATACTGAAATTTTTTTATAACTTTTTTTCTTATGAAATTTTTGGTTTGTTTTTTCTTGCGAGTTGATTTTGAAAGTCTGAAAAGACTTCAAAAAAATGCTAAAAAAATCGTCAAAAAGACTTTTTTTGTACATTCTCCTTCCTTAAAAATGTAGTATTAGGCTAGTAAAAAAAAAGAAACGCTCCTCAAAAAAAAAGGGGCGTGGCCTTACAGTAACTGAAAACATGTTCAAAAATACTTCATCCTAAAAAATATACACTAATTTTCATACTGAAAATACCGATTCGCCTTGAAAAACAACTTCCCAATCAAGATATTTCAGGAAAACCTTGTGAGAATTCTCCCGGAGTTCCCTGTTTCCATTTAAAACAATTCTGTCATGCTCCAGGTTACGTGGATTACTTGAAAGAGTGAGTTCGAGTCAAAATTTCTTATTCCGAAAATTTCAGAAACTGCGCTCCATCCTGTGGCTACTGTAAACCGTCAGTAATAATAAAAGAAATGAATTAAAATAATGAAAAATACGTGTACTTTAACCAACTTTTCACAATAAATCTTTTTACACAGTTCTGTAACACTTATCCATCTGCTCGGGCATGTTGAAGAGCATGGAGACGGCTTGGAATTGCGTGTACCTGTGAAAAAAAATGCCGGGTCAAGAAGCGAAATTGACTGTTACTTCAAAGGATCATATCCAAACATGCTGGTGAAGACCTCGATACATTTGCTCCTCACATAATAATGGCCGGATTTTGCTGACAAACTCTTCTTCTTCATTTTACCTTCGGGCATCCTGGAAAAAAAAATGAATCAAGATTTATGGGAAGAACGGACTTGAAACTGTAGAAAAGGGTGGTTTTGATGGGCGGTTTTTTGGTTAAATGAGCGATTAGGAAGTTCATGGCGATGTCTTCACAGTTCATTGTCGCGTCGACGTGTTCACGGACACTAGGATCCATTTGGTAGGTGTACGCTTCGAGGTAGGACTGGAAACTTGAAAATTCAAATCGGAAGGAATATAGTTTTATAATTTCCTTTGAGGGAACTCCTTCAAAAATTCGCTTTTCTCTGTTCTCACAGAGCTTCTCTCTCTATAGTCCGTTTTTTGCGACTTGAAAGGGCGGAACTTCTCTGCGCCCTCCTCGTCTCTGCAGGTCTCTCTCATGTTGACGCTCTATATTCGCGTTTCTCTGACCTCGCCGGTGAGGGAACAGAGAGACGCAGACACGCGAAAACTGTCAATTCGCGGCGGACGGACTATACAGAAAAATGCCTTTTGACTGTATCGCGAGTTCTGTTCCGAAAGATAACCATTCAATTTAGAATTTAAGAAAAGGAAAACGTTAATAATTAATCGATTCGGGTCGATTGAAACCCAAAAAAGTGTGGTCAGGTCTGTACAAACAGATCGAAGCCTTCAGAAAATATATTTAAACAATAGAACTACATATGGGCCGAAAAAAAATATATCTCAAATCACTTCTAAGATCACCTTATGCAAGAAAGCTGAAGTAGGCAGGATGAGGCTGAATTGACACGGCCCCGAAGGCGAATAAGTGGGATAGCCTTGGCTGTAGTCCGTAGTCCGGTGGACAAGACCCACGAGCTGGTCTCGATTTTCGCGCCAGATTCTAAGGAAAAAAAAAATCGAAATCCAAGGGCGATCTGAGCTTTAAAAAAATTCAAAAGGTCACATTTTACAAAAAAATAAATGAAATTTTTCGTGATAAAATTGAGATGGGTGTATTTGAAAATGATTCTACTGGTTTAATTGAACAATGGAAACAAAAAAGCCAATAAATCTGTAAGATATTGATTGAAAATTCTACTCGTGAATTCGAAAGTCCTCTCTCTTGTGAGATCATATCTTAAAATTCATTACATCCCTTTTTGATTTTCTATTTTTCCCTAGTTTGTCTCAAGTCCATCGTACCGGAAGGAGAAAAGGACCATCTCGTGGCTCAAAACGATGTCGTCGTCCAAGGAGAGCACGGCCTCCGTTTTGATATTGTCGAAGGGAATGAACCTCGAGTTCAAACTGTCCGGAGCGGAAACGAATCTGAAAAAGGCCTTTTTCATAGAAGAGCCGAAGGTTCAAACTCGATGGGAACTTGGATCTGAGGCCAATTTCTGGGCGGACTTCTCTTTTCGTTGCACCACACGACAACGATCTGAAACCATGAGGCGGAATATTCCTCCATTCTGAAAACCTTGTTCAGATAGGCGATTTTGTGGAAACTTTTCAGGGTCGAGTTGAGCATCTCGTCCCGGTCAAAAGTCGTTATCACAACTGAAAACCCGACTTTTTCGATAACCATTTTCCTTTTCGACTTGTAAATTGCTCAGTTGGTTGATTTCCTCCCAGATACCGATGAAACTGTCTGGCCGTGTCGGCTCTACTTAATGCTAGAAAAAGGGAAGGTGAGAGTATTTTTAAAAAATTAAACCGTGCCGAGATTCATTAAACATTTGAACGTTGCCCGGTGGCTCAGCAGAATTGATTATAAATTCTGGCGTAATAAAAGGAGTGAATGCGTTGTTCCACAAGTCATGAGCATACTAAATATTATTTTATTGGCTTTATTTCCGAAAAAATCGAAAACAGAAGTACCAAATTCAGAGACGTGAAGTTGTGATCGTACCGAGTTGAATCAATCGGCTCGTGATCCGTCGGCATTCCTTCAAAAGTCTCAAGACCATAAAACATCATTTGTGTCGGAAAATAACGAGTAGTTGGACTTCTGAACTTACCCTGCATATCAGTTTCGAGCGGTCCATCGTGAGGAAAGGAATCTGGAGCTACAAAAGAATCGCCGAATAGAGGCTTGGCAACATGCTAAAACATTTTCCATTTCAAAATGAATTATTATAAAGTTCCACCAATTTATCAGGAGAATCACTTCCTAACTGAAGTCGGTACCTTAAACCAGCCAACAAAGTCTTTGCGAAAACTGAAATTTTCGGTTTTAGATGCATTTCACTAAAAAGTCACAGTAACCCGTCTCTTTCCCGAGGTAATTCGTGTAAATAGCCCGGCCGCGTTTTCTCATTTCGATGATATCGAGCCATTGAACTGATTGAAGTACTGGGATGATTTCAGGAAGTCTTTGGCTGGGAAATCGGAAAACAGCCTGCCGCCAGTCGATCAAATCTAATTTCTTTTTGAAATAAATTCGCTTGAGAATGATATTTTCCACCTTCAAAAGGCAGTACAGCAGAAGTAGATAATAGCACAGGAACACAGCCGGAAGAAATGGATTTGTAAAGTAAATTGATAATTTGCGGAGAATCTTCGATCAAACAGAATAAAGACTCCGTCAGAGAGTTGTCTGAAACCGAACTAATGGAACAGGAGAATATTATAATTTTAATTGATTTTTCTGTCTTCAAGCTGTTCTCATCTCACTTGAACGAACTCCATTGACAGAAAAAGTTTGAGCACACGATTCATTTTTCTCTTTACATTCGACGGCTTGAAACGCGACATTCCGAGAAGCGGCGACTTGTTTCAGAGTTTCAATGATTCCTTTCGTTTCAGAGTCAAATTTTGCAGGAAAATACGTCAAGAAGTTCTGAAAATTTCCTCCAATGCCAAATATCCGCGATTTTCTTGAACTTCTCTCGGAAAAGGTAGTAGTGGCTTCAGAAAAATCCATTGTCCATTTAAAAACTCGAAACTAGCAGCAAAATCAACACTTCTGAACATATTTATAAGTAACATCAAGGAAAAAGCGATTTCCAACCGTCTGGCCGGAGAAATATGTGACTGGACTACAGTCCCTTGAAAATGACGCGTGTCAACGGAATCTCCAATATTCACTACGACAAGATTTTTTGTTGGCTCTTTAGGAAGCGTCCCATTCGTGAATTTGATCTAGAAATACATTAGTACACTGAAAACCAGTTCAAATTCACAATTAAACAAGCATCCTCAGCATTTTTTGCAATCGGAGAATGGGACTTTTCGAATAAACTCGTCCAATATTGATATTCCTCCGTTTTCACGACATGAATCTTCATCGGCGAATGGAGGGGACATTTACTGAAGGGAGATACAATGTTCGGTTTTAAAGAGAATAAACTAACCTGTAATCAATAAAATCTTCGATTGATTCGATGAAGGAAGGCTCAGCAAATCGGACATTTCGCTGAGCCGGAGGCAATCTTTCAACATGGAAAAAGATGAGAAATGACAGAATACAAAGGTTGAATAACAAAACAAAATTCCAACACATGAAGCTGGTCATATTTCCGTACAACAGTAGTAATTAAATGAACTTGAGACAAGAGAAGCGAGAAATTCCGACGCCCAACATGATGCAGCTGGATAAACAGAGAGCTTGACTATATCCATGTTAAAATAGACCTTTTTGGTTGCAAAAAATTTGGGGGAGAGTTTCTAGTAATTAAAATGGAGTTGAAAGTTCTTCATAGAAAAATCCAGTCAGTAATTTTCACGATCGGCCTCCACCGTAAACGAAACGAACAGGAATACGTAGAATCTTCATCATTTCAAAAATTTCATACAATTAAAATAAATCAAACAGTTTTAAAACATCTGTTGAGCACCGGGTGTTCGCTGAACATGACTGAAACGGCTTGGAACTGGGAATATCTGAAAAATATTAGGAATCAATTATATTCAGAATGAAAACTCACTTCAAGGGGTTGTATCCATATAATTTGATGAATAAATGGACGCACTCGTTTCTGACCGGATAATGACTTGGTTTAAGTCCCAAGTTCGTCTTCACAACCTTTCCTTTGGGTTTGCTGAAATTTTTACTTTTTCCTTTACAATACCTGTAAAAAATTCAAATAAAAAAAACTGTTCATTGATCTTTGCACAGGAAAAAGATAACCGGAGTTGCTGAAACATTTAAAAATACCTAAATTCGCTCTGCGGGGTCGCTTTGATCGGAGGCTTCCCTGATAAGTGAGCAATCAGAAAGTTCATTGCCAAATCCTCGCAATTCATCGTATCGTCCACGTGTTTTCCGTATGGCGGGATCCATGTGGTACGTATACGCTTCCATGTAACTCTCAAAAAGATACAAATTAGAGATATTCAAGTTAATTCAATAAGGTAAGTTTTGAACTGCAAATAATCAAGAAACCATAAAGCCCAGGACCGAAATAAACCTAATACTTTTCAACTGTGTAAAAAAATTATCATCGAAAATCTTCAATTTAAGCAAATTTAAGCATGTGGTTCCTTTCATTTTCCAGACGACCCTTCTCTTTATGAAAAATAAACATAATTCGATTTTTAAAACAAGAAAAAAACCATTTTCAAAATTGTTAACCTTATGCAGAAACGAAGAAGTTGGCAATATGACATTGTACTGACAAACGCCTCCGTGAGGATAAATAATATTCTCGTATCCGTTCACCCGATGGACGACACCAACAAGTTGATCTCGGTGCTGTCGCCAAACTCTAGATTTTTCAAAAATTAGAAAATAATTCATAGATTAACCTAAAGGAGAATAAAATCATTTCGTGTGTCAGGAAAATGTCGTCATCCAGCGATAGAACAGCTTCCGTTTTAATATTGTCGAAGGGAATAAACCTCGAGTTCAAGCTGTCAGGAGCGGCCACGAACCTGGAGACAATTTTTTTGAAAGCCGAAGTTTTCTTGAGAAAACTTTAAATTATTACAAAGTGGTACCTATTCGGGCTCGGGTACTCGTATGAATTTGAAACTACGGTGGCTTGTAGACTTAGAAACAATATAGATATCTGCTAAACCACATAGGCTTCTGAGAAAAAGCTTCTCGAAGAAATCGAGGAATAATCTGCCTCTCTCACCGAGGTTGCCTGGCACTGTCGCGAAAGCGATCTTTTTTCTTTTCCCAAAATTGTCAATTTGTTCCCATAAAATATTTATTGTGTGGGTGGTTTTAATATCTTTCTGGGAAACGTGGGAGTTTTCGTTCTATAAAAGGGAAGAAGCAAAAAAACTGTTTTTTTCGACTTTCGTTTAGTCTCGACTTTTTGTAAAGTGAATAAACAGTTTTTTTGGCTTCTTCCTAGTCTATAGAACGAAAACTCCCACGTTTCCCAGAAAGATATTAAAACCACCCACACAATAAATATTTTATGGGAACAAATTGACAATTTTTGGGAAAAAGAAAAAAAGATCGCTTTTCGCGACAGGCACAGTGGTTAGAGGGCCATTCTCAGGTTCGACTTTTTTTTGAGTAGGTTCGATTCCTGTTGAGGGAAAATCTTTTTTGCATTTTTCCAACAGACAGAAAACTTTTTAAAAGTCATAAAATTGAGAAAATTTATCTTGGTTTAGATGCTTCTCAAAAAGTAATTGAACGAGTGAATGAAAGTCACTTCCAGTATAACTACGATCTCTGCCGGTGTTGTTCCCTAGATTTAGAAAACATTTTTTCCTGAATTCCTTCGGAAATAAGAAACTATATTGATAAAACTTCCAAATCTCTTCGAATTTCGTACTTTTATAAAGGATTCTTCCTCGATTACTACGAGAAGCTTTTTCTCAAAAGCCTATGAGGTTTAGCAAATTATCTCTCTTGTTTCTAAAAGCTCTTAGGTATATAAATCACCGTAGTTTCAACTTGCTACACGTACCCGAGCCCGAGCAGTTCCCTAGTGAGTTTGTGGAGTAATTATCAAAGATTTGTTTTGTAAAGCATAATGATTTCTTCATTCTTCAAAAAGCATAGAAAAAGCTGAGGCAGCTTGTTTTTCTATTCTCCTGAAACTACCAACTCGATAGGGACATGAATTTCGGGCCAGACTCTAGGCGGCTTACGCTTCGTATCACACCATACAACGACGACCTGAAAGTTACAATTTCAAATAATAATTGCATGTTTTTCTTGACTTTATTGAGGTAGGCAAGGTTGTCGAAGCTCTGCAACGAGTTGTTCAGCAGCTCGTCACGGTTGAAAGTGTTCAAGACAACTGAAAACTGTAGATTTTCCGCTTTAAAAAGTCCAAGTAAACTTGTGAATTGCTCGGTTGGCTGATTTCCACCTAAAAATTGATGAAACTGGGGCGGGGTGTCGGCTCGCATGATTTCTGAAGAAATTTGAACTGAAAATTGTGGAAAAGGTAACCTTCCGACGTGTCGCTATGAATCATGATGTCGTTGGGAGGATCCGCAGCATTTAGAATATATTCTGGAGTTGTGAACGGCATCAGGTCGACGTTCCACAGTTCATAGGCGTACTGAACCTTGTTCAATAGTTTATACTATGACAGGAAGAAAAACTAAGTTAAGAGAAGTCAAATTGTGGTTATAAGGCGGAGAATTGGAAGGTAGCAAGTCTTTCGGAAGTCCTGAAAATTGAGAAAGTTAGAGGAGAAGAATAAAAACGGAAAAATTTTGAGATTAAACTTTTATGAACATCTTTTTTAGAATTTCATACGAAAAAGGATGAGCCGGGAAATGGCGAGCCCTCATTCGAACCTGCTTCTTTTCGAACCAAAAATAGCTCTTTTGGAACTAAAAAATAGCTCTTTTCAAACCAAGAATGGCTCTTTTCGAACCAAAAACAGCTCTTTTCGAACCAAAAACAGCTTTTTTCGAACCAAAAACAGCTCTTTTGAACCAAAAACGGCTCTCTAGGAACCAAAAGATAGCTCTTTCCGAACCAAGAATAGCTTTTTTCGAACCAAAAACGGCTCTTTATGAGCCAAAAAATAGCTCTTTCCGAACCAGAAATGGCTCTTTCCGCACCAAAATCTAATTTCTCTCTAAAAACTATCCGTCGTTCTGTACATCATTTCCTTAGCCGTTCGCGTTGGGAACAGGATTTTCGCTTTCCAACTTTTTTGCCAGATTAAGATTTCAAACTTCTGTCTAGAATCGTATTTTTTTTCCCATTTATTCAGTCAATTTAATTTAGAGCTGCAGAGGAAATAATCCGACTTTTCTCTTCGCTAATGCTTCATTTTCTTAGGCCTTTTGTATAACTGATTACGGCTGGCTTGAGCTTTGAAAAATGGGTCCTGACACGGTAAAGGAAGATATAGTGCTCGGTTGGGGTAGAGCGCAGACAGGCCACGCCTCCTCAGGGTCGCAAGTTGACCGCGAATCGGCTATATACTGGAAGTTCTGGATGGTTTTTGAGGGAATATTATAATTTGGTTTTGAAAAAGTCATTTTTGGTTCAAAAGATGGTAGGAAGAAAAACTTTTCGGTTCGGAATGAGACATGTTTGGTTGGATGAGGCTAGGTTCGGATTCGGAAAGAGACTGGTTCGAATGCGGGATCTCGAAAATTTCTTTAAAAAACCGAAGAGTTCTCACAATTTTACAACAGAAATGGAAACCTGAAAACACCTCAAATAACATGAAAATTACAAAAAATTGAAATTTTTAACAGTATAGTTTTTATCGAAGCATATAAGGAGGTCCAATGAAAAAAGGACCCTTGATAGTGAGATTAGGCGCCGGCATCGGAGGGAAAGGTTCTGGAGCCGTGAAAGAAACCTCCGTCGAAAAGTGGCTTGGCGTGGTGCTGAAAATTGTTCAAGGTGTTATTTCAAAAAATAATTCAACGGACCAAAACTTCCGATGTTTCTGCCGTCATTTGTAAGCGGAAGCGGAGAGCTCCAAGGATTGTCTTGGCAAGGACTGGAAAAAAAAATTGGGATTGACTTCAAGGAGCTTTGAAAAATCATATCTAGGCTCAAAAAAATTTTTTGAAGAAAAATATTCAATTACCAGTGAGACAGGATCTACATACCCTCCAAAAAGAGCTCACTCGGAGACAGTTTCGACTTTGAAAGCTCCTAACTTTTTTTTACAAGCCTTGAGGGAAAGTTTTGAGCACAGATTCGGAATCAACGTGAAAAACTATATCTAGTGAGCCTAGTTTCATTCAGAAGTGAGCTGATAAAATTCCCTGGTGTGTCAGATTTTTCTTTTCAAGTTTCTCAACTCTCTCTTTTTCATTGTCTTTTTTTCATCAAGCCTGACTACACCTTTTTGGCTACCGATGTAAGCTCTATAAAGTGCTCGACCGCGTTTTCTCATCTCCAGGTGATCAATCCAAGAGACTGAACGGAGCGTAGGAATAAGGCTGCTAGTTCTTTGGGTAGGAAGTCGGAAAACTGCCTTTTGCCAGTCGATTCGGTCTAAAATAATCATAATCAAGTGAGTTTCCTATCAAACTACCTTCAAAGGGAAGAATTACGGATGTAGAGAGAATAACTGGCACACAGCCAGCTCGTAAAGCTTTGTTGAAATATTTCATCATTTCAGGCGTATCGGAAAGAACACAAGAACATACTTTCCGCCAATCGAGTGTCTGGAATCTCATCTTAAATGCGACCTCTTTTGATTTTTCAAACCATTAATAGAATTTTCTTCTGAGCAATCCTTATGAGGTTGACCTCCAAGCCGACAATCTACGAAACTTATATTGAGATCAGAAATTGGAAAATGTTTTGATTTTCGCAAAAACTTCATCGGCATTGTAATCATTCTTCGTAGCAATGTAGGACAAGAAAAACTGAAAACAAGATTTTAAAAAAAATACCCAACAGAAAAAAACAGACCGATCTTTTATAAGGCAAAAGATGAGCCAGTTGAGTATTTTCAACTACCTCAGGTAGGTCGAGTTCCGCCGCAATATCAATGAACCTATAAGCTTTTGAACTTGAAAAAAAATGAAAAAGTCTTCGAAAAACCTGCGACTTTGTTGAACATAACTCTGGATAACGATCGCCTTGTAATCTTCAGAAGTTACCGCGTCTCCAACGTTGATTACTACAGTGTTTTGCCATAGCGCGTTAGACAGAACAGGTAAAAAAACCTTTTGAAAAAGTTATCTGAAAAAAACCAAATCAAAGAAGTTAGAGTGGAAAACAAGATAATAAATAAAGCTTAAATCAGAAAACCTCGTTTCTGAATTACTTAGAAAGAAGTCTTCTGATTTTTAAAAATATGAATCTTCTCCTTGAAGCTGATGCCGTGTTCAAAGTAATTTCCGCGAAATGCAAAATGGTCTCTGACCCTCCAAAAATTTAGTTATCTTTCTCTTTCTCTGACGGCTATTTTTGAATTTCGCGGAAATTACTTTGAACACGGCATGAGCATTAAAGGCGTCTTTGATATTACAAACTGGTTAAACTCCGCACAGAAACAAAAAAAGAAAGAAAGAAAAATATATATTTTTTCTCATTTTGCGCGTATCGACGGTGTCTGCGACCAAAACCTCAGAAGTTTCAACTACCGTGTAAAAAATTCTTTTTTCTTGATTTCCGAAGGAAAGTTTTGAACTTTTGCACCAGTCTTCTTAGAAAAACGGAAAGTTTTGATTCTGGCTCACAGTAAGACACGCAATTTTCAGGACTAGAAGATATTTTCGCGTGTGCGGCTCGAAAATAATTAGCCCAGGTTTCAAATCCAGGCACTTCTTCAATGTAAACACTCAATGGAGAATCAAATGGACAGCTCCTGGAAAACATTATTATTTTTTTAATTGGTCATTGAACTCACGTATAATCAATGACATCGTCGAGAACTTTCCAAGTAGAAGATTTTTGGGTAGGAAAAACTTTCGAATAAGCCTTTGCAGGTATGCTAGAGGGAAAGTTTGGGCTCTTTAGCATGAAAAACGAGAAGAAAGCCACAAAAATGAAAGAGAGGGCGATTTTGCTCGCGTGATGTCGCATTTTTTTGGATCGCTTTACTGCTCTGGAAGTAAATCTACTTTTTAAATTGAGAGGAAAACTAATGACTTCTCTCATGCCAGTAATGGAGGTTGTAGCGGATGGAGAAAGGTGGAAATCGGTGAATTTGTTTTTTTGGAATAGAAAAAGAAAAAGCTGAAATAGGTGTTACGAATCAACGATACACTTTGACCATTTAGATATATTTATTCAGGAGATCCTCGTAGTCATTTTAGCACCACCACTTGCATTTCGCGCTTGTCTGAGTAAATATTCAGCTGATGAAAAATCGAAATTTTCCAAGCTTGCTAGGAAAATTTTCCATGATTATTCTGTACTTGAGGGCTTCATTTATGTTTGTCTTTCAAGATAAAAATCATCGAATAAATTTTTATTGGAAGATTTAGTAAAAATCAGTAAGCCCTATAGAATTTCTGCAGGTATTTTCCATTTCCAGCCACTTCCCTCGTCGGTCCGAGAAACATGTCCTTCCAGTAGGATTTGAAGACTTTCGAGAGTCCGAATTTCTTGTAGGCCAGCCGAGTCTCAGCTTTTCGTAAAAGTTCTGCTGAGATCTGAAAAGTTATATATTTTTTTTGTGATACTTCGTTCAGTATAAGAAGTCACATATGATCCTTCTTCAACAACCAAAATTTGAAGTGTATCAATCGCTTTTTGAAAGAGATCGTATTTAAAGAACTATTATTTGGTAAGTCACTGGTTGATACACTTATTTTTAACTGAACCTCACGAATTTCTCTTTATCTTACTGAAATTCGAGCTAAGGGCCTAAATAAATTTAAGGAACGTTGAAATTTTCAGGGAAAACGAAAGCATATAAGATTGACCTTAAAAAAAAGAAACTTTTCATCTCAAATTCTAGAAAATTGAAATTATTTTATTTCTAAAGTGCAAGTCATCAAGTCTCTGAAAAAAATTTTTCAAAAACTTTTTCGATTGAGCATTTTTAGAGCTTTGTATGAAATAAAATGATAAAATTAACTCTTTTTGATCCTCAATTTTTCATTGAAACCTCATCAAAGCTGTCAACAATCAGAATACGTTCGTTCTCAAAAATCGCGTCGATGGGGCTTTTTTCGACGATCGGAATGGCGCCCATTATGATCGCTTCCCATCTGAATGAACTTTTCAAAGTTTCCAAAGCTGCTAAAAATTTAAAGGGACACAGGAATGATTTATAAAGGTTTTAGGACGAAAAATCTCTTTATTGAGATGTAAGGGAAGCACAAGTCCTGCTACTGTTATAATTAGTTCAAATTCGTTCAAGCTCCGCCCCCAATGACCCTATAAACGAATCAGAGAGTGAGCCATCCAGAGATCTTTCGAATGACGTCACTTTATTCAAAAAAACTTTATTAACAGACTATATTCTTGAAAAAAGCAACGGGTTGTGCATGGACTATGAAACTTCAAACTGACGTCCGATAACAGTCGTAACCGGACCCACGGGGAGAAAGGACGAATTTCGAGTCAGCCATGTCTTCCAAATATTCCTTGAAAGTCCGATCGCGGTTTCTGAATTGATGCAATGTTTTTCGATGACTTAAGAGGGATTTAAAGGCGCAGGGCGGTTCGTTTCGAGACAAGTTTCTATCGGAAAGGAGTCAGGCGATTTTTCTCTTTGAAGACCGTTTTTTTGCTTTTATGAATATACTGAGCCCCATAAGGTTCTGATAATGAGTCATTCTATAATTTCCCTCGAAGTTTTAACTCTCCAAACCTGCAAACTGTCTTGAAAGACGTGGAATTGCACAAATCAAACAGTCCGAATCGGCTCTTGTGGGAGCTCTTCCCAATGTTTATGTACAAATCAATCGATCGATCCGAAAACTTTCTAAAAAGATCCTTTTTCCGATTTAGAAAAACTAGATGAATAACTATAAGAAATTTGCAACAGATTCTCGGCCATTGGTAACGAGAAACGGACGTTTCTGCGCAGTTCTAGTGACCACTTTAGTAGCGTCAGCCCTCTTTAGTGATCCCTAGAAGGGCTCAAAAACGTGTGGAGCACTTCCGGTTTTCATTACCGAGGTCAAATTAAGGAGGTAAACAAAAATAGTTAGCCGTAGAGCGCACTTCAGCGTGTCGTTTTTTCGGCTGTTTTTGGGCCCTGATTCTTTAATAAAAAACCAACTTTTGCCGTCGAGCCGCGTCAATCACGATCTTCTGCTTCATCGCGTTATCCTCAGTCAGCCCGATAGCTAAAGGGACCAGTTTTGGGTGAGCCGAAGTGTTGGCGTTTTTCGCGAACCATCGCACAAGGTTCGGGTCACTTAAAGGACTTCTTACCGTGGAACAGAAAAGTTTTTGAACTTCAACAAGTAGTCATAGACTCCGGGCGCAGTGTGGTACATCAGATGGGTGATAAGAAAGTAGGGTTTGTTATTCTTTTTCTGGAACGCTTCAACTCGGAAGACGTGATCGAAATCCAGGTAGATGATGTCGAAAGCTCCCATATTTGGTTTCTACAAATCCAACTTCTTCGAAAAAAAAAAGCTGGAAAGAATGAACTACAAAACGTTGTCAAAGTCGGAATGGCGGAAAACGGCCGCTAAAAGGGTTCCGTTTTGGGGCCTTTATTGAGCCTTTCCTTCTTGGTGAGCTAAAAAACCTCACAAAGGGGTGACAAAAGAGTGAAGAAAGTCTCGGTCATTTCCGATTTTATTACTGTAGCACATTTTGGTTCATACACCGTCACTGGTAAAGATTATTCTCAATTTAAAAAATTTCTCAGAAAGGTCCAAAAAGGGTCGAATACGGTCAATGAAAGGGCGGAAAAAGGCAGTAAGAAGGAAACCGTTTAGAGACAATTTATGGAAACCTTTTGAACCCAAAACGGACACTCAAAGAGCCCATAAAGGGTCCTTGCCTATGAATTTCAGAATCAACTAACGTCAAAAAACTGATAGCCATGATATTTGGAAAAATTCTGCAAGTTTCCCAAACTTTCGAAAAATACACTGGAGATGAATGGGGAGCTCAGTCCAGCGGCTGTCGTTTCCTGCTCGATATAGTACAAAATGTCCTGTTGAGAAAATATAGAAATATTTTGAATTTAGATATTTTCCACCTTGTCTATCTGTGTTTGAATCATGTGTAGTTTCCATTGAAGTAGGAGAAAAATCAGGATCGACGATAAAGAAAGAATGAAAAGAGGTCTCTGAAAAAGATCGAACGGGTTTTATGGACTGAAAATGAAAGAAACCTTTTTGTGCATTTTTTCCGATACAACTTCCGACCTCTAGTACTGAGAAAGATGTTCATAGCGGCTGAATAAACAGTGAGAATCGATGTTTCCATGTTTAACCTTTGAAAATCCTATCGATTCGAGTGTCAGCTCAAAGTTCTGATCTTTCGATTTTGAGCCAGAATTAACTACTGGACTTCACTGAAAATAATAAAAGTACAAAGGATAGAAGCTTTTTTGGACCTTGAGCCTTTCAACATCGGATATTTTAGCGTAGGGTTCAGAATTCTCTATAAATGTGCTCAAACAATCCTTGACGGACTGGGAGTCGATTCCACATAGTCACTATTCGATATTCTCATCAGAAGTCTTGAAAAAAAAATGGCAAAAAAAAGTATACGGCAAAAGGAATCGAACCTTCGTCATGGGCTTCGTAGGCTAACACGCTAGCCACTGCACCACGCTCCTAGCTGCCGTGCAACGGTTGGTGGCGCGGATAGATTCCTTCCAAACGGAGTCACATGGTTAAGGATAAAAACTTTGAAGAATCATATCTTCAAAACTAGAAGTTTGCGCAGATAGCAACTATAAGGGATCGGCTCCTAGTCCATCAAACATTGTTTCAGAAAATTTATAGGAAGTTCCAAACCCTACGCAAAAATGACCTTCAATTTTAATTCAGCCTATTTATTTCTTCATAAAATTTTTTGACTGTGTCGTTGAAAATTCGAAGAACCTCTTCCTCATCAAAGAACAGAATATTCAGAAGCTCCAAAGTACATCTACCAAACTTGCACTGGAGTATGAATCCAAGTGAAAAATTGTTAGTTTGCGATGGGGCGCAAATAGATCATGCGGAATGGCCTCTTGCGGCATCAACAACCACGCGGGTCCAACCGAACAACAACAACCGGTTGAAGTGAGGGGGAAGAGAAACAGAGACAGCTGCCCTCCCAAAGATTTCATCCGACTTCTTCCTACTTTTTTTTTCCGAATTCCATTTGCGTCACGTAGGCTTTCAGGAGCTAAGCTCAAAATCCGGCTTTCTATTTTTGTTTCCCACCTTGTAATTTCGTCAAATCCTAAGCAGAAAGTCCTTCTTTTAGTTTTTTGTCCGTGGAGCGCACAATGAGCTCATTTTAAGGCCGTTGAAAGTTATAAACTTTTTTTTGAATTTATAACGGCCTTTCCTAGTTTGCCAGAGCCGCAAGAAGAGCCAATTAAAGTGGGTATTTCCATATGCCGTGCTCAAATTGATTTGGGCGGTCTCGAAATTGACCGTTTGAAACAAAAGCGCGAAATTGGAATTTTAGCCTTTGAAAAACGGGGTCCAACTTAGTGATACTTATAGGGTTATAGGGATAAACTATAGGGACAGAAAAAGTGCTCCCTATAGGGGTGAAATCAAGGTGGTCCCTATAGGGGTTCAGATTATGACTTCTCAACCTCTAAAGCTTGAGGGGTGTTTCAATTTTTTTCAAAAACGCTCATTTGTTTAGTTTTTCACATAGAGTTCATAATAAGTACAGACTAGCATGACCCCTATAGGGACCACTTTTTCAAGCGTTAGGGGTCCCTGTAGGGGTCACTAAAGTAGTTTTCTAAAAGGGACCTTAAGATTGCCCCTATAGGGATCACTCTGTCAGTTCCTGAATACAATGAGCGAATTTTACACGCTAGTCGAACACTTTGAGTGGAAAAATAACTCTGAAATTTTTGATTTAGCGCTTTAAAATCGCCATCTTATCTCTTAAAGGCTACCAAAATTCCAATGGTGCATTTTTCAAGCAATAATTTTGAACACGTCAATTTTCAAGTTGAACATGGCATTAGAGCGCGCTTGAAGGCCTTTAAAAAACTTTTGGAAAATGTTTCTCGACTTTTTGGGCTTTTTGAACTTGATATTCATTTCTCCTTTTTTTTTCCCCCAAAATTTCCTTTTTAATTTTTAAAATATTTCATCTCTCTGATGTAATCGAATCTACTCTCAGCTTTCAGATTAAGCTCAAAAATTAGATTTTTAGGTCATTTTCATTCTTGCGAGGTTGACCACCTTCTAATTTTTCTATACGACATCGAACCCTCAAAGCAAGTTTCTTTTTGCCGCCCTTTTCAAGGAGCATCCAATGGATCCCTAATTAAAAATGTCTGTCTCCATGGAGCGCACCTGAATAGCACCTAGGCAGCTGTTTTATGATCTTAGACTTTTTTCCAAAGTTCTTTGCGGTGTAAAGTTCTGTCTTGAGGTCAACGGATAATTGAGCAGTTGCGTTCCCAACAAACGAAACTTTGTTTTGGATGAAACTGATCTTCCAGTTCGTCAGTACTCTTATTTCGATGCCGAGACATGAAAATACTTGTTATCATTGTCTTATCATTTGACCTCTTGCTATGGAGCCCTCGTTTTCTTTTTTATTTGGACAGAAGTGAAAAAAGAAACCCTTTCACATGGGCAAAGTCGGAAAGGGTGGAAAAAGGCTCCATAGAAGTTTTCTTTTTTGCTGCCTTTTTGCACCATTTTATCGGCTGTTATGCACCATTTTTGCTGCCTCTCCCTTTTTCCACCATTTCTTGAGCCTTTAAAATCCCAGAAAAAATAAAAGACTCGATAAAGGGACCCTTCTTCCTGCCTTTTTGCTGCTTTTTTGCGGCCTTTTTGGAGCCTTTCTGCGGTCTTTTTGCTGCCTTTTTCGGCCTCTATTATCCACCGATCCGACTTTGCCCGAGTAACTTTTTTTTAGCTCTATCTCTCGTCTAATTCATTCCAAACTTTATGCATGTACATATCCATTACCCATTATCGCTTCTCTCTCATCCCCCCTCTCCCTAAAAAAATATATATAGCTCCATTACAACTTTTGCCTTGGCGAGAAAATTTAAAAGTAACGAATTTCAGCCAAAAAAGTCATTTTTTTTTCGGAGAAGCAAAGGGCAAAACAATGCAATTCTGAGCATGACGAAGTGAAATGTTCATTGGCCTCCTAGATGGGCAGAAAGCGAAAAAAAAATAGTTGTTTACGCGCATTTTTCTCGTTGCCGAGTTCTCCGATTCGTCCGCTTTCGCTCGCGTTTTCCATGTTTCCTCCGTACTTTTTATCTCTCGCATTCCCTTTTGTTGTGATTTCTTTATCAAGGAAAGCGACTAAGAGTCCGTAGTTTTTTGTTCTAGATTTGAGTCATTGTTCGAATGAGAAAACAGCCGTTGAGAAGCGACGCTTTTACGCTCCACTGAGAGTTAAAATTGCCTCCCTACTATTTTCTTCGTAATTTTTTTCAAGTTCAACTTATTATCAACGAAAAATAAAAATCCACTACTTGCTGCAACTTTATTTCAGTTTTTACCCCTTCAGAAAAAAAACCACTCCTGCAGCAAGGAGCCACATTTTCTTAATCTTTTGATAAAATATGTCGATGCCGATGAACAAACACTTGCCGGATGTATAGAGGAAAAAAAAAGTTGAATCATGGGCCCGAAAAAGTCGCATTGTCCGTTTAGTGAATGGGAAAAAGGCAAAAAATATTTCCCATCGATTTCTTTTTTTTTTTCGAATAGTCCTCGATGGGTCTTCCTTATCAGTTCTTTCTATCATTTGCCAATGGAAATGAACTTTTATGGATCTCTTCAATTTGTAGAAATCGATTTGAGTTTGTTACGCTTCCGAATTCTTCGATTTCTAGTAATTTCTTATAAATTTGCTTTGAAATAAAAATCAGTTTATATTAATTAAAAAAATATTTAAATTCGGTCTTTTTTATTGATGAGATCTCACTGAATTCAGCCTTTTTCAGTTTCCAAGGTAAATAACCCTAAAGGGACCGAATAAGTGGTCTCTATAGGGGCAAATTCAAAGTGTCCCCTATAGGGGCTCAGAGCCTGACTTCTTAGTTAAGTGGTCCCTTTAGGGCCTTTCAATTTAATTCAAAAAAAGCCTATTTACTTAGTTTTTCGCATGGAAATGCTTCTTCGCACACGATTCGTAAAAATTATCGACTAGAATTTCCCCTATAGGGGTCACTCACTAAAATCTCCTAGAATATCCCCATAGGGACCACTTTTGCAAGCGTTAGATGTCCCTAGAGGTCGGTAAAATGGTCCCTAAAGAGGATCCTCCAAGGGCACTTAAACCCCTCCAGGGACCACTTTTCAATCTTTAGTGGTCCCTATAGGCGACTCTACAAGGGCCCCTATAGGGACCACTCTGGAGATTCTAAGATCTCCTAAATTTCCAGAAAAATTCACATTATTTCTTCCATCTAAACCTGACCAGTTTACAAGCTCTATTCCCAGATTCAATAGAATTTCTCGTCCCTAAAATTTTGATACTTCCTATCGAATTTTTTTCCCCGGGAAATCAAATGGTTCTCATAAAAATTCCCCTCATGTTTGTTCAGCAGCGTCGACGCAACAAAACCGTACATGGAATCGGCGCGCCAATGACAAATGCGGATGTTCAGCTGCAAGGATGTCCGCAGCATGAGGTTATTGGAAAAGGGCAAAATAATAATTGGAAATTTAGGTTATCATAGTCCAAGTGCTGGCGATTCTGCCGCTGGTTCTTCGAAATATCGGACTCCCCTGGCTGCTCCACGGCCGCCGCTGCGACACTAGTAGATTCGCCTTTTGGTTGGTACTTCTTCTCAAAAATTTAAGGCATGGGGGTAGTAAAAATCGAAATCAGTATCTAGTAGAGCTTTTCATTGCAAAAAAACGGTATGCTTGGAAATGTACGAAAGTTCCTATTTACGGAGAAAAGCTTTTTCGAAACCAGCTCGGACATTGGTAACGCGAAACGGACGTGCTTCGGACGTTTCTGGGCGATTCTAGGGATCACTTGATGCTACTAAAGTGGTCACTAAAAATGCCCCGACACGTCCAATTTGCGTCCCGTTCGCGTAACCAAGGACCGAGGGAAAGAAAAAGTTTTATTTTGCAGTAAAGTAAAGAAACAGTAAAGTTACTCTATGGACAATCGCCATTTTCAAAAAAGAATTGTTTTCTTTTTTTTCGTTTTTTTCTCAGTTTTCAATTTTTTCTGTTGTTACCAGAGTTTTTTTCGTCACAAAAACTCTCTTTTAATGTGTACTTCGAACAATTTGATCGCATAATAATTCTCTGGTGACAAATGACGATTTTATACAACTTTCGGTTGAGAAATCGATATTTTGCGTTTCCTTTATTATCGGTATGTGTTTTTTGTTTTCCTAAATGATTTTTCAGTAAACAGTTTCTGTAAACCGATCCAAAGCATTTTTTCAAAATGAAAAGCGGGAGAATAAAATCGCGTTTTCTTTAAAAGTATTCTTAACTGTGCTTTTTTGAGTACACCGTCCGATTCGCAATGAAAAGCTCTACAAGATACCGTTTTTTACTGCCCCGACGCCTTTAAACAGAAAAAGTCCTGTCTCACACAAAATTTTCAGGCTAAAATTCCTCGTGGACCTGGTTCTTCTAGTGCTCCCAGCCCTGTTGGCCGTCACGACATGGACATCTTATCTGTATTTCGCTCTGATTTCCCAGTCCGCCTTTGTTCTCTTCGTCCTCGGCTTGGTCTTCTACGACGCCTGCACCAATCCGAATGCTCCGACACTATCGGTAGCTATTAAAGTCCTTACTTTATTGATGGATCCGGGTTACAGCAAGTCCTTAACAAGGAAATCGAGGATAAACACCAACCAACTAGGTTCTTCACTTATTATCGGTATCACTTCTCAATAGGGAGTCATTAAAGTTAACATTTCAGATCCCTGACAATGTCTCTAATTTGCGCGGCAATCTTAGCAGTCGATTTCCCGTTGGCTTTTCCATCGAGATTTTCGAAAACTAGTGAGAGAAAAAAAAAGTCGTACTAAACAGGAACTGCTACAGGAACCTATGGACATTCTATGATGGATGTAGGCGTGGCGGCAATCATTTTCCAAGCCGGAGTAGGCAGCGGATTGCGGAATCTGGTCAAAAGAGTGTAAGCGTTTACTTATTTGATGCAAAAACTATAGTCTTCCGCCTCTCTGCCAAATGTACGAAAAATACGAGAAAACTTTTGAAACCCAGAAAACTTAGGATCTCCTGAGTGGTCCCTATAGGGGCAACCTTACTCGGAAAACTTTGAGCTATAGATACTCCCCAAGGACTACTTGAAGAGGACACTATAGTGGCCACTAAAACCACATCTATAGAGGCCACTATTTGTTCATTAGTGGAAACTTTAGTAGTTCTAGTCATCTAATAGTACCACTTGGAACTCTATGATGGTCACTAGAACGTCAAAACCCTATAGAGGCCACGAAAGTTTTTTTTTTGTTTCCATGGGAAAAATTGAAAAAATAAGCGTTATTTTCATAAAATGAGAGGCCCTATAGAGTTCACTTAAGCTTTGAGGGCTAAGAAGTCAGACCCTAAACCCCTATAGGGAGCACCTTAATTTTACCCCTGAAGGGGTCACTTTTTCGGCCCCTCTACGGGTTGGTTTCAGCCTTAAACCCTATAGGAACCACTATAGAATCAATTTCAGACCGTCGACCAAGCCCCGGTCTCACTGGCTCCTCTCGCCGACGCCGATTCTTTTCGCCTTGGGATTCGGTCGGACCTTTGTCCTGCTAGTTCTTCATTATCCTCACAGTGTCATCGAATACGGTGTCCACTGGAACTTCTTCTTCACTATTGCATTCGTTCGGGTTGCTTTAACTATCCGAATGTTTTCAAAAAAAGATTTTTCTAGGTAGCCAATGATATAATTCCCTGCCAATTTCCTATTCTGAACGCCATATTGGTCGCCGCTTTTCAAGTGGTTGTTCTTCTTGGCTTCGGCTTGGAGGTCAGACTTTTTCTTCGCTTTTTAAAATTTTTTCAAAATATGGGAAAGCGAAAAAAATTCTTTAAGTAAGTTTTTGCAAAAATCACGAAAAAAAATCGATAATCTTAGGAACTCCAGAGTGGTCCCTATAGAGGCAACCTTTGGGGCCTTTGCAGGGTCCCCTATAGTGACCACTTGAGCTTTAGGGGCTAAGGAATCATACCACCCCTATAAAAAAAACCTGATTTTTCCTCTTTAGGGATCACTTTTCGGCTCATATAGGGGCTGTTGCTTCCCCTCACCCCTATAGGGGCCACTTTTTCCGCCCCTATAGAAGCTGTTTCCCCCTTGAACTCTATAGGGACCACTTAAGCTTTAGGAGCTAAGGGGTCAGACCCTATACCCCTCTAGGAACCATCTTGATTTTACCCCTATAGGGACCTCTTTTTCGGGCTCTATAAAGGCTGTTTTCCCCGAATCCCTATAGGGACAACTCTTCCTCTATATAGACTGTTTCCCCCTTAAACCATATAGAGACCACTCTGAAGCCCCTTAAGAGAATGAGAGATATGTGGCGACTCGAAGAGACACCAGAGAAACAGTGATTCTTTTTTTTCTCTAACACCTCTTCAAAACTTCAGTTCTCTCACTTCTGTTTTCTTTTTGGCCTAGAAAGAAAAAAAAATCGAAAATTCCAGGATTTCGTTCTAAAAGACGGCGAAAACCTCCGTGACAACATATTCTCAGCGAATGCCGAAGGGATCTCCTCCCTAATCGGCTACTTGCTCATTTTCTACATAGGTCTCATCATCGGCCAGTTTATCAGTACAACTGAGTAAGTTCCCTAACTTAAAATATCAAAAAACTAATTTGAAATATTCAGAAATCGGGTAAAAAGTTGGGCTCAACGATGTGGCCACCTGGTGCTGCTCGCCCTCATGTTCTACTGCTTTCAAGTGGTCGCCGAAGGGTTTTTCGGGCCTCCTTCGCGTCGTGTCGCCAACCTTACTTATATTCTATCCCAAGTGATCAGAATATTGGAAAAACTTGTTGGAAATGAGCTTTTTTCAGGCTTTCGGTCTAGTTTTCGCAGTGGCTTGCATGGTGGGCGTTCAACTGCTGACAATTTTACTCTGGTCCGCGAATATACTGGAATTTTTCAATGGTTGGTTTGAGACAAGCCCTAAGAAAATTACTGTTTCGGTACGAAAAAAATATGATTGCCCATATTGTGATCTCGAGAGTGGTCCCTAGGGGTCCCCGCTGAGAAAAAAAAAGATGACCAACCTCTATAGGGACCACTAAAGCTTCCAGAAGTGGCCCTTAGAGGGGACATTCAAGTCGATGACTGTTATGAAATCTAAGCAAAGAAGCATTTCCATGGAAAAAAAAAAACAATAAATAAGCGTTTTTGAACGAAATTTAGAGACCCCTATAGGGTCCACTTGAGCTTTAGTGGATGAGGAACACCCTAAACCCCTATAGGCACCACTTTTTCGGCCCCTATAAGGATTTTTCTCCCCCTGGAGAACCAACACTTCAAGATGTTGATCCGCGTTTCCCCGGAAAAAGTCGGTTGCAGCTTTCCTCCTCTGTCCACTTGAGCCTTAGGGGCTAAGGGACACCCTAAACCCCTATAGGCACCACTTTTTCAGTCCCTACAGGGTTTTTTTTTCCCTCCTAACCCCTATAGGGACCACTCCGGAATTTCCAAGCATTTCACGATGAAAATTCCCTCGCTGCCATAGAACGCATTACATTGCAAAAACGCCTGATATGACAGACCCCTATAGGGTCCACTTTAGCTTTAAGGGCTAAGGGATAACCGAAAACCCTATAGGGGCCACTTTTTCGGCCGCGATAAGGATTGTTTTCTACCTAACCCCTATAGGGACCACTCTGGAATTTCCTAGAATTTCACGATAATTCAATCGTCGCCAAAGAGCCCACTTAGATTGCAAAAACCTCTAACCAAAAAATCCCAACTTTTCCAGGAGATAACATGTTCTCAAACCTGGACCCCTGTCTGGCAAAGACGCTCGGCAACTCGGGCCTCATCTACTTCCTCATCTCCAACATTCTGACCGGCGCCGTCAACCAGGTCATCGGCAACACTCACGGCGTCTCCAAAGAGAACTCCATGCTCATTCTGACGGCCTACATGTCCGTGTCCGCCTTGATTCCCCACTTGTTTGTGTACAAGAACTACAAATTCGAAAAACCGCTTCCTTTGGTCGATAAGCAATCTTCGGTTGTTTAGATTTGTGTACGTTGTTAATTTATATTTTGTGAATGAAAGATGGAATAATTCTACCCGTTTTCTCTCCCCGGTGAAGTTGATAGATCACGCAGGTCTGTAGAACTTCTGTAGGTAGGCCCGTTTCCCGACGACTTCCCTGACCGGATCGTGGAACATGTCCTTCCAATACGATTTGAACACTTTCGACCTTCCAAATTCATGACTCTCGAACTTTTCTTCTGTTTCTTGCAGTAACGACGCGGTGATCTGAAAGCTTAACACGATGTCTCTGTAATTCTCAAAAAATCTAATAAATGAAGCTTCATCCAGTGTGATAACCCATCATCAGAAATGCGGACCCAACTTTTTGAGCCATTTCCTCTTACTGTAGCCGGGTTACGGTGGGCAGGTGGGCACCTGCTTATCTCAACATTGAAGAGTTTTTATTAAGCAAGTGATATATCAATCGATAGGTAATCCAATTTTAAGAACTTTTACAGTACATATCATCTTGGGTTACGGTGGAAAAATTTTGAGTTACGGTACTTTTTGCGTCTGCCGAGTCAGTTTTTCGGCCACCACGAGCTTGAGCCGGAAGATCCATTCTTCCTAACTTCTCAAAAGATACCTTTTGAAAAGCTCTACAAGCTGATACTAGTTTGAAAGATTCCTAGGTGGACCATCACTTAGCAAATTCGCTCCGAAAGCAAAAATCGTGGTCTTGCGGCGGCCAAATGGGTCAAGTCTATGATGCCTGACGGCTCATTATTTACAGATCCATTCTAAATTTTGTTTCCATTTCACTTATAGATGTCTATTATTCAGTTTTATTGCAACTTGAGATGGTTTCAGGTTGACCATCATCTCGAAATTTCGTTTTGAACCCAAATTTGGCCTGAAAATGGCCTGTTCGCCTTTTTCCACGGGTTCCCTTTCCCCTCTTCAATACTGAGATACGCAGGTGCCCACCAGCCTACCGTAACCCGGCTACAGTAAGAGGAAATGGCTCAAAAAGTTGGGTGTTAATAGGCTTTGTATAGGGAAAAGCTCACCTCATCAAAACTGTCAACCAATAAAATGCGTTCATTTTGATAGAGGGCGTCGATTGGGCTCCGTTCGATTATTGGAATCGCTCCCATAATGATGGCTTCCCATCTAAAAGACTCAAGTTGACAAGAAATGTGACCCCAAAACGATTTTCAGTTGAAAAGACTAAAATTTAGGATGTAAGTGAGTCGAAAACTGATGAAAATCGGAAAAATGACAAAACCCAAACGTTCTAAAGCAATCGAAGCCTGCACCTCTGGGCGAAAGAACGAATTTGGAGTTGCCCAGTTCTTCCAAATACTCGTCGAATGGTATCCGCTCCATCCTGAAATTTTCTTTTTCTGATCATTCATCACACGACGTTAGAAGAAAAAGCGAAACCAAAAACGAAGGGGGCGGAGCTAAAACTTGGCTGTTCCCATGTTCAAAGTGATTCCGCGAAATTCAAAATAGCCATCAGAAAGGGAAAAATATAACAGAATTCCGGAAATTCAGAGATCATTTTGAATTTCGCGAAAATTACTTCGAACAAGGTATGTGCAAGTGCGCCGCAGTGCATGCACCCTACACACTACACTTTACGGAAAAAAAAATGGGCGGGGCGTTGTCAAAAAAACACCGTGATAAATTTTCAGCTTTTAGTTATTTTGGTTTATATTATAACAAAGAGAACATAATCAAATCAATAAACCTAAAACGAGAAAAAAAAGGAACGAAAAATAAATCTTTACAAAAATATTCTACTATGGGAAGTCCTTATAGCGTATGGCTCAGAAATTATTATAAGTTCGCCCACACAATCTCTGATGGACTGGGAATCGATCCCACATAATCGCTTCTTAATATGCTCATAAGAAATCTTGGAAAAAAAATGGCAAAAAAAAGTTTGCGGCAAAAGGTTTGAACTTTCAATATAGGCTTCGTAGGCTAACACGCTAGCCACTGCACCACGTTCCTATCTGCCATGCAGAGGTTGATAGCGCGGCTAGATTCCTTCCAAACGGAGTCACATGGTTAAAGATAAGAACTTTGAAAAATCAGATCTCCAAAACTAGAAGTTTGCGCAAATGGCGACTGTGTGGGATCGATTGCCAGTCCATCAAAGATTGTTTGAGCAAAATTTTAGGAATTTCTGAACCCTGCGCTAAAATGACCTCCCATGTCAGCTAATTGATAAAAAAAAAATGGGCTCATTGAAGCCTGTGAAGTGCTTTACATAAATATTGCCGAATATTTTCGCGACAGAAGTAAAATTAGAAAAAAAAATCATAATTCATTTTTAGACACCTCTATCCACAGAGCGCATTTTCATAACAATCAACGGCTCGAAATTCCAGGCTTTTTCAAAGACCATCACTAACCTACAGAGCGTTGTGAACGAAGTCGAATTGCAAAACTCAAAGTTTTTCGACCGACTTTTATGAGACTCGAGAGCGACGTTAACGTAGAGATCAATGGGTCTATCTTCAAATTTTCTGGAGAAATCCAAAGTTTGTTTCCACCAAAAAATCAAACTTTTGGCTCAAAGATGCTCTGACGATCCGAGAATGATGTTCAGGAGTATCTTCATACAATCCAATTGGAAGGGGGACCAGTTTTGGGTGCGAAGAAGAATTCGCGTTTTTGGCGTACCAACGTATCAAGTTTGGGTCGCTGAATAAAGATGATTTTGAAACGATTTGGGAAAAATGCATGAGGACTACTTAAGATGCTCAAAAGGAACCTTAAAATCTTCTCGTGGAGTCCAGGAGCCGTCATATAACTCAAGTGGGTGACGAGAAAGTACGGAATCGAATTAGTTTTCTGGAAGTCGAAGACCCGAAACGAATGATCAAAATCCATGTAGATGATTTCGAAGGGTCCCATATTGTTTTTCTAAATTGAAAATATAAGAAAAATGAAAATCGATGTAATATTTTGAGGCGCTACGACAAGCGCGAGTTTCTCATTTGCGGAGAGTACTGTATTGCGTGCATGCACTAAGCGTGTTTACACGTATATGTACTTTTCTGGTATTAAAAAAAGCAAAAAAAAAAGAATTCGAAAAAAAAACTCGCAACGAGTGTGTATACACACATAGTGCATGCACGCAATGCGCATATTCGCATACAGTACTCTCCGAAAAAAGATAATCGCTTTTTTCGTAGCACCTCTTTTAAACCTTCCTAAAAACGTATCCTTCTCGCTCATCAAAAAGTTGGATGTTTCCAAGATTCTCAAAAAAGAATCTCGAAACGAAAGGACGGTTATGACGCTGCAGATCTTGTTTCAAATAAAATTTGAACCCCTTGAAATAAAAATCAAAGCAGCAAACGTTCAGATAAACCTTTTTCTGAGGAGTTTGCAGATAAAAAAGTATATTCTGGAAGTGGATCAGAAACAACGCCGCCCAGATAATTAACAGCGTGAAAACTGACTTCTTAAATTGAAAGTGGGATTATTATAAATATAATAAACTCACTCTATTGATCATTGATGCCAAAAAAAGCTTTCAAAAAAGATTGTACAATAAAGGACAAAATTTACGAGGACCCATTGTCCTGTCCAAATGTGTGCACAGGCTAATATTCGCACAGGAGAGCTTCCTAACAAGCTTAATAGTTTGTCCACATTGGGAAGAATCAAGGTCAGTTTGCGGGTCAGGATTTTAATTGGAAAGGTGGCGATGATCCTTTAATTTCTTTAAACTTTACTGCAGACCGGAAAATGGTCTGAAGTTATAGCGGTACTTGGGAACTCCAGAGTGGCCCCTTGAGGGATGAGGGCGGAAAACAACCCTTATAGGGGTAAAATTGAGGTGGTCCCTATAAGGGTTTTGTGTCTGATCCCTTAGCCTTTAAAGCTCAAGTGGTCCCTATAGGGATCTCTCAATTTCATTCAAAAAACGCTTCTTTGTTTCATTTTTCCCATGGGAAGGCTTCTCTTGGAGTTCATAACTATTATCAACTAGCATGTCCCCTATAGGGACCACTTTTTCAAGCTTAAGTGACCAAATTTGGTAAAGTGGTCCCTAGAGGGAACCTTTTAATAAAAGATTGATTTTCCTAACTTCGAATAACGAGAAAACTTTTTCTTGTAACGAAAAAATGGTGTTAGTTGAAAAAAGAAATTTATTTCTAATCGAAAGTAAAAACAATATATTCACAATTTTATCCTTTTTACTGCTCATACTGCTTGAAAAAAGCCGGGCATCTGAAATTTTGTTTTAATTGATAAATTTGAACGAATATTCACTTTGACGGATCGATCCCTTCACACGCCTTGCACAAGCCACAGGTGAAAGCGCAGTGCCTCAAAAATTTTTGACGAAATTTTCGTTTTTGGAAAAAATCAATAATTTCAATAATCAACAGTCGAGGCTCGTGAGGGCCTCAATTGCCTTTTATTTATCTATTTACTTCAGGCTTAATTGCCAGTTTTTTCTTTCTTTTTTGTACATGTTATTTTTTTCCGCCTGTAAATAAATAATATAATTTTAAAAAAAAGTCCATATATTTGCTTGAAAACTGCCAAGGATTCAAAAAAATTCATAGAAAACACTTAGAAACGCCAGAGTTGTCCCTAGAGAATAAGCCTAAGCCCAAAAAAACCCCTATAGAGGACAGAATAGTGCTCCCTAGCGGGGTAAAAAATTTAGGTTTGAAGTCGGACCCTAGACCTGAGCCCCTAAAGCTTGAGTGGCCCCTAAAGGAGTCTTTAAGTTTTTTTTCTCATTAAAAACTCTAATTTTGATCTACAGCCTCTATAAGGGCCGAAAAAGTTGTCCCTATAGGGGTTTAGGGTCTGGCCACTGAGACCCTAAAGCTCAAGTGGACCCTTTAGGGGTCCTTCACTTTCATTTAAAAAATGCTTATTTGTTCAGATTTACCATGGAATTGCCTCTTCGCTCAGATTTACCATGGAAATGCCTCTTAGCAGTTATCGACTAGCATGTCCACTATAAAGGTCATTTTTGCAAGCTTTATTAGCTCCCCTAGGGGTTGGTTAAGTGATAAATAGAAAGGAGCCTCCAAGGGCCCCCTTAAGATTGCCCTTATAGACCACTCAGGAATCCGTAAGTGAGGTGGCTCCTAGAGAGAACCCTTCAAGGGCTCGTAAAGTTGCCCCTTTTAGGGACAACTCTGGCGTTCCTGATCAGAGCTTCATTAATGTCCTAAGCCTCACTCATTCATGAAGGCAACGTATCCAGAAGCGCTGCAAAACCGCTGCAAAAGCATACAGGGAACTTGAAGATTATTACTGCATTCCTTGGCGCCTGAAACAAAACTTCCCATCACATTCGAAAGAGTTCAAAAATGCTGTATGAACCTGCCAAAACGGTCATAATACAGACAATCGCTGCCGAAAACCTGCGAGATTCCATTCGAAACTGGTTACTCTGCAATATTTCGGCTGAAATTGGCTCTCTGTTTGCCGAGGGAGACAAAAAAGGGTCCTGCTACATATAGAGCTTTTATTAGTCGGGATTTGATCAGTTAGCTTCCGAACATCTCTCTGTTCTTCGTATTTGTTTATGGACCTCCAAAAACCAAGAAAAAAAACTAAAAGCCTTCAAATTTTTCGTTCAGATTTGAGCAATAAGTATAATTCGAGCGATTAACCCTCTAATGCTCATTTTTCCATCAAAAAATCGATAATTTAGTATAGTCCATTTTCCGCGACTTGAAAGGGCGGGACTTCTCTGCGCCCTCCTTATCTCTCGAAGTCTCTCTCATTTTTACGCGCTGTTTCCATGTTTCTCTGACAACGTCGGTGAGGGAACAGAGAGACGCAGACACCGGTGGAAGGACTATAAAATTAAACAACATGCAAGTTCCTCTAGAGTGATCACTGAGAGAAGCCCCTAAAGTGTCCACTTCTGCAAGCTTTAGTGCTATCAGGAGAGGTAAGTTGGTCCCTAGAATGGAGCCTAAAAGTACCTAAGATCTCCCCTCTAGGGACCACTCTGGCGTTTTTGAGCACAACCTTAAAAGTTCTTGGAGTGGACTGGCTCTAATGACCTATCCGTCCTTGTGTAGGACGACTGGGGTTTTTGAAGCATTTTTTAAACTTCTTGGGCGGGTCGGGGATCGAACTTGTGACCCTATGGACCGTAGACAGGCACAAAACCTGTTGCGCTACGGCGCGCCTTTCTTTCTGCGTGCTGATAAAACCAATAAAATAACAAAAATTTGAGCTATTTGGAACTCTGTGTACTCTCCATAACTTTATACTTCGATTCCAGCATGTCTTTTGAGATTTTTTATCGTCCAGCGACATGAAGGGCAAACACTGTGCTCCTTATCAGTGTAACTTCGAAATCGATAGTACTTCTGATAAAGCTAAGGAAAAATATCGACAAAGTTTTCAAAGTTGTCTCCTTTTAAGTTATTTCCAGTTTTATATGTAATTGACTTTCCGTGATGACGACAAGTGCATGAGATCAACTGATAAAGACCGTGATAACATCAGTATCGTCAATCAATTACGACACGACATTTGGAGTCCAAAACTTCCGAAACTTCAAACAAAGTCGGAAAGGGTGGAAGAAGGCTCCATAGAAATGTTCCCTTTTTGCTGCCTTTTCGCGCCATTTCATAGGCTGTTATGCACCATTTTTGCTGCCTCTCCCTTTTTCCACCACCTTTTGAGACTATAAAGTCCCTGAAAAAATGGATGGCTCGATAAAGGTACCCTTTTTGCTGCCTTTTTTGAGCCTCTTCTATTTAGCGGGGGGATCGAAAAAGGTCCCTTTTTGCAGCCTTTTTGTGGCCTCTCTGCAACCTTTTTTCTGCTTCTTTTTTTCCACCATTTCTTGAGCCTGGACAATCCCTGGAAAAATGGAAGGCTCGATGAAGGGACCCTTTTGGCTGCCTTATTGCGGCCATTTTTAAGCCTCTCCTTTTTAGCGGCCATTATCCACCATTCCGACTTTTTCTTAATGGGTTGAAGTCGTATCTCTGAACAAAAATAAGATCAGATTTGTTCGCTAATATTCCAGTTGATCTTTTTTTTTTTGAGAACTTCGATTTTGATTTTATTCCGTTATGAACCCGAAATTTAGTGTTCATGATGTTTTTTTTATGTTTTCAACATGTCATTATTGATGAGAACTCTTCAGGAAGCTTCTAAATAACGTGATTGAAACTGTGAAACTGTACAAAAGGTCCGATTGCGGAACATCTGGCGGCCAGCCGCGCCCGTTTTTGCTCTCCAACCAACTCGCGTCTCTTTTGGCAAAGCACAAAAGTTCTGTGACTCATCATTCTAGACTTGCAAAAATTATGAGGAATCTTCAACTGGATTCTAAAAACTTCAATGCGTTTTCTTTAGGCAAAGTCGGAAAGGGTGGAAGAAGACTCCATAGAAATGTTCCTTTTTTGCTGCCCTTTTGCGCCATTTCGTCGCCTATTGTGCACCATTTTTGCTGCCTTTCCCTATTTCCACCATTTCTAGAACCTTTAAATTTCTATGAAAAATAGAAGGCTCGATAAAGGGACCCTTTTTGGTGCCTTTCTGCGGCCTTTTTTGAGCCTTTATCACGGAAGATCGCATTTCTATAAAAAAAAGTGAAGCCAGATTTGAATGGTCTTTGAAGATTATTTTCAAAGGCTTCGCATATTTTTTTCTTTTTTTATTTTTTTATTTTTTTCACCCTGAAACTGAAAAGGGGTTGTCATGTAAACTGCGCGTTTTCTTCCCTTCATTTATGCCAAAACGGAGAAACACTCCCAAAGTGAGATGTTTATTCATTTTGGCGAGCTTTCTGGAATTTGTTTTTAGAATCCTGAAACGCACCAAGTTTTGGAGATTCGATTTTTCCAATAAAAACCCCTTTTTTCTTTTTTTCTTCCCCACATTACTTGTTGGAATACCACGTCTCTCTAATAATAATACTCTTATATCTACATGAGACCGGATCAATTCAACACCCCCCTTAAATTTTTTTCTTACCAAAAGTACATGATCAATGTCGCTTCAAGAATTAGTAACGCGTTGAGGGGGAAAAATTGAAGGTTTCGCCCTTATCAACTTGAACCCATTTCCTAGTGAGTAGAGTGGGACTATCAAGGACATTATCTAACTGGAGTCAGACCAGTACTTTGTGCAAAAAAGTGGTGCGACATTCTAACTGAACGTTGAAATAAACCAACGAGGTTGAAGACTTAGGAGTTCTAGCCGTTCTTTCTTTTCCATGGAGGGGGGAAATCGTGGAACGCCTCTGGATAGATTCCAAGCGATCAATATCTGTTTCTGTCAAGAGAGACTCAAAAATGGGAAGCACCTTAGCCTTAATATATTAAGAAGTTTTTTCAGAGCATACATGGGCAGATAGTTTTTGAAGGCTGCTAATCCTTGCCCCCTTTAATCTGTTTTGAATTCAGAGTCATTACTACCTTCCTGAGGTAAAAATTGTGGTTTTTTTAGGTCAACACTACCCCTTGAGCAATTTTTGCTCGGTTTTTTGGTCAATTTTGTGAGCCGACCTTTTTCCCGGACAAATTGAGCTTTCTACTTGCCCAAGTATGGTTTGGAGAAACTGAACCACTGAAATAACTTCTGATTTTGACTAAGTCTGGTACGTTATTATCGCTGGAAACTTTTTTCCCTATTTGCCAACACCTCGGATGTCACACGTCGCTGTTTGCACAGTTCTGTTGCGATCAGAAAATACGGAAAAGTCCTTGTTGCAGAATCCAACCTCTCATTTGGGCGTGAATGGCAGCGCCGCGGGTGAAGCGCGACGATCTGCAAGGCCTGCGTGGCGTCGCCATCGCCGCCGTCATTCTATTCCATTTCTTCCCTGCATTATTCCCAAATGGATATGTTGGAGTTGATCAGTGAGTTCAAACCGTAGTTTAAAAAATATATTTTTTTTTTCAAGTTTCGGAGTAATTTTTATGCTGCTCTAATGTCGTTATGTTTTCACTTCAACAAGCTCATAAAAAAATTCAGTTTTTTTATCTGACTTGAAATAAATTCCATATTATCAATACTCAGTTTGCAAAAAATTGTAGCCCTTGGAGAAAAAGATCATTGGAAAAAAATTGAAAAAGAAGAAAGGTAGAAGCCCTGAAACTTTGATGCATGTAATCTGTCTGAAAGTTCAGACTCCTGTCTTTAAAAAAATTCCGGACGGAAATCCGTTTTCCGGCTCTGATTATTAAACACTTGTGTATTTTCCCATCAAGGACCATTTTTGATAGCACTATTCCAGATTTTTTGTACTATCCGGGTTCCTCATGACAATGATTTACGGGTCGAAAGAAATCACAAAGGAATCAACGATCGATTTTTATTATCGACGGGTAAAACGGATATTACCGCTGTATCTATTTGTTATCTGTTGTGGTAGGTTCTTCTTGAATGGTTCCAAAAAATCAGTCGTTTCAGGGTTAATATTTGTCTGTTTCGGGTTCCCATCAACGTTCTTTCCAATAAATGTCGATTCGGCCATAAATTCAGTGATATTATATTCAAATATGGCACATCACACGGCGAGGAACGAGTATTTTGTAATGGTAAGTAAAACAAAACTTTTAATTAGCATCTAGACTGTAAGTCACGGCGTTCTTGTCAGTGAAAGAAAATGCAGAAGTTCGAGTATGCGATAGTGCGTCTCGGTGTGTTTACACCCTGAGCATCATAATTTACGAGAAGTCTTGACTTGAGTATTAAAAAACGCCGTGAAGTGCGCACATTTCTCTTTATTTGAGTTCTAGTTATATTGTAGAAAATTTTTTCAGCGATCCCTGAATAAATAACAGCTAGAAAACAAATTGATTCATGATACATCTCGATTTCGCTTTCTGCGCGTCACTTTTTGTGTATTGTGTGCACTGCGTACAAAACATTTTATTTTCGGCGCATTTGGTGTCGCCATGAGTGCACATTGTATGCTTAAAAAACAACAAAAAGTCATGAGATTTTGAGAGCTCCCAAAAAGTTTTCCAGTTGCGACAAGCCGAAGACGTCTTCACCCACACATGGTCTCTCTGTGTGGAGATGCAGTTCTACGTGCTCGCGCCCCTGTTCTTCCTCGTCTTGTCCCTTTTACAGTCCGACTGGCTGTCCAGCACCGTATACCTATGGGCGATCCTAGCCGCTTCTCTGGTCTTCCATTTGGTCGCAGATGCTCACACCTCCTTCAACAAGTTGGTTCTGATTATTCGTCATAAAGACGTATAAAACAGGCTTGGGAAATTTTCAGCGTTCTTTGCCGTATTTGGCAGTTCACCATGGGTTGCATGGCCTTTTTCGTATCCGATTATTTATTAACCATCGATACGAAGCCGATGGGTTACGACCAGGCGAATCTCCTGGACTCTGAAGCTGAGGAGGACAAAGAAGATGGTGATTTTTCCGATGTAATTATTTTCTATCCAGTCTCCCAGCTGAAATCTATTCATTTTGAGAATAAAGTTCAGATGTGGAAGACTTGGAGCTGAACCGCCCGCCTCCAAAGCCAGAACAACGTCTTCCACGGTTCCCCTTTCACGTCATCCATTTTTGCTCGCTAGTCATAATGCTTTTTTGTGCATTTTCTACAACCACCATACCACCACCAATAACTCGAATCGTAAGTTAGTGACCAACCAATCATTGACTTGAGAAAAGAGGATCAGTCAATAGTGTTCCTTTCGCATATCAGCTTTTTTCTTGACCTCCACGTAAAAAAGTCACTGGCATATGCAAAAGTGGTTCGGGAGGCCGATACAGTACCGGGAAGCGACCGTTAGTGAGGAAGCCACCGGGTTACTTATTAGCTACTTACACAGGCGAATCGAGAAGGTACCATAATGTGTCCATAAAGGTACCTCTCCAAATGGATCGTGAAGGCCCCGTAATGTGTCCATCGTGAGACCTCCAGCATACTTTTTAGCTATATCTGAACCATCTCGGAGGTACTTCAGAGTCTCTCCCAAGCCCCTCTCATTTTGCTCGAAATCCTCAGAGGAATCCTTGAGGTACCATCGTGAGACTTCTGAGACTGCGAGATACAAATCAGAGGGTCTCGCGACATCCTTTCTCGGTTTGCCTATGTACATGGTACCGGAAGCATGCGCCCCTCGGAGATCCTACCCAGTAGCATCGCGATACCTCTCTGGTAGTATCTAGGTACCATAGTGGTAGCACCCGGTCGCAAAAAAACGATCACCGACTACAACACGCCGATTGACTTTGAAGTTACTACCCGGCACCTACTTGTACCGACCTCCCGATTGACCAGTGTTATAATCCTCTCAAAACAGCTATGAATCGACTATATCCTAAAATCAGAAGAGAAACATTTATTTCAGGCCACCACTCTATTCACCGGCATGTTGATAGCTTGCGGCGGTCTGGTTTCAAGTCACGCCCTCCAGAACAAGTATTTTTATCTGTTTCACTTGGAAAGACAAAGAAATTTCAGACACATGGTGTACCTGGGCGACGTTTCCTACTGCCTTTACTTGGTCCATTGGCCGATCTACGTTTTCGTCAAGCATTACAAAGAAGGCGACGTTCCATGTAGGCTATTTTTGAGAATACAGTAGGGAGAACCACTTTTTTTCACGGTTTTGAGGGACTATTTTATTATACGTCCTAGACTTTTTCAAATTAAAATTGGACTTTTACAGCTTACATTCTGGCCATCATCGCTTCCTACACGATCGCCGTCTTTTTGAGCGAGACATTCGAAAAATTCTACTTGAAGTTGTCAGCAAAGCCGATTTTCGCCATGATCTTCGTCTTTTACTTATTCGTTGCATTGGCGGCTTTGCTCCAAGGTATTTTTACCTTTATTAGGATTATTGAACTTGATATCCGTTGCTTTGAAATGCTCTTTGGGAAAACAAAAATTCAAAACTTGAAAAGCCATCGCAGTTGATATACATCAGGCAAAAGTTGGGAAGTTCCTGCTTTCGGTTCCTCGGAAGGTGCTTGGAAGCTTTCCAGCAAGTGTTCTTCCACATACCTTCTTAACACCTCTACTTAACAAAAAGCCTGCCGGAAGCCTTCCAGATGCACTTCAGCTGGCTTCTGGCAGGCCATTTTCACCTTCCAAATACCTTCCGAACAATTTCTAAAGGCCTTCTGAAGACCTTCTAGCTTTCATTCACCTTCCAACCTCCTGCTGGATACCTTCCCAGGGTTTTGCCTGAGCTGTCAATTTTGCAGAGCCCATAATGAGCCAAGTTGAACGGCTAAAGTACGGAGCAGAAAAGGCGGTCAATGTTTCGGAGGTCCAGAACATAACATTAGGTCAGTTAAAAGAATGTTGAGTCTCACGCTCACTCAGATTTCAGAAGAAGCAATCAAAATCAACAACAAATGGGCTCGCGAGGAGTACAAAATGCTCATTTTGCAACAGTGTTTTCCCAACAAAAATGAACACGGCTACTGTGAATTCAACGTGAGTTTGAGCTTTTTTCTGACGGCGAGTATTGTTTTTCTTTTGTTGCAGAAAACAACGTTGAACGGAAACTTGAACATGTTCGTCTTGGGCAACAGTTACACGGCAAACCTAGCCGGACTGGTCTACGAGAACTTCAAGGAAAAGGCCAAGAAGATGAGCAAATTCAGTCAGAGCTGTCCGTTTGAAACTTGGAAACTAATTCTCACAGAGATGAAAACTTTCCAGATTGTGAAGTTCTAACAATCAAGGCTGGACGTTGCAAAGCGATCAACAACGATTATTTGAAGCGTATTAGCGATGCGAAACCGGAAGTTCTTTTCATAATTGACAAGTAATCAGCAATGCTTTGATATTTCTGATGATGGATAATATTTTAGACACGATAAACTGAATGATCCAGTTCAAGCGCCGGTCGCCACCGACAAAATCTTCCTGGAGGCCCTTTCTACACTTCATGTCAGTTATGAACAGTTTATACATAGGCAAAGTCGAAAGAACCCTTTACGGGCCCTTTGAGGGTCCGTTTTGGGTGCGAATGGTTTCCATTAATTGTTCCTAAACGGGTGGCAACGGTTTCCTTTTTACTGCCTTTTTCCATCCTTTCATCGGCCTTCATTCACCCTTTTTGGAACCTTTTGAGAAGGACGACATTTTTGAAATTGAGAAAAATCTTCACCAGTGACTGTGTATGAACCAAAATGTGTAACAGTAACAAAATAGAAAATTATCAATGGCCGTTTAACACCCCTTTTTCACCCTTTTTTGAGGCTATTCAGTCCACCCAGAAAGAAAGGCTTAATAAAAGCCGCAAAACAGTAACCATGTAGTAGTCATTTTGCACCCGTTTTTCGCACTTCCGACTTTGGCAGTGTAGGGCTCAAAGGCCTTGAAAATGTACAAGCTTCTTTCAGAATCATTTTTGATTTAGAAATACGAATCAGTGGTGTCCAAGAAGATTTATATGATGGATTCGATTCCCCTGCCGGCCACTCGTTCCCTAACCGTTCTGGCAACTCTTCTGTCTCACAACGACACAATCAACGATGTAAAAACTCTTTGTAACCTGGGAAATTTCTCAAAAACCATTTACAGAAAGAAATGATGCAAGACCTGAAGTATACGAACGGAAACTTGAGGCTGAAAGAGCTTGTTAGCAGGTGAACATTTCGAAACTTATCTGCATTTTTTTATAACCTATCCCACGGAACTTCAAGATATTGAAATCTCAAACCAATTTCCAGGTGTCCCAAATGTGAATTGATCAACACCTCGTCGTCGTTTTTCGCGGATGGAGCCATCAAATTCTACGATCACGAGACTAATCTCGGTTATTTCTTCGACGGCCAGCATCTGACGCCAGCCGGCCAGAAACTGATCAACCACGCGTTTGCTGACGCCGCCAAGACTCTCAAGTGATAGGAAAATCAAAATTTTATGGAAACGAGTAGCAGTTACGAAAAGACGGGTTCGCGGAAATTATGAAAGCAAGAGTGCCTTCGGAGTAAAAGAATGAGCTTTGAATAAAGACATCGAATTCCTTGTGAGATTATGTTTCTACAACCAGATTCATTTTGATGTGTTTTCAATCCAAGTTCCCAATGCTTTTTATGCACTTTCCATGCTTTCGATGCGTTCTTCTTTCATTGAACTGTTCGATTTTTCATTCAAGAACCTTTGGTTTATCCAATATGGAAGAAGGGTTCCGAAACATCTTGAAATCCTTTCCGGACCATGGTAACGTGAACTGGACGTGTTGGAGCATGTCTGATGACCAATTTAGTAGCTTCAACGCCCTTGAGTGATCCCTAGAATCCCTTAGAAACGTCTGGATGGCGTACGGTTTTCTTTATTAAGGTCCGAGTTATTACACCACTTCACGCCCAAAAAAATAAGCTTATATAGTCCGCCCGGCGTGACTTGACAGTTTTCGTGTGTCTGCGTCTCTCTGTTCCCTCACCGGCAGGCTCAGAGAAGAACGAAAACAGCGCGTCAACAAGAGAGGGTCATCGAGAGACGAGGAGGGCGCAGAGAAGTTCCGCCCTTTCAAGTCGCGAAGAACAGACGGTGCTACGACAAGAGCGAGTTTTCCATTTGCGAGGAGTACTGTATGCGGATATGCGCATTGCGTGCGTACACTCTGCGTGTTAACACTTTCGATGCGTGACGTCATCGGGTCGGACATTTTTCGCTTCCGAGTTTTTCGAATATTTTTTTCAATATTTTTTTGTTTTTTTCTTTCAAGATTTGCATTTTTCTCGGAGATATTTGCACGATAAAAAAAACAGTATCAAAAAATTGAAAAAAATATTCGAAAAACTCGGAGATGTCCGACCCGGTGACGTCACGCAACGAAATTGTATGCCCGCAATGCGCATATCCGCCTACAGTACATTTCGCAAATGGGAAACTCGCTCTTGTCGTAGCACCGAACAGACTATAATGCTAAAATTGCATTTTTCAGGCACATTCTAACATAATCGAACCATACATCAAATCTTGGAACATTTTTTTTCCTATTTTGCAAATTTGGAGATGAAATTATTCATAGAAATCTTGGAATGCTTCAGAATTCTCCAGAAACATGGCACTCGAAAGGCAGCAACATTCTACAAGCTTCTAAGAACGGAACGATGTGATGTACGGTGAATCCGATTCGACTCGGCTCGACGTTCCTCTCGATGCGGACGTTGTGAACGATTATTTGTCGCTTTTTGACTCTGAAAATTTACCAATTCTGACAAAATTTCATTTTCCAAAAATACCTGAACTCATCACTCGCCCACCAAACGCCTTCCTTGTCATATCCTATCGAGACCTCTCCTTCAGCCTTCTGACCATAATAATACAGCTGGAAAATATTTCAACTTTTCGATGGCCGTAAACTGATGAAGAAATGAACCTTCTTAATATTTTCCCAAGGGACAGCCAATGGCAACTTGGACGGGTAGAAAAACTGCTTGACCCTTAGGCATCCCGGTGTGACCTGGAAAATGATAATTGCCTAATTAAATCCGAAATAATTAATGAAACTGGTCTTATAAAATACATAGAATTTTCTTATGTTCTTTTTTCCTGTGGCGCGTATATTATAAACCATTTTGCGCCAGCTTTTCTCTTTTTCGCGAAAAATGCGAAATTGGATCAAACTTGGCCATGCTTTGCTTCAAGACCTTTTTTGTTAGAAAACTTCCAAAAATAAAATCCACGCTGTATCAAAGTGCTGTGCGGTTCCCAATCAGACATTTGTTCAACCCGTCCGGTTTGGCACACTGTAGGTTTCAATTGTGCAAACACCGATCGAGGTTTTTAGGCGATATCTCCGTTAATAACGAGTTTTTTGTGCGGAAGAACAGACAAGTTTTAAGAAAAACACAATTAGAATAATCGAAAATAAAATTTCTGTATTAATAACGAAGTTGTTGCGAACGACAGCAAGTATCGAAAAAATAGCCTAGTTTGAGAAATCCGTATTTAGTAAGTAAAAAGTCGTTTTTTCTGTAATGTTTATCTATTAAGATCAAAAACAGCTTGTTCATTTCATTAAATAGAAAGAAATGGTCAAAAATGATCTAGTAGGGCCAGCGGCGCAATGCAAACCGGACGGGTCTCTTTAGGCATGAGCTCGTGTGATAATAATCATCTCAAAAAGATAAAGATCATTTACCCAACAAACTCCAATCATAAGACTTACAGAACAAAAGAAGTCGAAATAAATAGAGCCGGGATCGGGAAGAATCGTCTTCCGTTTTCTTTGCTCCTCCATCACGGCACGACCCTGTGCCGTTTGTAGGAAACAACGCATCTCGGTGGCCATTTCTAGAGTCGAAATTCAATCGATAAAAGTTCATCGAGGGAAATCAAGAAGGTGGTTTACACGGATAGGGAGCAAAAACGAAGAAATCCCGAGATAATCCATAGCAACGGCAGAAAAGAGGCCTAACGAGTCTCTTGAGATTTGAGGCGATTAACAGAGAAGCTGAAACCGATACACTGAAAAATAGGACTCCCACGAGTTCCGTGGTGAAGTGGCGAGACATTCTCGTGACTAATTACCTTTCCATCGGCAATCATAAAAATGAGGCTTGGGTAAGTGCAAAAATGCCAATTAATACTTTCCCATGTCAGCAGTGCTCAAAGTAACGAAATTCAAAATCATCTCTGCCTCTCCAAATCTCAGTTATCTTTTCTCGATCTCTGACGTTTATTTTGATACTTTGAACAAGAATGAAAAAAAATAAATCAACACAGTTCAGGCCTACAGGGACCCGTTTCCACTGGCCATACCAGACCCTTTTCGATCATTTTTTGCTCAAAGTAAATTATTCTTTTTCGTGTTCATTTTTACTGGTCCTTATCTTTGGACATTGCTCTATCGTTTCCAATGATGAAAAACAATCATTATCGCGTTTTAGTGCGAAAAAATTAATAAGGAACTTTTTCTGTATTTTTTTTTTACTGGTATTTGAGACCGCGCCGCACCCTTGCAACGCCCACTTTTTTCGCGCCCCGGCAAAACTTTCTCAGAGAACTGAAACCGCGAAACGCGCGCTTTAAGGACTGTAACTTAGTTCATATTCGGTCTTTTTACAAGACCTCTTTTTTAAAAAGTTGTCTGGATTATGGGCTACACGGCCATATGAAATTCGTTAAAATCTATTGGTTTCAAGAGGTTTCCTTTTTTTAAGACTTGCTGGCGTTTGCAGAAACTTGAATTTTAATATTAAATATCTACCTTTGAACGTTCTTATTGTGTTTTCCTTCAAATTTGTCTACTTTTTGTACCAAAAAACTCGTTATCAACAAAAATATCGCTCGAAAAGCACGATCGGTGTATGCACAATTCAAATCTACAGTGTGTCGAACCGAATCGGCTGAACCGATGTGATTCAGAAAAATAATACGAAAATTACACTTCATGCGATTTCTGAATATAAGACAAAAAAGTCAGAGAATACATTTATTTTGACCAGGAAAAGACAGCAAAAACGAGTACATTTCCACTACAACGTTCTTTGTTTCCTTCAATCTACTTCTATGCTTTTTTCTCCACTATTTCAGGACAATAAGAATGTTATGATCTCATTGTTCCATTGCAATAGTGGGTACATCGTCTTGGATATTTACAGGCCGCGGTCCCAGGCAGAGCAATTGTTGGGCCTGAAAAATCAAAAAATGAAATCGGTAAAAACATTTTTCAACCATTAAATAGTCGAAATCCACTGTCGGGTTGCATCTTCTTACCCACCTCTGGGAAAGTTTATGAGATGTTGCGATTTTCCAAAGAGAATCGCCTTCATCTGCCTATATTTATCTTTCGAATGATGATAATACACCTGTTTTACCCCATAAGTTATGTGAGAGTCCAGATGTTCCTGTGAGAGCAAATGAGGAATTCCAGGCAAGTTGATACGGACTCCTCGCTGGAAAAAAAAAGATTGAAATTACGAAATCTCCAAGTCGTATCCTATCTCAAGAAAAATTGGCAAAAATAATTTTCACGAAAAGGGGTCGAACTTGCATCATAGGTTTCACTGTGCAAGGCCGCTAGCCACTACACCAGGCTACCTGATCGCAGCGAATGTTAACCGCCGCAACAGATTCCCTCCTTCCATCCAATGCATTTTTCGCACGCAAACTTTGGGATTCGTCTAATACGCCAAAGGCGAACCTTTTATCAACTTTATTGGAATCAGGGTGTTCCTATATACCAAGTTGGAAGGTCAGAATACAAAGAGATTGATCTAATTAGTTTGATTTATTGATTCATATATTTGATCAGATTTGATTGAGAGCTTAGGGTTTGGATTTTTGAGAAACTTGCCGGTCTTTTAAAAAAACCCACCACTAAATGATTGAAATTAACTTTTCCTTCATTTTCGGCCTCGAGAACTTCACGCGACAGCTGCAAGTCCATCCGAAGTTTGAATAAGGTATCTCCATTTTCGGCGATATAAACGCAACGACCGTCGGTGATCTCGATGAACCCTTTCAGAAGGGAATTTATATTTTTCAGGGAAAAAGTCGCGGTCATGCCGAAATTAACTTCAGCAAAAGTTTGGTGGACCTTATCATTCAAACAGGTTGACCGCAAACAATAATGGATGAGTCAGATTTTCTCAAAAGCAATTTAAGAACACAATGCCGTGTTCAGAGCGAATTTTTTCTGATGGCTGTTTCGGATTATAAAAAAAAGAACACGGTTTAGTTAGAAATTCCAGAGTGGTCTTTATAGGGGTTAGGGGGAGAAAAAACCTTAAAAAGTGGTACGTATGGGGGCAAAATTAAAGTGGCCCCTGTAGGAGTTTAGGATCTGTCCTATTGGCCTCTAAACCTCGAGTGGGCCCTATAGGGGCCTTCAAAATTCAGTAACATACACCTATTTCGTTTTTTTTTATGGAAAGGCTTCTTCGTTCTTCTTGGACTAGCATGACCCCTCTAGAGGCCAATAAATGAAACCCCTATAGCGTCCACTCTGGAGCTCTAAGAAATGTCGGAATCAGACTAAAATCGTCGTTGGAATTTCATTTTTTCAATCTTGTTTTTTTATTGTAAGTTCAAGATTTTCACTAGCGTTTAGAAGTTAAGAAAAAATTGTGGAGGTTGAAATAGAATATTATCTCTAAAAGGAGTTATTTCTCTTCATTTAAGTTCTAGATGGGACTTTTTTTTTCAAACAATTATATTGTAGAAATTTTTCCGGCGAACCCTGTGTGAATACCAGCCAGAAAATTGATTTTATTTACGATAAACGTTCAATCTCGCTTTTTGCGCGTCGCTTTTCATGCATCGCGTGCACTGCGTAAAACACATTTTATTTTCCGCCGTTGGGGTGGGTATGGCGTCGATTTGGTGTCGCCGTGAAAAACTGGAACAAGTCAAAAGAAAACCTTGAAAGTTTAAAAATAAGCCCTTGAAATCTTCAAACTGATTGAAATATACTAATAACTCGTATTTCATATTTTTGATGAAATTATCAATTTCGAACTTTTTTACTTATCGTGCCAGGACCCATTTTTTGATGGCTTGTGATTTTTGATGGTTCGATGGCCAGCCGGGAATCAGCTACAGCTTTTTTCAGATGAAGCTCAAGATTTCCAACACAATTTTTTTTATTGTCCACCTCAAAATGAATCAGAAATGGGTCGAAAAAAGTCAGACTTCTGGGTGTTCCCTATCGTTGGAATCTCTGAGAAGACCTGGAGCGTTATTCTGGAAATTATACTCATAAGGTTCCTCGGAAATAAAAGTTTTTTTTTTCTGAAAAATAAAGAAATGAATAATTTACAAAACGACCGCAGCAAAAGACCAGCCGCGTTTTGTGTTTGCCAATCTCGCGCAGGACGAGAAAATCGAACGGTGAATCGAAAACAATTGAAGCTTCTCCTGATAAGAATGAAAATATTCAAGAAAAGAACGGAAAGATGGCTCCAACTGATTCTCTTATCAGCATTGGCGTTGTTGTCCGTGTCACGAAATCGGTGGAAAACTTCGAAATGTTTCGCCAAGTGGTTTTCATGGTAGGGGAGCAGAAATTCACTATAGTCTTCTGAAAAAAAATTGAGAAATATTGTAATTTGCAGAGTTTTTTTATGGCGTGTTTATCGGACAAAACAAAAAGTGCTCCGAAACGCAAGAAAATTGCCTCCAAAACATAAATTAGTACTGTTTTGGAGCAACTATGGCGCGCCGGTGAACACGATTTTTCGTTTTGAAGCATGTCCCGTTTCTCCGATGAATACGCCACTAAAGATCACATTTTCCGTAAGGTTCAGTGTGTCGTGTGCATGCACCGCGGCGCCCTCGTACATACCGTGTTCAAGGTAATTTTCGCGAAATTCAAAATCATCTCGGAACGAACTTCAGTTGTGTTTTTCTTTTTCTGACGGCTATTTTGAACTTAGCGGAATTATTTTCAACACGGCAACGGAAAAATCGGGTTTTTATGAGAATTCGATTCGTCTCGGGACCCATTGAACATGCGCCTTTAATATTCCTTGTTTCCAATGATGTCACATGGGAACGGCGAAGGTTTTGACTCCGTCCCCTTCATTTTTGGTTTCGCATTCACTTCGACCAATCGACTTTATAAATAACCTAAACCCACCGGTACTTAAATTAGTATTAGCAATTTGGCCCTGATACGCTGGATCCAAAGATATAAAAGCGTTCCCTGAATCATTTTTTTCATTCAAAACACGGTAGTATAAATAAAAACCTGGCCGAAAATCTTTATCGATTGGTTCTTTCGGTGGCGGGGAAGGAGGATCAGTGGTGATCGGAAAAAAATTCTTGCATTAGTTCTCACTTTTTTTTTCTGCTTGTATTTTACAAACATTATTTCAATCTGCACGGAATTCCTAATGGGGTGAGGGAAGGTGAGCGAGGCGTCAAAATTTCTGAATTAACAAAAAAAAGCAAGTGCGCGCTCCGGATAAAATGACGTCATTCTACGTCACAAGTCACACTGAGTATTCGACGTTAATAACTTGTTTGTTCGATCGCTTTTGGCTGCGTACTTAGTTTGAATTTTCGCGCCAAATTTCTCTTGAAGTCTCCCCACCCCGTTTTTGATCTCTCAGATAACCTGAAAAACAGCTTTGTGATAGTGTTCCCAAAGGGCGATGAAAATCGTCTCGCGGACCGCTTCTCCAACCGTCGAGTAGAAGCCGTTCAACTGCGACTTTTCCTTGTCGAAAAGCCGCCAGAGTCCGCTTTTACGGTTGGCCTGTTCGCTCAGGCAAACTGGGGACGATATGACGCTGCACGGTACGGCAATCTTAAACCATTATCATTTTTACCAAGATCGGGCGGATTTTTTTGAAACTCAAATATGAAATTTATACTCTTTGGAAGTATAGGAATGATACATAGTTATAGATTATTGTGGTGTACTCAAGTGCGACCAACTTTTTAAAAAAACTGATTTATGCCGAGTTTAAGTTTAATACGAGTTTGTAAAGTGGTCCCTAAAGGGGAACCTTTAAGGGTCCCTAAGGTCCCCCTACAGGAGCCCCTCTGAAGTCCCTACCACTCTCCAAAGCGTAGCTACATTCTTCTTTCTCTGACGGTCATTTTTGGATTTCAGGGGGATCACTTTGAAAAACGCCATTAATTTAATTTTTCATCATTCTTATCAAGTCGAAGATTCGAACCGTTGCGGTTTCCGGCGCAGCTTCCAACAAGTCGCCCACATATTCCAACATCTTGCTCGCGCTCAGACCCTCGCCATCGTGTCTGCAGAAGCTCTTTTTTGCGTTGAAAAAATAATCAGAGCAACTTGAAGAGGTACAGTTTGAAGTCGGAGAAGTGATGTGGGAGCTCGAGCATGTGTACGTCGCCTTTTTTGAGCTGTTTGCATTCGGAAGCCGCAGTGATGTAGGGAGTCTAAAATAATAAGCCAAAAGATTTAGAAAAATATTCTTAGGACATGACTCATCAATTTTAATTTTCAAAAACTTGAGGCAATTTTCCTTCTCAGATGAATAAGGTAGGCAAAGTCGGAAAGGGGTGGAAAAGGCTCCATAGAAATGTTCCTTTTTGCTGCCTTTTTGCGCCATTTTCTCAACCCTTATGCACCATTTATGATGCCTCTCCTTTTTTCAACCATGTCGTGAGCCTTTAAAATCCAAGAAAAAAAAGAAAGGCTCTATAAAAAGACTTCTTTTGCTACCTTTCTGCGGCTTTTTTTTTGAGCCTCTCTCTTCTAGCGACCATTATCCACCATTCCGACTTTGCCCTTGTGCTTTTAATGTGTTGAAGTCGTATATCTATATCATCTATAATTAACAATAAGATCAGATTTCTTCGCAAATAGTCTCAAGTTTTGAAAATATGAAAAGTTACTGAGTTGTACTTACATAAGATATTCCTGTAGTACCCTTTGCAGAGCTGCTGTAAAATGAGCCATCTGAAATTGAATACATGATTATAGTCCATTCTTCGCGATTCGAAAGGGCGGGACTTCTCTGCGCCCTTCTCATCTCTCGGCGACTCTCTCATGTTTACGTGCAATTTCCATGTTTCTCTGACCTCGCAGGTGAGGGAACAGAGAGACGCAGAGACGCGAGACTATATTTCAACTGATTGAAACAAAATATACCATTGACAACCGATGCAGAGCCGGCCTTCCAGTGGAACGTGCAGTCGATCGCCGAGACAGCCAACATTTGAGATCGACTTTTCAAAAATTTTCATATTTTGGTGAAATTCAATTTACCAATTCGGTCCGCCTTTTTCTTTGACGCAGTTAGTCAAACGGCCAGAGGTCGCTAACTGCAAAGTCAAAAGATGTAATATAGCCTGTGTACCACGAATTTCACCGAACGACATTCCGCTGTGCCGCTGCGCGCCTTTGCGAACCTTGGTCGTGCTTTTAATTTTTTTTTTCCTTTTATAAGGTGTTCTACTTTCATGTGCTTCCACAGCAATAACAATCAAATGAAAGGCGTGACCAAGATTCGAAAGACGCTTTGCGAACGCACGCAGCGGAACAGCGGAATGTCGTTCCGTGAAATTTCAAGTCGTGGCACACAGACTATAACCAAATATTCCAAGGAAAAACCGAAATCTCCTCATTAATTTCATGAATTATCGACAAGCCGTCGTGATCCGAAGCAAAACTTTTGAAAACAATCGGAGGTCTCTTGCTCTAAAATTTGGATTTTACATGATAACAAACTGGTGAAAAAAATACTTTTCCATTATAATATTGAGCAGCCTTCAGCACACAACTTTCTCTGGGGAAGAGCGATGGCTAAAGGAAATCGATTAACTCCTTGAAAATTTTTTTTCAGCGACCTGAAGTTCGCTGAACAATCGGACGGCGTTCGGGACATCTTCTTCAATGTCCACGTGAAGATTTATCAAAGAATCCTCGATTTCAACGTTTTCGTCTTCACCAATCACTGATAAATAAGATTTTTTTAATCAACCAATATAATTAAGATCTAGGTAGGTGCCTCGAAACGAGAACAGTCATCTCAAATCAAGACATTACATATCTCGGGCCGAATTATGAATAAAAGGGAGAGGCTCAAAAAAGGCCGCAGAAAGGCAGCAAAAAGGGTCCCTTTTTTCTTTGGCTCCTTTTTTGCTGCCTTTTTGCGCCATTTTATCGGCTCTTATGCACCATTTTTGCTGCCTCTCCCTTTTTCCACCAATTATTGAGCCTTTAAAATCCCAGAAAAAAAAAAATAGAAAGCTCAATAAAGGGACCCTTTTGCTACCTTTTTGCTGCCTTTTTGCTGCCTTTCTGCGGCCTTTTTGAGGCCTTTTGGCGGCCATTATCCACCATTTCGACTATGCCCGGAACTCGAAGAAAATGCAGAAAACCCACAGTTCTGTACAAACTTCGTAACATCTGACTCAGTTTTCCCTTGAGCCGCGTTCAGCAGAATTCCCCAACCGCGAGCAGCCTAAAAGTTAGGAATCTTTGAAGGTATAGTCTGTTCAGAGTTTGAGTGTCAAGCAGCGAGCTCCGCCTTCAACAACGCTCTGTAGATGGCTCGCTCTCTGATTGGTTTAATATAGGGGCGGAGTTTGAGCGGTGACTTGACATTCAAAATCTGATCAGAATATATTCCAAGAGCCTAATGAAACCTGTAACGGACTAACGCAGACGTTTGTTCGGTTGGTCTCTGCACGCAAATTTCTCTAAAATCAGTATGTGCTGACTTTTTTATGACTCAAACTCACGATAGAATCATCACACACGTTCAATTCAATAAAGTTCGGCTTCACCGATGTCAAAACGTCGCAAGCGTAGTTCAAGAGCGCAGAGTTTGCCTTCTCAACTGCAATAAAAATAAAATTAAAAGAAAAATTCTTCGACATGACAAACATGCTTCTTTTTCAAACGCAACTTCCGAAAAAAAAGTTTTAAATAGTTATTATTCATTTTTTATATTTGAGGCATGTTTTGAATTTTAGAAACCACGGACATACTCGGGAAAAGTCAGAATGGTGAAAAATGGCCCCAAAAGGGTGCAAAAAGGCTGCAAAAAGGATGCAGAAAGGCAGCAAAAAGGCAGCGAAAAGAGTCCCTTTATCAAGCCTTCCATTTTTCTAAGATTTTAAAGGCTTGATTGAAGGGAGAGTCAGTAAAAAGGGTGTATAAGAGCCGATGAAATGGTGCAAAAAGGCTCCTTTTTTGCTGCTTTTTTGCTGCCTTTTAGCTCCCTTTTTGCTGCCTTTTCGCAGCTTTTTTTTAGCCTCTCCTATTTAGAGGCCACTATCCACCCTTCCGTCCTTACCCAAGGAAAAAAAAATTACCTATTTACGAATTTGGTTACTCACCTCTTTCAGCTGTTGGCTCCGTCAATTTCGTTCCCAAGCCACCAAAGCAACCAATATTCTTCTAGGAAGAAATTTGGACCTCATTACAAAATTTCGAATATTCCAACCAAATTCGAAGCGGCGAACTTTGCTTCAAAAAATGATGCATTTCCCGAAGTCAAACCACTTGAAAAAGTGGTCGGTTGTAGCTGGAATTCAATGTGATTCATTATTTTTACTCGAATTCTGTTCACAATTCTTGAGGTGCTGGTGACCGAGACTTTGCCAGTTTGAGATAAGAAGCTGTTTCTTCGCCGCAGGGCTCCCGTCTTCGACCGGTTATGACGGCTCTGAAGTTCAACCGGATTTCGTAAGCTCTATTTATTTATTTTCTTTAGGTTAGAAGACTTTCTTTTCTGGTTTTTTCTTCATTAAGTTCTGCATAGGCAAAGTCAGAAAGGGTGGAAAGGTCCTTTTTCTGCCTTTTTGCGTCATTTTCTAAGCCCTTATGCACTATTTCTACTGCCTCTCCCTTCTTCCACCATTTCTTGAGCCTTCAAAATTCCAGAAAAATTGAAGGCTCGATAAAGGGACCCTTTTTGCAGCCTTTATGCGGCTTTTTGGCTGTCTATTTGTTGCCTTTTTGCTGCCTTTTTGCGGCCTTTCTGCGGCCTTTTTTGAGCCTCTCCCTTTTAGCGGCCATTATCCACAACTCCGACATTGCCCGATAAATGAAAGAAAATCCAACTTGGGTGGTAGCAGCCTGGTGGATCATCACTGTCGAAGCGAAAGTAGAAATGGCAAAAAAGCACGCAGAAAATTTATTTCCGGGGGGAAAACGTCCTTTGTTTTTTTTAAACTGTTTATTGCATCTTCAATGTAAGAATACATGTGCAATCGACTTTCATTGAGTTAACTGTGTTTGAACGGCGGTAGGAGCTGTGGCAGAGAAGTTTTGAATTTGGCTCGTAGAACATCAGGTACAAGAGAGGTCGTCGGAAGAAGTACGATGCCGGCTTTCCGAAAGCCGATGGCAGAGATTGAGCCTTTTCGCTGCATTCAGCTTCCAATTTTATCTACCCCGGAGGGATGAAAGGCTTGGTCGACCTCGGGGGGACTCGAACCTACGACCTCGCGGACGTTAGAAATGAGTCTTAACCAGTTGAGCTATGCCGTTTTAAATGAATAATTTTGGGTGTTCCACTTCGGTTTTTTTCAAGTTTCCATGGTCAATGTGTTAGTCAGTGTTTTTATCATCAGTGTCTTTCATTCTTTGTTTTGACAGTTTCTCGAGAACCCCAGTAGATGTAACAGCGTGAAAAAAGGAAGCCAAGACAAAAGGAAGTGACTTCCGAAACCGGTTATCATGAAGTGACTGTGGCGCATTGGCCGTGCCAAACTGCTTGGTTCTCACCTTTTTTTTTCAAGTTGGAATCGTCGTCATTTTCTTGTTTACAGGAAGATCAATGCTTTCATTATTGATTTTCGCGGGTCTTTTCCAATTTTCACACGCACTTGGCAGAACACAATCCACAGCGGTTGAGGGCGAGTTTTTATTTATTTTTGAGTTTCGATCAATTTTGGAAATTTTTAAAACGATAAATATAGCAATGAAAATTCTTTACAGTTCCAAATGTCAGATTTTATCTTTTTTTGATTTTTAAGCGTCTTGGTCACACCTAGGGATGACTTAGCGCGTCGCCGTAGGAAGTCTAGACAAATTTCGGCTAGTCGGTCTGATATTTTCCAGTGTCATTGTGCGAATGCCGTTTCGAGTCGGGCGCACTTTGTAATAGCAATTCTTAGGAATTTTAGAGTGGTCCTTATAGGGGTTAGGAGGAAAAACAGCCCCTATAGGGGCCGAAAAAATGGTCCCGATAGGGGTAAAATCAAGGGGTCCCTATAGGGTTTAGGGCCTGACCCCTTAGCCTCTCAAGCTCAAGTGGTCCCTATAGGGCTCTAGAGCGCTCTTTCAATTTTATTAAAAAAAGGTTATAGGATTAGTTTTTGCAGAGATAATAAAGTATATCGGCTAGAATGTCTCCTATAGCGGCCACTAACGGAAAACCCTATAGGGACCACTTTTGCAAGTTTAGTGGCCCCTATAGTTTTGCAGGGGCCCTTTAGGGACCACTCTGGAGTTTCTAATTTAACCGTCGAGCTCTTTCCTGTGAGGCCAGACCATGAATCTTCTCAAAATTGAAATTATAAAACAAAAATTTTTTGATTTTAAGGAATTTTATCAGTTTTTCACCTCATTAGCTAACCATTTCTTAACACTTTCATAACTTTGAAGATTTTTAATTTTCAGGACAATTAATCTGTAACGATGAACCAGCGGTCGGCGTCCTTGTCAAGCTTTACGAACATGATGCACGTAAGTCAGAAATACCCAAAAATACATTTTTTCACTCATAAATAATTTTTCAGTATCACCAGATGAATTGATGGACTCGGCGAAAACCGACGCACAAGGCAAATTCAAGCTTCAGGGAACGGCCGACGAGTTCTCAACCATTGAGCCCAAAATCAACATTTATCACGACTGCAACGATGGAATTTTGGTAATCCCGAACTTTCTCGAGTGGAAAAAATTTTTTTTCAGCCGTGCCAAAGAAAATTGGCGGTTTACATTCCGAGTGTCTACATTTCCAGCACAAAACAGCCGGAGAAGGTGTTCAATTTGGGACGGATGCAGTTGGCCGGCAAATTTACCGGAGAGGAACGCGATTGCTTGCATTAGTAGCTTCTTGAGAATGAATTTTTGATTTTGAACTGTTCAAAACGTTTTTTTGTGTTTTTTTCTGGAAGAGAAGTTTTGCTTTTTACGGCGTTTTTGTTAGTGGAAGAAATTGCGAAATTCTCATGCAAAAAAATGCGATTTTTCTGTTGCCGTTTTCAAAGTGATTTCGCGAAACTCAAAACAGCCACCAGAGAGTGAAAAATACAACTGAATTTCGGAAATTCAGAGATTATTTTGAATTTCGCGAAGTTTTTTTTTTAAAAGGCATGCGCGAGAGCGCCGCAGTGTATGCACACGACACACTACACTTTACGGAAAAAATATTGAGGGCGTCGTCAAAAAAACTCCGTATTTACCAATAAACGTTTATTGTCCCATACAAAACAAGGTCAATTTTCAGTAATAAGCTCCATTTTGCGGTGGCATGTTTTGGTCTTACGAAATTCAATTATTCGGAAGTACTCGGAAAGCAAGTTTAAAGAGACAGAATGAAAATCATTTGAAAGTTAGTTTGAAAATTTAGTAATAATTTAATTTTCCGCTTCAAATTTGCCAATGCCAATGTTTAAAAATTTAAAAACCTCCTCAATCAATCGGTTCTCCTGCTTTAATATCATGGATAGCCCTTTGCGTTTTTTTATTTAATTAAATTTTAATAATAAATTATCTTAACCGGTAACATTTTTACTAGTTTGTTGTCTTGTTTTTGGACTTTTTATTTAATTTAGATTCCCTTGAATGAATCTCTTTCATCATTTTGAAACATTCTGAACTTGGAATATATACAACAGCAAGTGTAATGTTTATTGTAAAATAGTGAAAGTTCGTTATTTCAATCAAATTCTTCACTCGAATCATATTCAGGGATGAAGAACCCCTCCCCATCCGTTCCGACGTCGTGCTCGGGTTCAGTTTTGGCAACGACGGTGGAAACGAAGATTTGAAGTATCGAGAAGGATATTAACAGGAGGACGAAGAGACGGTTCATTTTTGGAAAGAAAAATGAAAAATCGTTACGTTTTTAAAGGTTTGAAAGAGAAAAAAACTTTTTTTGTTCCCATCATAATTTGATTCCTTTTTAATTTTTTTGAGAATGATGTGAAAGAGAAAAACCATTCACGTTGGAAAAAAATCATCTTTGTGAAATTTGTTTAATGCTTTGATTTGGATCACAGTTTTAGCTCAAGAGATTTTCATGAAAACATAATAACATCATTTTACGCGCTTCCTTTCTCAATATTTAATAATCAGAGCTGCGTAACGATGACGCAAAAAAATATGAAATTGCGTCGAAAAACAGCCTGAAAAAGTCCAGAACACCGTGGAAGCCACTAGAAAAAAATAAATATTTTTCTTTTTAAAATATAAAATAAAAAGAAGAATATAAAATAAACCATAAAAAGAATATAAAATAAATCAAGAAAAAAACATTCTTGAAAAATCGAATTCGAGTAAACAATTCTGGAATTACGTCAAATCAAAAACACGTGTAATCAAAGAGCCTTCTGCATTACTTTTGAACGATGAACTGATCACAAATGACAGGGCCAAAGCAAATGTATTTAATGATTACTTCAGCAGCGTATATACAGTTGATGATGAAAAATCTTTCGATCCAGTTTTCAAACCTCAATTCACTATAGACAACGTGAGCGTAGAACCTCATGTTGTATATGAAGCATTGAAAAAATTAAAACCTCTTTACTCATCCGGACCAGATAACTTATCATCAATTTTATGTAAAAAACTTGCCCTTCCCCTAGCGTTGCCTTTATCATTAATATTCCAGAAGTCATTGGATACCTCAATATTGCCTTCTTTTTGGAAGAAATCAATAGTTAGACCAATTTTCAAAAAAAATTGCCCTCAAAAAGCGGAAAACTACAGACCTGTGAGCCTAACATGCGTTCCATGTCGTGTCTTCGAATCTATTACTGTCCGAGCTTTAAGAAATCACTTATGGAGCAACAATATACTCTCTGATTCACAGTACGGCTTTCTCAACAATAGAAATACAACGACGCAACTTCTTCAAAAAAACAGAAGTTTTTTTAATCGAGTGCGCCAGTAGAAATCAGAATGTGGACGTTGTTTATTTAGATATTAGTAAAAGCTTTCGATTCAGTCACGCATAGGAGGCTCATTAAAATGTTAAAAAGCTTATGGGTGTGTAGGTCGCTTACATAAATGGTTTTCACAGTACTTAACCAATAGAACTCAATTTGTCCGCCTTAATGATGAGGTATCCAACGAAACCGAGGTGTTGTCTGGGGTTCCACAAGGAAGTTGCTTAGGACCGTTGTTTTTCTTGATATACATAAATGATATAACTAGTGTCGTAAAACATAGCAAAATGCTCATTTATGCAGATGACGTAAAATTATTCATAAGCTCAGAAATTGATAATTATAACCTCAAGCTGCAATCAGATATTAACTCAATAAGATACTGGCTTTTAGAAAGGCAACTATCTATTTCTAGCTCTAAAAGCGTCTATGTGCGGTATGGTAAAAGAAGGGGAATCTGGAACGACTATAGAATAGGAGAGGAATCCATCCCCAAACAAGAGGTGATTAGAGATTTAGGAGTTAATTTCAGTTCCGATCTGAAAATGCATCATCATATCGACATAATAGTCAAAAAAAAGCATTCGTATAATCAATAATCTTTTTCCGTTGCTTCACTTTTTTTCCGTCAAAAAAACTTTATGAACTGTTATAAAGCCAAAAATTCTACCAATTTTAGAGTATGGATCGGAGCTATTCTCTCCACTAACCCAATCTGACATAAACAGGCTAGAATCGGTTCAAAAGAAAAATTCACCAAACGGCTTCTCCCAAAAAGAAACCTATGCTGTAAGACTAAAATCCCTTTCTCTAGACACTCTATGGACAAGGCGTCTGCGAAAAAGATATCATAATTACACATCAGTTCATATATGGCTATTATTGGTGTCCATCTCCATTCAAATTACAAACGATATCAAATAGACGAAACCAACTGAGAGGCAACGGCCTTAAACTCGAACCACCACCAATCCATCATGTTCACTATAACTTTATTACGCAACGCGTGTATAAATACTGGAACGGCTTAAACAGAGTTATGGTTTTTTTGAGGATGACCAAAGAAGATTTAAAAAGTTGTTTGAAAAAAATTGGTTCTTGATAAGGAAGCTGCAAATTTCACAAAAATGATTCAACTCGTTTATAGATTACTTTTTCTTTTTGATTCTCTTCGATTTCGACCTAAAAATATTTTTTTAGATTAAAGTGGAACTTTATCGAAGTGGAGGCAAATATAACTTTCATGGTTCTCTTCCTCCACGCCACAGATCTGTCTGTGAGCGAAATAAACATTCATTCATTTAAAAATGGATGTATTTTAAAATTTTTGCCTTGATTTTTCAAAAACTAGCTATGATGTGTTCATCATTGCGTAATAGTTAAGTCAAATTTAAGCCTCGAAATGTGCGGATCAACTAATTTCAATATGATGCTTCATGAGAAATCTCTTTGGATTTGAAATTTTTCCTACTGATTTCGCAAAAAAAGCGTCTTGTCAGGGTATATAAAGGCCAAAAAAATTTCGTTATTTCATTATTTTAACTTAAATTTTTTTACGATCTTGTTAAAATTTTTTTGATCATTCGAAGCATATCTCTTATAATGTTTCTTTGAACTTTGAAGCCTTTTTCGCTAATTTTCCGACTAAATTTCTCGAAAAATGGCGTAACAGACTTAGGAACTTCAGAGGGGCCCCTATAGGGGCAGGGGGACCTTGGAGGGTTCTTTTAGGGACCGCTAAAGCTTGCAGAAGTGGTCCCTATAGGAGTTTTAGTTAGTGGTCCCTATTGGGGATATGCTGGTTGGTAATGTTTATGCTTTACCATTTTTGAATAAAACTGAGCGACCCCTATAGGGACCTCTTAATCTTTAGGGGCTAAGGAGTCAGGATCTCAACCCTATAGGGACCACTTTTTCGGCCCTTATGAGACTGTATCCACTTTATTAACCCCTAAAAGGGCCACTAAGGTTTGCGAAAGTGATCCCTAAAGGGGACATGCTAATCGATAGTTCTTATTAACTTTGAGAAAAGAAGCACTTCCACAGCAAAAACTGAAAAAAACGTTTTTTTAATGAAATTGAGAGACCCCTATAGGGTCCATTTGAGCTTTAGGGGCTAATGGGTCAGACTCTAAACCCCTATAGAACCACTTTTCAGGCCCCTATAGAGGCTGTTTTTCCCCCAAACCCCTGTAGCACTCTAAAATTCCTGAGACTTTTGCGGACTTTAAAAAAAATTTTGGAGCAATTTTGAGCTTCAACCCCATTGATATCGATGACGAAGTTTGTGATCTACGAAAATTTCGCATCAATTAGGCTTTTCAGAAAGCCTCAAAGCCCCTGCACAACCTTGCAAAAGCTCCGATTAAATCGAAGAAAAAAAAAACCGTGAAAAGCTGCAATTTAAACTTGCAGACACGGGGGTTTTGCAAGCGTGAAGGCGGATTTTGGACTAGGCGATTGGGCGTCTTTGATCCCGGTAGTTACTTCCGCCGCACATAAAAGCCCGCCTCCGTGCACTTTTCCCTCAAATTCGCTTCTGATTATTTTCTTTTTTGGAAGACATTTATCACGGTGTTTTTGTCAGTTTTGGACTTTTGTAAAGTCTTATTTTGAATTTTTTTTTTTTGTATGAAAATTTTGAAATGCACACTTCAACTTTTCGAATTTCTTCTTTCATAAATTTCGCCTTTAAACGCATATTTTGAAATATCAAAATTGCAAAGCATTTTTTTCAAATTACAGACAGCTTTCCTTGATTTTTTCTTCACAGCATTGGATTTAATATATCACAATTCTGAAAAAATAGCCTTTTTCGGCCAACTCAGTCTTGAAAATTCCAAAAAGTTGGCTCAATTTTTTTCCAGAATGAACCGCGTTTTGAGCTTTTTCCTTGTTAAAAAAACGAGTTGTTTGAAAAAAAATTTTTTATTTTTCATAATTTTACTATTTTTTTATTATTGAAAAAAAGGCAGTTTTGAAATTTTTTTAATTTCTCAACTTCTGGTCCGATTCAGGAAATTATTTTTTTCCTAATTTTTCAAGCCTAAAAGGCTTTGAGAAGAAATTTTCTGCTTGATATTCGAAATTTTACATTTGATGAAAAAAAAAATATATTTTTCGGACTCTGACAAAGGGAGGTCATATCACTTTGCGGTTGGGAATTTCTTGAAAGTTGGTCAGAACGCTCCTTGAAGTACCAGATGAAGATCCTGGAAGTATCAACTTGCAAAACTTCCTAGTTTTCGAGAAAGGAGCGCTCAAAGCTTTAGTGAGGTGTCTTTTCTCAAAACCTGAGAAGTTGTGCATTTTAAGACTTTCAGAATCTTCATCTGGTACAAAACGAAGAAAAAATCGAAAATCCGGAAGATGGGAAGCCTGTTGTCCATAGAGCAACTTTACTGCAAAGCGCCCTTTTTGGCGGCAACTCAAACTTTCCTTTCTCCGACTTTGAGTTATTTGTTCTCCAAAACTAGGAAGTTCGGTACGTTTTCAATTTCACCGTTCGATTCGCAATGAAAAGCTCTACAAACTACTGCTTTGAACTGAAACACCGTTTTTTACTGCCCCTATGCCTTTAAGGAGGGTTTTGACCAATTATCAGGAAATTCCCAACCGCAAAGTGAAATGACATCCCTTGTGAGGTCTCTCTTTGGGGGGAATTTTTTGCACGTGCTTAACCCACAATTTGAAAAATGGATAATTCTACCTTCTGAACGCCGAAACTTGCGTAAGAGCTTAATTCCATGCTGACACTTTTCTGACGCCATTTTTTCGTATCTGAAGAATTTTTTTTGAGGACGAACGTGATGAGCAAAGCTTCAACGAGCTTTGCGAAAAGCTGTTATAAAGACGCGTTTCCTCTGGTGGTCTACTGTACCAATGTTGGTTCACGTTTCCCAGTTTAGAGGCTTGAAAATTGTAGAAGAAGTCTGTGTGCCACGACTTGACATTTCACGGAACGACATTCCGCTGTTCCGCTGCGTGCGTTCGCGAAGCGTCTTTCCAATCTAGGTCACGCCTTTCAATCGATTGTTATTGATGTGGGAGCACATGAAAGTAGAGTACCTTGAAAAAAGAAAAAAAAAACAAAACAAAAGCGCGACCAAGGTTCGCAAAGGCACAGCGGAATGTCGTTCGGTGAAATTCCAAGGCTATAAGAGAGCTTCAAGAGGGAAACATTTTTCAGCATACCATAAAACAGACGGATCTGCAAAAGGAGCTGGACGAGGTGACTAAGGAGCGCTCTCCGTGGCCTTACATGTCGGGGGCTCCTGAGGTCTCATATACTTTCCATTTCCCTTAAAGTTTTGACTCCAGGTCCTGACTTTCGGCTCGAACTTCATCAAAATGATCAACGCGAAGCGTATCCTCGACATTGGTACCTACACGGGTGCCTCTGCCTTTGCTTGGGCTCTGGCCACGCCGGAGGATGGAGAGGTACGGTACTTGTTTGGGGGAATGAAGTTCAAAAGAGATTTTTGGAAAGCTCAGGAACTTCAGAGTGGTCCCAATAGGGGCAATTTTTAGAGACCCTTGGAGGGTCCCCTCTAGTGACCACTTTACCAACCCCTATAGGGGCCACTGAAGCTTGCAAAATTGGTCCTATATAGGTTTTAGATAGTGGTCCCTATAGGGTAAAGGCTAATCGATGATTTTTATGAGCTCTATGTGAAGCATTTTCATGCAAAAAAACTAAAAAAAAACTTTGAACAAAATCGAAGAACCCCTATAGGGTCCACTTAAGCTTTAGGGGCCAAGGCGTCAGACCCTCAACCCCCATAGGGACCACCTTGATTTTACCCCTATAGGGACCACTTTTTCGGCCCCTAAAGCGGCTGTTTTTCTCTCTAACCCCTATAGGGACCACTCAAAAATTCTTAACTGTGTCGCAGAAAATTTTTCAAGCTTGCACTGATTTTGAGCAATTGGCGATCGCTAATTCAATTTTTTTCACTTTTTCCTATGTTCAATATATTTATCATTTCATTCACGATGGAAGGGTCTCAAAAAGGTCTTGACACGATTAGCGAGAGAATGCGCAAAAAGCAGATCATCTTACGACGCTTTTTCGATAAGCTAGCTTGTGAAGCAACTACAGTCTAGTTTGCAATAGAGTCTTGGGGTTTTAGAGGGCAAACTGGCCTATATGAAGCATCATCACTTTGGATCCCATAAATCAATTGATTTATCAGATTTTGACAACTGACCTTAAAGATAAGGTTTTTCTCTTTAATTTAAGTTTTTCCCTAAGGTTTTTTGAGATTGCTACACAATTTTGAACTTTTTGGTTCCTGAAACATGAATTCAGGTCACCTAAAACCAAAGTTATGATTTTTCGAATTCAAGAAATGACCTTGTGAGGTTTTTTCGAAAATATTTGTTTTCTTTTTAGGAATATCGAGCACACAATCCCTGTAGTAGTTGCTTAGGATCACTTGCGAAGGTGGTCACTCTAGGGGAACATGCTAGTCTTTTATTCTTATGAACTCAATGAGAAGAAACATTTCTGCGAAAAATACAATAAATAACGGTTTTATGAATGAAAAATGCCAACAGAAGATAATTATTTCGAGTTTTGCTAATTAATTTCAAAAAATCAAAAGTCCCCTATAGGGACCACTTAAGGTTGGGAATCCGACCCTAAACCCCTTAAGGGACCACCTATTTTGCCTTCTATCTTTTGCTTTTTCCCTGAACCCTCTAGAGACCACTCCGACGATTTCCTAACCAGAGAACGTTTTTAAATATTCAAGGTCTATACCTTGGACGTCTCTTTCGAGATCTACGAGTGCTTCGGAGTGCCAACCATCTCCCAGGCGGAGGAGTTCAAGAAGATCAAGCCGATGAAGGGACCTGCCCTCAAGACTCTTGGTGAAGTTTCTTTGCAACTTTCGGTTGGGGTTAAAGGCGTAGAGCTAGAAAAACGAATATGCTTCATTTTGAAGAAAATTAGCTGGATCATAGGCGATTAGTTAGGAAAACTTGCCGAGGTTCATCAGGAACGAAGAGCTTTAGTTATATATTCATAATTTTCAGACACGTTCATCAGCGAAGGACAGGCGGGTACCTTCGACTTTGCCTTCATCGACGCGGACAAGGTTAATGAAATTTGAGGAAATATCAAAAATAACTTGAATTTCCTAGCCAAACTACGTCAACTACTACGAGCGCGTAATGGTCCTCTTACGCAGCGGCGGAGTCATCTTCGTTGATAATGTTCGAATTTTCCGTTTATAGAGAGCTTCTTTTGAACCACTGTTTAGTCTGTGTGCTTTCGGAATCTTAAATATACGAAAAAATTAAAAGCGCGCAAAGGCACGCAGCGGAACAGCGGAATGTCGTTCGGGGAAGTTCCAAGCCGTGGTACACAGACTACAGTTACAGATATTTTCCAAAAACCATTCTGAAAATTGATTGCTGTCAATGAGTTTTTGAATTTATGAGAAAAATATATTGGCCATTATTAGCTCCAGGAGACTTGGCCCTTATAGTAACCGAAAAAGTGGTCACTATAGGGGCAATGTTAGACGCTCTTAAAGGGTCCCCTCTAGGGACCATTTTACCAACCGCTATAGGGGTCACTTAAGCTTGCAAAAGTGGTCCCTATAGGGAAATTTTAGTCGATAATGAAACTCTAAGCGAAGAAGCATATCCATGGGAAAAACTGAATAAATACCTTTTTTGAATGAAATTGATTGACCCTTATAGGGTCCACTTGAGTTTTGAAGCGCTAAGGGGTGGGACTGTAAACCCCTATAGGGTCCACTTGAGCTTTAGGGTCTCAGGGGCCAGGATCTAAACCCTTGTAAAGTCCACCTTGCATGGACCACTTTTTCGGCTTTCATAGAGGCTTTTTTCCCACTAACCCCTATAGGAACCACTCTGGAATTCCTAAAATCCTTCGTAGGTCTAGCCATGGAGACGAAATTTCCTCTTCGCAAGTGGAAACTGAAACGACTGGATTCTTTTAAATTGATATACTCAATTTTTTCGACTTGAAAAAGATTCCCGCCAAAAGCCGCGACGCGTACGCAACGCGTTACCCTCGCCAAGTCGGGAACGTTATTGAAAAATTTTGACTTTGAGGCTCTCTGGGAAGGTCGTGTCATGGACACTGCGAAATATTCGGATGAAGCTACCCTTGGAATCGACGAACTGAATAAAAAGGTTCTTGAAAATATTTGAAACTTTCAAATCCCTTCATTTTCTTTGTAGATCTTCGAAGACGATCGGAGCCTCTCCGCCTTGGTCAACCTCGCTGACGGACTCCACATTGCGTTCAAAATTTGAACGATAAGTTTCGAGAAACTTATGCACCGTGTTAAACTTTTTCTTCCGGTATAAATGAAGCAAAAAAAAATTTACAATGTCAAACTCTGAGGTTTTTTCTTTTCCATGATTAGGAAAATAATCGCCTTATCAAGCACATGGACAATGAAGCGATGAAAGAGAAAGGGGGGCATAAAATCGTTATCGCAAAGTTTCCACAAACAATTGAATATACATGAATAATTGTTTCACGGCTAGATTGGGACAAAAAGAGAGGTGTCTGAATCTCTTTTCTTGGCACACTATCTTGTCGAGCTTGCTGAGAATCTGATCAAATACTTTTTCTCAAGCCAACGATGAAAGTATAGCTGATTCACGGCCAGCTTGGGACGCTAAGGGGGCGTGTCCTGTCTGCGCTCTCCAGGAGCCAGGCACTATCTCGTGCATTATCGCGTCAGGACCCTTTTTTCGATGGCTCAAGCCAGCAGTGAATCACCTATATATTTTGAAAAATCTGGATCAGAAGGGAAAGCTTATTAGATAAAAGTTCCACAATGCACGCGCGCTTTGCGCTTCGAAACTTATTTTAGCAAGGCGCTTTAATTTTTAACTTAACTGATGACTTACTGAAAATCTTACACTTTTTATCGATTTTTTCGTTTTTCAATATATAGTAAGCTATCAAAAGAGCTCGCATTTCAAAATCTAACCGTGAAAAAAAAAACTATGGATTTTAAATACAGCTATTTAATAACAATTGTTATGTATCCGACGAGCGAGGGAGCCTCCGGCGATCGCTGCAACATTAGAGAAAATCGCTCCGACCAGTGCCAAGTAGACGGAATATGCAGCCTGAATTAGAATGTCTATTCAATAAGCGTTTTTATCTCCTACCGAAATTTCGAAAAGCGGCGTGTTAACGTAGCCGTTTCTGTAGTTGGTCATGAAGATGATGAAAGCGATCAATCCGAGAACGCCAGCGAGAGTACAGGCTGCGGAAATCATGTGGATCCAGTGCCTCAAGCGATGGCCTCCGCCATGGCGCCGGTAGAGGTGTCTGGAATATTATATTGATAGATTTGATTGAAATATGGCGCTCGAATTATTTGAAAAATAAATGAAGCTTTTCTCAGAAGTTGTGTACTGGAAACTTTATTGGCACTCATCTCAACGAAAAACCGAGGATTTTTCTCATTCTTTTGAAATTTCATCACTTCTAGTTTAGGGTAACTTAAAAGATATAAAATTTAGTTTGATATTCATGCCTTTTTTCAATTTTTTCCTGAAAAAAGCTCGTTTCCGAAAAAAATGTCGGTGTATGCACAATTTAAACCTACAGTGTGCCAAACCGGAGGCTCTGGCCAAATGTAAATGCTTTTCAAAAGTTCAATAGGATTTATATGACTCACCCTAATGGGAACAAGGCAATCACCACGAAAAAGTTGAGGCCGACAGCAAAGTACATCATCCACGAAACGGCTTGAAACCATCCTACGGCGTTCTTAAAAGATTCAATATGATCAAAGTTCGACTTCAACTAGACTTACTGGTTGGTAGGGCACGATGCCGGTATAACTAGTGACGGAATAGCGATAATATTGGACTGTCACCGCAAACCATCCTGTAAATCGAGAAAAAAGTCAACTAAAATGCATTTCAAAGCTATACCATCTGTGAAAACTGCCACAGTTGTTAATATCATCCCAACAATGGCCATAATGCCCATGGTTCCAAGGAAGGGAAGCATTGCTGAAAACTGGATTACATTATATATATATATATTTCTACAAAATCATTCAATTCATCTAGTACGAGACAAAAAAAAAGCTTGCAAGTTTGGAAGAAAACAATTTCGAAAAACTGAAAGCAATTAGAAACGTAATCAAGGCATTTCGGGCTTGCTTAAATACGAATTGCTTACGGCACATCTTATCAAGAAAAAGTGACGGCGCTCTTATTTATCTGTCGCTGATTCATTCAAACAAAAGTTCGATGAGTCGCCGAAAATGTCAAATTTAATTCCGATTGATTTCGTGAACTTCGATGAAAACATTTTCACATCATTCTCGCTAAAAAACGAAAAATATGACATCGAAGCACTTAAAAACCACTTGAAACTTTTAAATTCGCCCCGGTTTCCCCTATATAAACGGCTTCCAAGACAGAAATGGAGCCTCGATGAAGTTTTTCGCTGTCCTTTCGTTGTTATTCTTCGTCTTCGTCGCCGTCTTCGGGTCGAACGACTACAGCAGCGCTGAAAAGGCCTTCATTCTGGGCCACGACGAACCAGACTACATTCACGAGTTCGACACGAGCATCAAACCGAAAAACTGATATGTATTTGATGGGATAAATTTTAAATTATTGTTAATAAATAATTTTTTTCGCGTCGAGAGTAAAATAAAAACCTTAAAAAAGTATTTTTTTTATTTGTTGAAATCGCTGAATGTCTTTTTGGCGCATTTGTGTGTTCACTCGAAGACTTCTTACCGCGTTCGAAACTATCGAGCTTCTTCAATTTGATTAGCCGCGTTTCCTCGTCTTAACTAAGTTCGGCTAGAACACGACGTTACCGAGTTTTTTTAGAGGCGCACCTTCATCCGTGTGAACTTATTTGAGACAAAAAGCGGTTCTCAGTGAGATATACTTTGCAAGACTTTCGTAGAACGGACGTGATCCTCGTTTGAATAAGACTTGTAATTGCCACTAAGAATAACTGACGAGATAAATGCGAGCTCGGTGGCGGTACATTGACGAACTCGCAAAAATGTCGCTTTTTTCTAGGCGCGATCCCGCATTTCTCTCGGCGCGACCTCGCATTTTTCTCGGCGCTATCTCGCATTTATCTCGCACTTCGAAAATTTTCAAATTGCGAGAGAAATGCGAGCTCGCGCCTAGAAAAGTGCGAGCTGGCGCCCAGAAAAATGCGAGACCGGCGCGAGAAAAAATGCGAGATGTTTGCGAGCTCGTCAATGTACCGCCAGTGTCTCGCGTTTATCTCGGCAGTTATTCTTAGTGTGATTAAAAATAGACTTTTCTCTGACGACGCCCTCAAAGGCGCCCCAAGGAGAAATCGTTTCTTGCATGACGTCAGTGGTTTGAAAAATCTTATGAGATGATTTCATTTCATTTCTAAGTACTTTTTGTGGCGATTGAGGTCATTTCTGACACGTTCGAGCATCAGCGACGTGGTCATTTCAACGATGAATGCTTATTAACTTCCGTCGCCGTGAAATTGGTTTGTTTTTTTTCCCATCTTTCCTCTTTTCCCCAAATTTTCTTATTCCGTATTGATGCTTCAGAAAAATGTCTTCGGATAGTGATGAGTATTTAGTGAGCAGTCCAACGGCAAAGGGAGTCCTATCTCAGACAATTTCATAACTCATTATCACGCATTTTAGTCTTTATCGATGAATCAGGATGTTGTGTTCGATTCGATACAGGATTTTTTGGAATTTCATGTGGAAGCGGAAGAAATGCGGCGACCGATTCGAAGAGTTTATATTTTTCATTATGAGTGGGATGGATGGATTCTTTCCAGATTTTAATAGCTACTAATGGGATCGCAGCAATCAAGGCAATGCAGTCGATACGTAGTTTCTTGCTCTGCACTTTCCGAAACAGTAAACTCGTTAAGTTCATTTGCATCGCTACAACTGATGAAATGTCATCGAGTTCAGGTTCCTTTAATGGAAATTTTGCGAAAAAAAAAGACTTGTTCAGAATATCTGAAATTCGCCGACGTCATAGTTTTCTCGCCAGCCGGCTCCAATAAATGCAATTTCGCCAATGTTGAAGAAATCGTCTCCCACGCCATAGAAAATCACGTTTTTCCCGATTTTTAATGTTTCAAAATTTTCCGATTAAGGCAGACGCAGTTTGGGCCGGCTGGGGTCACGCGTCGGAGAATCCATCGCTTCCAAGAAAGCTGAAAGAAAATGGAATAGCTTTTATGGGACCTTCGAGCGAGGCGATGTTCTCGTTGGGTGACAAAATTGCCAGTACCATTTTTGCGCAGGTTCTCTTTTTTAGAGGCTATCATATGTTTTTTTTGCACTTTTAAAGTTTTCATGAACTTATGATGGTTTTTTAGTTTTTTCACCCAGTTTTTAATTTTTTTTTTTAATGAGATATAAAACTTTGCTTGAGTGTAGAGGAAGTCGGTCACAATTTCTAAAAATTCAGAAAAAAAAATTGATAAGGGTATTCTTTTTCTTTGACGAAAAAAATTGAGTCCGAACTTTCGAACTTTTTTTTTTCAAAATCTTCTGTTTTCACTGTAGTTATTGAATACGCAGGAGTATTCCATTGTCTAAAATTTCATTGACTTAATACTATGAATAATTCAAAGCATTTTCAATTGTTCCATAAGGGTCTTTCGATCAAATTACTCTTTAATTAATTCTTTTTCGTTGCTCTCAATTCATGTTCTAAGAAAAATAATCAACAGTCCCTCAACGTGCCGACGATCGAATGGTCAGGAAGTGGCGTTGTCGTCGATTTGGACAAAATTACCGATAAACTTGATTTATTTCAACTCGATCATCATCTTTTCGAAGAAGCGGTTGTTCGGGACTGGAAACATGGCGTTCAAGTTATTCAGAACAAAGGAATTGGATTTCCGTTGATGGTGCGTCGGAAAAATCCAATAAAATAATAATTTTTTTCTAGATAAAAGCGTCAGAGGGCGGTGGCGGAAAAGGGATTCGGAAATGCACAAAAATTGAAGAATTCAAAGAACTTTTCGAGCAGGTTGCTCAAGAAGTTCCGGGATCCCCGATCTTTTTGATGAAATGTGTTAATGGAGCACGACATTTGGAGGTCCAACTTGTCGCCGATCGGTTTTTAATTGATTCTTGGGGTGTTATTGTGTATTTTTGCGTAGATACGGGACGATATTACCTCTGCAAACGCGAGATTGCTCGATTCAAAGACGGTGTCAGAAAGTGATCGAAGAGGCGCCGGCTTCTCTGGCCCCGTCGGCGATTTGCGAGGCCATGCAGAGGGTGCTTTTATCAGAATTGAGAACTTGAACTGAATAACGGCATGCTGGAAAAGTCGGTCAGAGTGCTCCCTATAGGGACATGCTACTCGATAATTTTTATGAACTCTATGCGAAGAAGAAATTCCATGGGAAACTGAATAAAAATCGTTTTTGAATGAAATTGAAAGACTCCTATAGGGTCCACTTGAGCTTTAGGGACTAAGGGGTCAGTTCCTGAACCCTTTAAGGAACCTTCTTTATTTTTTACCATTATAGGGAGCACTTTTTTTAGGCCTCTATAAGGGCTCTTTCCCCCCTCCTAACTCCTATAAGAATCACTCTAAAATCCTAAGTTCGGTTCTATATGACGCTTATTTTTTCAAGTTTTTCGAAATTTGAAAATTTTTTTAGGCTTTATCAAGGTTTTAACAGTTTTAAAGTGCGCATTTTTGTATATTATAACCTGTTTCGAAGTCCGTTTTCAAAAACTCTGGTCATTTAGTTTACAAAAATTCACTTTTTTTTCGTATTTTGCCAAAAAATGCTCTCAAACCTTGAAGAACACTATTTTGCAAGCCACATATTTCGATTTTTAGATTAAGTTAAAAAATTTTTTTTGTAAAAAAATCTCTCATTTTGTGCCGCCTATAGTTGCTTTTTCAAAATTTAAAACCTAACCAAAATAGAGAATTCTACCTATTTTTGGACACTCAAAATTTTTTTAAACTAAAAAAACTTCGAAATTTTTTTAAAAAAAATAGGCATTTTAAAAAAATCGACCGAACTGACCGACTTTTTCCAGCATGCCCAAAATACAGACCAATTTTTTCAATGCCCAAATTTTCATAAAGAAACATTATTGTTTTACAGGACGCTGTTAAAATTGCCAGTCTCTTTGGTTATGAATCAGCTGGCACAATCGAGTACCTTTATCTGCACGAACAGCAAAAATATTATTTTTTGGAGTTGAATCCACGATTACAGGTCATTCAGTTATTCATTTTACATTTTTTAGTTCTCTAGATTTTTCATTTAACGCCTTTTTTCTTATTATTTAGTTTCAAGGTTGAGCATCCTTGTACGGAGATGTTGGTCGACGTGAATATCCCAGCCATGCAACTTCAAATTGCGATGGGAGTACCGCTTCATCGTGTCAAGAGTATTCGTCGTCTTTATGGTCCTCATTTATGATTTTTATTTTTGGATCATCGAAAATTCAAATTTAAAAGAGGAGAGATTCATATTGACTTGACACTGTGTTATAAAAAAAATAATAAATTATCTCTGACTCTTCAAAAATTAAGTTATATTTTTTTCTTTCTCTGACGGCTATTTTTAGATTTCGCAAAAATCATTAAATACTAGAAATCAGGCTGTTTCGATGAAGCATATTCTAGATTTTGAGATAATTTTTGCTTGGAAGTTGGGTTTCGGTCACAAGTTCCCTATAAGGAATTCAATCTTTCTGAAACTTCCTGTATTTGAGATTATTTTTAACACCCTGATGGAGTTTCAGTTCACAGAAAAAAAGCACCTTCAGAAACTTTCTGGAAGATTGAATTCCTTACAAGAAAAACGTGACCGAAACCCCTTTTTTGTAACTTTTCTGACGTTACTGTACATATAGAAAATTAAATGTAGCATTTAAAGAAATTTTGAAAAGTGGAAAGTTGCATTTATCACTTTTATTAGTCCTTTTTTTCAATATGAGGGAATATCTCTATTATTGGCTTTTTAGTACGTCATCACAAGTGTGAAATAATTATTTTCAAATTTTTTTGTTCCTTTTGAGATTACAGAAAACCGTTTCAGAGCTTCCTCTGAACGGCGACTGCGGTTTGCCGCGTGACGTTGTGCTGCCCCTGAAACGGAAGCGATTCGTCGTCGCCGCCAGAATCACTTCTGAGAATCCCGACGACTACTTCAGACCGTCGACCGGACTCGTCCGAACCCTCAACTTCCGCTCTTCCCAGGACGTCTGGGGCTACTTTTCCGTCTCCGCTGGCGGCAGAGTCCACGAATTCGCCGACTCTCAGTTTGGCCACGTCTTTGCCAGAGGCGATACGAGGTCTTTGTTTGAACGCAAAAAAAAAATTATTTAAAACCGGATCCGCCAACGGTGCGTCCCGCGGTTTGACCCGCAATATTGAAAATGAGGAAGAATGTAGAAAAAATTAAGGAAAACTGGGTCTTTCGACAATATGACCTAAAAGAAGGAAAAATGGTATTTCGAGAACCCCATGGGTTCTTGAGGGCCCTAGATGGTTATTTATGGAAAAGGGGCCTCTCAAAACAATGAAAAACTACTTTAACCGATTCTGAACATTTTGAGTCGAGATAACAGTTTTTGAAGTTTCAATTGGTAAAATTGACACAAAATAAGGAAAAATTCAGTTTTCAAGAGGGTCTTGAGGGTTCTTGAAGATTTCATATGAAAGATGACCCTCTGCATACTATAAAAAACTTTACTATACCCGATTCTGAGCATTTTGAGCCGAGATAACAATTTTTGAAGTTTCAAGTGGCAAAATTGGCGCAAAACAAGGAAATGTCGATATTTAGAGAACCTTATGGGTTTTTTAGGTATCAGATGTTTTTTTAAAGAAATAGGACCCTCTGAACAGGATAAAAAAAACTTTACTATACCTGATGCTAAGCCTTTTGATCCGAGATAACAATTTTTGAAGTATTTAGTGGAAAAATGGACACAAAGTAAGGAATAATCGATAATTCGAGAACCTTATGGGTCCTTGAGGGTACCAGATGGTTATTTATGGAAGAGGGCCCTTTCAAAACGATAAGAAACTTTATTTTACCCGATTCTGAGCATTTTGAGGCGAGATCACAATTTTTGAAGTAGGAAGTGGTAAAATTGACACAAAATAAGAAAAACCCGATATTTTGTGAGGGTCTTAAGAGTTCTGCTACCCGACGTTTACATTCTTCAAAAACCTTAAAATTATCAGACACGAAGCCATTTCGACGATGATTTCCACCCTGCGGCACATGGAGCTCAACACGGCGTTCTCCAACCAAGTCCGATATCTCATCGAGCTTCTGAATGACCCGACGTTTGCGAGGAATCGTTTCCACACCCAGTGGTTGGATATGCGCATTTCGGCAAAGTTCAAAGCGGTTTACCTTATTATTTAATTCAGTACTTTTTCAAAAATTTATTCAGAAAGAGGAGCACAGCCTGAGTGAGACGATCGCCATTAGCGGCGCCGTCATCGGCCACGCGAGAGTCAAGAAAGCTTTCGAGGATTTCAAAGCGACGATTTCGAGAGGCCAAATTTTGCCTCCTACCAATTTGACGGAGACTGTTAGCTTGGATCTCGTCAAGGAGAGGATCGCTTACAAGGTCCTCGAATTTCAATCAAATCGTTTATTTTGTTGTTTTAGTCATGGATGTAATTGACTAGGCGGTGAACAAGAACTTTAAAAGCTATAACAACAACCGCCTTTTGCGAAATAGAAGTCCAAACGTGTAGTCGAAAGAGTTGAAAGCATGGTCTTACGGTCCTTCGTCTCGTCCTTCTGCGCGTAGTTCATCCAGTTGCGCCTTGACGAGCTCAGAATGTAGCGGATGGTGTAGCTGGAGCCCGAAGACTGTGCTCTAGGTGGAAGCCTCAGAATGAGAGCGATCACTTCGAGTCTCAACACGGAATTTCATGGAATTTTTGCATAATGAAACGTTATTTTTGTCGTTTTCCGATGAGATTCAAAATCGCATTTATATCATCATAGGCAAAGTCGAAAAAGGCTTTATAAAAATGTTATTTTTTTGCTGCCCTTTTGCGCCATTTCATCGACCCTTGTGCACCATTTTTGCTGCCTCTCCCTATAGCCTTTAAAATTCTAGAAGGCTCGATAGATGACTCTTTTCGCTGCCTTTCTGCGGCCTGTTTTGATTTTTTTCTTTTTAGCGGTTATTTTTCACTACTTTGACCGAGATAGAAGTTTTATTCTTTAAGAAGAAAAAATAATACTACGGAAAAAAAGGGATATTTTTTTGTGTTAATAAAAAGCAGTGAATTCAAATTTATTGTGGTAATAGGATAATTTTGCATCTCTTCGATTTAATCGAGATGAGAAGTCAAGGAAAAAAATAATCAGAACAGCTATGAAACTTTTGGAAGAACCACAGTTGTAGCTGATATTGGTGAAGATGAAAACTTTGAATTTAGATTCCTTTATTTGAATATTACTTCAATATTTCTTTAAATCTTTTGTTATAACTTCAATTTCTCAGGTAGTCGTCACTCGATGTTCTCCAACTGAGTACATGGTTGCACTAAACGAGCGAAGAACCCAAGTAACCATCGTCACTCTGGGCAACGGCAAGCTTCTGGTCACCTATGGTGGTCATTCGTTTCAATGTGGACTCGAAGAAACTACGGACTCTTTCAAAGTTGAACTGGCCATGTTCTGATCACCTGAAGAAGAATTCAGGTCACAATCGGAGCCTTCATTGCCAGTTTTGAAAAGGATAACGATCCGACCGTCTTGAAGTCACCTTATACTGGAAAATTGCTGTCCTACAAAAAGGATAGTGAAGCCTGGATCGATGTCGGCGAAACCTTTGCTACTATCGAGTCGATGAAACTTGTCTTCAATGTGGAAATTCGAAATGTTCCTGGAAGGTTTTACTGAATCTAAAAAAGATTATTTTTTGCAAAGTTGGAAGGGTGGAATAGGCTCCATAGAAAATTTCCTTCTAGGGGAACAAAGGTTCCTTTTTGCTACCCTTTTGCGTCATTTTCTAAGCTCTAATGTATCATTTTTGCTGCCTCTTCCTTTTTCCATCATTTTTGAGCCTTTGAAATCCCAGAAAACTTGATAAAGGGACCCTTTTGGCTGCCTTTCTGCGGCCTTTTTGCGACCTTTCTGCGACCTTTTTTGAGCCTTTTTTGAGCTCTTTATTTTAGCGGCCATTCCGACTTTCCCCGAGAACTTAATATTCAAAATGGTCATTTCAAAAAGTGAAGATATCTTGGGGTCTATGTAGAAAATATCAATTTTTATATATCCTTACAGTTTCATACAGTTTCACCTTAAATTTCATTTAAACTTGTACAAAAATAGCCAAAAAAACAAGCTATAATCTCTTAAAAATAGATCAGAAAAGTTTTGATTATTATCATTTTTTTCTTTCTTTTATTCTAAAAAAATAGTCATAGGAGAGCAAATTCAAGATTGGTTCGAGTCGCGAATGAAGGAGACTTGCTGTTCCCTGGGTCTGTCATCGCCTTCATACGAGGCGCCGAAGACGCGGCTCAGTACAGACCCACGTTGTTCGCCGATTCGTTCAAAGATTGGCCGCAGCCCAAAGCCGACAGCTTTGCTGATGCTTACAATGTTGATTATTTTCATATTTTCGTTTCATCTTTCTCGATTTTAGAAGTGTAAACGTGTTATGCATGGCTCGATTCCCTTTGGCTGTGAAAAAGAAGTCGAGGCAGCTTTCCAGGGGCTTTTCCACTTTCTGAACAGCTCACGACTCTCCGAACTCGTCCTCAAGGTCTCATCGTTTGGACAATCCAAAAAAGTAGGAAGTTCCAGCCCCTCTATGAGAATTTCAAAAAATCGGCCCCCGAAGTGATTCGTATGTCTTTGGATTTCGAGTTTAATGGGTCGGACGAGGATGCGATTGAGCTCCAGGTTAGTCTTCCCTCTCCTTTCTTGAAAATGAAACAAATTTCAGAAACTAGTGAAAGATACGAATGTCCACACGGACGCAGCGAAAAGACTGCTCGAACAGTGCGAACACTTCTGTGGCGGGAATAATTCCTTCATCAGCGACACAATTTCTGAGCTCATTTCTCTGTACATTGGCTGTGAGAAGCACTTTGATGGCAGAACCTACGATGTGGCTGTCAACAAGTTGCGACAGGAGGTGCTGACAAATAATTGGATCGATTATTTTGGGAAAAACAATGCAGGAGAAAATTATGTAGTCAAAACGGATCACGTTGGAATGAGAAAATTAGGAGCATTTCAGGCTTCTTTTGAAAATGAAAAGGGCGTTTCATTTTTAATTCTTGAATCTCGTGGTTTTATGACTATGACCTCGCTAATAATACTAATAAAACAGAAGTTAACAAAATTTAAGCACTAACAATCAAGTTTCATTTCGATATTGCAGCCCTACATGACAAGTTTTCGTACAAGTGTGAGCTGGATTTTTTAAATTAAATTTAGCGAAAACACGAAAAAGCCATTTGTGTCGAACAAACGACCTTTTCTGTAATTTTTGCACCCGCTTTTTTAGTATTTTATACACAAGCAAAGACCTCAAAAAGGCCTTTAAAAAAGAGTCTAAAGCTCCTTTTTAAGTATCTGAAAAGGTGTCGCAGGTTTTTCGGAATCTCCTTTCTTTCACCTTTTCTCCTGATTCTTTTTTTCTCCTGAAAAGGCCCTTTTAAGAAAAATGTCAAGAAAAAAAGACGCCTTTGAGGCCTTTTTCAAAAGTTCATTTTGAGACCTGTTGAACTTTGCCCGTGTCGGCAAAAAACTGATTTTGAAGCTCCTAGGTAAAAAATGATGACTATGTCGTCTCGATGATCTACGCGCACATGAAGTTGGCCGGAAAGAACAAACTCCTGTCCCAGCTGATCCAGCAAATCGTCGAACTGCGAAACCGGCCAGGCTTCGTCACGGCCAAATTGCGCGACCGGCTACGAATGCTAGACCATCTCGGTCATGCTCCGGAAGTCGTCTCGGAGGCCAGGAGAGCTCTCTACGAAATGTCCTGTGATGAGGCAACGGAGCAGTTGTTGCTTAAAGTGATTCCATTTATCATTGCTATTGTATTCGATCTGATTTTTCAAAGTTTTGACTCTTCTGTTAAAAGACTTGCTATAGCTGATTCACGGCTGGCTTGAGCGATCAAAAAGAGGGTCCTACGATAATAAGAGAGTGTCTAATTGGTGGAGAGCGCAGACAGGCCACGCCCTTTTGCGTCTCAAGTTAGCCGTGATGCAGCTATAATTCAGAGCTTGTGCATTGGGATTCCGAATCTTCTTATAGGCTTTTTTTGGGAGTTATCCGCTTCACACTTTTTTGAAAATTACTCTTCCAGCCCGGGTCCCTGACTGAACGACAGTTGGAAATCTACAGCTTGCCTGAAAAGTCAGAAAAAGTGTCCAGCCCCAAGTCCTCGATCCACGTTTACCAACTAGCTGATGGACGTGGAATGGCCAAGCTTTTCCTCCGACAAATTGCGTCTCTCACAGAACCTATCGATTCCAATGAACAGACGTACATTTAACGTTCTCATCAGCTTATCTCAAAGTTTTCTAGCATCGCCAAAATAAAATCTGTGATGTTCTACGTCCTGGATGATGCTTGCAGCGCTGCGAACATGTTTTCCTACGGCAAAAAGTTGGTCTCTAACTTTTCTCTCTTTATTTCAAAGTTTTCAGGAAAAACTTTGTCGGGAGTAGTGTGTTCATCTACCTGCGGACCCCGTATTCAGAAGAAATTCCAGGCGACTGTGTGAAAATACTGAAAAATGCCATTGATCAACAAGTTCGCAAGCAGAAGTCTGCCCTGAAGCGACACCATATCAATGAAGTTTCCTTCAAATCAATCAACTTGAGTTTCAAATGTCATATTCAGGTTGAAATCGTGTTTGCAAAAATCTCAAATCGAACTCGTGTCCTAAATGTCAGGTTGGAATATTCATTGGAAGTGGGCCAAGCGATCCAACACAGTTCGAGAGAAGTTGAAGCGATTCCCGAGAAGAATGTAAGCTTTTTCGTTCTTAATGAATTTTAAAAGATTTCAGGGTGCCCCCCTGACGCCGTCAAAGTCGGGCAAAGAATTCTCCTTCAAAAGCATCGAGAGGAAAAGAATCAACCTGCGGTTATCATTATTATCATTTTTCTCGTTAAAAGCCACATTTTTCAGCTCAATCGGAACCACTTATGTTTACGATTACTTGGAACTTTTCGGACATGCTTGCTTGGACTCTTGGAAGAGCTTCTATGCGAACTGCAAAGAAGCCAACTCGCCACAGCTTTTCAAGTCGCGACTCTCTTTGCTGCCCAAAGAGAGGAAGAAGGCTTATGAGAAAGGCTGTGGCCGAGGATTGATCAACGCCGTGGAGATCGTGATGAGGGTGTGCTTGAGAGTTTGAATTTGAAAAAAAAAAATAGCATCGCATAGTTATACGAACCGATAATCATGTAGGAGAGTTAAATTCAAATTCTGAAATAAATAAAATACATATCTTTCAAAAGAATTTTTTATGTGTACTTAGGAACTCCAGAGTGGCCCCTATAGGGGCAACCTGAGGCGCCCTTGGAGGTTGCCCTCTAGGGAGCACTTTACCAACCACAATAGGGGCCACTAAAGCTTGAAAAGGTGATCCCCCTCGGAGTTTCAGTTTCCTATATGAGCAACCTTAAGGGCCCTTGAAGGTCCTCTCTAAGGACCACTTTATCAACCCCCATAGGAGCCTGTAAACTCGCAGAAATGGTCCCCATGAGGGATTTAGTTAGTGACCTCTTTAGGGGGCATGCTATTTGATGATTTTTATGAACCCAATGCGAAAACTATACAAATAACCTTTTTTGAATAGAATTGTAAGACCCCTATAAGGACCACTTAAGCTTTAAAGGCTAAGGGGTCAGACCATAAACCCCTTATAGGGCTATTATCCCTCCTGACCCTTAGGGGAGCACTCTAAAATTTTAAGTAGAAAAAAATTTTGAGCTTACTCCGTTCTATCGAAGTATGATAACTCAATCTTTGGAATTTCTTATTCAGGTACTAGACTTTTATTTATTACCTTTATTATTTAGAATGGAAAGTTTGATTTTCTCACGGACGTCGACGAAATGGAGCGAAGAGCCGCGAATGGTCTCAATGAATGTGGGATTGTCGCTTGGAGGCTTTGGTTAGCTTCTTTTGTATTTTTGACTCGGAACTTTGGCAATTCATTTTTTTTTTCTGTTAATTTTTGATTCAAATTGTTAAGTTTTTCGAACTGCAAAACATGTGTTCAGCCTTTTTACACCGGAACGACCGAATGGCCTGGAAATCGTTGTCATTGCCAATGACATAACGTTCCAATTGGGATCTTTTTCCGTTCATGAAGACCGACTTTTTGCTTTCGCCAGCCGGCTGGCGAGGAAGCAAAAGGTTTTATCTCGTTTTTTTCGAAAAAAAAAAGTCATTGTTTTCCAGCTTCCCCAAGTGAATATTTCGTGTAACTCTGGCGCAAGGATCGGCCTCGCTAGCGATATAGCCGATCTCGTTTGCGCCCAGTTCAAAAAGTCATCAAAAGGCGGCGGAGAAAGCGAAGAGCTCGACTACTTGTACATTGAGGAGATGCACGAGGACAGTGTCAAAGGACAGATTGTCTATGAGAAAATGCCTGACGGCAAATTGAAGATCAACGCCGTCATTGGCAAGGAGGTCGAGTTGATCAAAAAAATCTGTATTTTTGATTTAAAATAATTATTGTTGTAATAGTACTTGTGCGATTGACGTCAAATTTTTTGTAAGAAATGTAGGGCTTACTTAGAAACTCTAGAGTGGTCCCTATAGGGGCAGTCTTAGGGGGCCTTGGAGGGTTCCGTCTAGGGACCACTTTACCTACCCCTATAGGGGATACTGAAGCTTGCAAAAGTGATTCCTATAGGGGTTTTAGTTAGTGGCCCTTATAGGGGACACGCTAGTCGACAATTGTTATGAACTCTAAGCGAAGAAGCACTTCCATTGGAAAAAGGGATAAATAAGCGTTTTTGAATGAAATTAAAAGGCCCCTATAGGGTCCACTTGAGCTTTAGGTGTTGAGAGGCAGACCCTAGACCCTTTTAGGGACCACCTTAATCTTACCTCTATAGAGACCATTTTCGGCCCTAATTTTTGGTTGTTTTTACCGCTGATCTCTATAGGGAGCACTCTGCAATCCCTAAGTATTTCCAAAAATGAATGAAAACGGATCTCATAAACTTGAACTTTTTGGTTCAAATCTTTCCGTTTTTGACCTTCCCGGAGAGATATTTATAGAAAAGAGAAAAAATATTTAGAGAAAGATTTTCAGGAAGAAGCCATTGGTGTGGAGAATCTTCAAGGCTCGGGATTGATTGCCGGCGAAACGGCCAACGCCTACCACGAAGTACCAACATACTGCTTTGTGACAGGCCGATCGGTCGGCATCGGAGCCTACACGGCCAGGCTGGCCCATCGGATCGTGCAGGCGCGATCTTCTCACCTCATTCTCACTGGCTTCCAAGCTTTGAACACTCTTCTTGGCCAGGAGGTGAGAAATAAGTCGGTTATCGGAACTTTTTTGTTTCGAGAAACTTTATTCGTATCACAGTTGGGTATCATGAAAGTTGTATTTCGAACTTTATTCAACTTGAAAAAAGTTAAAAGAAGCTCTTTTTAGGGTAAAAGTTCCATGGAAAAGGTGGAACTCAACGTTTTTTCCCTCATGCTGCGGCGGATGACCCGCTTGAGAAAATTTTTATAATTTTGAAGGACGGGTGATCGGCGGGTGCTCCGATGTTTTATCCTGTTTTTTTTTTCGACGAAGCCTTCGCAGAACTAAAAAGGATATGGGAGCGCGTGGAACGCTCATGTTACCGGCGCGGCGAAGTTTTCTTTTCGGGCCAAGCCTCTGGAAAAAAAAAACGGTTGAAACTTTGTGCCACGATCGACGTCCGCTTTTATAAAGTGAGGCCTTGGCCGGTATTTCAAAGCCTTTTCTTCAATATAAGTTCCTCATAAGGATGGTCGTTCACACATTCACAAGGATACAAGAGTTAAAAATCGATTATGGGATGAGTTGTAAAAAAAATTGACAGTACAATTATCAGCTCTTCATTTTTAGGTATACTCCTCCAATAGTCAACTGGGCGGCGTTGATGTAATGCATCAAAACGGCGTGACTCATTCTGTCGTCGACACGGACTCGGATGGAATCGCTCAAATTGTCAAATGGCTTGGATATCTTCCTGTTCAGGTTTTATACGAGTCAAAAAAAATTTGACCGATGTAGTTGAGAAATCTGATTTCCCCTTCATCGAATCGTTCGGCATCGACACGAAGCTCCGCGACGTCCAACTACCCCCTGCGACAGATCAAGGCTGCTACGACGTCCGACGGCTGATCGACAGCGGTCCGACTGAGCCTCGCAAAGGAATTTGCGACACGGGTTCCTTCGAAGAGATCATGTCCAACTGGGCCAAGTCGTTTGTGACTGGAAGAGCAAGGATCGGCGGAATTCCCATCGGTGTGCTGTCCTCGGAGCTCCTCAGCACAGAATATGTCGTGCCGGCTGATCCGGCCTCCACTGCGAGTCATGCTCAGACCATTAGAAGAGCTGGACAAGTCTGGTACCCCGAATCGGCTTTCAAAACGGCCGAAGCTATCAATGACTTCAACCGTGAAGGGCTTCCTTTGCTCTTCTTGGCTTCGTTGAGAGGATTTTCTGGAGGCCAGAGAGGTGGGATTGAAAGAAGCGAAACGAACAAAGCTTCTTAAAATCTCGAACCAAACCTTTTCAAAAAATCGTTCATAATGAGACCGTTCACTTAAGAGAAGGAATTTTTCAGCTTTGCTCTTGGCCTTGTAAAATCGGTTTTTCAGTTCATTGCCCAACTTTGAATGTTTCAAATCAATTTTTACAATATAAGTAAGCATTCTGAAATCCCTGCAAAAAGAACGAATTAAAAAAATTGACCGTTTATATCTGAATTAAAGAATTTTCCGGCTGTTTGCACCTGTAAATTCAAAAAATTAATGATTTAAATTTTTTTTTTCATCAGGATTGAGTTATTTTTCAAGACATGTACGATATGGTCCTGAAGTTTGGAGCAGAAATCGTGAATGCCCTTCGGAATTATCGTATGCCTGTGATCGTCTACATTCCTCATGGCGGCGAACTTCGTGGAGGCGCTTGGGCCGTCATTGACAGCCAAATAAATCCCGGGTTCATTCATATGGTTGCTGATGAAACTTCTCGCGGAGGTCCTCCGTTAAAAATGATCATCATTCATCTAGAAGTTCAGGAATTCTCGAGCCCAGCGCCATCGTCGGCCTGAAGTTTCGAAGCGAAAAGATTGTTGATTTCCAGAAAAGGAGCAGTGTCGAGATGAAGATGGTTCTGGAAATGGTATTAATTACTCGGACCTTGGTAACGCGAACCGGACGTGTCGGGGAAGTTCTAGTGACCACTTTGGTAGCGTACGAACTCTTAAGTGAGCCCTAGAATTCCTCTTGAAACTAGCACGTCCGTTTCTCGTTACCAAAGCCCGAATATTTAAAATTACGGAGGGGAAGAAACGACTAAAAAAAATCCATTCGATGGCTATTTTTTCTTGTTCAAGTTCTAGACTCCATATAAATTTTTCTTTCAAGGTCAAAAAGTTCATTTTTTGCTGCCTTTTTGCGCCAATTCAGCGGCTTTTATGCACCATTTCAACATTTCTTGAGCCTTTCAAGGTCTAGAAAAAATAGAAAGCTCCATAAAGAGACCCTTTTTGCTGCCTTTCAGCGGCATTTTTTGAGCCAATATCATTTTGGGGTTATTCTCCACCATTCCGAATTTGCCCGAGCAGCAAGAACTATGGAATTTCTTCCTTTCATTTCAATTTCATCCCATATTTTTTTATCACTCAAAGGAGCCTGAACGGATCGACAAAGAGTGGAAGCAAAATGCGGACAAACTCTACCGGCTGGCGGCAGTCGAGTTTGCGGATTTGCACGATCGATGTGAAGCTATGCTGGCCAAGGGCGCTGTCAAGGTTTCATACTTTTCCTCTCTTCGAACCAGGAAATTTTTCAGTACCTCACTACTGTTCAAGCCTCTCGGAATCTCTTCATATGGATTTTGCGTGTTGAAATTGTCAAGGTTCATCTGGTGGAAAGGTCCTTTTTCATCATTATTTTTGGCATAAAAAGGAATCTTCAGGTTCCTCCGTCGTCATCCGAAATGCCCGCACTCTGAAGCCTACGAGTGGATCGACGCCAAGGCGAAAAAGGTCTCAGAATCTGCGACCGACCTGAAAACTGTCTACCGGGCGCTCCAGGAATACATTGCCAAAAAGTTTGAAACTGACCTCAAGGCGTCCAGATTCTAATTTCCTTGTTCATATTACCATTTCTTTTTCTGTTCCTTGAGATTTTTATTGCTATGCTACTTAGAAATATGTGATTTTTATTTTCGTTTTTTTCATTGGGTAAAAATTGTGCATATCAGAAGGTCTCAATTTTCTTTCAACGTTTTTTTCTCTTTTCTCAGTTCTCAATAAAGTTTTACATACTTGATTATTTTGTGTTTTTTATGAAGGTTTGAAAATTTTCCAATTTCCTTTTTATTTTTTTCAATTGGTCTACGATGTCTCAAAAATAATTATCTAGATTTTTTAAACTTGAAGATTAATTTTTACTCAAAAGACTGTGAAGACTTTTTTTCAGGTATCTTTCAATATTGTGTACACTTTTTTTGTATCAAACTTGGATTTTGATTAATTTTTTCATTCAGAAAAAGCTGTCGTCGATGTTGGATCCTACAATACAATTCTACAATATTTCAACGCCGGAATTGAATTTTATGTGCAGAAAACTCGCAGGTGTGAAAAATGAATCAAAATGCATTTTTTCGATGATTTTGAGCGGTAGCAATCGAAAAAAGGGTCCTGACACGATAATAAAATAGACAGTGCTTGGTTAGTGGAGAGCGCAGACAAGCCACGCCCCCTGAGCAGCTCAAGTTGGCCGTGAATCGGCTATGGACTACTTTATGAAAATTGGGGGACCTCAGGAAGTAAATCTAGTCTGATTTTTTTTTCCGTGTATGGAACAAGATCGGCAATACGCTGTATTTCAATTTAAAAATGCGTTTTATGAATATTCGGTTGAAATCAAGGAAAAGTAAGCTTTTTTCAATGCGAAATGCAGAAATATTGATGCATACAGTGGTTCTTGACCACAGAAGAATTTATCTGATGCAGAAGAAGCAAAACAAGCTTCTGAAGCGCCGTCAAAGGCGAAAATGATGCTTTGATCTGATAGAACAGATCAAAGCACTATTTACATCTTGGTTGTTGGAGATTTTCAATCTTCCAAATGTTGTTGTTGAACAATTTCACTTCTATTACGTTTTAAAATTTCTCTATCTTTCTTAAATCTTTTCTGCGGGTTAGGAAGGTTTCCCGAAGATTTCTTGGGATCTAGGACCTCTTTATTAACCCCTACAGGGGCCACTGAAGCTTTCAAAAGTGGGCATGCTAGACAATAGGAATTATGAACCGAAGAAGCATTTCCATGCGAAAAACTAAAAAAAAAAGCTTTTTGAGCAAAATTGAACGGCCCCTATAGGGTCCCCTCGAGCTTTAGGGGCCCAGGAGTCAGATCCCTCTCAATTTCACCCCTATAGTGACCATTCTGGAATTCTCAAGTTTGAATACCTTATGTACAGTTTCATAATTTCAAGTTGATCGATGCCCGTGGGAATATTGAATTCTGATTAAATCAGCCTTTCTGAAATAATTAATAATTCATAAAGTAGACTCCTGGTTTCCAAATGATCGAATATGTATGTAAACCAATGGGAAAACTCCTTGAATTGATTTTAGAAGGAATATTGAATCGCAAGCGAACATTTCTCATTTCCTTTTTCTTCCTATCTGTAAATTTTTTATCTCTTTTGTAACTTTCCGGTGTCAGACAGTAATAAAATCGGAAAATAGTCAACGTCATGGATGATATCAATCCGTTGGAAAAGTGGCAAAACATTTTGATTTCTTGTTTCGAGTTGTAAAAAAACTTTTTGATTAGTTTTTTTCTCGCCAGCTGATCTTTATACTACTTATCAGAGGAGAAACGATAATAAAGAATTTTTTGTGAAGTTGAAAAGAAATTAAATTTGAAAGGGCCGTGTTTTGAAGAATTAACAGTTGGAAATATAGTTTGAAGGGCTTCCGAGTAGTTTTTAAAAAAATTATTTTTAAAAAGGTATGATTTTTTTCTTAATGACGTTTGGTTGTTGCTGAGCTTTCGAGCCTATTTTTCAATTTTTTTACAAAACTTTTTTTAAAATCAATTTGAAGCTTTTTAAAATTGTTGGAAAAGAACTTTTTGAATCCCCATAAATAATTGAACGGATAATGGAGGAAGTGAGAGACTTCCGACGAAAACGAACACGTATCGGCTACCGTACTCCTCCAGGCGCCGAGCCACGCCTCCTTCCACTCATTCCGACAAGAAAGGCCGGATTGATCGGCCCCATTTTTCCCACTTTATGTTGTTTTTCAAATTCTTCGAGACGGAATTTAAAGTTTACCTCTCCTTCTCTTTCTCATTCTTGTCCATGGGATTCCCCCGTTGTTTTCCTTTTGGAATAGTTGACTTTCACGTTTTAAGGGTGTTCATGTTTTGAATAAGTTATAAGACTTTGAAATTGAGAATCAGAACGATTTATTCTACATCGAAACATGTACCAGAGTGAAATAAATATCCACATATTCAAACAGCTGTCGAACTATTTTTTTTCCAATTTAGGTCATTTTGTGAAACTAACAAGTTCGATCGGAAGCTTTAAATGTTCTGTAACACGTTTTAAACCTACTCTGCGATTCTGGACCATTATCCTCGAAAAATCAATCTGCGATCTTTTTTTAAATCTCTAAAACTAGCGCAAGATCAAATTACGCTCTATAGACAAATGAATTTCAAATAGTTGTCATCGAAAACTAGAAAAATGGCTAATTAGAGCTTTAAACAAGCGAATCGAGAAGGTACCATAATGTGTCCACAAAGGTACCTCTCGATATGGGTCGTGAAGGCTCCATAAAGTGTCCACAGTGAGACCTCCAGCTACCTTTTAGCTATATCTGAGCCATCTCGGAGGTACTTTAGAGTCTCTCTCAAATAAAAATAAATATTCAAGCCCCACTCATATTGCTCAAAGTTCATAGGCGAATCGAGAAAGGGTATCGCGAGACCCTCTGAGGTATATCTCAGGGTCTGTAGTCTTACGATGGTACCTCGAGTATACCTCTGAGGATTTTGAGCAAAGAGGGACTTGAGAGAGACTCTAAAGTACCTGTGAGATGGCTCAGATGTAGCTAAAAGATATGCATGAGGTCTCACGGTGGGCACATTAGGGGGTCTTCAAGATCCATTTTGAGAGGTACCTTTGTGGACACCTTATGGTACCTTCTCGATTCGCCTGTGTCTTCAGAGGTATAATCGAGGTACCATCGTGAGACTTCAGAGCCTGCGATACACCTCAAAGGGTCTCGCGATACCCTCGATTCGCCTATGTTCCGGAAAGGCAATCTAGAACATAGTGTGTTATAGTCGAGTTTCCCCCTTTCTAGACCGAAATGTCCCGTTTTTTTTTCAATATTTCCATCATACCGACGAACCATCTTCGCCTATTAGGCCTACAAAAGCATGATGTTGTTTTTTTTTCTGCAGAAGGAGGGTTCAACGCCGCCACCGGAACCGTTGCACGTCATCTGCACTTGAAACACGAACTTGAAGAAGGAGAAGCAGCCGCCCCATTGACATCACTGACAGCGCAAAGACCGCGCGTTCGCCCAACAATTGTCTCCCGCTTCCGCTAGGGGAGGTCTATATCAGAAACGTCCGGCGTCTTTCTGAAGACTCGACAAGCATGGAGCTGACTCCACGCCGTCATGAGCTTCTCTCCGTCTTCCTTCTGTCTTTCGGCACCATGTTCATGTACCTTGGCTATGATTCGCAGTCGGCTTTTGCGGAGAGTGTCGTCCACTCGGTGAATAGCCGAGATCCTGGCCGTATCTCTTCCTATGCTGGTTATTATGGGTCAGTTTTTGGGTCTTTTTTTCTTGAAGTAGGCTGTCGTTGTTCTAATTTTTTTCCTTCCCTTTGATGAGTTCTGTGCTCAAAAAACTTGCAGTGTTGGTTTTCCAAGCTAAAATAAGAATAGAGCAAGATCTTTGCCTTGAGACTTTAATGAACTTTCTTCTTACCTCTTCGAAAATTCAAGCAGAAATTCTTGATGCCGTGTTCGAAGTAATTTTCGCGAAATGCAAAATCAACTCTGACCCTCCAAGTTTTAGTTCTCATTTTCTTTCTCTGACTGCCATTTTGAATTTTGCGGAATCACTTTGAACACGGTATGAAGCCTGAAATTTTCCCAACTTGCGAAATTGCTTGATTTACTGCATAATTGAACCTCCGATCAACGCCTCGTTTTCGAAAAATATCCCAAAAAGGAGCTTTTTTCTATGACGTGGGAGCAACAGAACTTCTCACAAAAGTCCTTCCTTTTTTGTCGTCACTTTTCTCTAGCTTCTTTCCTGATGTCTGACTACTTGGTTATATTGATACTGGTTTTCCACGCTATGTCTTTTCAACTATCGATTTGTTGAGTTGTCAAAACAAAAACAAAGAAACTGGTCCGTGATTGTGACACTTTGAGATAGTTTATATGGAGGGGGCTTTTTCAATTTTCCTGACTTGAATTTTCAAATAAAAAGGGACTTGAACCAATAAGAATGGTGTTTTCATTGCAGCCAAGCGATTCACTACATCTCCTTCGCTTTTTTCACCTTCTTCACCGCCAGCCTACAGTACTATTTATCGTCGAAATGGATGCTTGTAATGGCTTCCTCGATCTTCACACTCTATTATACTGGCTACATGTACATAAATACCTACATTTTCTACTTTTCCCAGTGCGCATTGGGCTTTGGCTATGCAGGTTTGTGGGTTTCTGAGTTAAAAATGAAAGAAAAAAGAGGTTGGAGTATCATTTATTATGTCCTTTTAACTTTAGCGGTTCTGTAAAAATTATCTGGTTATTAGACTATCCAAAAAGTTCAAAAAGTTTGAATTGAGAAAATATGGACCATAACTTTTCGGGCAAAGTCGGAGGGGTGGATAATGGCCTCTAAAAGGCAGAGGCTCAAAAAAGGCCGCAAAAAGGCAGCAAAAAAAGTTCCCTTATCAAGCCTTCCATTTTTTCTGAAATTTAAAGGCTCAAGAAATGGTGGAAAAAGGGAGAGGCAGCAAAAATGGTGCATAAAAGCCGATGAAATGGCGCAAAAAGGCAGCAAAAAGGAACATTTCTATGGATCCCTTTTCCACCCTTTCCGACTTTGCCTATGTTGTGATCATATGTATAAAAAAAGGAAGAAGTTTACACGAAAAAATAAAAAAATTTTTTCAGTCTACAACTCTGCTGAAGGCGCCTATCTGTCGGAGCATTCCTCAGCTCGAACCATCGACTCCAACACAGCTTTTGAAACCGGAATCGGCCACATGGGGTACTGCTGAATTCATATTTCGAGAGAAGAAGCCCGAATTCAGACTGTTCCTCGGTGGCATCACCATGTTCATCGTGCTGACTTTCGTCCCCCACAAGTTCGAAGGCCATCTCATGACTTTCACCGAAGAGACGATCCGGATGATCTACGGGTCCCTGATGGCCCTCTCCTTCGTCTCCGTCATCATCTTCCTCATGCTCCCCACCAAGCAGTTCAACTCGATCGCTCTCAATTCGAATAACCGGATCACCCCGTCGCTCCGCAATCAGTTTGGTTAGTGCATTTTGTCTTGGACCATAAATGGGCAAGTAGTTCCGGATGACTTAGAAAATCTTCAAAAAATGAATAGTAAAGCTTTTAGCCTTAAAAAATACATGAAAACAACGGTTAACCTTGGGGGGTGGTAGTACTGACTTTACTTTAGAAAGACTTTCCAGAAGAGTTAGGGCTTTTTAAAAAAATGGTATGCCTATGTATAGAAAGTCCCCCCCCGTTTTTTTAAAATAAAGTTCCCCCCGTTTTTTTAAAAAGCCCCCTCTCCCAAATCTTTTTATTGAAGTTATTATTTAACGACTTTAAAATGAAAAAAAAAATCTAGAAAAAAAGTATAATCATATATGTGAGCTCCAAGGCAAAAAAAGTTTGATTTTTCGATTTTTTTTTTGAAAATATTACGACGAATGTAATTTTGACAGCTCCGAAGAACGAAAACGGAAAAAGTGAGACAGAGATAGAAAATTTTTCGCATTTCTTTCTCGATTCGCTTTGAAACAAGATGATGATCTTAAAGAGATAATGATTTTTTTAAAAATTGAAACGTCACGGTAACAAAAATAGCTTGAAGCATAAAACAAAAATTCACATTTTTACTGTCAAAATGAGCTTTCAGAACGGTTCGGCGAATCGATGAAGCACTTCAACACGATCCTGCTGGCGATGACGTTCGTCTACATGGGCTGCATGATCTCGTTCATGTACGGCATCTACCCGACGTCTTTGTCCTTCACGTCTTCGTCCGGAACCGACGTCTACATGATCACCGTCTACCTGTTCTCGGCTGGCATCGCCGCCTTCACGAGTAAGGATCCGACAAGAGATTCATCAAAAAAATTAAAGATTTTTAAAAAAAGAAGGGATGAGTGGAATGAGATAGGTGAAATAAGAAAAAAACATGAAAAAAATTATTTTTTTCTGATTATTTTTGAAAAAGAAAAAAATATCCTTTGAACTTTTTTTAGTCAAATCTTGTGGAAATAGAGACATATCAGGAAAGTTCCAAGCTGCGCAAATTTACTTTAGAAATCGGACACCTCTTTAAGATTTCTAGATATAATGTAATAAAATGCAAGGTTAAAGCTCTCCTTTTCTTCTAAAATAGGAATTGATATCGAGTAGAATATGATTTTTCTGAAGATCCTATTGAAATTGATTGATGAATAGCATGAATCAGCAAGAAATGAGACACGATGCTTTCGGCGAATGCCTTGTACAAATTTTGGTCTCACTTCACCAGAACTGACGTCATTTTTGTTGTTTTTTTGATCTCCCACACGGCAAACTGTTGTACTGTCGACTGTAAAGCGAACTTTTCCCATCGAGGGTTCAAACGGTGTAGGAATGCCGCGTTTGACCCGTTTCTGTGTCTGCTGCTAAATAGAGTAGCCCCCCTCGTCATTGCAAACGTTCTTTGAAGAGAAAAAATGGACGTCTCCGCTGCAAGATACGCTATCTTATCGGCTTTGCAGCGGAACATTTTGATCTAGTGTGTTCTGGTGAACTTGTGACGTGCGCCGCCGAAACTAGCATTCCGGGATTTCCGAGTAGAGAAGATTGATTCAAGAAGGATTCTGATGGAGTAGGGTTTTTTGTAGGATACATGGGGGATAATAATTGGACCAGACCTTAAATTTATGATAAATATTTATTAAGATGATAAAATTCATATGAGCAAACTATTTTCAGCATTTTTAGCGTTTTTTTTTCAACCCATCTTTAAACTTCATCATTTTTTCCAAGAAAAAAAAAATGGCGAAACTAAATTGCACCAAAGGGGATTCGAACTTGCATCATAGGTTCAACAGCGCAAGGCCGCTAGCCACTACCCTACGCCGACTGCTGGTAGCTAGTGTTGCCGCCGCAAGATATCCCCTCCTTTCATCCAATGCATCCTTTGCGTGCAAGTTTTGAGGCGCCGTAACTCGACTAGAACCAAAAAATGCACTTTTTTTAATTTTTTGGATTCAGGGTGTTCGTAAGTATCTATATAACAAGTTTCATCAAATTCTAATACCTCGACCTTTCGCACTTAGATGAAGGTTATGAATTTCTGAATCTGCATATTTTCCCAGTTTTCAGTAACGGATGCTTCTAATAAAATTTCCTGGGCTAGAAACTACATTTTGAAGCATCCATTCTCGAAAAAATTGAGACACGGGCCTAGTCAAAAACGTCTCAAAAAGGACTTATGACCTTTTTCTTAAAGAGGTAAAAAAGAAGTAGGTGGAAAAAAGCTGAAAAAAAGGATTCCGAGAAACTTTCGACACCATGTTAGAAACTCAAAAAGGAGCTTTAGCCTCTTCTCAAGCCTTTTTTGAGGTCGTTTGGACTTTGCCTGTGGATGGGATAGTTTTAAAATATTTTTCTGATACATCAAGGATAGAGTTTTTGAGTGAACTATTTTTTTTATCAGTTGGAGGGGTTAAACTTTGAAAATTTTCCAGGCGCGATGGTCCTCCGACCGATGATCAAAAGATTGCACAAGTTCAAACTGGTCGTCCCGGCGGCTGTCCATTTCATCGCCATGGTCGGAGCCCTGACTCTGGCCTACATGACCGTCCCCAACAACGCCACGATCCGACCCACTGGACCCGAAGAAGAAGCCTACCTTCGGCCGAGGTTCGGCTGGGATTCCAAGGCCTGGACAACGAAGTGTTTCAGCCGCACGATCACCGCCATCATCGGATTCCTGATGGGCTTGAGCGACGTCACGATCACCATGTGCCGGACGGTAATCTGTCAAATCGCCGTTCCCGACTACCGCGCCGAAGTCTTCAGCCTCACGCGCGCTTATCAGGTTTCGTTTCGACGTTTGTGGAGTCTTTTCCCGACACCTTCTCTTTTTTTACGGCGATGCTTTTCGAGGTCTTGCAGGGATGTTAAAAATAGTGAAACGAAGGGATAAGGCTTGGAAAGATTTGAAAATTGCAGGGGGAGTTGGAGCATAGCCTCAACTGAAATATGAAGACTGAAGTTCCTACCAAAAAGACAGCTTTTTTTGCTGCCCCTCGTTTCAACAGAGTTTCGAAGAAACAAGAGAGGGGGGAAGTTGGATCATAACCTCAATTGAAAGAGTCAGCGATAGGTGAAGAGGAAGACGGAAGTTCCTACAAAAAAGGGCTGGTAATTTTTCTCATTTTTTGAAAATTGACCATTGTTCTATGAAGCATGATTCCAGTGCGTCGCCTCCTGCGTGATTCTCTTCGTGTCGCCCGTGCTGACGATGACGTCATGGCTGGTGATCCTCCTCATCGGACTAACCATCGGCCTCGGATGCCTCATCACCGTTCTCTGCAGAACCCACAGCAACGACTTTGTCGCGCCGATCCTTCCATTGAAAGAGGAATCTCCAGAAATCCTACATTAATCAGTTTCTGAAACTTCCATGACTTGGTCCTCTTAGACTTGTAGGAACGGGCTCCTCCCTTATTTTTCCTTAAATTTGTTCTCAACCTTCTCCCAGACTTGTTGTAGACGCGTTACGGGTATTTCTCGAGATTATTGGTCAGATCCGAAATAAAGAAATTTCTGATTGTGTTGGAGAAGTTGGACAGTTTTGGTTGATTTTCCATTGAATCTGCTTTTTTTTTAATCATGTGTAATTTTTTTTCAGTGTTTCCAAAAGTTAAACTACATAGTATTCCCTATAGGGACAACCTTAAGGGCCCTTGGAGGGTCCCCATTAGGGACCACTCCACCAACCCCTATAGGGGCTACTAAAGCTTGCAAAAGAGGTCCCTATAGGGGAAATGCTAGTCCATAATTGTTATGAAGAAGCATATCCATGGGAAAACTGAATAAATAAGCTTTTTTTAAATGAAAATGAAAGACCTCTATAGGGACCACTTGAGCTTTACGGGCTAAGGGGTCAGACCCTAAACCCCTACAGAGACCACTTTTTCAGCCACTATAGAGGTTGCTCTCCAAATTCACATTTTTTAAAAGCTATAGCTCTGTTTTGTACATCTCACAACTTGTTTGAAGTTTTTATTCCCAAAGAAGTTTTAGATCTTCGAAGTTCACTAGCTCGGAAAGTTTTTTATTGGATCAAAAGTTGATTGTATCCGTTTTTTATATAGCAAACAAAGAAAAAAGAGAATTTGTTTCATCAGCTGCCCTTAAGGCGACGTGTAATGCCACAGACACTCAATAAATAGCTGAAATTCGATTCTTCTTAATATTAAAAGCTTGAAATGCTTCGCCAGATCGTTATTCTGCTCGTTCTTCTCGTAGCCATCGCCCTTGCCAACGATATTGGACGTAAGTTTCAATTTTATTATTTCTAGTAGAAATTTCTACACTTAAAAAAATTGAACTAAGAACTTTTTTTGATAAGAATATCGAGTTTTTTTCCAAAATTCCTATTGAAGTTTGCAGCACAAAATAAGCTCTAGCAGGATGGAAATATGTTCAAATTATTTATTCGATTTAAAAATGGGTGTTTATTTTACTGAGGAACTCCAAAGTGGTCCCTATATGGGCAAACTTATGGGCCCCTTTGAGGGTCCCTATAGGGGCCCCTAAAGCTTGCAAAAGAGGTTTCTATAGGGGATATGCTAGTCGATAATTGCCATGAAATCTAAGCGAAGTAGCATTTTCATGGGAAAAACTGAACAAATATGCGTTTTGAATGGAGTTGAGAGACCCCTATAGGGACCACTTTTTCGGCTCTTATAGGGGTTTTTTTCCTCCTAATTTCTATAGGGAACACTCTGGAATTCCAAAGTAAGACGAGACTATTTGAAATCAGTTTTTGCACTTTTCCTGAAATCGGTTTATGTCCGTCCTTTTTAACTTTAAAAAAAAAACTTATTAAATTCTGAATCCCATAGCCTCTAATCATTCAATTTATCTCGTTTTTCATAAATAAAAATTTTTGAACGCTAACTTTATCTCTATTCCAATATGGAAATCGCTTTTTTTCCAGCGGCGATTGACGGCTTGTGCCCTTTGGGGATACGAAGAAAAAGAACGGCTTGTGTCAAGGTGAAAATTAGAATATCATATTAAAAAGTTTTTAGAAATTCCGGCCTGCGATCCTTCCAACCCACTGTAAGTTCCAACGAAAAAAATGTTTATTTTTTTAATTATTCCTAGAATTGATTCAAAAAAATCAAGAATTCTCATAAAGTATCCGATTCTGAGCTTTTAGAATATCGTTACAAATATATTTTTTTATAATTGGTTATATTGATTTTCAGCTGCCACACCTACAACAGCAACTGAAGCACAACCGACAGGAGAAAAAAAATTCAAACCTGTTGTTATAAAAAAAGCAATTTTTTTCACTTTTTTTATTTGATAAAGTTTGTGGCGTGATGGTGTTTCATTGAAAAAGAGCTTCGGAGAAAAAGTTTGGTTTAAACCGATCATACCTTGAAATATCTTTTGGAGAAAGGAGAAGAAAGATGTTCTTTAGGGAAGCTTTTTCGTTGGAGGTTAGTTTCTTTTCTTCAAATTTAATCGTAAAACGGCAACTTTTCAAGAATTTCAACTCATTTTCTTCTGGAATTTTGTTTTTTCAAAATCTTGCCTGTTTGAAATCTTTTTGAAGGAGAAAGGAGGAAAAAAAGTGTTTTTCATCATTCCAAAAAGAATATTAAAACAATGCTTGGCTTATAAAAAATCAAAGATTTAACGTGAAAACAATTTATTTTTTAAAACCTTTCTCACGGTTCGTGATTATAATCAAACGATGAAACTTATAATTTTTCTTGATTTTGATTATCCAAACTTCAAAGCGCATTTCAGAAGAATCCTGAAAATCGGAATCCCGAGAAAGATCCCTGTCCTGGAGAATCAACAACAAATTAGTATGTTTATTCACTATTATCTTCATTAAATGATACAGTTTTATACAGAAATAATAAAACATCGGGTCAAAATATCGTTGGCACTGGTATATAGCCCATTCCGCGGCAGATTTTAACTATTTTGTTTTGCTTCGAGCTTCAGAATCCTTCCGAGAAGCTTCCCATCGTTGCGCGACGCTTGTCTTTGTGCATGCGCCTTTAATTCAGGCTTGAGCCATCGAAGAATGGGTCCTGACACGATGAAAAAGAGACAGTGCTTGATTGGTGGAGTGCACAGACAAGCCACGCCTCCTTGCGTCTCACGCTAGTCGTGAATCGGCTTTAAAAAGTCCGTCATATTAAAGGCGCATACGTAGAAACAGGCCCCGGGCATCGAAGAGAAGGGTTCTGTAGCTCGAAGGAGCACAAAAGTCGCGAAAATTTGCCGCGGAATGGGCTATATTCGACTTTCTGAATATGAATTCTATCACAGGGTTTCAGTGGAGTGAACGTAGAAATATATAAACAAATGGAGATTTTAACTTGGATTGAAGGTGGGAAACGTCAGCGGCGGCGCTTGTCGTGCTGAAAATTTGGTAACAAGTGTATTTAAGATTTTTTTTAAGTCTTCTAAGAATAAATCAAGCTATTTTGGATAAAATAGCACTTTTTTTACTTCATAGGCAAAATCAGAAAGGGTGGAAAGAGGCTCCATAAAAATGTCATGGTGACAAAGGTTCCGAAATAGTTGTGACATTAAAAAAAGGGTAGGCTGAAAATGTCATAGAACCTCCCTCCCAATAAAGAGGGTTTTTCGTAACTCATATTGTCGATAATATACCTTCAAATCATTGACACACGCCATACAAGTTCTGGGCCGATGCGAGTGATCAAAAGGACATGTCGATTTATTGCAAGTCGAGTCGTAGCGACACTGACCGTGGGAATAGATGCACTTGGCCCCAGGGCATGATGGGAAGTTTCTGGAAGTTCAGATATTAAATATAATATTTATACTGGACTATAAGAGCTTTCTAGCCCGGTATATCATGTAACTGTCGAACGTTTCGAATCGGATACATCAAAACTCCAACTAAAGTTACGTACTTGCACTTGACTGGAGCGCCATGGGGACACCGGCCAACTCCACGGAGAGCGGCGCCGTTCGAAGAGTTATTGGAAGCTCGGGAGTTGTGTTCGTAGACTTTTTTCTTCAAAGCTTCCTGCAAATCGTCTTCGTTTTCAGTTCTTGTAACTCGTGAAAATCTATTGCGATACTCGGGTATATTGAACTGTCTGTACCCTAAAAACGGTACCAGGGGTATAACTCTGCTATTAGCTATGAGTTTGAGGTATGGTGCTACGACAAAAGCGAGTTTTCCGTTTTCGGGGAGTACTGTATGCGGATATGCGCATTGAGTGCATACACTTTGCTTGTTTACCCTTTCCTTGCGTGACGTCACCGGGTTTTTTGCTTCCGAGTTTTTTTTTCGAACAGTTTTCAATTTTTTTTTCTTGATACTGTTTTTTATCGTGCAAATATCATCGAGAAAAGTGCAAAAAAATACTCAAAAATATTCGAAAAAAAACTCGGAAACAAAAAACCCGGAGATGTTTGACCCGGTGACGTCACGCAACGAAAGTGTAAACACGCAAAGTGTATGCACGCAATGCGCATATTCGCATACAGTACCCTTCGCAAATGGAAAATTCACTCTTGTCGTAGCACCTGAGGTATACCCTCATGTCAAGCGGTAGTGTACACTGCAGTCCTCACGATAGACATATCAATCCATTCAGAGAGGTTTACCCATTATCGTATCTTTTTTGCGTTGAGCTACCTTGTACACATGCTGTCGGAAATCGGTCCAGGCTCGCTCGTCCAAGTCTTCGGCTCGTTTGCCAAACTCCTCTCGGCAGTACCGACAGATGACCGGGTCGTTTGGGTGGCGGAATAAGACGTGAGCCGCCAGCTTGGTCACCGACTCGGTTACCTGAGTATCTAGGGATCTTAGAATTGAGGGCTCTTGTCGTCGACTGAACAGTTTGAATGTGGAAAAGTTAGTATGGCCGATTCACGGCTAGCTTGGAAAGGGGCGTGGCCTCTCGCTGTCTTTTTTCTTATCGTGTCAGGACCTTTTTCCGATGGCTAAAGCCAGCCGTGAGTCAGCTATATTAGTGCATATTATTGAGCTAACGTCTCTGGCTGAATATTTTTTTTCTTCTGTGATTCACTCGGACATTGGTAACGTGAAACGAACGTGCTCTGGACGTTTCTGAGCAATTCTAGGGATCACTTAAGAGTGCTGACGCTACTAAAGCGGGGTCTAGTAATGCCCCGACACGTCCGACTCGCGTTACCGAGATCTCACTTTTTCAACCTTTGTTCAAAGTATTTTTCAACGGATGATCTCAAGGATAAGCCTGATTACCCTAGGACACTCGGAGCACGGGATACTACCACCATGAGTCCGAATTTCGTGCTCCGCAAGCTCGCGAATCGTGTAGAACCCTCGATGACATTTCTTACACCCATAAGGACAATCTTCTTCCGGTAGGATCACACTGAAACATTCTTCTCCTTGAAAAATGCTTGAATTTTGATAAGTGACAATATTTGAAAACTTTTTTTTCAGTTCATTCAAAACTTACAGCTTTTCAAACAAAAAAAGCTTAACAAAAGTATTGTAGAAAATAGCAGTACATGTGTAAATATATAAATATATGGGACAGCAGAAAACTACTCGAATCCGTCGTAAGTGCCGCGGCTAGAGCTGCTGCTGCTGCGGCTGACGCGTCGGGTGCGTTTTCGTCGCGGTGGACTGCAACTTATTAAATTTGATTTAAAATGTGGTATTGAAAGGGAGTGTTATAGGAATGATCTGTTCATCAAAATCCAACCTTCTCGACCTACTGCGACTCTTATTGGATCTCCGTCTGCTTCTATGAGCGCCGTTACTCTCTTTCCGCTTTGATTCGTTGTCCCGGACTTCTGAGCCGCCGTCCGAGTGTTGTTCAGGGCTTTTCGCGGACTGTAACTGAGGATATTATATAGTCGGTTTTCGCGTCTTGAAAGGGCGAATCTTCTCTGCGCCCTTCTCGTCTCTCGACGTCCCTCTTTTGTTGACGCGCTTTTTTCGCGCTTCTGAGACCTCGCCGGTGAGAGAACTGAGAGACCCAGACACGCGAAAACTGTCAAGTCCCGCCGGACAGACTATATATATATCAGGAAAATGGCTAGTAGTAACTACTTTGGGGCTTGAAAGGTGCTGGAGGATAGGTTTCTGTGATCCTTCCGGCTTTTCTTATTGTCTCTTATCTTAGGAGTAGCTCTTGAATGTTATGAAGCCAACTAGAGTCACCTTCCAAAATTTCTTCAACTCACATCTTCTGAAGATGAGCACTTGGACGCTTCGTTGTCAGCTTCATCGTCGACGTCGGCTTCCTCTTCGGAATCGTTGTCGACGTCGGATATCGCGTCGTACTTGACGTCTTCGAGTCCGATGAACGTGTTTCCAGACGCTTTCGGTATGTATTCGTTGCCGGTTGTGACGTCGTCCGTGTTCCAGTTGCTCGACATTTTTTTTTCTTGAAAGCTAAGAAGCATTTGAGCTGGAGAGGAAGATCCAAATTTTGGATGATCGGGAACTAATTGACAAGCTGGTCTGATAGATAGACGGCAAAACGAAAATTTTTTCTTAAAGCTTTTTTAATTTCAAAAGCTCCATGAAGGACAAACAACTAAAAGCAGAGAGAACCAAGTCGTACATGTATAATAACATATTTTTCAAAGCTCTAACATTGTTAGCTTGCGAGGCTGGGCAGGTGATTTGCAGTTATGTAATTTTTTTTTCTCCTCTCATTCCCTTGGCAACCATCGTACCAGAGGAGTTGAAAATTGAGCTCGAGTTTAATTGGCGTCAGTGAATCGAGGCAAAATTCTTACCTAGTCGGGGAGTAGAGAAGGTAAAAAATTCAGTATGATGACTTTTCAAGCCATTTTGTAGATCCTAGAGGTATGGAAACTGTCAAAAAATGAGTGGAAACATAATTGTCAATATAGCTAAATTTGGCAAATGAAATAAGTGGCGAATCTGATGAATATAGATTTTGAAAATGTTCGGATCGAAGAAAAAAATATTAAAAATCAAACCAGACTGTCAAACTGTCAATATATGATCAAGATCAGTGGCTCTTCTATAGTCTGTGTACCACGACTTGGAATTTCACCGAACGACATTCCGCTGTGCCGCTGCGCGCCTTTGCAAACCTTTTAATTTTTTTTTTTCTTTTATTATAGTCTGTTCAGATTTTGAATGTCAAGTCGTCGCTCAAGCTCCGCCCATAATGGTGCGATAAACCAATCAGAGAGCGAGCCATCCACAGAATTTTTTTGAATGACGTCATTGCACTTGACATTGAAAATCTGAACAGACTATAAGCTACTCGACTTTCATGTGCTCCCACAGCAATACCGATCCATTGAAAGCGTGACCTAGATTCAAAAGACGCTTCGCGAACGCACGCAGCGGAACAGCGGAATATCGTTCCGTGAAATTTCAAGTCGTGGTACACAGGCTATAGAATGCCAAGTCAGGTCAAATAATCTATTTTCCATGACCAGTTTTTTGGCCCTTCGCCTGATCGTTCTTTATCCAAATGAGAATCCGGATCAATGTTTCAAAATTTTTCACTAATGGTCAGTTACAACTACGTTTTTGGTATCCTTTTTGTGTTTGGGTCTATCCTCATACAAACCTACTACTTACCAGAGAACGGTCTCTGGTCGCATTGGGACCCCTGATGAAACCGTTTGCTAGATGTAGTTTTTCACGCTGATTCCAAATCTGTTCTCGAAAACTGCCGAGGAGATCTGGTTAGTGCGAAAGATTTCGTATCTTTCAGGGGTTTTTTAGAGGATTTATTTAGACTGTGACTAATGGTGAACAAGCGTTGATTCGGTAAAGAATGGGTATGGCGAATCGAGAAAAGGTATCTCGAGACCCTCTGAGGTATATCGCAAGCTCTGAAGTCTCACGATGGTACCTTAAAGATACCTCTGATGACTTTGAGAAAAATGAGAGGGGCTTGAGAGAGACTCTGAAGTACCTTTGAGATGGCTCAGATATAGCTACTGGAGGTGTCACGATGGACACATTATGGGGTCACGATTTATTTTGAGAGGTATATTTGTATAAACATTATGGTACCCTCCGGACTCGTCTGTGCTTTCACTAAGGAACACTTTTAGCCCCAGGTTGAAAGTTTGATGAAACTTCTCTGTAGCTACTGGAGGTGTCACGATGGACACTTCTCTGAAGTGTACTTTAGGACCTCTTGATCCTAGGACAAGAAAAAATGTCTCTCAATAGATCTTATTTTCGAGTAATGAGTCTGTAAAAATCGAAAATTGCATAAATAATTGGAAGAAGTGTTGTTTGAGAGGTTTGAAGCTTCATAAATCGAGAATTATTCTTGTTTTTGAATCAGCACGTCCTAAAGTACATTTTAGCAAAGTTTCTTTAGAAGCTCAATAGAGGACTAACAAGGAAGGTAGTTTTACTTTGCGGTTTGGAATTTTCTACAAGTCACTTTTTGAAGGTCTAGATGAAGATCCCTCATAGTCGCTACCTGCGCAAAATTCTAGTTTTTCAAATATAATTTTACAAAATTGCAAAAAATGGAATTTAGGCTTCTTATAACTTCCCGACCTTTAAGATTAACTATCTTACAAACTAAAAGCTGGCGCGGGTAGCAATATCCATAGATCTTAATATAAACCTTCAGAGAGTGTTTGAGTAAGTTTGTACATGTATAGCTGATTCACGGCTGGCTTGAGCCATCGAGAAAAGGGTCCTGCCACGAAATGAGACGAGCCCTGGTTAGTGGAGAGTGCAGACAGGCCACGCCTTTTTGCGTCCCAAGCTAGCCGTGAATCGTCTATAGAAAATACCAACCCGCAAATGAAAGTTACCTCTTTGTGAGGTTCTGTGTTAATTCTGTGTTTAAGGAAAACTTTAAAAACTGATATCTAAAAAACTAGAAGTTCGCGCAGGTAGCGACTATGAGAGATCTTTTTAGAGTGTTTGAGCAAATTCATAGAAAATTCCAAACCGACAAGAAAAATGACTTCCAGTGTAAGAAGTGTTCCCTAGTCAGTAACTGGACAGTTTTTGGATTTTTTTCTTTTTCGGTAAAAAAACTTTTTTTCATTTTAAAACAAGTTTTTCTTTCGGAGGAATAGTGTACAAGAAGAGAATGAATTAGTTGATATATTTTGTAAACAAGATTAAGGTGAAGGGTGACATAATAGTCCAAAAAAGTTTGTAGTAAACATTTAACTATACTTCCTAGAAAATATAACAGAAGAATTACTCTGGAAAAATTTTGAAAGGCTGATAAGTCTCCCTAAAGATGGATAAGTGACCGGAAATCAAGCTCCAAAAAAAAAAACAATGATTAGAAAAATGAGTACAACTTAAAAAGTCACCGAGAACCGACTCAAGAGGTTTCCATAGAAACTGGCGGCCCTCGAGGCGATGTGCAGTTTTTATTGTCAGCCGGCATATCTTGAATTGTTTAATTACATGTTTTCGAGTTTTCGATCACGGGTTTTTGCTCTGAAGATTTTACGTTTTGCAGTGTGATTCAATAATTATCTTCAAAGTTGGGGAAAAGTTTATTTTTTCGAGAAACAACATACAAACTGAAATCTTGGAGGGCGTTCTTAAAAGAAAATTCGTTAACACAGAAAACTTTTTTCATTGAATACGCCATCGCCAAGGGAGAGGCTCAAAAAAGGCCGCAGAAAGGACGCAAAAAGGCCGCAGAAAGAGTCCCTTTATCGAGCCTTTCCCCTATCCCTTTTTCTTTAAAGGCTCAAGAAATGGTTGAAAAAGGGCGAGGCAGCAAAATTGGTGCATAAAAGCCGATGGAATGGCGCTAAAAAAACATTTCTATGGACCCTTTTTCCACCCTATCCGACTTTGCCTATGAAACGGAAGTCAAGATTAAATATTTTCCAAGAAAAATTGAGGTTGGATTAAAGTGAAAGAGTACTGTTTATTAAGTGAAGTTGGTGTGTGATAAGTTGTGAAACTATCGGTTGAGAATAATTTTTTTTGAAAGGATGACTTCAGATGGAATCGTCAACGTCGCTGTCGTCGACGTAGACTCGCGGAAGCGGCACCTTGTTGAAGGCGCGACGGGCGTCCAGAATACGCAGAGCTTCTGATTCCAGCGACGCCGACTGCAATCAAGAATTTGAATCGGAAAAAACAAGTTTTAATTTTGAAGAGATTCTAAGTTCAAGCAAAGAAGCCTTCGAACTTTGCTCAAGTTTTTATAAAAAGGTGATTTTTGAAGGTGAAAACATTTTTCCTGTAGTCTATCAGAAGTTTTGATCAAAAAGTGCTTAAGAACTCCAGAGTGGTCCCTATAGGGGCAACATTAGGAGCCCTTGTAAGGTCCCCTCTAGCGACAACTTTACCAACCCCTATAGGGTCCACTAAAGCTTGCAAAAGTGGTCCCTATAGGGGACATGCTAGGCGATAATTGCCATGAAATCTAAGCGAAGAAGCATTTCCATAGGGAAAACTGAATAAATAAGCGTTTTTTGAATTAAATTGAGAAGCCCCCATAGGGTCCACTTGAGCTTTTGGGGCTGAGGGGTCAGGCTCTAAACCCCTATAGGGACCACTCGCTTAAGGACCACTTTTTCGTCCCCTATAGAGGTTGTTTGTTCTCCTAACCCCATATGGACCACTCTGGAATTCCTTAGTAGGCTCCCGAAAAAAAGAATATTTCATTTTTTGTTTGTGAGAAAAACATTAGTTTTCCATGCCACAAGAAAAAAGTTTTCTTATCCCATAAAATCAGTGAAAAAGCTCCCTAAAACTGAATATTTCCAACCTGTTGGCTCAAATTGCGAAGATTATTGACGGTGGCGTACTGCATCGTGCACAGATCCGAGATGTAGGCTTCTTGGTTCAGCGACTTTTTCTGCAGGTCCCTTCGCAAGTTTGACAGCTGAAATTGGTTTGACAAATTTCAGTTGCCATGAGTTTTTAAAAAAACTGCTTTATACAGTATCATCAGGAGAGATACGAAAAAAAGCTTTTTGACCATAAATTTCTTAATTTTTTGTATAGAGTTTAATCTTACTGAAAGCTTCTGGATGTCTACTGTTTGTAGTCCTCTGGTGGGGTTTCAGCCCGCAAAAAACGCAACTTTGAGAGTTTCAGAAATATTGAAGTTACATACAAGGAAGTTGTGAAAAATAATTTTTTTCATATCTTTTTCGACGGTTTTGTATTTATTCACATTCTTCAGAAACCTTTACTAGTTAGATAAATTGAGACATTTGAATTTTTTTTAGTTAAGAAAATGATGCTTGATTAGTTTTGTCAAGTACTGATGGGACATTAAAATATCTGTATTTATTTTTGTTCGTGTTTCTTGAAGCTTTCTCAAGTTCCTATTTGATAGATTTCATTAAAACTGTTTTTGAACAGCTCAATAGTTATAATATATGTAGTGGATACCAGAAAATTCTATCTCAATTTTTCAAAAAAAACACATTTTTTTGAATTCAATCTTTTTATTTTTTTATGTATTAGAGTGCAGTAAATATTCAAAAATTCAAATAATCTTTCATTTTCATAATTATGACCCTCGTACAGAGTCTGAATATAGTGGCGGCTCAAAAAAGGTCGCAGAAAGGCAGCAAAAGAGTCCCATTTTCATTTTTTCTGTGATTTTAAAGGTTCAAGAAAGGGCTGAAAAGAAAGAGGCAGCAAAATGGGTGCATAATAGCCGATGAATTAGAGCAAAAAGGCAGCAAAAAAGGAACCTTTGTCACCTTAAAAGAAACACTTCCATGGAGTTTTTCCTACCCTTTCCGACTATGAACGAAAAAAAACCTCCTCGGCCCGAATTTTGTTGATATGAGTTTCAGCAGTGAGTTGTCCGCTTGCCTGAGAAAAATTTGATTTTCGATTTTCCAATACAAAAAAAAACCTCAGCCATTTGCTCCGTAAGCAGATCGTATTCCGACTGAAGCTCGTTTCGTTGTCTTTCAGTCTGAATTTATTGATTCTCTAGTCAAAAAAGAAAGAATAAACCTTCATTCTGAGTTTCCTTTCCTCGAGCAAATCCTCCTCCAATTGTTCAATCCGATCGATGCACCTTCTCAGGCTTGCCTGAGTTATTTTTTTTTGATTTTTTGAAAAAAGTATATGTAGCTGATTCACGGCTAGCTTGAGCCATCTAAAAATGGGTTCTAACACGATTAAAGAAGAGATAATGCCTGGTTGCAGGAGAGCGCAGACAGGCCACGCCCCTTTTCAAGGTAGCCGTGAATGGGCTATATTTATACCTGTAGTTTCGCGATGAGATTCGCATCGGACTGTCCTTTGCGCTTCAGCTCGCCAACGTCGGTTTCTCGTCTGAATACCTTTTTTTAGCTTTTGACCTATTTGAAAGAACGCTAGAAAAAGAAACGCACTTTCTGCAGTCCAAATCGAACTCGTGCTTGTCTCTCAACGCAATCTCGAGTTGAGTTTGAACGGCCTTCAGTTGACTCTCCAGTTTTTTGTTTTCTGAAAGAAGTTCTGGGTTAACACACCTTCTATCAGAAAGCCGATTAACCGAAATTTCAGACTGACCAGGGAACGTTTTTACCCCCGGTTAAACTTTTGCTGAAACTTTGCTGAAGTGTACTTCAGGACCCCCAGATTGCAAATCAAGAAAAAAAAATTCTCGCAATAGATCTTGTTTCCGAGTTATAGAGCATCAAAGTGTGCAAAATACGCAAATTAGGCCAAAAGAAGCGCTATTTCGGGATCCCTTCAGCAATCCTGAACATGTTTACAATGTTAATGGCTCACCTATTCGATCTGAAACTGTTGTCAGAGACCTCGGTCTCCTTATCGATAAAAATTTGTGTTTCAGCCCTCACATTAATCATGTAGTCAACATTGCCACTCTCAAATCTAAACAGCTGCTCAAAGCTTTTGCTCACTTGAACATCCAGCAGTACAATTTACTATTCAACATGTACGCTAGACCCTATCTTGACTATTGCTCTGAAATCTTCTCACCGCCTATAAATTCAGAACTTTCCGTCCTACTTGAAAAACCTTACCGTCATTATACTAGGCAAGTTTTTCATGAGACGTAATAAATCCTTTGACACATACTCCCATCGCCTTGATGTACTCGGTTCTACTCATGTTTTTCCGTAGGAGAACTTCTATTGCTCTAGTAACTCTTCAAAAAATCGTCCTGGGCATTTACCACTTTCCTAGCGCAGAAAAGTTTTTCAGTAGAAGTCGTTCACCTCGGTATCCTTTTCGTTTGATTCAGACTGGTTCCAGATTTAATAGTTTTTTTAGCACTGTCATTCCTCTTTGGAATAGACTCTGCTCAAGATTCAACCCTAACACGTCTACCACCCGTTTCAGAAAGTTTCTCGACTCGCTAAGCAACGAAGAACTCTTTTCCAACATTCCCTTACGTCTACTGTGATCAAAAATCCTTCTACGTGTTCTATTCCCTATACCGGTAAATTCGCTCGTGAGGGCGTATTAAAACCGGTGCTCATTTCACTCCCATACAATTCTTGCCCAACTTTGCCTCTTTCTTTGTAGCTCATGTTATTTTATGTATTGGAGTGAAATAAATATTCAAATATTCAAAAGTTTCAGCAAAAGTTAAAACGGGGGGGGAACGTTCCCTAGTGGGTGTTCTGAGCTTATTTTGTGGGCACACTAATACACAAGCTCTTGAAATGTTACACAGGATTTTTAGTGGCCCCGCCCCTTTACGGGTTACGGTAGCGAAAGTACCAAAACAATGTTTAAAAGTCGTATTGATTATTAAAGAAATTGCATAGGAAAACGAGGAAGAGCCCTAAAAAGAATGATTAGGCATTTTCCTTTTAGGTTACTTTTCGCTACCTTTTTGCGCCATTTCATCGGCTTTTATGCATTTGCTGCCTCTCACTTTTTCCACCATTTCTTGAGCCTTCAATTTTCTGAAAGGCTGAACAAAGAGACCATTTTGCTGTCTTTCTGGGATTTTTTTTTTTGAGCCTTTTCCTTTTAGCTGTATTCTTCTACCATATCGACTTTGCTCTAGGGGTTTGACTAAAAAATACGGGAAAACATCTTGAAAGCTAATCGATAATGAAAAATCCTTGAAAAATCAAGCGTTGACTCATATCTTTATATTCAAAAATCGATTCATCGAGGTTTTTTTTGTTTCAAGGCGAAATATTCGATCTTTTGTACCTTCAATCATACATCTTTTCAAAACTATCGCTTTTTCCGGGTCTCACTTGGTTAAAGTCAGTACTATCAACCTGAGACTGAAACTAGCTTTTATTGATGCAAAATCTACTTGAAAATCATTTCTACTCGTTATTTTGGTAAGTTTCCGTAAGTCTGTCCCTTCTCCTGGTCTATAGCTAATTCACGGTTGGCTAGAGCCATCAAAAAAAGGGTCCTGACACGAAATGAAAAGAGACAGCGCCTAGTCGGTGGAGAGCGCAGCCCATTTGCGTCTCAAGTTAACCGTGGATTGGCTATAACTGAGTTCCTTACTGTTATGACTTAAAAATCCCATTCGTTTCAACTCACGCTTGGCCATCTCGTGGTTGAGACGCTGCTCGGCGGCCAACTTGTCGTCGAGGGCATCGAGGTCCTCCTTCATCTTGTTCCGCTGCTCGTCGGCCTTCTCGTATTTTTGCCGCAGGGACGCGACCTGGTCGGTAAGCTCGCCGTTAACGTGTTCCTGTAACTCCAGTCAACATACAAATAAAGAGCAAAGATCTTTTTTGAAACCTTCATGGATCTGAAAAGGATACGAAACAGGACCTAAAATGTTCCGGGCCGAAAGACCTACCGAGTAGCCACTTTGCTTTCTTTTCGATTTGACTTATAGTCTGTTCAGATTTTGAATGTCAAGTCGTCGCCCAAGCTCCGCCCATAATGGAGCGATAGGCCAATCAGAGAGCGAGCCATCCACAGAGCGTTTTCGAATGACGTCATTCTACTTGACATTCAAAATTTGTACAGACTATATGTCTTTCCAGCTTTGGTAGCATTGCTGATTCACATTTATCGAAAAAAAGGGTCCTGACACGATAAGAAAAGAGACATTGTCTTGTTGGTGGAGAGCGCAGCCTACGTCTTTTTGAGTCCCTAACTAGCCATAATGAAACGACGAAGAAAGATCCATGTAAAATGTACTTCAAAGACCTTTACTCATTAGCCTACAAAGGGGAAAAAATAACTTGAAGGATTACGGAACCTGAGCCTTGCGTTGAGCCTGGATCTTGTCGTGTTCGGTTTGCAGGCTCGCCAGTTGGTCCTTGAGTTTTTCGTTGGCCGCACGGTTACGGTTCGCCTCGTTCTCCGCCTCCATTTGTAAACGACGCTCCTGTGACACATTATTTATTTATTTTTATAACAAAGGGATTCGCTTCAACGTTTGCACCACAGGCTTCTCTCAAAACTTCAATAAAAGCGTCCACATTAAAAACTTGAACATAAAAATGTTAAGTGCCAGAAAGATAATGCCGTGTTCGATTTGATTTCGCGAAATGCAAAATTATCTCTGACTCTCTAAAGTTTAGTGATCTTTTCCTTTCTCTAACGGGTATTTTGCATTTAGCGGAATCAAATTGAACACGACATAAGAATTAAAAAAGAGACCTTTGATAGAGTTCTGAAAGTCCTGTGATAGAGAATGAAACATGAGACGATACAAGAAATTATTTCATTGAAGAACCTTTTCTTCCCATTCTTTTTTCTCCTTTTCACGAGCTCTCTCCAGCTCGGCAGCCTTTTTGGCGTTCTCGTACGCTGATTCCTGCTCCTTCTTCAGGTTTCTGTTGAGTTCCTGAATGGATTTAATGATTTTACATAAATTCAAAGAATATTTTTTTATTTTTGCGATTTTACCTTTTGCGTGGACGATCTGGTGTTTTGACCGCAGGGGTGCGCTGTGTGCACGTAAAACGCTAGGAATTACGCGCAAAACAAAAACATTTTAGGCCATCGATTTTTATTTTTATTTTTATTTTTTGACATATTTTCCTTATTAGTTCACTATCAGTTTTCTCTCTTCATCAATTTGTGGCTGTATTTGGGACCGATGTCTGATTTTCAGAATAAGAAATACACCACCGCGGCAACTTGTAAAGTAGGCGATGAAAAAAACTTCAATTTTCATTTTAATCAAACTAACTTCGATTTCTTTGTTCCTCTTGTCGAGCATCATTCTATCTCTTTCTAAGGCGGCTTTCGTTTCTTCATATTGCTCGATTTTAGCTCTGTAAAATTTTTGATTTCGTCGAAACTTCGCTTTTCTGAACAAACCGCAATTCGTCCGCGTATTTTTTCCGTTGTTCCTCTTCGCGTTTTGAACTTTCTTCCAGTTCCTAAACCAACTTTTTAAGGTGGCACGGGGCTGGCACGCGAGACCTTGCATTTCTTCTCCAAAGCTTCAATTTCGGCGTTCGACTTCATTCCCTTAAGCATAGGCTTGAGGCGAGAGAAGAGACGGAACCAAGGCCAGGATCTGTAAGAAGGTGAGACGATTTTTGATGTAAAAAACTTTATCATTTTAAATCTGTGTTAATTTTTTCAAAGTGACCGATTTTTTGTAAATGAAAACCTCAATTTAATCCAAGCACGAACGTTTTCTTGGATCAACGGATAGGCGTCTTCTCGGTCGAGTCGACTTTTGTAGTCGCACTGAAAAATGGCCATAATCAATGGAAATTTCAAAAGATCAACAGGAAAAAAGTCGACAAAGATCAATATTTCGGGGGAGTCCGTGGATCCTTGGAGGGGGCAAGTCTCGGCGATAATAGGCGGAGCAAACAGTTTCGGTGCAACGTTAGAACTGATGATTGAAAAGTTTGAAAATTTCATTTCGAAAATGCAAGAAAATTGTTTGTAGGTGACTTGAAACAAATAAAATATTTTTGAGAGCGTTATTAAATCGTGTAAAAAGATATTATTAAGGCGAGAAGTCTATATCTCTTTTTTTAAATTTTTTTCTGTGAGACTTCTCAAATCACTTCAGCGAAAATAACGCAAAAATTCATGAAAGGAAAATATTTGAAAAAAGATCAATTTCTTATTTTGATTTTCGTGATAGGTTTTCAAATGGCAAGTGAGCCAAAATTTGCAAAAAAGCGATCATTTTTCCGTTTTCAGCGTTTTCTCATTTTCGTCTTCATAAGCAAAAAAGAAAAATCTGTTTGAAATCCAAAAAAGGTCAGACTTTCAGCCGAGTTTTTTTCTTCATTTTTTTTTCTTGCTTTCAAAGCTAGGCTTGAGAATCCGGCGGCCCCCGCGCAAACAAAACCTGGCCGACGAAAGATTTTTCGAGTGCTCTGCCAAAATTTTTTTGCTCTTGGCACATTGGTTCAGAACGTTCGTCTTATTGTTGTGAAAGATGGAAGTTGCGGGGAATCATCAAAAAAAAATAGCGTTTTAAAATCAAAATCAATGCTTTGAGTTTGGGACAGAATCAGAAAAGTTTGACTAACAAAAAAGGTCATTTTACTTTGCGGTAGAGAGATTCTCCCGAAAATTGGCTGGAAAACTCCTTGATGTACCAGAAAAAATATTCAGGAAGTCTGAAACTGCACATCTACATTTTTTCGAGACACCTCAAGGCCAAAGTAAACCCCAAAATCGGTTGAAATGAGCTAATTTCGGGCTTTGGACCCCTCTTTTTTAAAATTTAGGAAGCTTTGCTGGTTGTGAGTTTCAGAATCATCATTATCTAAATTGAAGAGGGGCCAGTTCCAACCGCAATTTAAAACTCTTTCCCTTGTAAAAGTTTTAAGTTCATAAAACTAACCAACGCCAAGTAGGCGCGTGTCGCAGCTTGGAACTTGACCATAACTTTGCTCAGAGCTTCATCGCGTAGTTCTTCCAGACGCGCCAGCATACCAGCGCGGAAGAAAACCTCAAAACTTCCATTTTGGTAGAAAATTTCCTACGAAAAAAATTGAACCTTGGTGGCTCCGATTTTAAAGTTGTCGACGTTGATTTGATTGGCTTTGGCTAGCTTTCGCAGCATTGCCTTCGATGCCTAGATTTTTTGGATAAGTCGAAAAAAAAAATTTAGAATCGAAAACCTTAGAGGCATCTTTTTCAGACGCTTCGTCGGAGGCCAGAATGGCGTAGCGGTAACGGAAGTCGGCGAAAATCAGTCGGTTAGGGAAACCTTTCCGGCAGATTCGGATGCCTTCGAGAACACCGTTGCACGTCAACTGAAGGTAATAAACTTCAGGGAGAAATTGGAAATTTAGAGTAGAACAGTTTCCATTGAAGTTCCTTTTTGACATTCACTATTTTTTCCAGATGGTGATACAAAAGCTAGGTTGCCACTTAGGCAAAGTCGGAAAGGGTGGAAAAAGGTTACATAGAAATTTTCCTTTTAGAGTGACAAAGGATCCCTTTTTGCGCCAATTTATCGACCATATGAACCAATTTTGCTGCCTCTCCCTTTTTCCACCATTTGTTGAGCCCTTATAGTTCTAGAAAAATGAGGCTCGATAATGAGACTTTTTTTGCTGGCTTTCTGCGACCTTTTTTGGGCCTCTCCCTTTTTGCGGCCATTATCCACCATTTCGACTTTGCCCGAATAGGTAAAACGCAGAAAAAAGTCAGGTAAACTGGGAGTAATATTCACCTGATTCAAAACGAGAGGAGCGTCGACGAGTCCGCTGGTCTTCTTCTCGTTGGGGATGATGCAGCTTAAAATTATTGTATTATAAGTGGGTTTTTTAATAGGAAAGAGAGGGCCTTTTTTTTTTCTTAAACCTTTATAAACTTGTTCCTTGACCTTCAAACTAATCAATAAGTAATACCGGATAAAGTGAGGATGAGTCGTGTGAAGCATGGTCATCAGGGAGTTGAGCGATTCGCGGTACATCGTCGACACGGTGAGGAACGACGCCGACTTTCCCTTCTTCTTCGTTTGCTGGCCTTTTCCTGATTTTTAGGATTTAGTAAAAAAAAAAGGCCATAATATTGGATCTGAGGTTTTTATTAGCTCTTTTAATAATCTGTAGTCATGATCTCGAATAGAAAATGACAACGCTGAAAATAATTTCAAAAAGTGAACCTCAACGTAAAATTTTTCAGACGGGCTATCGTAATTTTCAGGAAAGTTAGTTTTTCTGTGGTTAACTCTTCTGAAATTTGTGATACGACTATCGTTACCTCTCTTCTCGCTCTCTTCACGGTCGACATCAGTGACGTAGTCTTCCCAAATTTGATAGAGAATTCCCTCCTTGTCTGAGGTTTTCAGACAAGCCACGGCCGAGTCGTTAAGAGGATCCTGGGAGTAGCTTTTTTCTATTTAAGTTTAATGTCTTTGAGAAAAGAGACTCCTCGAATAAGTCGTTAGTAGGGTTTGGAAATTCACACCTGTTTGATTTTCGTTAAATATAACTGTTTTGATGTAACAAAAATTTTTGAAATGCAAGTACCTTATTCTTGTCAAGCCACTGTTCTGCGTTGTACCGAACCGTCCCAGCATAGTGAACGATGGCGAAATGCGCCTCGGCTTGTTTTCCCTTGGGTGCTTTCGCCTATTTACAGTTTTTGAAAGATATTCGAAAGCTTTCAACCTTCTGGAAGTTGGGATGTTTGCCGAGATGTTGTGTTGTCAGTTTGTCGACGTAGGTCATGTCAGTGGCTTTCGGAACGATGCATTCTTCGTCCAACATTGAAACTATTCCGAGTGGCTGGAATTCATTAAGTTTTGGAGAGATTTTTCAGAAAACTTGAAACTTCAAGTGGAAGTATGTATGTAATCTCAACGTTTATAAACGTAAAATGGATTTATTTATTTTTTGGTAAGATCTGAATTTTTTGGCTATCTTTAACAGATATTTCACTACTTCTATTGGTAGAATCAATCAGAAGTTGGGAAACTTGAATGAGGTCCTAGAAAAAAATAAGAATTCAAAAAAATTTTTCGTTGAAAAAAAACTCGGTGAAGATGATAATTAGCATAGGAAAAAAAGCTAACTTAAACAATTCAAAAAATGAATTTTTTTTTAAAATTTTTTTCCATATCAGAGCCCGCCGTTTCAAGGTTGAGGCTCAAAAAACGATGAAAATTGAAAATTTTACAAAATTTCGATCCTTCTCGTTCAATTTTTTTTCAGCGACGAAAAAATTCGGCGGCAACCGTCATGAGTTCCGCCACTAATCACTCTATTCCGGTCGATTCCAACGGTCTCGGAGCGCTGTGAAAAGTTTGAAATAATTCTTTATGTCCAAGGGAACTTTTTTTGAAGAAGAAATCTGCGAAATGGACGAATACGAAGAGAAAACGTCAGGGAAACGATCCGAAAAGTTTCCAAGGAAAAATGTCAAAAAGGAGATGAGAAGCTGTCGTAAGATGTGGTGCGTTTTATTTTTTTAATTTTTCATACATGTTTTTTGGTCGTGATTGGCAAAAGTCCAAAAAAAAAAATAGATGATATAAATGATTTTCAAATCAATCACCTTATGAGCAGAGAGCTTCCAAGCTCATTAAAATTGCGGCGATAAGCTGAATCAACCAAAATAAGTCCTTTGTAAAAAATGCATTTTGGTTTCGTTTTCAAAAAAAGTTAGGGTCGTGGATGAAAACTATTAATCGTGGGTGAAAACTGAAAATGAAAAACTAAGAAAAAAAGTTTTATCTGTGAAAAAGAGTCAGAAATTTGGAGTTTATTTTTTATTAAATAATTAATTGGGGTTTGTGAAACTTTTTCAGTTATAGTCCATTCTACGCCAGGTCCTCACTTTTCGTTTCTGCCAAAAAAATACCATATACAAAATTAGATCAAAATTCAGCCTCCTTGCTTCAAAACCTTTGTTTTTTCCTATCTTTTTTAGCAGTTTTGTAGAGAGTTTTAATATTATTTTATTTTGAACTACGTTGATTGTTTTCCCTGCAAACCTTCTCGATGAGTTCGATGCAAGCTTGGAGGTCGAGCCCAAAGTCGATGAAAGTCCACTCAATGCCCTCCCGCTTATATTCTTCCTGTTCGAGGACGAACATGTGATGATTGAAGAACTGCTGGAGTTTCTCGTTGACAAAGTTGATCCAGAGCTGCTCGAAGGAGTTGCGCTGAAATCAATGAGATCACGAAGACTTCCCGCCGCGAGGGCTCACGTCGAAGATTTCGAAGCCGGCAATGTCGAGGACGCCGATGTAGTAGACGGAGTCTTCGAGTTTGGCTCGGAGCGTCTGATTGACTCGTTTGATGAGCCACGTGAACATTCTCGCGTAGATGGCCTTCGACAGCGCCCCGACCGCCCAATCGACCTGTTTCGGAATGTTTTTTTTAACGAAGGCTTTTTGTTGACATTCTGTTGGTTGCATTTCAAGCTCTAACTGAGAAGAGGGGTCACATTTCCGTTCGAAAATTCAGTTTTCAACGGTTCCGTAGAGCTGATCCACGGCTGGCTTGGGCCTTCGAAAAAAGGGTCCTGACACGATAATAAAAGAGACAGTGCCTGGTTGGTCGAGAGCGCAGACAGGCCACGCCCCCTCAGCGTCCCAAGTTAGCCGTGATTCGACTATAGCCTTTTTTTCACCAAGGACTACTCCTATTTACGGACTTTTGTTTAATTTTGTGTTTTGATGCCGTTTCAAAAGTAATTTCCCCGAGATTCAAAATTATCTTTAACTATCCAAAATATAGATATCTTTTACATTCTTTGACGGCTTTTTTGAATTTCGCTCTCTGAGCACGAAATGAGCTAGGAGGGTAATTCCCTTCGATAATTCAATTCTGAACGGTTTCGGGGCTTTTTAAGCAATACTTTTGATTTATGAAGTTTACCTGCTGGACGTTCTGACCCTTGTTGACCCATTCGGTACCGACTTTGATTTTTGGCCTTGTCAGCGCCGTCAAGAAATGCTCCACGTTGATTCCAAAGAGTTTGCAAGCGTTGGTTGGGCCTCAATATAATTATTTTTGGACTTTTGTAAGTCATAACGATTTTTCTAAAATTCTGTCTTTTGGACAAGAATGGTTTTTTTAAATATTATTTATTTTCTCTGCAAGATCATACGCATTAGGTCGCCAAGTTCAGATCTTTTTAGGGTTTCTTCCATTTTGTATGAGGTCTTCATCAGTAAACTTGGTAGAATCTCAACTTTGGCTTTTTGCCAAGATCCATTAGCTCCTTTTTTGTACAAATATCCTCTTAGACCAACTTGTCATGTCGTCGACTTCAGCCTGTTCGTCGCGCGGCTTCTGCTTGAACGTCGAATTACCAATGTGCATGATTGCGGCGCACAACTTGTAGAGGTCGTCTTTCTCTCGATCAGAAAAGCCCATGACGGAGAAGGCGTTCTGAAAACGACACTTCAGAAGGCTCCGGGGAAACTAGCTGACGTCCGTGATGCCCCATTCTTCCTTGTCATCCATTCCTGGCACTGAAATCTCGGCCTGCGACACGAACTTGTACTGACGAATGTCGTCGGAGAGTAGGTAGCGCTCTGAAATCGAATTTTTGTCTCTATTTTTATCCGGGATCTTTATCAAGCCAGCGCTAGAGTTTTTTTCCATCACAAGAGAGGTCATTTTACTTTGCAGTTAGGAATTTCCTGAAAATCGGCCATAAGGCTCCTTGATGTACCAACTGAAGATTCTGAAACTGCACAACTTCCTCGTTTTGAGAAAGGGCGCCTCGAAGTCGAAAAAAAAAACCTCAATAGGCTATTTTGGGGCTTTAGTCCCTTATTTTTCGAAAACTAAGAATTTTGAAACCTTCTAAACCTTCATCTGATACATCAAGGAGTTTTATGGCGAATTCTCAGAAAATCCCAACCGCAAGTTAAACTGACCTTCCCTGTCAACACGTGTAATATGTTTGCCGCCGTAAGAGGAAAATAGCTGCAAACGCTGATTTCAAATGCCTGTGGAAGTCATGTCCGAGTGGTTAAGGAGATTGACTCGAAATCAATTGGGCTCTGCCCGCGTAGGTTCGAATCCTGCTGACTGCGAATCGCTTTTTTGCCTCTTTTTATCTCTCAACTTTTCTCCCAGTTGGCAAACATGGCACATCCCTCAATTTTTTTCAACATTTTCCTATCATCGTCACTAATTTCGTTAGTTCAAACCCTTAAGATTCTTCTGTGTCATGATTTGGTAGAAGATGTGATAGGAGCGCTCTCCTGGCGCCTGCTTGATTACGCGAGATTTCTCGAGTAGGTCTGAATATTATTGTTTTTTATCTCGTTGTCTTTTTTCGTTGCTCTGAAACTTACAATGCTCGATGTCTCCACCAACCAATCGTCCTTTACGGTCGAAATGAATTCGGATGAATTTGCCGTAACGAGACGAATTGTAGTTTCTTGAAAACTATATTGTGAATGATCATAGGCGGCTTTAAGAGACGCCAGAAAAGAACAGAATCTCTACGGATTTCTCCTGCTTTCTCTCTATTCCATTATTGTCTTGAGGAGTTGGCCTGTTGCCCTTGTTCTTCCTTTTTTCTTTTTGAAAAGAAAATGTATACCTAGTTGTTGCGCCGTTTCCAAACGCCTCAATCGCAGGGTTGGCTTGGACAACTTGGTTTTCCAATGAGGACTCCTAAACTTCCAATTTTTGAGATTCAACTGAAGCTTCTCATTTACATTAGCTTTCCCATCGACCTTTGACCCTCCGCCAATCATTGCGAAATAGGCAATAACTTTCTTGGTGTTTTCCGTTTTACCAGCACCGGATTCTCCAGTAATAAGCATGGATTGATTCTCGCGGTCTGGAAAATTCAAGTTTTTCGAATTCTAAACAAAAAAAAACCATACTATTTTTGTGCTAACTGGACTAAATTATTAATTAATAAGGCAAGATCAAGGAATTCGATTTGCCCAAAATCTATTTTTTTTTTATCATAACTTTTAAAATTCATCATTACTTGTTTTAATCGTACATTCATCGCAAGTTTACACTTTCGAACTCAATACGTTTTATGAACTTAGTTTTGGTTTTAGAACTCGGCCAAGGTTTAAAATGTCTTTTCTTTTTTCTTTCCCGAGAAACACACCAGACATCATATTTCTGAAAGCCTCATCGGAGACGGCGAAAAGGTGTGGCGGCATTTCGGCTCGCCGCTTGTTGACATACATGTTGGCCACGGAATCGGTGTAAATCGGCAGCATTTTGTACGGGTTGATGAAAACGCAGAAAAGTCCCGAGTACGTCTGAGAAATCACGAGATTTTCTTGCGAAACCTCAGACTTTTTCCGATCCTCACATAGATCATCATGGAGTAGTAGCGCTGGCGGAGGTTGTGCAGCACCGACGCTTCGTTCAAAAACGTCAAGTTCGACATGTCCTCGGTTTTTTCGAACTTTGCCGGGTTGATCTCTTGGACTTCGGATGTTGTTAGCTTTTTCTGGGATTAACAGCTTGAATCAATCACACAAGATGAGATAAATTTTGCCTCGTGAATTCTTCGGATTTGTTCTTACAGGAGGAGTCAAGCAACGAATCTTCTAAATTTTTTTGCCGAATACTGTCCCTGAACTTTTTTGGGATGATTTCTAAAATTATCTAGCGAGCCTTGTTAATAATCTAGTAAACTTTAAAAAAAAGTTATTGACTCAGAAAATTGAATCTAACTCATATAGAAGGTCATTTTCACTTAGAGTTTGGAATTTTCTATAAATTTGCTCAAACAATCTTTGATGGACTGGGATTCGATCCCCCACAGCCGCTATCTGCGCAAACTTTTCTTTGGAATTATAATTTTTATAAGTTTTATTGATGCTCATGATGAAGGTTCGAATCTTTTTGCCGCTATCGTTTTTTGTCATTTTTTTTTCAATGGGTTATGATGAAAATATCAACTTTCATGATTAAAACCGTTCTATGGCCTCTATCTTTCAAAAATTACTTTTTTCACAGAAATTTTTTTTGTTGAAATTTTAAGGAAAATTATTTTGGTTATTTCTTTGATTGGATTTTTTCTTTTACGAAGCTCTGATTAGTGCAATCACTTGAGATCCGTCGGGCAAGGTGAGCGTGAGATTGACGCCTTCTTGGACGCCGATCGAGGCGACGACGAAGCCTTCCTGCGCATCTGGAACCCAGGCGTGCGTTTTGTTGTCGAACCGACGCGCGGCTTGTTCCTTAAATGGACTTTGTAACTAATTTTTTGTATTCCTATTGAAAAGGTTATGTAATTAGATGGAGCCACGTTTAACTGCTCCCTTGAAGGAGAAGAGGAAAAAAAATAATCTAAAAGTATCTTCTATTTTTCGAAACGTTTTTTTCTCACGGCTTGTCCCACCATTCCATCGTAGACCCAAGAAAAAAATAAAATTTAAAAAAATTTTTGATTTGCTACTTTTTTTGACTTGGAACTTCGTTATCTTTATTATACCCATATGTCAACTGTTTTTCCCACTTTTCTCTATTTAAAAGTCAGCTCAAGTTTCACTAAATAACAGAAGTCAGCGAAACAAACAAATATATATTTTCCTTGTTTTGCGAGTTTTCGATAGAAATTTGTTTTGAAAAAGGGAATAGAGGTTGAAAAAAAAAAAGAGGGGAATTTATCATATTAAATCCATTTGAGAGTATTTGTTTCATGCTGTAATAGCTGGTCTCTGGGAAAATTTCAACTTTTGAAATATAATCTCAAACTTTTACTTAAATCCTTGATTTTTACAGAACCTTTTGGCAACAAAAAAAAATCTAGGGCGAGCGAACTTCATCAAAAATAATCCATATTTTGTCGTACGATAATACGAAACTTTGGGGATGAAGATGGTCCCCATTTGACTCTTCCGCTATCATTCAATATTTTCTGTTCGCTTTGGACACAAACCTTGAGAGCCAAGTCTTCAGCTTGACGGAGATACGGCCACCCGGGATCCATCATATAATCGATGTGGACCATTTTAATTCCCTCAAAACTAACCAAAAACTCGAGAAAAATAAATTGAAAGAAAGAAGCCTCAAAAAATACTATGAGTTTTGTTGGAAGATGGATAAAGCGATAAAAAAAAGAGGCGACAAGACAAGACAAGGCGCCTCCTTGGGTTTCTGTTTGACGCCGCTTTTTCTCTGCTTATTTTGTCGACGACGAAGGAAAATACAGTTGGGATCTCCGTTGATCTTCAGAGCCTCGAGCCACTATTTGCTTTCTCGGCACCCTGGCAGATTTCCAGCAGCCTACGAGAAAATGAGGAAGTTTTGAGCCACGCCTGCTTTTGTAAGATTTTTTGAATCCGAAAATCGTCACTACTTGAAGCAGTTTGACTCTCTTCTCTTATCAAGGCGGTCAAGGAAAGATTTAAATAGCCCAAAAAATATTTCGGGCTGTGTGCGCGGTGAACATCGAGTTATGAATTGAGGCTTTATGCTAGGTAGACATAGGGGAGGGTGCTCCAAAGCGAAAGAGAAAATCTGCTAAGCACCATAGGTACCGAGAAAAAGCTCCTCAAAGTTTATCCCCGTGCTCGGAGTGCACAGCCTGCAACTGGGAGCGTGGTGAAGTGGCAGTGTTCTTGAATGGCGCTGACGCTATGCTAGGTTCGATTCCTTTCGACGTGAAACAATTTTTTGCTCTTGTTTTTTCAATTCTTCTAAACTCTATTATTAAACAAAGACAGCAAAAAATGTTTGAATTGGAGGAGTTGATTGAAAATTGGAAAAAGGGAAGGAGAAAGCACAAAAAAAATCGTTTTTGTGTCATATTCAGTTTTTCCGTTGAAAATATCGGAAAAAAAGTTCTGCCAATTGGTTCATGGCTTTCAAGATCACATTTCGGTGAGCAATAGAACAATACTGCCGGTATGAGAGGGGCTTTGAAAAAAGGAAAATAGAGAAATCGGGGGAATTTTCGCGATGAGATATTTCCAAACAATAAAAAGAAAAACAACATAAAAGGGTTGAATGAGAGCAGAAGAACTAGGTGTAATATTATTAAAAGTATAAATTTTTTTACAGGAGGCACCTAACCTTTTTATTGTATTTTTATTGTGCTGTCATCTCGAGAAGCATCAATTATTTGAACGATATTTTTAGAAGTTGTAAATGGATCTTGTCTGTATTTACCCAAATCTCAGTCTTTCTTTCTGAACTTCTCGATATTATCTCTCTTTCAAAAAGCACAATTGAAAAATTATTTCTAATGGTTTCTAATTTCTAAAGGTCGGGACTAGGGACCGCAAAGCCACGCCCCTTTTCGCGATAGAAAAAGTGGCTTTTTTTTGGTTTTCAACTTTCATTTTGTTGTAGTTGCAAAAATATGGGGAACTATAGAATAAATTTTGGCACATATGTACAAAAAAAGCTTCCTCTTTCGTTTAAAAAAATATTTCACGTTTTTTTGATGCGTTCGCGCGGAATGTCGTACAAAAAAACGTGAATGGAACTAAAAAAATTTTGTCGTTTTTTTGCTTTTTCAAGTGTTTTTCAGGTCGAACGCACTCTTTCTTTTTTTAAAATAATGATTTTTGATTCAAGTAACGGTAATTTTAAAACAATAAAATAAAAAAAATTCGTCTTTGCCAAAAAAATTTTTAGGGAGTGCCGAAAGTCATAATTCAAAATATCGTTAATAAGCGAATATAATCGAGTTTTTGTTTTTTCGAAATTTAGATCATGGGCTTACTTGAATATTTCTCTACAGCATCTGTGCTTGAAAAAGTTGTTTAATACGCAAAAATGCTCTTGAAAATAGAGAATAAAATTAGCGGCGTTTATCACACAGAAAACGGTCGAACGCAGGTTTTTTAAACGATTATATACATTTATTAGTAAAAAATCTTTCAATTAAAAGAATAAAATAAAAAATTCGTCTTTGCCAAAAATTTACGGGGCCGTTTTAAGGCAGCGATCGTTAAACGAGGCAAAAAAAGCACTAATAAAACAGTTTTTTCGAAGTAAATTTTCACGGAAAGTTTGAGTAAAGATTTGCGAACATATTCTGATAAAAATATCTTCAAGATTTTCTTTTTGAAATAGGCAATCTGTGCTATTCAAACGGCTCAAGAGTATGGGGGGATGGAAGCTCCCCTCGCTAGACCTAACAGCTTGGCGCAGCGCGTGCGCTGCGATTTTTCATTTTGAGGTCGCGAGTTCGATGCCCGCAAGCGTCAGTTTTTTGTTTTCTGGAAAATACCGACTTTTTCGGCAAACTAGCTGATGAGCATCATTTTAGCACTCTATTATGATTTGTTACATCATAATAGACCAGTATCAAAACTTTTTCTAGAAGAAAAATCGAAAAAAATGTCAAAAATGGATAATACCAAAATTTCAGTACTAAAAAAATGGTGGGCGGCGCGCCACATTTTTCGTCATAACTTTTTTCATCCTCAATCTTTTTCGAAAAACTAAACGGTTCTGAGGTTTGAATCGAATCAGCTATTAAACCATACAAAGCTCAATGCTGAAAAAATTTTTTGTGAAAATTCGTCTGCGGTCCCTAGGTCGGGACGCTATTTTTAAACTTTTTCGTTTTTTTTTCTATTCTTCTCATGTTTTTTTTTCTATTCTTTTTTTTTCTATTCTCACACTTTATCTACCTCATTTTTGGATGCTATATCTAGGGACCGCAACCAAATTTTCAAAAAAATGTTTGAGCTTCAATATTACTATGGTTGAATATCTGCTCCAATTTACTATTCAAAACAGTTTAATTTTTAAAAAAAATTTGAAAAAAAAAAAGTTATTGTCAAAAAAGAAGTGAAAAATGTCGCGAAATTTAGTACTGAAAGTTTAGATTTTACACTTTTTGTCGTTAATTTCGTTTTCATATCGGATTCAAATTTTTTAGTAGTTTATTTCGGTTTTCAAAGTCATTAATAAGTCATTAAAACAGTATAAAACCACAAGTTTGAAGAGAAAAAAACTATTTTTTTCCATGAAAAAAATAAAAAAATGGCCGCTGCGAGGATCGAACTCGCGAAATCAAATCTGTATTCAAGCGCATTTGCGCTGCTCCACACCCATCCCTCGGAGACGGGCGGCGTTCGCGCTATACACCACTTAACCTCAAAGTACAGCATTTACCGACTCTCTTGTTTAAAAAAATTATGATAGTTGAACAATTATTAGTCACGTTTGTTCGGACCACCTAAAAAAATAATTTATTCATAAAGATTCAGTTCAAAAATACCTCCCTTTTTCGGCGTTTTTTTGTTATTTTTAAACGTTGGCTCCAAGTTAACAATAATTAAACTTTTAGGCACCCCTAAAAATTTTTTTATTTTATTTTTTTAATTGATTGAAAAATTGAGATACGCTAATGTTTAAGAAATAAAAAAAGGCGCCAACGACATCTGACCGTGTTAAATGGATTTCGAAATTTTCACTGTCTATTTTTTTCTCAGAAAACAAAGTTTTCGGAATAAGTTTTATACTAATGAAGTTTTTAGTTACAATTTAATGCACAAGTTAAAATAAAAAAATTTTTTTATTTACACGCCCTCGAAACCGAGTACAAAATTTTTTCAACTTTGCGCGGCCTCACGAAGATTAGGTAGGGACCGCAGACGAATTAAAAAAAATTTTTTTCAGCATTGAGCTATGTATGGTTTGATAGCTGTTTCGATTCAGAACTCAGAACCGTTTAGTTTTTTTCAAAAAAAGATTGAGGATGAAAAAAAGTTATGACGAAAAAAATGTGGCACGCCGCGCACCATTTTTTTAGTACTGAAATTTTTGGTATTATCCATTTTTTTGACATTTTTTTCTCGATTTTTTTCTTCTAGAAAAAAAGTTTTGATACTGGTCTATTATGATGTAACAAATTATAATAGAGTGCTAAAATAATGCTCATCAGCTAGTTTGCCGAAAAAGTCTGTATTTTGCAGAAAACAAAAAACTGACGCTTGCGGGTTTCGAACTCGCGACCTCAAAATGAAAAATCGCAGCGCACGCACTGCGCCATGCTGTCAGGTCTAGCCCGGGGAGCTTTCATCCGCCTTACCCTTGAGCCGTTTGGATAGCACAGATTGCCTATTTCAAAAAGAAAAACTTGAAGTAATTAAGCTATTTTGATCAGAATATGTTCGCAAATCTTTACTCAAACGTTTCGTGGAAATTCACTTCGAAAAAACTGTTTTTTTCAGTGCTTTTTTTGCCTCTTTTAACGATCGCTGCTTTAAAAACGGCCCCGTATATTTTTCGGCAAAGACGAATTTTTTTATTTTATTTTTTTAATTGAAAGATTTTTTTACTAATAAATGTATATAATCGTTTGAAAAACCTGCGTTCGACCGCTTTTTGTGTGATAAACGCCGCTAATTTTATTCTCTATTTTCAAGAGAATTTTTGCGTATTAAACAACTTTTTCAAGCACATATGCTGTGGAGAAAAAAATTTAAGTAAGCCCATGGTCTAAATTCTAAAAAAAACAAAAAAACTCGATTATATTCGCTTATTAACGATATTTTGAATTATGACTTTCGGCACTCCCTCAAATTTTTTTGGCAAATACGAATTTTTTTATTTTATTGTTTTAAAATTACCGTTACTTGAATCAAAAATCATTTTATAAAAAAAGAAAGAGTGCGTTCGACCTGAAAAACACATGAAAAAAAGCAAAAAAATGCAAAAATTTTTTTAGTTCCATTCACGTTTTTTTGTACGACATTCCGCGAGAACGCATCAAAAAAAGCGTGAAATATTTTTTTAAACGAAAGAGGAAGCTTTTTCTGTACATGTGTGTCAAATTTTATTATCCAGTTCCACATATTTTGCAACTACAACTAAATTAAAGTTGAAAACCAAAAAAAAAGCCACTTTTTCTATCGCGAAAAGGGGCGTGGCTTTGCGGTTCCTAAGATTAGGCACCGTGGAAATTTTAATTTTTTTTATCTTAAAAGATGTGTTTTTCAATTAAAAATCGAATTCGAAAATGAAAAAAGGCGCCAACGACATGGAACTAGGTTAAAAACCCGAAGAAAAAAAGGAGTTTTGGTTTTTCGTACGACACTCCGCTAAAACGCTTCGAAAATCGGGTGAGAAGTATATCAGATTGAAGAGGAAGGTTTTCTGTTTCCACTAATTTTCTCTGTTTTTGGTTCATTGCGCTTTTACGAAAACATCAAACACGAAATCTAAAAAACCAGTGCATTTCACCATCGCAAAAAGAGGCGTGGCTTTGAGGTCTCTAGCTATATCACCTTTTTTTATCTTACGGATTTATTTTAATGCGAAGTTTCCCGTTTGAGTGATGAAATGAGGGCTTTTCCGAGATACATTAACGCTTCCGTGCATCCTCTTACGGTAATTCTCGAAAAAAAGTTGCTAACAAGTGACTTTTTCAGATTAATTTCAATAAAACTTGGCCTAAGAGTTCTTGAAGACCTGCTCTTTAGAAACCTTTGACCGCACACCGAGTAGCCTGTCATCTTCTCTTTCCTGTTCAAAATTGCGAGAATTTCATCCAATTTGAATGCTCTTCTTTATTTTTCCGTTTCCAAAAGCTCAGTTTGTTCAAAAAAAGGTGTCTATGACAAGAGGAGAAAAACCCTATAAATCGCACTGAGTAGAGAATATTTTAATGAAAGTTTTTATTTGTATGAAAAACGTTAGTGACGACGAGAAGGAGCGTCACACAGGAATCATGCAGAGGAAGGGACGTTTGGGTTTTTGACTGTAAAATTATCTTAATAAAGAATAGCTTTTAGTAGCTTTTTAGTTGGTTTACTGCACAATGTAGTGAAAAACGGGCGAATGGGCACAGCTTGGGAAAACGATGAAACTTTGTTTTTTTGATCTTCTTCTTGAAAAAAAAAGCTGTTAAAGTTGAGCTGTACGTTTTTCATCAAAATGCAATAAGTTATTATGATTTTTTTTGGCTCATCAAGATCTTCTACCCAATTATATGAGAGAGTAACGCCATGTCGCGGCTGAGGCGAGGGCACATCAAGAAGTTTTGGCTACACCGCAGTGATATAGCCTCAAGATTCAACTCTAATACGCCTACCATCCGTTTCAGAAAGTTTCTCGGGTCGCTCAGCATCGAAGAGCGCTTTTCCAACATTCCTATCCGTTTACTTTGATATAAAATCCTATTTAGTGTTTGACTTCCTATACCGGTGTATTTGCTCGTGAGGGCTTATTAAAATCGGTGCTAATTCACTATTATCTTCCTTTGCTTAAGCTATGACTCTTTAACTGTAACACATGTTGCTCTATGTATCCGAGTGGAGTAGGTATTCAAATATATTAAAATCTGAGCAAAGTTTGATCAAACTCCCAAGCTGTGCTTATGATTCCTTCTGTGAGGAAAGAAAATCCAAAAATAGACATACCCAATAGATGCAAAGTAGCGTTGGTCCATATTCAGCACAGGGAATCTAAAGTCGTGGTCGCTGTACTCCATACTCCCATCTGGCCAGAGGGAATCGTCGTCCCACATATCGGTTTCATCATCATCGTCGTCGCTATCGGCGTCTTTAGCGACTTCATCGTCGTCATCGTCGTCTTGGTCATAATTATTCTCTAGCCAGACCTGCAAAAGCTTGACAACTGTAAAATAACTTTCAACACTCTTTTTTCAGAAAACTTTGATGAGTAATCTAGTGCATGAGTTTTCAAAATACTAATCCTTCGAAGTATTTTTTTTCGCCTCGTTCGCGACAAAAGTTTTAAAGAGCTTTTCCGAGCACTCTATATGAAAGAAACAAGTTGAGAGCGGAGCTTTCCCGAAGATAAAGCGATGGAAATCTCCAGTATTTCAAAGAATCAATCAATTAATCAATTGATCAGAGGTCAAAACGTATCCTGACATCAAAGTTGAACGTGGTGTCGATATGAATCCTCCCAGTGACTCCCTTGCTTTTGAGAAAGTCTGAAATTTTATAAAAACGTCTTTATACGATTGTGCAAAAGTTATTTTCTTTCTTGCAGTATCAAGAATTTATCAACATACAAGTTTCGTTTTTTAATTGAAAGCCTTTTTCTCACATTACGTATGAGCACGGAGCGCAGAACTACGCAAAACTTATCCCTAAAACGCGCCATTTTTTGTTGCAAAAAACGTTTCTCCGGAATTTAAACGCCAAAAAGGGAGGAAAAAATTTAAATGTTCTGCAATTATACGTAGTTTACATCGCTTGAAAAATATAAACAGTTTTATTATTTTTTCGGGAATTTCCAAGACCAAAAATCTCAAAAACGAGGATTTTCGAAAAGTGTCCACGGATCACATCTGTTGTTTGTTCTGTTTTTTGATGTGTTGTATAGCTATTTTATCTAAATTATGTGAAAAAAAGTCCACTCCTCACAAAATTTCCTAAAACTTCGCCTGTTTGCAAAAAGTTCTCTGCAACGTGTCTATTTTTTTATTAGCTATAAAATTAGTAACAACATCAAATAAGATTAATAGAAGAAAAAAATAGCCGCGAATAGTTTTATGAATATTTTAACAATACATATATAAAATCATATACAAGTGATCAAATTGAATTTTTGGCCTAAAAAAATAAACTCCAGTAAGTTCATACGTTTTGAAATATTCTCAGATGAATTTAGAGCGAATTTGTGATCGCTATTTATAATTTTTTGATAAGAAAAAGATGAATCATGAACACCGCTAACATAAAAAGAAACTTTTTGAAAATGTTTGCAATGAAATAAAATTTTTAGTCAGTTTCAATGAATATTTTTCGGATATTTTTTGAAAGTGTATTTTAAAGGAAAGGGATGAAAAAAGGAAAAATGTTCGAAGCTCGAATTTATTTCTTATGACGACTCAACAATGGACACCCTTTTAAAACAATTATGATTCCTTAAAAGTTTTAAAAGTTTGTCGAATTTTTCACACGTTTTCCATTTCTTCCTTTTGATGCTTCCATAAGTTTTTCCAAGATCAAACCCGTTATTTTTTCGATTTCGCAGATATTTTGAAATAGCGAAAGAAAAGTTTCTATGGTGAGCAAGATCTCCTCGCAGTTCTGCTCGGAAAAAATCGCACCTCATCAGCCGTGAAACTCGGCTCCTTTCAAGGTAACGACATGCCTGAGGAAGGGTCAAGTTATCACTTTTCGCGGATATTCGTCGTTTTTTTTTTTGAGTTCAAAAGTTTAATCAAGCAGTTATCAAGGTTCAGTATGGGTTTTTGATCAAAAAAAGGCTCGAAACTTGGGAATTTTAATGAATTTCAAGTTCTATGCTCAATTTGAAGCTCAAAATCAGGGTCGTAGTTTGAATTTTGAATAATTTTCCACACTATGCGCGTAAAAGAAATGAACTTTCAAATAGTCGAGCCAAAGTAAACACATCGAATGAGAGCATTTAGAAAATTTTGGTCGGAAATAGTGTTTCAAAAAGAAAAAAAGAATTTATAAAAACGCAATTCACTTTTTGCTTCAAAAAATGTTTCCAGCAATAATATCCACGGATCACGTTTCAAAATGTCCTAAAAGTTTTTACCTGTCACATTTAAAGGCATAGGGGCAGTAAAAAAACGGTGTTATAGTTCAAAGCAGTACTTTGTATAGGTTTTCACTGCGAATTGAAAGGTGAAATTGAAAACGTACAGAAGTTCCGAGTTTTGAAGAAAGAATTATTCAAAGACAAAGAAAGGAAAGCTTGAGTTTCCGCCAAAAGGGCGCTTTGCAGTAAAGTTGCTCTATGGACAACAGGCTTCGCCATCTTCCGGATTTTCGCTTTTTTCTTCATTTCTTTCAATTTTTAATTTTTTACTGTTGTCACCAAAGTTCTTTTCGTCACAAAAGCTTTCTATTCATGTGTAATTGGCAAACTTTGATCGCAAAAAAGCGTTTTTCGTGAAAAATGATGATTTTACACAGGTTTCGGTTGGAATAGCAATATTTTGAGTTTTCTTTATTATCAATGTGTATTTTCTGTTTTCTTTATCGATTTTTCAGAGAAGAAACCACTGATTTGAAGCAGATATCCGGTTATTTCTCCCAAAATGCGAGTCTAATGAGACGTCCGCAACATCGCGTGCACGGCTACTGTAAACATTTGTCCTAAGGCCGATCCAAAGCTTTTTTCAAAAATAAAGGCGGGAAAGTAAAATCGCGTTTTTCTTCTAAAGTTGATACATCTGTAATTGTTTTGAGTACACCATTCGATTCGAAAAGAAAAACTATATAAGATACTGCTTTCACCTGAAACCCCATTTTTTACTGCCCCTATGCCTTTCAAACTTTTCCAATCACATGAGAAACAGAGATACACACATCACGTTTCAAAATTCCCTTTTAGTTGTATTTTTTTTCTATTCTCTGATTTACCTACTTCTTCTAGAAATTTTAAAAAGGTTCTATATTAATTCTTTTTTTCTTCAGATGTGAACTGGCGCCCCCAGACCCCTTGAGGTTACATTTTTTCTTTTTTGATTTTTTTCATTTTGAAATTTTTAAAACCTTCAAAAAGTTTCTATATTATTTTTTCTCACTTTGGGGGCTGCCGCCGCTACGGCTATTTCATTCTTAATTCTGATCAACATACATAGTAGAGTTCTCAAAACCAAAAGTTTGAAAAAAATGAAAGTTTGAAAACATGAAAAAGTTTGTTTTTCAACATTTCGAACAAATTTCATTTTTCAAACATTGATCTAAAACGGCCACAATCAAATCGTTCAAGTTATGATCAAACGTTTTTCTGGCCGAAAAACAAACGTTTGTTTTTCGAAAATTGGAATTAAAATTTTAATTAGAGCTCGGATAAGTTTGGTTGAACATTAATTCAAAACTTTTTTCGGGAGTTACATTCACAAGAGGCCAATTATCTTTTGAAGCGTGATCTCTGCGAACCGAATGATCTTTGTGAACCGAAGGAGTATCAATTGGACCCAAAAAATGATATTTTGTCAACCTTTTTTCTCAACCTCAAACAACTTACACGACAAAAATATTATTATGGCGTGTTCATCGGAGAAACGGAACAGGCTTCAAAACGAAAAATCGTGTTCATCGGCGCGCCAAAGTTGCTCCAAAACAGTACTAATTTTTGTTTTGGAGGGTTTTTTTTTTTCGCGTTTCGAAGCAATTTTCGTTTTGTCCGATGAACACGCCATTAGGTTTAAAAGATCACTTTTTGGGTTCATTTGGTATAGCTGATTCACGGCTGGATTGAGTCATCGAGAAAAGGGTCCTACCACGAAAAGAGACGAGTCAGTGCCTTGGTTGGTGGAGAGTGCAGACAGGCCACGTCTTTTTGCGTCCCAACCTAGCCGTGAATCGTCTATACCCCTTCGGTTCACAAAGTTCACGGTTCAAAAGATAGTAGGTTATTATTCATTCAGAAACAGCTTCTGCTTCTCGGGAAAAATTCAAAATCCCGCTATTTCTTTTTACGTCCGCTTTGTCAAAATTGTTAGCTTGTTTATGAAAAAGTGCCCGTAAAGCTAGCGGTAGACACAGCAGGGTATATCCACAAATAACTTCAAAATGAACAAACTTAATTTCTGATGACGATGATTAGAAATTTTTTTGTCCTCGTAGTCTCGTAAGGTCTCGTCCACTGATTTTTCCAACCGATAAACGAACGTTTGGTTTTTCGATCAAACGTTTTCCGACCGAAAAACGAACGTTTGGTTTTTCGATCAAAGTTTTTCCGACCGAAAAACGAACGTTTGGTTTTTCGATCAAACGTTTTCCGACAGAAAAAAGAACGTTTGTTTTTTCGATCAAACTTTTTTCAAACATTGAATGAATGTTCGTTCCGATCAAACGTTCGATTTCGAAATTTCAATCAAAGGTCGGTTTCAATAAAAGTTTGAAAAATGTTTGGTTGAACGTTCGTTCAAACGTTTGGTTTTGAGAACTCTAATACATAGGCACCACAAGCCATTTTTTGAAAAAAGTAATGCATAGCCGAATCCAATATCATCGGATAGAGCAGATTGTCCAAAAATCAAATCAGATTAGCTTTTCGAAAAATTTTGATTTTGAGCCTAGTTATGAAGCTTCTAGTGACGCGCGAGAAAACCGAAAAATCTGGCGTTTTCCAAATTTTCGGCTGCCGCCGCACTGTTTTGGCTCGTTTTTCATTCATATTCAACCGTTTTCAAATCGGTTTTCTGTTGAAAACTGATGAGAATGCTTCTCTGATTGTTATACACCCAGTTTAAGGTTTTTAAAAAAATAATTAGTTCGAAGAATAAGAAAAAAGGATCCTCGGCACCAACGGGATAACTATTATATAATACTTTCTGTTCAAATTATCAAGAAAGTACAGTCTAACAGTCACATAAACAAAAAAATGAGAAATAATTTCAATTATCATAGAAAAAAACACAAAGTTCTAAATTTTTAATGTTGGATTTCCTATTTTTCGCCCGTAAAACACTTATTTTCCTTCAGAACGGCGCAATATCACACACACGACACGCTTCGACGCGCAAAAATAAAATAAAAAATTGACCGTTTTCGGTCATTCAAAATGCTCATTCTTTTTTCGGCACCGCCAGATTTTTTTTTATTTTTTTTCTAAACATGTAAAATTGTAAAGGCGAAAGCATATCAAAAAAAGAAAAACGTGAAACGACATTGCTCTTGTGAAACGCTTTAAAAAAACGTAATTCATTTTTTTGCGGGCGTCTTTTTGTGAATGCAAATTTAAACTCATTTTGCTCGGTTTTTTTGATTTTGTTTTTTTGTTTTCACGTTGGTCAGACTTTTTTTCAATTTTTTTAATCAAAGAAAATCACTAGGTTGTCGCTGAAAATTTTTTCGCATTTTTGCTCCAAACGTTTCTGTTTTTTGAGTGTAACTTTACAAGCTTCGTTCTTTTTTCGGCACCGCCAGAATTTTTTTGATTTCCTATATATTTTGAAGGATGTCATAATGAATAACATATCTAAAATTCAGATGTGAAACGCATGTAGTTATGTGACACGGGTTTGTTTCGTGAACTGTGTCGACTTTTCATCACAGTTTTCTTCTTTTTTGGGTTAAATTTCAAAAATTGCTGGATTTGAAAGTTATCTAGTTTTGTAGAGCGATGTTGATTACTTAGGAAAATAAGAAATATAAATTTTTCAATTAGCGCTTTGCTCACTAACAGAGCTTCAAATCAGTTTTTCAACCGAAAAGTCGTCAATTTTGGTGCGAAAAAGGGGCGAGGCTTTGCGCTCCCTAAACATAAATAGTAGAGTTCTCAAAAGTAAATGTTTGAACGAACGTTCAACCAAACATTTTCCGAACGTTTGATGAATTCGACCAATTAGTTAAATTTCACATGAACCGTTTGTTAAAAAAACTTCATTTTGGTTAAATTTCATAACTGAGCATTTGAAAAAAATGAACAATTACTTATTTTTTTCGAAAAAAATTTTTGGTTAAAAAAATGAACATTTAAATTTCATTTTTAAGTTTTTGGTCAAAAAAATGAACATTTAAATTTCATTTTGAAATTTTTTTGGTCAAAAAAAGTAAACATTTAAAATTCATTTCGGAAATTTTTGGTCAAAAAAAGTAAACATTTAAAAATTCATTTCGGAAATTTTTGGTCAAAAAAAGTGAACATTTAAAGTTCACTTTGAAAAATTTTGGTCAAAAAAATGAACATTCAAATTTCACTTTGAAAAATTTTTTTCAAAAAAAGGTAAACATTTATTTATTAATTAATTCATTACTATTACGGCATTTGGCAGTATCTGTGCCGGAGTCAATTCTATCTCAGTCTTCTCCAAATGAAATCTTGAATCGATTACTTCGAAATTCAAACTAATTTCTGGTTAAAATTAATAAATCTGTTGGAAAACAGTGATTTGGATGGTCAAGGGCAAAGCTAAAAGCCGGTTAAGGACGGGAAAAATTATATGGCACCGGTCAAAAATGAGCAGAACGGAAGAAAGGTGCTATCTGGAGAATTAATTGAATGAGGAAAAAGGAAAACTATTGATTTGGATTTTGGTTCGGAAAATCCAGGTTCGGAAAACTATCGGCCAAAAAATGAACATTTAGTTTTCACAGTTGAAAAAAATCTTTTTTTCTACGAAAAAAAGTAAACATTTAAAAATTCGTTTTGAAAATTTTTGGTCAAAAAAAGTAAACATTTAAAAAAATTCATTTTTGAAAATTTTGTTCAAAAAAATGAACATTTAAAGTTTATTTCGGAAATTTTTGTTGGAAAAAAATGAACATTTAAAAGTCATTTTTAAAAAAATTTTTGGTCAAAAAAATGAACATTTAAATTTCACTTCTGAAAATTTTTGGTCAAAAAGAGTAAACATTTAAAAATTCGTTTCGAAAATTTTTGGTCAAAAAAAAGTGACCATTTACTTTTTCACTTTCAAAAAAATTTGGTCATTAGGACGAACATTTATTTACTAGTCAGAATATGATTATTTAGAAAAATGACCATTCATTTTTTTCAGCCATTATTTGAAAAAGTCACAAAATGAAAAGAATGAAAGTGATCAATTTTTGGTTGATCTTTCAAAAAAACGACGTTCGTTTGAAATGTCAAAAAGAAAAATTTTTTTCGTTTTTTTGAAAAAAATGTCATTTTTCAATTGGTCATTTTGAGAACTCTAATAAATAGTATATACTGGATAAACAGATCCAAGTAAAAAATGATAATCTGACCGTTCTTAGTATTAACAGTATAATAAATTATCTTGTTCATTTGGAGTGTTCATGCTTATTCATACATCAAAAAACAGTTTCCTAATTTGTGCCATCGCCCAACATAATTGCCGATATCGCAGCGGGCCGCAGGCGATATAGCCAAGGCTTCTTTCTGCGATATCGTCAACATTTCGCTGCGTCGCTCCCTCTCAAAAATTTGAAAATTAAAATAACATGTTTTTTTTGCTTTATTTTTGACTTTTATGATGAAATGAATCAAATTAACGAAAAAAATATTTTTTAAGAAAAGTTTTCAGAGAGCGATATAGCGCAAGACGTTTGCAAGGTCGCAGCGAGAAGCGAGAGATATTGCTCGCGGCTCCCCCGCGGAATAGCATTACTCTCGCTGCGATATATTCCACAAAACTGGGTGATCCTGCTCGAACATTCAAAATAATTCAAGAAACATGATAAAATGGGCTCAAAAAAGCCATCGAAATTTTATAAAGTTGATGAAAATTGCATTTAAAAACTGAATATAAGGAAACAATGTAATAAAATCTTCCACCCAGTAGTGTGGACTATATCGCAGCGAGAGTGATGCTATACCGCGGGGGAGCCGCGAGCAATATCGCTCGCCTCTCGCTGCGACCTCGTGCCGTGTTCAAAGTAATTTCGTGAAATGCAAAATGATCTCTGACTCTCCAAAATTTAGTTATATTTTTCTTTCTCTGACGGCTATTTTGTATTTCGCGAAATTAATTTGAACACGGCATCGCAAACGTCTTGCGGTATATCGCTCTCTGAAAAAATTTTCTTCAAAAATGGTTTTCTCTTGAATTTGATTGATTTCATAATAAAAGTCAAAAATAAAGCAAAAAAAAAAAATGTTTTTCAAATTTTCAAATTTCTGAGAGGGAGCGATATAGCAACGAGATTTTGACGAGGTCGCAGCAAGAAGCCTTGGCTATATCGCTTGCGGCCCGCTGCGATATCGGCAATTATATTGGGTGTCATGCACAAAAGTGAAAACGTTGACAAACGCAATCAGTGGGCGCAGTTTCATTGCAAAAGCGCAATTCAGGCTCGTCTCATTCTTCAATTTTTTTTCACGTGAATAAAATAAATATATAACCAAAATTTTGATCTTCCTTATTGCTTGTGTTCTGAAAGATTTCATAAAGTGACGTCAGGGAGTAGCGGTTCCCGATTTAACCAAATCTCGTAGGACTTGGACACTTTTTGAAAATCTTCGTTTTTGATATTTGAACCACAAAAATTCCGAAAATTTTGATTTGAATTATCCGTTTTTTTTGTTTCTAAATTATATTTGAGTCAGTTTTCTTTTCTGGTTAGTGCACCACTTTTTTTTTGAATTGTTTTAGAGCAATAATATTCAAAATAAAAAAAATTTTCAGATTTTTTCGAAGCTTTATTACAGTTTTCCAATTTTATGTGAAATTTATGATATAATTTATAAGTTATACGTTTAGTTAAGCGCAGCACATTTTTAAGTTTTTGCAACAGCAATCCGGTTCAGAAACGCAAAATCGTACTCTTTATTTGGTTACTATTTTTTTTTGCTTATGAATACTTACTGTAGATCTCTTTCATCTCTTTTTCGCTTCGGAAGATCGCCAAGTGGCCGTCCCTTTCAATGCAAACATTTAATGCTTCGTAGTGATTTTTTTCCTCATCGTCATCCTAAAAAAATACAATTAGTCAATCTTGTTCTTTTTGAAAACTTGAACCCCGTTTCGAAAAAACGAGAGTGAATAAGAGTTGAAGCTCTGCAGAACGCTATAGTAAATTTTTTTAGCAATATGAAAGGTGGCACGGGTAAACGCAGCGATAGAAAAAAATGTAGAAAAAAATTAGTCATTTTTTTATATTTTTAGTTAGTTCAACTAGTTTTTATATAACTATCAAAAAGGATAAAAAAATCATCCAAAAAAACAAGTGGGCGTTTGCGTGTGTATCAGAGCTCTTTTTAATTATGATTGTAATTTCATAAAAGTTCATTTTGCAAAACAGAGGCCCATTAGCGTTCTCAAAACCGAATGTTTGAAAAAATGAAAGTTTGAAAACATGAAAAGTTTGTTCTCAACAATTCGAAACAATTTCATTTTCGAAGAGTGATCGAAAACGGCCACATTCAAATCGTTCAAGTTTTGATCAAACGTTTTCCGAACGAAAAACGAACTTTTGTTTTTTCAATCAAACTTTTTTCAAACATTGAATGAATGTTCGTTCCGATCAACGTTCGATTTCAAAGTTTCAAAGATCGGTTTTAATGAAAGTTTGAAAAATGTTTAGTTGAACTTTCGTTCAAACGTTTGGTTTTGAAAACTTTTCTGCCCATGTATGCGCCAAAAGCCTTACTGAAGTTTTACAATTTTCACGTGTTCGAAGATCACGTGGCGATACACAAACAGATTTTGGTGTAATATCTCTCAATAAATATACGTTTTTGCACATTTTTGAGTTTTGGTCGTTTATAAGTGTTGTTTCGAAACAGAAATGTAGATTTTTTTTTTCATTTCGAATTGTCTCGAACTCGCCTCGAGATCTTTTTCACAAAAATTCCTCGTCTCGAGATAATTTTTTTTCGTCTCGAGATGAAAAAACTTCGTCTCGTGCATCCCTGCTTCAGACAACCATTTCACCAGTAGCGGTTCAGCTGAGTTGTTGTTAACAGCAAGCATTTTTCATTGACCTTCTGCGCCTGTTGTACGCTTTGATTGCCTCATCAAATTACATCACGGGTGGGGAAAATGTATCTTCTTTTGGGAAGATACCTAGATTGGGAAATCTGATCGTTTCTCCATATCCATATATAATAAATAATTTAGGTCAACAACTGAGTTGTCTAGCAAAATATATCATTATATACAAATACTACGAAACGATCACACTGCTGGTGCTTCGGAATTTGAGGGTTATCCTGCTTGCAAGGCATTTGAGAGTTATCTAGGGACCGCGAGCCATTTCTTCAAAACGATTCAAAAAACTGTTTTTTACACTTTTCGATAGAGGAGACTGTCAATTTTCATAATCTGTTTAGTTATTCTGATGGTTGATTTCTAAGCTCATTTCAAGGGATCATTAATGATGGAAATTCATCCCAATCGAGGGTCTCTTCTGATTTTCTACTCGCCCTGGAAAGCCTTGATCTCTTTTGAACTGTTATCGGAAATCTATGGTCACAGAGACGCCGGTGGCACAATTCACTGGTCATCTTATTCGGTTTTTTAACCTTTCCGCATGCACTATCTGACTGATTTCAATAAGCACGTAGACATGTCTTCTGAACTATTTCTGGAAGCGAGCACGTCTAACTTTGTGACGTAACACCGCTGAGGTCGCATAATACCATTCTAATACCTGATATGATAATTCATATCTTGAGACTTAGAACAGTTTTAAATCCAATCTCCACCGATCTGTTATCAGGAGTTCCTGAAGCATCTCTCAGCAAAGTTCCATGAAGTTCTTCAACTTTTCATCAATCCAAAGTTTTACATCCGAGAAAGTAATTCTTCTGTACTTGTTTTCAAACATGAGAACAATAGCAATGAAAATCTCTGATCCTTATAAAAGCTATGAGAACTTGATGACATTCCATTTGAAAGAGTAAAAAAAAAGGAAATCGTAATTAAAAAAATTTTAACTTACAAGGGAAATGCACATTTCTTCATCATCATAATCCCGGTAGAACAAAAAACTGATGGTTTGCGAATCACACGATTCGTCTAAATGACTACTTTTAGAATTATATTTTGAAAAATATCCTCGATTACCGGTAATAGATGAAGACCTCGAAGCAGACCCGCGAGCAGACCCCGAAGCAGATGCAGTAGGGTGATCAAACACTGTAACGATAATACCGTCTTTTGTCTCTTCTGGGAACTTTTTTTCGAACCTTCGCCGCTAAAAGCAACAACGGAGAGACTTTTAGAAATTTTTTTCTGAGAAAATGCGAAAAGGGGTTTGTTGTTGGATTTTTTCTGGCTCCGAGTGGGAGAAAGGGATAGTTTGTAACATTTGCAATCCACAATCTGCTTGATTATTTAAATTTCGGGAACTTTCCTCAAATAAAAAATGTTGTGCACATTAAAGCATGCAAAAATAATCTTTCGACCAACCTTTTGGTCTTTATTTTCATAAGATGTCACCTAATATATGAAATGTTAACATTTTGGCTTAATGTTAACACGCTTAAATAATGTGTTAACATGTGTAAGTTAACATGCTCAAATAATGTGATATTTCGTTTTATTTGGCGAATCTAGGGGCCGCAGGCAGTTTTCTAGAAACCATCAGATTTGAATGATTTTTATATGACCGTGTACTTCATAGTCCTGGCAACTTTTAAAAAAGAGATCTTGGAAAAATATTGACTCTGAACGAAGTTACAGCCATTAAAGCGCGCGTTTCGCGATTTCAATTCTCTGTAGAAAATTTGGTCGAGGTCGCGAAAAAAGTGGGCGTTGCAAGGGTGCGGCGCGCTCTCAAATACCAGTAAAAAAATTAGAGAAAAAGTTTCTTGTTAATTTTTTTTCGCACTAAAACACACTAATGATAGTTTTTCATTATTGGAAATGATAGAACAATGTCCAAAGATGAGGACCAGCAAAAATAAACACTGAAAAAGAATAAGTTGAACGATTTTCAACGGCAAAAAAAGCAAAATTAATATTTACGGAGTTTTCAATGCTTTTGATGTTCAAAACTGTTAAAATATCATTAGGAAGCATGGATAAACGCAAATTCTCCCTGAAACAAGATTTAATACAGAATTCGGAACCAATAAAAGGTTGTGAATCCATAGAAACACGAATTAATTAACTATTAATGACTTTTATAACCATTCTTGTAGCAATACAGCACTTTTTAAATGCGCTCAACTCATTAAAATCCACTTTTTATGTCTTATTCAGGTGAATTTCCCGACTTTGAACGTGTTTTTCCAATGGAATCCTGATAGTGGGAGTTTGGCGAGACTAAAATAATTTTTTTGTTCTGGAAAAAGCATGTGAAGTTCTATTTTGTTTTTCCGAATTATATTACTGAACGTTTGACTCATTTCAAAAAAATTTTACGCTATTTTTGCTTTGAAAACATCGCGAAATCGGAATTTTCGTGGGTCGGTGAATGCACAATTTCGCCAACGCGCAAATGCAGGACGCTGTTTTTTTATTGTTCGAATGAATCAAATTTTTGAAAGCACAAGCAGGATTTCTTTTTATTTTTTTGACTATGTTGAAGAAAAAAAGTAAATCAAATCAAAATAAGAAAAAAATAATTTGCCTACGACGGTTAAAACACTTTTTCCAAGTGTTTCAAAAAAATCAAAAAAATCAAAACTTATTTTTTTAAAATTAAGGTTGGAATGAAAGTTTTTGTTTTTTTATTTTTTTGAAATGTTCTGAAATTTATAGAGAACAGTTCAAAAAAACATTTAACATGTTTCGCGGAAAATGCTAAAGTTCCCGAATTTCGAAAGTTGCAATTTTCCGGCGCTTCGATATTTGAAAGCACAAGCAGGAATCTTTTTATTTTTACTTATATGGTGTATTTTTACATGCTTAACAAAATAAGAAAAAAAAATAACTTGCCTACGAGCGGGATTGTAAGTATTCAACGTTTTTCCACTTTTTCGCACAAAGGCGTCGCGAAAAAACGTCATTTTAACCGATGTTTTTTTTATTTACAGCTATTTCTTCTATGTAGAATTGTAGAGCATAGCCGATTGTATGTTTCCCTTAATTTTTTCCCAAAACGGTTCAGGGAAACTGCATAAACAACAATGAAATGTCAAAAATGCAACGAAATATACGACGTTTTTTGGTCAGCGAGGGGGTGTGGCCTTGCGGTCCCTAGGTAAATCAACATGTCATTTATAAATAAAAAGAATCATTCGAAATGAAATTTCAAATATTGTTCTTTCAAAAATGATTGAAAGTTCATCTTTGCAGACTCTAGTGTATACATATATCGGACTTCAATCGTCGAAAAATCTTTCTTTTTACGCTGTGTTTACAAAAAAAAACCGGCTTACGGGTGGCTTAAACCCGTTAAAAAAAAATTTGTTTTTTTCGTATTTTAGCTTATTTCAAGTTTGAAAACCATTTACGAGACCAATGTGATCAGCTATCAAAACGGCCAACTCGGGGCTGTCAACGGCAAAAGGTCAAAGCTCATTAAATGAAAAATAACAAAGTAAATTTGAGAACTTCTGGACGCATCAAGAAAATGAAGAAATTTGGACCGGCATCGTCTACTCAGTTTCTTTTTGAAAAAAAAAACGAGCTTACGGGTGGCACATGGGATCTGAGCCCGAACATGTCGCGAAACCGAGTACGCTCTGAATTGAACACTGTTGCAAGTTAGCAGATAGAGAAAAACAGTTTTTTTAATGTGCAGACTCAAAAAATTGAATTCATTTTTTTCAGTGGTTAATTTTTTCTACTCTTTATCAGTTGAATCTATGGAAGACTTTTTGTCTTCCCTCGAAAATTGACAGTGCAAAAAGAAGATAATAAAAGAAAAGTAATGAGCGGCGAGGTTTTTTTCAATCAAGAAGAGAGCAATCGTTCCACTCACTTCTCGGATTGACTTGTGCCCACGATGGCCGTCTGGTCGGCGCAGTTAATTCTGAGGTCAGCCAAACGGAAGCTGATCAGGGTCTCAAAAATACAATCAATCAAAAAGAAAGAAACTTCGAAATTCGAAAATGTCACCTCATTTCCATCGTATTCTATGAATGAATGGCAGCCTTGATCGCTCTGGCTAAAGTAACCGCATACACCCCTCGAGTCGTAGCTGTGACAATGTAATTATTGTGTTCATTTTCCGACTTCGAAAATCAAAAGTTTATTCGATTTTCTAATAGAGTTTTTAAGGTTTTACGGAAACTGGTTGTAGTTGTACAGAAGCAAGTACTGATTGATTAAAACAAACCTAATCTATGATAACGAGACATGAAAAAACCGAACTTTTCCTTGAAAGTATTGAATGCGGATGGATCAGGACACGTGCTCTTATTGAAGTTCGTTTTTTTGCCGCCAGCAGAACGTAGTAGATGTTTTCCTTCAAAGATAAATTTGAATCCACAACTATTTATTTTCTTTACCTTTTTAAGAAAGTATTTTAAATTATCCTGACTTTTCGGGGAGAACGCTCCGTCTGCGGCGAAGCCCAAGAAAGACGACGTAATCTTCTAAAACTCCAGAAGCTTGAATGTATTGTCTCGGAAAATAAAACTTGACAGTGTTGGTGGAAGGCTTGTCCACTTGTCCCACCATTTGCTGTCGGCTGGTAGCTGGAATAACGTTTTTGTTTTTTAATCTCGTATGCTATTGCTAAAAAGGTAGTAACGTACCGATAATGGTTCTGCGACAGGAATAAGTATGGATTTGTTTCAGTTCTTTAAATACAATTTTTTTGAAAAGCGAAATTTCTGCTCACCCAACATAGCCGTCCAACTTGAGCAGCGAGCGCCTGTCGTTGACAAAATTCTGGACTGCAAAAAAGAAATTGCGCGGTCTTTATTCTCCCTCTTATTTTTGTCAGTTTCGAATTTCTGATCCCAGCTAATCTCAAGGCACACTCCATACAATCGTTTCTCGAAGCAAAGCTTCCACAATGCTCTTTTTGTCTATGGAGGATGTGAAAAAGTTCTTTTTTCCTTATATGATTTCTCAGCGAAAAAAAAAGTTTATCCTTTCGACCAAAATATGGAAATTTTCCCTTGCAAGTATTCTATTCAGTTATATGGTTGCTAGTTTTGACATTAACTATCGATAATTTTTATTCTTCTTTCGATCATGATCAACTCACTTGCCACTGTGTTCATAACCGGAAGCTGGCAAATTACATGAGCCTTCCTTTTCGGGTCTTCAGGATAGAGCGATCCTGGCGCCACTCCTTTCCACACCGCCGCTCCAACCAACAGTTGATAGGCTGAAGTTGAAGCTTCGCAATAGTTCATTACCGGTATGTTTAGTCTCTTCACAGCTTTTTTTTTAATGCTGTTAGGCTTACCTTCAAAGGCTCAATTTTCCCTGATACATAAATCAATTTCAAGACCAGAGTCAAGGAAATAAACTTTTGTTATAGCAGCTTACCATTATCTTAACTCATCCACGCTTTCGATTTTTTCAAGCTTCGCTGTGCTTTTTCAAAGTAAAAAATCCGTTCAAGATTTTCAACTGTGGTGAATATTCGGTTTCGACTTACATGTCGAATTTTTGAAGTTGCCCTGAGCCTTTTGGGTTGTCCTCACGTAACCCTCAGTCGTCGACACCCATACCGAGTAGAGGTTTGTGAAGACGGCTGAAAAAATCATGGTTAAACAACACGTTTTTATGAGAAAGAGCTCTTACAAATCAGAAAACGGTGGGTTCGCACACTGTCGATTACGGCCAGTTTGGATCCTCTTTGTTTTTTGCAAAGCTTCTTGGCCTCGTCAAAGGTCTTCCCAGTTTGATACATTCGGAAGCAGCGACCGTGAATCTGGTGCCAGCCGTCTTTACACGTGCTCTCAACATCTGAAGCAATAAAGGTTTTAATATTTTTGGGGCGCGGGAAAAAAAAAACAGATGTTGGGAGTAGTTTAAAACGGAAGAGATCATTTCTGTAACCTAATAAATACTAATAAATTTAATTTAAAAAACAAAACTTATCAAAAAAACTTACTGAAACTGCACATTGTGGGAAAGCCTTCCTTCGAATCGTGAACGCTGAAAGGAACGAGATATTCGCAAGCCTCCTTCGCCTTTTTCTGAAATTAGCTTCTGTAGGAAAATTTCAGATTTGAACCTACTTCGTTTCCAGTTTCCACGTTTAGCTTCATATCATTGCATGAATCGACATCACTCTGAAAAAATAATCGGTTTCGCTCGACAACGGTAGAGAGATCAGTGATGGCCTGAAGAGACGCAGAGAAAGATATTTTATATTTCTCTAGCGTCTATTCATGTCTTCCCATTTAAAAAAAAATTGAACAGGAAAAATTTAGTAGTCACAGTGGGGTCTAAAGCCGCCGGTATCAAAATTCAAAAGATGGAAGCTTTTTGCTTCGAAAACCCAGTCGTTTGTGATTTATTCGGTTTCTTCAAATTTTGCCATTCTTGCGATGAAAATAGTACTTTATCGCTGTTCGGCTCCCATTTGCCTTCGTGCGATTTGCAGAAGATCTTACCGGAAACGTCTGAAAATTGTCTTGTTTGTGAATGAAAAAATGGTTCACGAAAACTCCGTTGAAACGATCTCCTTTTTTCTCGTGATTTAGAAGGATTTACTGGTTGAAGCTTTCAGTGTTCATTTATCGAAAAAGTGTTCGAGCCGAATTTCAGAAATCTCTCAATCATCTTTCTTGTTAAAGGGGAAGTTTCATCTATCTAAGAACTAGAAAAATAGGAAGAAAATCGAGAAAATCAGCCGAGGTTGATATGCAATCGAAAAAGGAGACTTTTTCTTTAAGGGAGACTTTTTTATCAATTTTGCAAATATGACGACATATATAAATGAAATACTCAAAATGGATGATTTTTTATTCTTTTAAATACTGATTTTTGAGTGAACATCGATCTTGGAAAGTTTTGTAGCTTTTTTCGAAAAATCTCTGGCAGTCGCGTGGTAAAAGAACTTTTCTGATAAAGTTATTCAAATTTCCCGATCAAGCAAAAATCGAATTCTCCTTCATACCTGCTTTACGACTATTTGCCGCGTCAGCGAAAACGATGAGCACGAAGAGCAGTAGGAACTGAACCAAGAGATAAACAATCATGACATTTTTCCGGCTCTTGGAGCTCGTCAAAGTCCCTGATTGGATAACCGCACTTTAAAAGTAAAAACGGGGGCGGGGCCATCTAATCACAGAGCTTCAAAAGCTTGACAAGGTAGGGAACAGGTTCGAAGGGGAGACCTTACCAATCCACTGCTGCTTGGCGTCGCCATTTTCGGTTGGAATGCCAGCTCTCCCATCGGAACTCTTTCCACGCGTACGCTCGTTACGTTTTTTTTTTTTTTCGTTATTTCATTTACTCGTTTTCTTTTTCATTGATAAAAGTGTTCAAGTTTATTTAAGCGTAGTAGAAATGACTTCCAGAGAGGGAAAAAGACAACGATGATTTCTGGGAGCCAGAAAACGTTTTTAATTTTGAACCCGCTTCTGCTCTTCAAAAAGCGAGATGAGCTGTGGAGCAGATTCATTTATTTTCTGTTTAATCGTTCTTCTGTGGAACTATAATCAATTGTTTTTTTTCGCTTCTCCTAGACTCTCCTCAGGCCCAGTTATCGTTCCCGCATTATCTCACGAAAAGACTTCAGAACATCATTGTCGACGTCTTCTGTCTCCTTCTTACGTATTGGTACCGCTCGAGCGGCATCGGCGCCCCGAGTAGATTAGCCGAGGTCCTAGACTGATATCAGTGATGATCTGTTGGCTAGCTCTAACCTCACATCCGTCCCTGTTTGTAACGCATGTGAATTATGAAGCCGTGATTCCCTACTACCAACATTATTCGAATCTCCTTGGTTTGGTGATGACGGGGTTAGAACTTGTTGTCGCGCTATGGCGAGCCTTTCGTTGTTGACTTAAGACAAAAAAAAATAAACAAGTTTATACACAAATTTTCGATGAAACGGGGTATGTACAGTAGTCTACTCGACGACGACTTTCAGAGGCTCTTCCTCGAAAGGTATCACGTTGTAGTCGCCAGAGTCGTTCTCATGAACGTCTCTCAAGACGGCGACCCCGTCGTTGACATCAATTCTAGCGCCACCTGGCTTCGCTTGGCCTCTCTAAAAAACTTCAAAGGTGGAAAGAACCCTATTTTTCTAACCTCGCCAACCCAGTATACCATTTTGTCCATGTTGAGCCTCTCAGCCAGATGGTAGAACTCTTTCTTTCCGTTTTTCATCCTAGTGACGGCAGTTGTAGTGGGTAGAATGTGGAAAGGAAGTTGGATGTCTTCTCCTGACTAATATTTTATTGGTAGACCTTTTTTAAACATTGTCTAATACCGAGAAAATCCGGTGTGGTCCCTATAGGGGCAACGTTAGGTACCTTTGGAGGCTCCCCTTTAGGGACCACTTTACCAACCTCTAAATACAACCCCACTTAAGCTTGTTAAAATGATCCCTATAGAGGACATGATGGTCGATAATTCTTATGAACTCTAAGCGAAGAAGCACTTTCATGGGAGAACTGAATAAATAAGCGTTTCTTGAATAGAATTGAAAAACTTCTACAGGGACTTTTAGGGGCTAAGGGATCAGAAACTAAACCCCAATAAGGACCACCGTGATTTTATCTCCATAGGGAGTACTTTTTCGGTTCTTATGGTGGCTGTTTTTCTCCCTAACCCCTATGCGAACCATTCAGGACTCCTTTGGCACATATTACTAAACAAAAATTGTTGATAATCCGAAGAAATAAAGACAAGAGATCATGCTATTCTGTGTAAATGAACGGTATTCAAGTATCCAAAAGGACATCTTGAAAAATTTGGCCGTTCTTTTATCCTAACAAAGAAGGTCATATTTCTTTTCGGTTGGATTTCCTTCGGCCCGAAAACTCCTTCGTGTACGAGAAGAATATTCTGAACGGTTCAACATGCACATCTTCTTACCTTTTTGAAAAATAGACGTATCTAAAATGACCTTTTCTTGTTCAATCATGAAACCCTTACCTTGACTGTTTTCTGTTGATTGCTTGTCATTTTTTCACGCGAATCTGTAACAAGATCAATCAATTTTTGTCAAAAGAAGACATCATTGAAGTTTGGAAATTGTAGAAAACGTTGGAAGAATAAGATTGGTTAAGCGAGACGAGTCGCTGTTAAAAACAGTGATGAGGTTTTGTTATCTTTTACGATTAATTGTAAACAATCAAAACGTGATCCGAAACGTTGAAGACCGGTAAATAGACGGTAGAACTTTGCTGTCCAGAGAGGACAATTAGAAAACAACACTGAAAAATCGAAAGAGCAATAAGAAATTTTTTTGTTATTTCTTGTGTTTTTTTGTTTTTTCCGGATCAAAAAAATCAAAAGAATAATTTTTTTAACTCTTCAGTTCAAGCAACCGTCTTCAATTTTTCTTTTTATTCATATTTTTTTGATTCATTTGGGACTTTAATAAAAAAACTTCAATCTTAAGTCAAAAAAATAACAAAAAGTTATCTCTCCGTGATTACTTCCTTTTTTTAATCTAAAGGAACTTAACGAAAACGGTCAGAATTATCCAATTTAGATGGTCACTTATCTTCCAAGGCTTGTTCAAGAATATCTAAATTTGGATCTTTTAAAAAATTATAAGACAAAAATAAGATGAACTTGACGACAAAATGTACGCTCAGATGGCCCCTGTGCCTCGGTTTCTCCATTTCAGCCCACCGTTTGAGCCGTCCAGTGGCACGTTCTCTTCATTGCGACTAATCATATTCTGTAGTAGAATCGAACCCGCGACCTTTTCGGCGACAGGCTAGCTGTTTGCCACTTTGCCACGACGTGTTCTCCCCGGTGCGAGCTCTTCATTGGGGTCAACCCTGCGCAAGTCCCAAGAAATAGAATTTTTTTTATACTTACGGCTTTTGAATGTCAGGGATTTGTATTCTGGTGAAAAAAGTTCGTTTTGAAACTTTGAAACATAACAAGATGCATAGAATCGAACTATCTGATGATTGAGATCGCATATTTATTAATAATATTGTTTAAAATTTTAAGAACTTTGATTTTTTTCTCTATAAAAAGTTGGCTTTTAACAATGGTTTTTTTCAAAAATTTTTTTCGTTTGATCAGTTCTTCAGAGAGAAAATCGACTTTCCATGCGTGGAGGTTCGAATTTTTTTTTTTGATTTATCATCTTTAAAGAAAAATTGATTTTAATATCAGGGCTTTTTTAAAATAAGGCTAGTTGGCCTTCACACGGTCGCGCAAAAGAACATACCGCAAGAATATGAAATTTTTTACCCTTCTGGAAAAAGCTGTAGCGGGTCCTAAAGAGAGTTTGAGAATTAGTGGGTCCTATAGTGAGCGTATTAGGATCTGCTGAAGGGAGAAACTTGGAGGACTCCCTATAGTGGGTCCTATAGGGGGTCCTTTAATATACATTCATGTGGAGTTTTTTCTCTTTATAGGACCCACTACAGCTTTTCCTAGTTTATAAGGTTGTATTCGCTTATTTTTTTGATGTTGTTTTTTTCTAATCGTGCTTTTTAGAAAGATATTGAAAATTTTTAAATTTCATTCGAGGTTTCTCTTGGGACTGTTACTTGCACTAAAGTGTCGGCTTCAATTTATTCTATTGGCTTATCTTTATTCAAAGTAAAAAAATGAAATATATTGGAGCTCTTCGATTTGGAAATTTGTAGTTTGAACCGATAATTTTTTTGAATAATTTTTTTCCATTTCAAGTTCGACTGATTTTTTTCATTTTTTTGCAGAAATCAGTGCAAGGAAGGGGCAGAAACTCGTTTCAACTCTACAGTAACAATGATTATTTTTATGCTGTATTTATTTTGTTTGATAAAGGATTAATTGATGTAATTTTTCTTGAAAAAAAAGGATTGTCACGTTCCTTGATACTTCAACTCATGAATTTTCACACTTTATGATTTTTTATTGAAAAGTGTCGATTCTCCCGGATCTTCTCATTCAACTGGAACGCACTTGGGGAAACAAAGAAGTTTAAAACGACATTTCAGCGGTTTTTTTGAAAGGTATGATTTTTTTCCTTCAATGTATTTTTGATCCATGGTAGGCTAAACCAAAACTCCCTGAGGTTAAAACTGGTAAAAATTTTTTTGAATAATTTTATTTTTTTCGCTTGGAAAAATATTATAAATACTCTTTATCAACCGAAATCAATAGATAATAAACGTCTAGTTCAATATTTTCACAATAAACCCGGAATTTCATTGATCTCATGAGCTAATTATCATAATAAAACCAATAAAAAAGTAGCTAGAGAACCGAAAATCTTTCTAGAAAAAGGGGACCCGTCAAGGATAATTTCACTGGTTTTTCGATTTACAAAGGGGTCGATTAGACGGATTTCTTTCGCGGAGAAGTCGTGTTATCATTGGATTCCAAGTTGATTTCTTCAAAAGCTATTGATGTTTCGTTTTCGTCTGGAAATAGTTGAGAAAGAATAATGAAGTTATAGTTTTCCACTAACTTTCTCGTGAAGTGGTTGGTTGACCCTCGGAGGTTTCGATATTTGATCGGGCTGAGTCTGGAATATTTTCCGTCATGTTTTTCGCCTAAGTTATAGTTTTTGAACGAAATTAACGAAAAATGAGTCTTTCTGAGGTATTATCTAGTTCCAGTGGTTGAAGTAAAATGAAACCCATCGAAAAAATAGTGTTTTTGGTTTTTAACAATATTTTTTTGAAAAATCAATTTGAAATGTATTTTGATCGTTCCTAGCTTTACTAGGTAACATTTATTATCCCGCGGCTGAACTTTTGGTGAAAAAATGCTGAAGTGTACTTTAAGACCTCCTGATTCCACGGTAAGAAGAAACATTTTCGCAATAGATCTAGTTTCCGCTTGTGAAACTTTAACGTTTGCAAATTCGCAAGTTGTGACATAAAAAAACTTTTTCAAGCTTTCGAAGCGTCTTAACTAACATTCAAAACAAGATCTATCGTTAGAACATTTTTTTCGTGTTCTGGAATCAGGAGATTCCAAAGTATGCTCCAAAAAAGCCTCATCAGAAGCTCAACAAAGAGCTGAAAAAAGTTCCTTATTTAGGGATCTTTAAAAAACATCGACTCATTTCAATTATTTCATGACGATACCCTTTAGTGGAAACTTTTGAATTGTAAATTATTGAAATTTTGTGTTTTATTTTTTCACTGAACGATCAAAAGTTCTAGTAAACGATTTGGCTTTAGAAAAAAAAATTTCGTACACTGTAAATGTCTAATTGGTCACTGGCTTTCGTTTTAAAAAAAAACTTTTATTAAATTTGGACCGCGGAGATAAAAGTGTGATTTTTTTGTATTTTGGCTACAGTAACCCTCAAAAGGGGAGGAGCTTGTCAAGAACTCAACTAAAAGGAAGGCTTGTGTAGTTTCTGTGATAAAAGTATGAGCTCAAAAAAAAGCAACATGAGTTGTTACTGGCAACGGTTCATTGCTTATTTCGGAGAACGTGTGTTTTAACATCTGCATTAAATTTAAGAAAAAAACCAACTAGATGAGTAACTCGGAGCAGGGGACCTCGTAAGGCGATCTTCATCCAAAATTGTCTCTCTTCTGAGTGAGATTGCGTCGTAGGAAGGTACAACAGTTGCTGCAATTTTTCAAATCACTATTGGCTTATTCTTTTTTGTGTTTCCTTTACGGTTAGGTTCTTCCTGAAACTCGACCCGAATACTCTTTGATTCTAAATAGATGTCTCATCCTGCACAACTTTCTGTTTTTTTTTTAAATTACTGCTTAAAATTGCCGATTTTAGTCTTTTTTTTTCATCTTTGAGCATTATTTTTCAAAAACTGGGAAGTTTTGCAACTAAAGACTTTCACGATCTTTATCTGGTATAGTCAATGTTTCCCGACTTGAAAGGCGGGGCAAGGGGCGAGACGCGTAGCGTGTGCGTTCGCGGTTCTTGGCACGAGTTCAATTCAATTGCCGCCGACTATTTAAAATGCTCGACAACCGCTCTTTTTCTGTATTTTCTACTATTTTTAATGCACAAATGAACATTATTAATAAATAACTGAAAAAGGAATGAAAGAGCGAAAAACGGGATTTTCAAAGAGTCGATGGCGGTTGAGTTGAACACGTGCCAAGGACCGCGAACGCACACGCTACGCGTCCCGCCCCTTGCCCCGCCTCCCTCGCCTTTCAAGTCGCGAAACATTGACTATACTTCAAGGAGTGTTCTTTCCAATTCTCAAGAAGTAATTTCCTTGTTAGATGTACCCACCATTGTATTCGACTGGGTAGGAAGTTCCAAAAGCTCCGATTGGTATTGAGTTGGAAGTTGGTGACCGGATTGTTATCGCGTCTGGAAAGCGCTTTTTATCATTTTTTTTTTCTTTGGGGAAAACGAATTTGGGACAGCTAGAAGGGTATAAACCTGCGGCTTCACGACCGTATCTCAAGGCACAGGCTCGCATGTGTTCGGCGATATTGTCGGAACTCGTTTCGACGTCGATTTCTCTCGGACTTCGTTGGAAGTTCGATTGTTCATTGGTTGAGACTGGGCTGAAGTAAGGAGTTGAGATGGTTTTCATGCACTAAGCTTACTGATCGAACGGCACGACGAATACTTCGGTACCGGTGCTCTGTGTAGCTGGGATCGTGGATTGTCTGAGAAAATACGGGGTTTCAAGTTGGTTTAGAGAGGTTTTTTGAATGGGAGAGCCTTAGTGTGTCTAGGGTCCGCAAGGTCACAAGTGTGATCCCCGACCTGACCAAGGGGTTTAGGAAATTTTGGTAGTGGGGAACCACATGTTCATAATCCCCAACCGTCTAAAAAAAGGATGGGTATGTCCAGTCCAATGATAATCACTGATATCAGTAAAGATCCTGGGCTAATCGACTTGAGGTTTTGATGATGCTCTAGCGGTACAAAGGCCTAATGAAAAGAGGTTTTTTTTTAAATCGACCCCCATAGATTCATCAGATGTTTCAACGTTCTAAGGCTGGATAGCTTGAAAACGTCAGAAACTCAGGATTGCACGATAAGTGATTTTTTGAGATCGAGAAGTACGAATTTCATTTTGAGAAGAGGTTGAGTCTTGTTTAACCCTGTCATGGTACAGTCCGCCCGCCGCGACTTGATAGTTTTCGAGTGTCTGCGTCTCTCTGTTCCCTCACCGACAAGGTCACAAAAATGCGAAAATAGCGCGTCAACAAGAGAGGGTCGGCGAGAGACGAGGAGGGCGCAGAGAAGCCCCGCCCTTTCAAGTTGCGAAAAACGGACTATAAAGTTAGGAGGCTCTCTGATTTTTGAACTTTTCAATCATCGAAAAAACTAACACAGTTGGTCTTTGATTGGAAGCAGGCTGTGGTCGAACTTCAAAAGTAGGCGTGCTGATGGTCGAAACTTGTTCGTAGGTCGGCGGCGGAGCCTCTGCGGGGGCTCCGCGAGGCGTCGCGTCTTGCTTGAAGAGCTGGTCGTATCGAGGCGGCGGCTCCGTGAAACCGTAGTTGGTCCGGCCTCGTCCGAGCTCTTCTGTAATTTTCGAATTTAGAAGGGACTTCCTTGCCTTCAGCTCTGCTTCATCCCCCTGCAAAAAAAGTTAATCGGAAAGCTTTGCTTTTTTTCTCCAAAAAGACTCAACAGACTAGACACAAAAATAAAAATAAAAGTACCCGCTCCAACCGTTTGCCGTCGATTGAACAGGTCTTCTCCTCCCTGTGGGATCCGCCTGCAAATTTCGTTTTATTAACTTCAAAACTGTCGAATTCGAAGGGCTCACCTTTCTCGCCACCTTTTTAATAATAAATGAAATTTTATGCACATTTCAAAATAATATTTGTAGTTCTAGGGAAAGGACGAAAAAATAAGAGGGACACTGAATGATAGGAGGCAAAAATAAGAAAGACGATGATATCTATGTTATCAGCGAAAACAGAAAAAGTGTGTTTGACCGGACACTGTTTGGTGATGATTGGAACACGGCTTTTGCTCTCTCTCTTTCAATTTTACCTTTTGAGGAACAAAAATGTTGGCAGGAAGATGACTCCGAAAATTGTGGAGAAAAAAATCCAGTTATTTTTTTAAGCTCAATTTATTTACCATTAGTTTGTCGCGAAAAAAATAGAATATAGAGCGAAAAGTTAAAACTTTTTTTGAAAATTATAATGTTTAAATTTTTTTAAGTGCCTGCTTTTTACCTAATGGTCGAAAGGCTCAAAATTCCCATTTTATCATAAGATTTCAAAAAAATTTTTGAAATTTGCGTTCTGGATATGATTTTTTTGGGATTTTTGCGATTTCTAGTATTTTTTAGAATCGTCAGTATTTGATCCTTTCGAGTCCTGCGTCATAATTCAAAAAATTATATTTTGAATAGTCTGAATGAGTTCAGATCTGAAGCGTCATCATCCGTCATTTTTTGTCCTTATCACCGCGAGTTCTTAGTTTTTCCAGCCCCAGAGTAACAGGGTTCACGAGGTTTTGTAGCCGAATTTGTACTTGAAAAAGAGAAGTGCGCACCTGCCGTGGTTGCAGCAGAGAAACAGAATTCGGAAGGCGCACATGGCCAAAGAGAGCATCACGATGAAGACAACGACAACGAACATGTACTGGGCCAAGTCACATGGTTGTCCGTCCATCTGAAAAAATGTATTTTGTGCCGGATGGGGAATATCTTAACACTTTTCGGTTGTCTCAGAAGTGCGCCGGACCGCAAAACGGCTTGCGCAATTACTTATTCTTAGATTCTGAGATTCATGGACAGCTTCTCAAGGAAGTTCAGCAAAGCCACTGACTTTTGACGTATGTAAGACCTTTTTTGGCCTACTGACCGTGTGAGTTTTCGAAAGGGGGAGATTCTAGATTTTAGCGAAAATTTTTGGAAAAGCTTAGAGTCCAGCGTTGAAGTAAGCAGGTAAAATTTTAGTAAATTTTCGAAATCGCAGGATCATTTGGTAGTGGTGATTAACGAAAGAACTCACCTGTCACTTACTATTTTTTTTTTTGAGTCTAAGAAAAAAAAACCCAGATAATCTTGAAGCAATTAGAGGGCTTTGAGTTCAAAAAACTTGTGGAATTTTCCTTGAGAAGCTTTTCCCTCAGTAGCGAAAATATAGCTTGAAGGGTTCATATACTGAGATGAAAATAGGCTCTAAAGGTCAGAAACCATCATTTGCTAACAAAAAAAAGGCAAAAAACGGACACCACACGAATAAATTGGAGAGTAGGTCGGGGTTGTAGTGCCCTGAGGCCAGGAATACGTCGAGGATGACCCATCTACTGGCCCATCGGAAACCATCTGGAAAATTATTGTTGAAAATCTATGATTTTCTTCAGGTTCTTGGATTTGAACGTTGAAAACAGCGGTTCAAGTTTGTAGTATTCATAGAAACTCCACATTTACTACATCAAAGCTTGTTCAAATTTTGATCTGAATCTTCTCGAATTTCCCGCTCTAGACAGCTGTCATGTGCCAGGGAAAAGCCCCAAGAACTGATAAATATGGTCATGAGTTCCTCCAATCAGACATTCTTATCTTTGTTTGGGCGGAATCGAGAAAATTGACAACTTTTGGGGAAAGGCGTTACTCAATCAAAGTACAATTATTTTCTTTTCTGGTTACAAATGAGGGGAAAAGGATGATTTTAGTACTGCGGCATATCAAAAAGAGAAAAGTGCGAGACGCGAAAAGTTTTTCAAGGCCTGCAGAAGATCAACAAATATGATTCATTGAACAATATTGTGGAATGTACGGTTCTTGCGTTTGCAAATTTGCAATTTCAGTACGAAATCGTGGAGTTGATTTAGAATGTAGAAGGATCTTCTCGAATCCTTGGTGGAAAATTTAAAAACTTTAAAAAAGAAAAAGTGGCGATTTTTTGTTCTGAATGTGCGCTACACTCATAGCTAAATTTCGAACGAATCGAATTTTTTGTTGGGGAATCAGAACCCTGGGCTTCGTTCGAAAATAGAAAATTTGAAGAAAAATAATTTCATCCATTTTTCTCTTTTATGCGCTCCATCGATAACTTACTGAATTTTTTTATGCTTCCTCTGGAATTAGAGAGCCGTCCCTATGGAGGTAAGGGCGGAAAATAACCCCTATAAAGGTTTAACAGTGGTCCCTATAGGGGTGAAATTAAGGGGGTCCTTGTAGGGGTTTAGGGTCTTAGCTCCTAAAGCTCAAGTGGACCCTACAGTGGTTGGTAAAGTGGTTCCTAGAAAAAGATAGCCTATAAGGAACACTATGGAGCTATCGACTAGCATGTCCACTATAGGGACCACTTCTGCAAGCTTTAGTGGCCCCTATAGGGGTTGGTAAAATGGTCCCTAGAAGGGGAGCCCCTATAGAGGCCAATCTGGAGCTCAGAAGTTTTAATTTTAAGGAATTAGAATATCTAACTGAAGCCGGGGTCAAAGAGAAGTTCGTAATAACCGTCAAAGAGGGGAGAAACAGCAAAAATTAAAGAAATGAGACCAATTTCGCTAAAAACTACAAAGAAAGTTTTTTTCAAACAGTTTGATTGCACTAGTTTTTTGAAGTTTTTTGAATTTCGGAGATTCGCAGACGAATTTGAATTTCGAGGAACTCTGTAGCTCGAGTGTTTCTGGTTTTATGAAAATGCCCTACAAAAATAGGACACTTTAAAGAAATGAGACCAATTTCGCTAAAAACTACAAAGAAAGTTTTTTTCAAACAGTTTGATTGCACTAGTTTTTTGAAGTTTTCAGCAGAATTTCACAATCTTTTTCAAAATTACAAAGAAGCTGTTTCAAAAAAAATAAACTTTTTGAACCGTGATCCTACTAGAAAACGTATATATGGATGTTCATTATGGGTTTACTCAAGTCACTGCCAAACCTGGATTAGTCGGAGAAAATGAATCTCCTTGTCGATCATTTTCTCGTACCTCCATCGGTGCATTAAATAGAATAAGTTGAGTTAATTGAAGAAGAAGCTTTTGCGGAGGGATATTCAGATGGAGAAGGAGAGGTATAAAGACGTTTTGTATGTTGTGTCGTTCTTTTGAATTGACTCAGCAAGGAGGCAAATCGCGTGGATAATCCCACATGAATACAATTGTGATTGGGCCGCCGAGTTTCTCTCGAAAAAAAAACTGTGTGAAAAGTCACATTTTCCCTCTCATTATGTTTTAAGGAAGTGGAATGGTTGATGTACTCATGACCGAAACTTGGATTTTTCGTTCCCTTTTGTCTTGTGACTTTGCCCGAGAAGCTAGATTTTGGAGGTACTCTAAAGTTGGTAACCAAGAAATTTTTTTATTTAAGGGCTTTTGAAAAGTTCCTTCTCACACGGGAGGTCATTTGCAGAAGGTCTGCTAAAATACACTTTGAAGATTCAGATGAAGATCTCTAATAGTTGTTACCTGTTCAAACTTTTTTTTCAAATCATTTATTTTGTTGGTTTAGTCTGATGTAATCGACTAGGCGGTGAACAAGAACTTTGAAAGCTATAACGAACAAAAAGTTTGAACAGGTAACAACTATTAGAGATCTTCATCTGAATCTGGCGAGCTAGAAGTCCAAACGTGTAGTCGAAAGAGTTGAAAGCATGGTCTTACGGTCCTTCGTCTCGTCCTTCTGCGCGTAGTCCATCCAGTTGCGCCTTGACCAGCTCAGAATGTAGCGGATGTTGTGCTGGAGCCCGGAGACCGTGCTCTAGGTGGAAGCCTCAGAATGAGAGCTACCACTTCGAGTGAAGATTTTACACGGAATCTTCGAGATAATTATTATCAAATCTCGGAAAGTTAGTAAATCCACTTTCGCGTTTTCTTAAAAACTAGAAGTTTGCGCAGGTTGCAACTATGAGGGATTTTATTCTAGACCTTCAGAAATTTTTTGAGCAAATTTCTAGAAAATCCCAAACCGACCAGTAACATAATTGTAAAGGAAGTGGAATAATTAGAACTACGAATTTTTTTTTCGAAATTTTTTTTAGTTGAAAGCTTCTTATGCAATAATTATCCAATAACCTCGGACTCAAAGGGAGAAATTGAAAAGATTAATTTTTTCAAACTGCTACTATTTTTCAAATGAAATGGGTTCAGAGTATGTATAAATTTCAAGTTAAGTGATATCAATGCAAAATCAACCATAAGTATTGCTGATCCAACTAAAAATTGAAAAAAAAGTTTTTCAAGAGAAATATGAAAATTGAAATGTAATAAGCAGCTCGAAAAGTCGGTTAGAAATTCGATAAAATCGGTCTAGAAATTAGCAGAAAAAAATAATAGGGAAGAACACAGGATTTTTAAAGTTATAGGACAGGTTTTTCCCTTGTTTTTTTAGAAAATACTCCCAAATTTTTCTCAAGATTTAGAATTTTAAAAATAAATCTTGAGAGTGATCTTAGTTAACATAAAATAATTTTTTTGGTGGAATCAAAGTTCGTTTTTGCAAAGGAAGTTTAATTGGAAGTTTAATTTTTTTGGCTTTACTAGGAAATCTTAATAATTAAAGCTCCATAGTTAATTAATTTTAGGGAAATATATAATTTATGAGATGAGAAAGCGAAAAAAAGTAAATTATATGAAAAGGACTTTATCAATTTTTACGGTTCAGAAAGTTTGAGTCATCGTTTTCTTTATCTATTCACTTTATTTTGAAGCTTTGTGGGCGTAAAATGGCGATTTTTCATTATCTCAGAAGGAAAATAAGAAATTTTGTAAACCTCGGGTTTTAGAAAGGCAATGTTTGAGATCGAATGGCGAAAGATTTCCTCTTGGAAACTACAATATTTGTCCTGTTATTCACAGTTTTTGAAGAGGAAAAACTACAAATTTGTTCTTTTTTCTGACAAATTCTAAGAATTCTTGGAGATTTTTGTAGTCGAGGCTCTAGAAAAACGGTCAGAAAGATGTGTTTCGGTGATAGGTCTGAGGAATAAGGTGTTTTACCTTTGAAGATTTAAAAAAAAGTTGGAAGGGGGATTGATAATTGGGTACTAGGAGCGCTAAAAATTATTTAGGAGACGAAATATTGGTTTTTTTTTTCGAGGAAGAATTTTTTGGAATTTAAAAAAACCGTTAATTTCTTTTAAGGAAATGAAAATACTGTTGCGTCAAAAAAGATACAAAAAACGTTTTTTGATAATAATCTTCTTGTATAAAGCTCAATATTTTTGGAAATTTGTCAAGTTTTAAAAACTAATATTCATAACACACTAGTAAAATATGAGCTTCCAGAAAAAAGAAACCTCAGAAACTTTCATTCTTCATACAATAAAGTTCTGATCGAAAAAAAGTCCTTTTACGGAGGCTCCTTGAAATTTTATTTTTTTATCATCATTTTTTTTTCTTGGAAGTTGTGATGGGTTTCTAGGGAGAAAAACAACGGAAGGTTTTGCGGAAAAAAAAATCACTGAAATCAAATGATCAGTGAAGTTCCGAGATAGGATCAGCAAAACCGGGTGAGAAAATGAGATATTTAAGCTGGAGGTGAATTGAAAAGGTAACTATGAAATGACCAAAATTTATAAAAAAGATGAAATTTTATCTTCAGAGCCTTTCAAGTTTAAAAAAGGACATTGAGAAAAAATTGTAAAACACACAAAAAACACAAAGAGCTGATGAAATACATCTTCAGGTCTTTTTCTGATTGAAATAAATCAATAGGACGGTCTAAAGTAGAGTTTTGAAGCGAAAAAACTGTCAGAGAGAGGAAAGATAAGACAAAAAACGTGTGTAAAAATTTAGGAAATGCGTGGGAAAAAAAAGAAAAATTTTTTTCGTGCGCAAAACGATTTGGGGCTTTTATTGTCGCTTCGCTTTTGAGCGAGGTGGATGTATTCAGCGAGGAAAAAAAAAGCCGCGTGCCACCTTTTATTTCGTCTCGCGAGCTTTTCAATATCTTTTCTTGTTTTTCACGGTGGTGTCAATGGTGTTAATCTACTCGGAGTATCGCGAATGGGATATTTTGGGTTCTTTTTTTGGGGAAAATCGGCGGGAGTAGGATGATTTGTGGTTGGAGAAATTTCGAATAGAAAAGTCTTCTCAAAAATATTACAATGAATCAATGAGACGGTTTTCTGTATGTTAACCTTATTCAGAAGTAAGCTCAAAAATAACCCAGCAAAAAAAAAATCGAGCAGACTATGATCATACTGATCGGGATCAAAATCTTGACCTTTATGGGATGGTTTAATAATAATGAACTTTGGTTACAGCAAAAAAATATTTCAGACACTTTTGTTGCTTTCATAACATTCATTTCATCACGTTTTGAAGCAAAAATGATGATAATGAAGCTCTAAGCACATGGTTCCGTGATGTTTACGTCCAACTCATTCCAACAACAAAAAAGGGAAATTTGAGGACACTTTTTGAGTTTTGGGAATAGTAATTTTATGATAAGATGGATATAGAGTAACCATAAAAGGGAAAACGTAGAAAATAATAATTTTTCGAATATTTGGTGTGAAAAAAACGATCAGAATCATTAGTCAGAAGCGTACATTTTTCTTGAAAGACGTGAAATTATTCAAATCCGGAGAATTTTATTTTTCCCTTTTCTCATTTCTAACACACACTATAGTCAATGTTTCCCGACTTAAAAGGCGAAGGAGGCGGGGCAGGGGCAAGACGCGTAGCGTGTGCGTTCGCGGTCCTTGGCACGTGTTCAATTCAACCGCCATCGACTATTTGAAAAGCCCGTTTTTCGCTCTTTTCATTCTTTTTTCAATTATTGATTGATTATGTTCATGTGTGCATCAAAAAATAGTAGAAAACATTGAAAAAGAGCGGTTGTCGAGCTTTTTAAATAGTCGGCGGCAATTGAATTGAACTCGTGCCAAGAACATCGAACGCACACGCTACGCGTCTCGCCCCTTGCTCCGCCGTTTAAGTGGGGAAACATTGACCATATTCTAGAGATCATTTTTAAAGTTTCGACTCACAAGGGAGGTCATTTTAATTTGCGGTTGTGATTTTTAATAAGTCAGAACGCTCCTTGATGTACCAGAAAAAAGTTCTAGAAGTCTTAACCTGCACAACTTCCTCGTTTTTGGGAAAAGAAGCTTTAAATTGAAGGAAAACCCGTAAAACCCAAAAAAATAGGCTATTTTGAGACGTTAGGCCCCTATTTCTCGAAAGCTAAGGAGATAGACTTCCAGAATCTTCATCTGGGGCATCAAGAAGAGTTCTTGCCAATTTTCAGGAACTTCCCAATCGCAAACCAAAAAAAATGACCTCTCCAGTCAGAACTATCTCGTAAGTCATTTTAAAAACAACGGCTTACCATTTTTCTAATTAGTCGAAGCCCAAGAAATGCTCTAGAAACGCTTAATCAAAAAATATGAGAGAAATCGAAGAGAATGGGCTGCTGATAAGAGGGTTATCGGCCATCAATTGAGCATCAAACTGATAAACGGCTCATCACATGGGACCCTTTTGTTAGAACTTTGCGGTTTTTGTTCGTTTGGAACGTTTGAAATTGGTTCGGCGGAACGACATGAAAATTTCAAATTATATCCAAATTGCTGCCCAAAACAGACAAAATCTGAAACAAAAGTAAAACAAAAAGCATGAAGCTGAATAAAAAAGGAGTGAAGGTGTGCTCGTTAGCCGCCTCCTTTTTTTTTGGTCATTGGATATCCGCGGCGGATTTTCTTGGCCTGAAATATTTACCCAGCTGAAATCGCCCTTTCTCTCTCATGAACAAGTGTACGTGTATAGTGTACTAGAGTAGAAGTCCTGGTGATCCCTATGGGGGGCACTTGGAGAGGTTGATTCAGAAAAATGTAATTTTTTCTCACTTTTTTGAAGCTATGGGACTTTTTCTAAGTGTATATATAGTGTACTAGAGTAAAAGCCCTGGTGATCCCTGTGAAGGGGGGGGGGGAGGTTGCTACAAAAAATGAGATTTTTCTCTCACTTTTGAAGCTGTGTGATTTGTACAAGTGATACATAACTTAAAAACATAATTATCTTAAGAATCCAGGAGAAATCATAAATTTTAACAGCTTAGGCTCACCTTTAGGGACAAATAATTCGCTTTAGGACTCTCAGAACTCAATTTCAAGCACTATAGAGACCACTAAGATTGAATTTTCTAGGGTGATAAGTGCTAAAAGAAATTCGTGGAATCTCTCAAAAGACATTCTTATCAACAATACCTCTGGGACTCTGAAAACCGCAGTTTGGGGCCTCAAGTGGTCACTGAAGGACTTCATTTGGACTTCTAAAGAAGCCACTTGGAACTATAATTGAGAACCACTTGAGTGATCACTAGAAGCTTTAGGATTTTCAGAGACATTTTTTAATTTATACGGTCCTGTCTTACTCATATACAGGGTGAAGCTGGAGGAGATGATGAAAGTCGTAAAAATCCCAAGATTTTCTCAGCCAGAAACTGTTTGAAGGTAATTTTCTGTTGTAAAGAAATGTGCAGTAAAATTTATCGTAAACAACAAAAATTGAATGTGCAACGGGGAAAATATTAACAATTCTTCAAATTCAAACTGAAAAGACAAGTGTTTTTTGAGACCATTTAGGGGCTTTGGTTGGTTTTAGAAATGGTATAGGGATAACATTTACAGGCCTTTAATTTTTTTTTTTCATATTAGTGAAAAGAATGGCAGACGAGTGTTATTTGGGAGGTAGAGTAATTGATCGGGAATGGTAGAACAACGTGAAAAAAGGGAGGCTAGGAAGCCAAAATACACTAATTTCTGACTAATCACAAAATTCTGAAAATCGGTGACCTTTGGAGTGGTTACAGTAGTCTATCTTTCTTGTGATAAGCTTAATTTGAGTTGGATTTACTGGAAAGTTCCATGGAAAATTGAAGGTCATTAAAAAACAAAAAGTGCAAAATTAGCCGTGGAGCGCGAAAGAGCAACCTTTCGCGGCTATTTTTCTCTAAGAAAATGTCCTGAATGGTTAGATTAACCCGGAATGTACGATTTTGGAGGTCTTGAGAGAAAGAGCTTTGGAAATGAGGATCGAGGAAGTTGGCTAAATTATCTTTTTTTTTTACAATATACAAAGTTTCCAATTCACTAGTGACTTAAAATTTGTTCAATAACGCATGATTTTTGTCAAAAAAGCTATGTTTTTTGCGGAAAAATTTTGAGAAAAGCTCACAAAAACGATAATCAACTTTGAAAAATGCATCAAAAAGCAATTTATAGAACCCGGAAAAGTATTTTTCCGGTAAGGTGGATGGTTAGCTTTAACTATTTTCAAGGCATCAAAATGCTGATATGCGGAGGATCGAGGAGATTTGTAGTAGCGATGAACGCGATTTTGAGGTCCTTGGCAATCGCCCCGATTTTTCCGCCTTCTCCCGAGACGAGCCAAATGTCGGACGTTTCGAAAATCCTTGTACGCACTCTGTCCAGCGTTTCGATGAATTTCCTGAAATTTGGTCTTTTTTGCGGGGTTTGAAAGTTTTTGAAGACATTTTGATAGTCTGTTCAGATTTTGAATGTCAAGTCATCGCTTAAACTCCGCCCCTTTTCACAGAAGGTTGTTGGGGGCGGAGTTTGCTGCTTGATATTTAAAATCTGAACAAACTGTTGTCCAATAAAGTATCTACTAGACCTTTGAAGAGAGTATTTGTGGATGAAGAAAGAAATCAGAGGGCTAATTAGCAAAGAAGATGGTGGTCCTAGGAGTTTTTTTTAAAGTTAAGTAACACTTTGTGCCTTTAAATACACTAGGTGGTCATTGTGAAAGATAAAAATCGTAGAGTTCATGGATTTTTGAGGAACTGGGAAGTTTTTGTGAATGAGCTATTAAAATTGGAAGGAGTTTTTCCTAGAAATTTTTTCAAAGGTTGAGTCACCTTCAGCGCTTTTAAATACACTGGGAGGTTGTTCTGGAAGATAAAAATCGTAGCGTTGGATTTTTAAGGGACTGAGAACATGTTAAGCTTTCAGATAAACCGGGAATTTTTTCTGAATAAGCTATTTAAATTGGAAGACTCTTCAAGGTTAAATTCTAGAAAGTACAAGCATACTTGGGAAAGTAAAAAACTGTACGAAAGGATAGGTTGACTTACAAAAAAGTTTAAAAATGAGGTATAAAAATAATTAACCGCAATGAGGTAGTGATGACAAAAATAAAACTGATTTTTTTAACTTCAGGAGGTAGTATTGGCTTTAGTTTTTGAAGACTCGGGGTCGGCGGACTTAAAACATGGTCTGCCCATGTATGAGTAAAAGTATTGAATAATCGAAAACGAACATTGCTTCTCCTTCGAAATTAGTACTCTGATGTCTATTGAGTGAGACGTGAGTGAATCCGCTCAGAATCTCTTGCACATTTTCCAATTCCCGCTCCCAGACAAAGAGGCTTTCGAACTTCGGCCGCTTCCCATCTAGCCATTCCTGTAAAAAGCTAGAATTGATATTTTATAAGGAAATCTTGTGAAAAGATAATTTAAAAAAAAACTAACCTTAATGAACGGTTTGATGGAGTTTTGCTCGAGTTTATCGACACAGACGTAGATTTTTACCGCTTGCAAGGCTAACAGTTCAGCAGTTGTCATCTCACAGTTCACCCAGATGTTGAGTCGTTCCGCCGTGAGAATCTGGAAAGAACTTTTTGATCAAAATTGTGATTTCGGGATTTTCAAATTGGGGCATACTCTCCGATGGTTTCGGAGGTTGTTAGGATACTTTCTTAAGGAGTCTATGTCATCGATTTTTTTTTCCAAACTATCGACCTCCGTAACGAAAACCGGAAGCGTTCCGGACGTTCCTGAGCATTTCTAGGTATCACTTAAGAGTGCTTACGCTACTGAAATGGTCACTGTAAATGCCCCGACACGTTCGATTCGCGTTACCTAGGTCCGAGTGAAACTTTTCTCTCCGCGTATTTTTTCCGTGGAGCGCGAATTCGCTCTATTTTTGTATTTTTAGAGAAGTGCAACCATAAAATTTTCTGAGTTTTCTGAAACGGACAAAGCCCCGAAATTTTCCCAGTCTCTTGCCTTCAGCGAAATTAGGTTAAGTCAAAGTTTTTACGACTATAAAGAGAAGGATTTTCGAGGTCTTTAGGGTGTCATTATTCGACTATAAGACGGAAGGCGGAAAAATTATTTTCACAAAAGCGCTCTTTCATCGCCTCAGGGTCAATGAACTTGTAAAATTTTACTTCGCTTTTGAGCCTTCCACTTTCTTTTTTTACAAATAAGGAAGATTCTTCGACTATACGGTTTGAAAATGTTTGCAAGTTTGCTGGAATTTCTCTTGATTTACCAGAGGAAAATCCCGATAGCCTTGAAATAGCCCTAATGATTTTATTTGACTTTGAGGTGTCCTTTCTCGAAAACTGGGAAGTTATCCTGGCTCTGGTACATCAAACAGTGTTCTAGCCATGTTCAAGCCCCCCTCCTTCTAAGGAGAACTGTATAGATCCTTACCTGTGGCGTTTGGAGCACCGCAGAGCTGCGCCGTTCATTGATCCGACAGTAGGACAGGTGAACGTATTGCATCTTCTTAGGAAGTTTTGACAGCATCTCCAACGTCGAGGCTTCGTCGTCGATGCGAACCTCCGCCATTTGAGCCGTTTCCGACGCTTTCAGCGGAAACCGCTCGAATGGGTACCGTTTCTGAACTTTGCATTTTCCGCATGTACTTTCTAGCTTGGTCTCGTGTTAAAGGATGAAAAATTCAGAAGATCATATTTCTAGAACTATAAGTTTACACATATAGCGACTGTGTGGGATCGATCAAAAATTCCTCGACCGAATTTATGAAAAATTCTGATCCATACGCAAAAATGTTCTCCTATGTTAGTTTTGTCTCTAAGAGGTTTTGAAAGATCATTAACCATGCAAATTTTGACGCAAGTCGCCGTGCCCCTGTTGTAGAAGTCGGCGAAAATTCGGCAGGCCATCGTTTCGCAGTTCTCTTTGAACATTCCTTTGCTCGTTCTCGCGATTCCGTTTGTGCGATAAATCCTGTTAAGTTTTTAGTTAGTATCATTTTAACCAGATGGGACATTTTAGTCTAAAGGAAAAATGGCGCTACGACAAGAACGAGTTTTAAATTTGCGGAGAGTACTGTATGCGCATTGCGTGCATGCACTTTGTGTGTTCACACCTCTAACAAAAGTTGTGGTGCACCCCGCGTCGGACTCTCGTTGCACCCCGCAGTGTAACCAGGGGTGCACCCCGTTTAGCTTCAAATGCCTATTAAAGTAATTTTTCCATACAGGATTTCGAAGTAATTTGTTTTCCGATATCACAATTTTGTACCGTTTCATCCTAGGTCGTTACGGTAGCTCAAAAAAAACTTTTTATTTCCGACCGGTTGCCCCAGGGGTTCACCCCATTCAGTTCCAACGCGGGGTGCAGCGCAAACATCAACCAAAAGTTCACTTTTTTCGGGGTTCACTGCGGGGTAAACCCTCATTTTTGTTAGAGACTTTACATCTGCGGGTTTTTTGTTTCCGAATTTTTTTTTTCCGCTTTTCTCAAGATTTGTATTTTTCTCGATCATATTTGCGCGATAAAAAACGGTATCGAAAAAATTTCAAAAAAAATTGGAAACAAAAAACCGGGAGATGTACGGCGTGGTGACGTCACGCAACGAAACTGTAATCACACAATGTGCATACACGCAATGCGCATATTCGCATACAGTACTCTCCGCAAGTTCGAAAACTCGCTCTTGTAGTAGCACCCAAAAACTTTGAACGCGAAAAAAGTCACCTTTGAACCTCGGTCAGGTTCTCGCCAATTTCTCGCATAACAAGTGTGAAGTCCTGCCTTTTTCGCGGGTCTAAGCTCTTTCTGAAATTAATAATTTATTTCATCACCCCATGTTTTTTGTCACATTTTATCGTACTTGGCGTGAGGCAAGTAGTAGTTGAGATGGACTTTGAAGCGTCTCTGAAAATATTTCCTTTGTGAAAAAATAGGATTTAAGAGCGGAAGTCAAAGATCAGATCTGAAGATAGATCCTACATTTTAGCTATTTTTTAAAATTTCGTTGATTTTTGATTCTTATAGCTGGTTCAGGACTAGCTTGGAAATCTAATAGGGCGTGGCCTCTCTGTGCTCTCCATGAGCCAGGCACTATCTCGTACATTATCGCGTCAAGGCCCTTTTTTCGATGGCCGACCGCGAATCAGTTATACCGTAGAGGAACTGAAAGATTCGGACCAGAAGAGCTCAGAAGAGCCTGAAGAGACGCCAGAGAAGTGAAGATTTTCTCTTTCTCTGGGGTCTCTCCAGGAGCGAGAGTGGTGGCCGGAAGAGACGCAAGAGAAAAAAATTTTCGTCGCAAGTCTGCCCTCTCTTCTAACCTCTTGACCTCTAGCTCCTACTCTTTCTTGTCGGGCTCCGTGAAAAAGAAAAGAACTGACATCTCCACCGGTGATTGTCATCTCCTCCAGTTGAACAATGCAGAAATCATCCTTGAATGATCTGGCCAACGAGTATTCGCTACGAGATTGGGTCAACATGTTTCGCCTGAAAATGGATACATTCTCCAGTTTTTTTTGTTACAATAAAATCTTCAACGTCACTGTAACCGAACCTGCTGACGAAATCCATTTCTTTCATGATTTTCATTTTCATCTCAGCCGGAAGCAAACTCCAGTGATGGAAAAATGTGTATTTGCTGAGCTCCTTCCTTTTCTGCAATTTCGCGTATTATTTTTTTTTTCTCGATTCAAAAATTTTGAAATGGCTGTTTAGAAAGTCCAGAGTGGTCTCTATATGGGCAACCTTAGGGTCCGCTCTAGGAACCACTTAACCAACCCCTATAAGAGCCGCTAAAGCTTGCTAAGTCCTAAACCCCTGTAGGGACCAACTTAACTTTGCCCCCCGTAGGGGCCACGTTTCCGGCCCCTTCAGGCGTTATTTTACTCCTAACCCCTAGAGGGACCACTCTGGAACTCCTAAAAAAGACGAAATTTCAATGAGTTTTATAATTACCCAAAGTTTCTGATTGAGTTCAAAAATTAAAATTTACTGACTAGACCTTTTTCGAAAAAATATACAGCACTGGCCATAAAGGTATTTCAAAGTGGTTATTCGAGCATAACTTCTCTGAAAGTGGCTCAAATGACTTGAAATTTTGCAAAAATTTCAAATAGCTACGCAGTAACTTTTTCCCAAAAAAAGAACTCACTTGCTCAAGTCAGACCGGATTTGGGAGCAAAAAACCAAAAATCGTGAAAATCAAGATTTTTCTCTTGAGATTCGAAAAATCATATCTTCAAAGAAACTTCGTTTTCGAGCCAGAAACTTTTTTCCCCAGTGAAACAAGTCTTCGGCTTTCCAAAAAACCTAATCAGCGCCTCACCAACCCGATAGTAGGAGCATAGTGACTTTTTCTTCGGAGGGCCCTTGCGTTTTGACGCCTCCTCATTCAAATGGACTATACGAGGTCATTTTTGTTTGAGAACACCCTGTATCATGTTGAAAAACTTTGAAACACTCTCAAAAATAGTTTAACACTGATTTCTTCAGCTTTCTCACATTATCTGCTCTCCAGAACTCACTAACATTACTAGGACCGATTTTGAAACCTCTGTAGGTCTCCGCTGACATCTCACCTTTCACAACATTCGAAAAAGCAACAGCGAGAGATTCGAAGCGGCTCAAGAGAGGCCAGAGAAATAGAGAACGCTCATTTCTCTGGCATTTCTCCAAGCCACAGTTGGTCTCTCGTTTTCGATTGCTCTCGGCTCTTTTTTTCCGGTCTTTTATTTAAAGGTTGCCTTGGGATTTCGCCTCGAGCTATCACCTGATTTCATGTCCAACTAGTAAGTACTTACCTTTTTCGAAGCCAACCGCACTTTGACCCTAGAAGTGGAATACTCTGCATCGCAGAACGTACTCATGAAATCTTCGACGGTCTCTGTCTCTACTGGCCTAAAACTTTCTAATTATATATTTTAAGGAATGTTTCGGCTGATAACTTCAAGCACAGTTTTTCTAAACGCTGGAATTTTGGAGGCATTATTTGAGCCGATTTTGATAAAAAGGTTTTCGAGTTTTCTTGGAACAAAAAAATTTTTAATTTCTCTGGAGATGTTATGTATTTGAAGATCAGATACTTAAGTTCCTATGAACTAAAAAGCTGATGACCGTCTGTTTTATGTGATCAGAAGAACAAGAGCTATGAATGATCAAGAAATGAGCTCTGAATTTTTCGACTTCTGAGGATCCATAACTTCTTTCACAGATCTTCTCGGCAGATTTTAAGATCAGATTTGGAATCAGCGTGAAAAACTACATCTAGTAAACTTTGTCTCATTCAGGGTTCCCACTGCGACCGGAGAACAAGTCATTATAATTACGTACTCTGGGATCACGGGTAATTCTTCTTGCACAGGAGGTTCCACGGGGTAGCAACACCTGCTCTGGCCGCTGAACGGGACGAACATGACTAGTCTGAAAAAATTCTTAGATAGAGATAATTGTGATATGGGTGTAAAACTATGAGCAGAGAAGGTGAAAATAATAGCGCGATAAGATGAAAAATGAGAAATGCGGTTGTTATAGTCTGCGTGCCATGACTTGAAATTTCACCGAACGACAATCCGCTGTTCCGCTGCGTGCGTTCGCGAAGCGTCTTTCGAATCTAGGTCACGCCTTTCAATTGATTATTATTGCTGTGGGAGCAAAGGAAAGTAGAGTACCTTGATAAAATAAAAAAGTTAAAAGCGCGACCAAGGTTCGCAAAGGCGCGCAGCGGCACACCGGAATGCCGTTTGGTGAAATTCCAAGTAGTGGTACACAGGCTATAAAAAAAAGAAGTTATCTATACCCGAGATCTGCATCTCTTTTTCGGGTAGAAATAACTTGCAGACCTAATTTGAGTCCTTGATTACACACAGAAAAAGATCATGAAAAGTTATTTGATAATATGATTTTCAAAGGTAAACTTGTTGCGGTTTATTTTAATGTTTTGTTGGCTTACATGGCATAGTGAAGAACTCCATAAGTCATGGAGAAGGAGAAGACTTACGGCGATTTCAACTTTCAACCTCAGGGAGGTAGTTTTGACAAAATAGGAATTCTGGCCTTTAAAAATGGTCTGCCAATGTATTTTCACGGATTTTCCTTTTTCGGCTTGCCAATGAATTTAAAAATCGAAGACTATCCAACTTTGGAGTATTTGCTTTACAAATTTTAATAATTTGAAGAGAAACTGCAAGCTGGAAAATGTAGCTTTACTGGTCTATATATAACGTAGAATTTGAAGAATGAACAAAGTTTGGAAGGTCAGAAGAGTTTTCGTCGGTTGAGAAAACAGTTTTGGATGGAAAAAAGTGAGAAACAGGAACAAGAACAGCAAGTAAACAAAAATAGTGCAGAGAAAAACAACGCATATCACCTAAAAATAAATATTCAGTAAACGGTTTTATTGAATTTCTGGCTTAGAAATAACCATTTGAATTTATCCGAATTCAGTTGTTCGTAAAACCAAAAAGATTATTTCCATTTGAAGAAATGGCACTGAAATGAGAAAACCGAGAAAAAAATATATATAAGTTAGCATAAACAACAAAAACAACGCCAAAATCCGAAGAGGGACTTTTCGCGGGGATCTCGCTGGAGCACAATTGGTCGTTGTACTCCGGCCGTCTGTTTTTAGCACTTTCTCCGCTATGAGAACGCTCCCTGTGTTGTTGTTTTCACGGTGTTTGAACACGAAATGGCCAATTCTCCTTCACTTTATTCGAACTTTTCAAGTCTTCGTTTACTTTTTTTCAGCCACTAACAATTACACAGTTTTATACTTTCAATGGCACAAGAGCACAGAAAAAGGCATAAAATACACAAGGATTTTGATTCTTAATTCAGCGCGGAAATGGCTGGACGGACCAGGACGTTGTTCAGACAGAGACATTTGAAGTAGCGATCGCAAACACCCTGGAAATCAGAGATTAATCAGTTTTTGTTAGGTCAGAAGTTTCTTAAATTAGTTTTTTCGGGGTAAAAGGGACAATGAATGGGCGAAATTTCACATTTGATTTTGAAAAGTTGGGTTAACAAATTTTCTGAGAGAAAGTTATTCAATTTTGAGCGTTTGATTCGAGGCTCAGTGGTATTTTTAAGCTTCTGTAAAATTTCTGAGCTTTCTAGGCCAATTTTATTCACCCTTCTCACTACAATATTCTTATTATTTCATCTCAAAAGGTCATGAGTTCATTGAAACATCTTCAAAAAAATTGTTTAAGCTATCAGTTTTCGTTGGAAAGTGAATCAAACAATGAATATTGACGTTAATTATCAGAATTCGTATCGAATTCATGGAGCAAGAAATTCAGAAAAATTAAGAAACATGCTCAAAAGTTACCCTAGGTTTTACCATCAAAACAAAAATTCCAAAAAACCAACCAGAACCGGATCACAAAGTTCGGCGCAGTTCTGACGACATGTTAACAAAGACCTTTTGACAGAATCTCCATGGACCAAGGCGAAAACAGTCAGAATCACCAGAACAAGAAGGTGTAGTCGCTGATTCATCATGAGATTGCTTTCTGGAAAACTTTTCCCAAAGTGCGAAAAGAGGCTGGTTAATAATGGGTTTGTTGGAGGAGGAGGACGTGAATATTTCAGGGGTGTAATTTGTAAGGAAAGATAGATGGGAAATATGGAGAACTTTGAGAAATGGCTCATGTACGGAGTTCACGACTGGCTAGTCACAAAACACACAATTCAAAGCAATGGGAAAAGGTCTTGAAAAATCAAAGCAGTGACCAGAAAAGGGTTTTTGAAGAAAGTTATTAAATGGTTAAGCACCTTGGCTAGTATTACATTTGCTTATGACAAGGAAGGTCATTTTTCTTTCCTGAAACTTCTCCAGAACGCTCCTTGATGGACCAGTTAAAGATCCTGAAAGTCTCAACTTGTAAAGGTTCCCAGTTTTTAGAGAGGGCTCCTTAGAGTCAAGGATTCAAATCCGTTCGAATTGGGCCTTTTGAGCCGTTATTTCTCGAAAATTGGGGTGTTGTGCAGGTTGAGACTTTCAGGATCTACTTTTGGTACATTGAGAAGCGTTCTGACCAATTATCAAGGAATTTCAAACCGCAAAGTAAAATCACCTCCTTGTGTTGAGTGGCTTTAGTACATACGGAATCTTGATCTCAGAAAACAAAGACCGGGAAATTTAGAAGAAACTCGAATTCGTATCCATAATATAAAAGAAAATACAAAATTCTATCATTTCTCAACAACACCAACAAAAAAAACAAGGACAAAGGGAGCTAAAAAAAAAACGAAGGAAAAGCGCCTTTCTTCTCAAATCCGAGACTATTTTTAGAAAAAAACATTCCTCAAAAGATTTGGATTGCTCAGCTTGGATCTGAGCTTATATTATGGTTCTCGGAAAACGCCAACACGTCATCTCCAGGAGGGGTCCTCCGAAAGTCCTAAACGGGTTCATGAATGTGTTTTACTTCCGTTTTCAATCAAAAGAACTGAATGGGGTGAATAAAATTGGAGCTTTTTGCATCGGCTATAGAATGAGATTTTTGAAAGAATTGAGGTTTTTCTTAATATTGATTTTCTAAAAAAAAAACGGGAATTTTTGAACTTTTATTTCGAACGCCTACGTGAATTTGTTTGAAGGAAGAGTTTATCTCGGAATTTTGAACTAGATTTAGAGGATTGGTTCCTTTTTTAAGAATGTGGTCCTGGCGCGAAAAGTCAGATAAAGGACGGATAGGAGTGACTCTGAAATTTTTTTAAGGATACTCTGCCAAATTTTTGCTGAATGGGCTGTCACTATGTTTGAAGGACCGGTGGATTTTTAAGAACTTTCAAGAACTTGGTCCTAGCACGTTCTGCGAAATAGCAGGCTTAAAGAAGAGGTTTAGACGCCGAAAGAAGTTTTTCGGTCTCAAAATAACAGTGAATCAACTATGATCCAAAAAATGCAGAAAATGATTTTGGCCCCACCCTGAGCCTTTAAAATCGCCAGAAAGTTGTTCTGAACAGACTAAAAGTCAAAATTGTCACTTTGAAGCAAACAATAACTTATTCTGAACATTCTCGTAAGCTCAGAAAAGTAAAATATTACCAGAAAGAATTCCGAGAACTTTGTGAAAAACAAAATTCCAAAACGGAAACCTCGCCAACATGGGCCTAATTTCAGCGTTTATAGCGGTTTCCTGGCCAACCCGGTCCCTTAAAAGTGGATTTATTTGTTATTTGCATATAGGACTTCTCAAGTTTCAATCAGAAAAAAAACATAAGTAGCTGGAAAAATTTGAAAATCATAAATAAGGGTATTTCTAATGAAAAAGTCATAGAAAAAATTCAATGACAACCTTTTTTTGATTTTTCTCTGACCGCTCAAAAATCTTCAGCTAGAAATTGAGTTTGAAAAAGTTTTTAATAAAGTAGAGTGCCTCATAAACGCCCTCCAATACGTTCAGATTCATTAATTAACATCCTGAGAAGAGTGAATTTTTGAAAGACTTCCGCAGTCTGGATTCTTTTTTAAATATGTCGGGAGGCGGAGTCGAACTTGTGGACTATCTTAAAAAAAAAAATTTCAAAAATTCAAAAAACCAGGCCGAGTTACATTGCAAAGATTTCATATACGGATGAACTGGAAAAGACTTTTTGAGTTTAAAAAAAGTAATTTTTTTAAAAAGGGAGTTCTGGAGGATTAGGGTCAAACAACTTGTAAATGACCTTCGAAAAAAAGTTCTCTTCCAGAGAGGAGATTTGTATATATTATTATATGTTTCATGAATATTTAACAATTTTTTATGAGTTACCTTTTTTTGCGAGGTTGGGCAGCTGAAAAATAGACTCAAAAGTCTGAAAAAATAATGTATCACTCAATATGTCGTTTGGACTTCAGTCATGAAAGTTAAAATTAAAACCTACTTTGAAAATTGTGTCTCAGAAATCTGGAAGGACTGTAACTGTATCTAAAATTTAAACCTTTTGCTTTTTTTATAACTGCTGTGAGTTTAAATGGTCCTTCGGAAGACTTGTGCTTTTTGTAGTCCTTGGAAGGACCAAAAATGGCCCCTCTATGAGGATAATTTGGGCCCTTCCGAAGATCAAGTCTTCTGAACGGTCAACTCATACTTTCCATAGAATTTTTTTTTTGATACTAGACCCCTCAAGGGGCTACTAAGTTGCTCGGTTCAAGCTCAAATCTATTGAGTGGCCATTGGAACTCTTTTTGAAATTTTCCAAGATTTCAAAAGAAAACCAAGTTTTGTTTAGCTCAGGTATTCACTATGGAGTTTAGGTGGCGATAATCAGAAACTTTGCAACTCTTAAGTGGCTTCTCAGTGGATCTTTTAAAGGAGGCGGAGCTGAACTTCTTATTTTCTTGTTTGATATTTCGAAGCATTTTGAATGAGTAAGGAAAACGGGTTTCCTCTTTTTCTGGTAGTAAGAAAGGCTCAAAAGTTTGTAAATCAATATTTGATCTCCCAATTCTGATTTCTAGATGAAGCTTAACAAAGAAATATAAGTTTTAATCAATTTAGAGGGATTTTGAGGCATTTTCTTATTGAGGACATCGAAAAACCGTTTTTTCTTTTATACATGTATAAGGTCTCTAATTATTTACCCGAATACCTTAAGTGATCACTAGGTTTTATCTCCATATTTCAAAAATTTATGACTTTATAAGGACGATATTCAATTCAAAATTTTGTCTCACCCACTTGTTTGTGGGCGATTTCAATGTGTTCGCTCTTGCACTTATCGTTCAATGTTCACTGGTTTGTTGATTCCAACGCAGTTGTTTGCGTGTTTGTGTGTGTGTGTGCCGTTGTGGACTCCACTTTCTGTTGGGCGAATCGATTTCTGTGTTTTCTGTAGTTAAAATTAGCCGAAAATGTACTTTGAAGACGCATAAAAAGATTTTCGACAAGTCGTTGGCTGATTTTTTAAGATGTGGAATCAGTTTTTTTTTTATATCGAATCTCTTCTCGAAATTTCTCATTTTCAATCTTGAAATATACCTTTTTTGGGATTGATATTTTCCAGTTTTGCGCGTATTTTATAATGCTTTCTGTGCAATACACGTGTACGGCTAGCGCGAAAAAAATAGGAATTTGAGACCTTTTCATGATTTATTTTTTTCGAAGTTTTACTCGTTTTCCATTTTCTTTCAAGATTTTTGCTTTTTGGAACGCGTTAAAAAAATTTTTTTCTAGATTGATTAAAATAATTTTTTTGTCGGCTCAAAATTTGCAAAAAAATGTTTAGTATTTTTTTGCTTTGGTTTTTCGTGATCATAACGTTTCGTTTTTTTCTCTCATTTTACTTCTGGAATCTTTTTCAGAAAAAAATAATGAGTGCCGAGAATCGTTTTGGAACTGTGGTTGGCAGGGACTCACACGCTGAACGACGGCTATCATATTCCTATGGTTGGCCTCGGGATCTCGAGAATTGTTGGCAAAGTAATTCTTTATGTACCCCTGAATTTAATCTAAAGAAAAAAAAATGGGTTTTCAAAGGTGTGATAGTTTTTTTTTATGAACATAGAAACACGGAAAACGGCTTTCCGTCTCGGAATTTCTTTTCAATTCCGTTTCCCCTTTTCTGAAAACTTCAGAGTTTTTTTTTAAAGACTTCGTTTGCGCTTTTTTAAAAACTTTGAACAAACAATCCAATCATTTCTGGTTATTTAAGGAAAGCGTGGATGAATCTGTCGGAGCGGCCCTCGATGCTGGATATCGGCTTTTCGACACTGCTCATATTTATGAAAATGAAGCGGAACTCGGCGCTGCCTTGAAGGTTATTATCGGTCGAAGTTTCAAAGGCTGACTGCGAAAATGGATTTTCGAAAAAATTTGTTGATGCTTATCTGATGATAAAGGGGGGAGGTCGAGCTGCTCTAGCTCAGGATAGTCTGAGGAAAGTGTAGGGAACCAACCAGGAGGTTGGAAGGTAAATGGAGCTGGAAGGTCTCGAGAAATTCCTTCGAAAAGGAAAAATTTGAAAACTTCGGACAGCCTCCCGGAAGCATTCCAGAAACCTTCTGGCAAGCTTTTTTTTACAGCAGTTAACACACGTTTTCTGAGAAAATCGGTGACTTTTCAGTGAGAGAAAGCAAAAGTTCCAGGTGGCTCCGCCCCTTTTTAGGGTTACTGTAGACAGTAGCTGAAAAAAAAAGAATTAAATTTTTCCTGTTAAGAATTTTCATTCAAAAATGCTTGGAAATTTAAGAAAACACTATTTTGAGTATTCTTTCAGTTACAACTTTTTTTGAGGAAATGTCGATTTTTTCTCTCCGAAGAAAAAATCGACATTTCCTCAAAAAGAGCAATTTTTCAGTTTTTGAGCCAAAAGGGCCCCCTTTGGTACGACTTTCATTTCTGATTATGAAACTAGGAGCCTTTTTTTTTTTAAAAAAAAAGTAGCTCTACAACAAATCCCTGGCGTGAGAAGTAGAAGGTATTGGAAAGCTGAAAAGCTGTTTGGAAGACCTTTGAGCACCTGCTGGAAACTTTTCAAACGCCTCTTAGGGAACGGAGCCTCTATACCTTTCTAGTGCCCTCCAAACACCTTCCCACGATTTTCCTGAGAAATAGGATGCTCAAAAGAAGTTTTCAAGCTATATTTCAAGGGGCTTTTCAATTTTCTTGAACGCTTTTAGTAGAGCTTGGCATTTTTCTTCAGAAATTGTTTGATATTTTTAAAAATAACTTTCTTTCAGAAGCACCTCGAAAGGCTCAGCCTGAAGCGAGAAGACGTTTTCATCACGACCAAAGTCAAAACGGTCAACGAGAAAACGAGGGAACATTTGGAGAAACATTTGAAGGAATCCTTGGAAAAGCTCCAACTTGAGTGGGTTTCAGGACAGTAAATGAAAGGATTCAAAAAATTCCAGATCTTTTTTTGAGTTGAAAAATTTTTTTGCAGATGTAGTTTTTATATATATTAGTGATGGAAGTTGTTAATTTCAATATTTTTAAAATTTTTCCTTGATTTTTTTCCTAGAAGATAGCAGTGAAAAAAAATTAATTCTCCAAGCCTTGAAAAAAATTTCCTTTTTTTCACAATTTTTCTAAAATTTGATCACAGTAAAGATTTTTCAGTGGAAATTTTTTTCCGTTCAAAAAAACTTTCACTTGTTCTAAAAATTTTTTTCCATGTTACTAATTTTTCCATAAAAAAATTACTTTTTTTGGTTGAATCTTTTTTTGAACATTTTTTTGAGCAGTTGAATTTTTTTCTGCAATAAACATAGCTATGATTTTTTTCAGATACATCGATTTGGTCCTGGTTCACTACCCAAGGGACCGTGATACGGGAAAAGACGAGGATTACGAAGCGAATAAGAAAGGAAGAAAGATCGCCTACCAGTTTCTTGAGGAACAGAAAGGTCTCGATTTTTGGAAATAAGGATATTTTGAAAGCAAAATTTTTAAAAAAATTTTGAGAAAAATCGGATATTTTTGAAGAACTTTTAAGTCTTTTCCTTGAAGCTCTTGTCCAGAATTCCGTTTTTTAGGTTTTCAATGGTTTTTTTTATGGAAACTGCTGATTTTTCTGATTATTTGAAGCTCTAAAGAGTTGATTTTTAAAAAAATCAAATTCTGAAAATTTGCTTTTTTTATGATATACATACCTTTTCAAGCAGTACCAATTGATTTTTCCTTACCTATTGTCTCAAAATATTTTATTATTCCGCCAGATTTCGTCTAAATTTGAAAGAGAAGCTTTTTCAATAGAAATAATGTTGATTTTTTCTTCTTTGAACGATTTATTTCCAGAAAATGGAATCATCAAATCGATCGGTGTATCAAACTACGAAGTTTATCATCTCGTCGAGCTTTTCGATTACGCCAAAGTTTGTTTATAGTCGATTTTTTTGGACTGGGAAGGCGATATGAGTAGATTAACAAGGGTGATGCGTTGCGTACGCGACGCGGCTTTTTTGGCGGGAATTCCGGGGCCAAACAAGCCAATTTTCTTTTTTTTTTCTTGACATTCCTTCAAAAATCTTTGATTCATTATTGTTTTGATAGAGTTGGAGGAATAAGAGCACAAAAATTAAGAGAAAAAAAAAGTTTAGTCTGCTCTGGTAAAAATGTCAAGCAGCAAACTCCGCCCCTAAAAACGCTCTGTGGCTGGCTCGCTCACTGATTGGTTCGATCTACGTATAAGGGGCGGAGCTTGGGCGATGACTGGACATTAAAAGTATGAATAGACTACCTCCATGCTGATGAGGGTGGTTCAGCCGGGCTGACACGGGATCTCGGCGGGTGCCCCCGTATAAGCACAGGTAGTAAAACTTTTCACTGTTTTTACCCCAGCTTAGGCCCCTTCAGCACATTTGGGTCACCAATTTTCAAAATAAGCACATCTGGGTCGCTTATCTTTTCTCACACCCGTTGTTCTCCCTTTTTGGCGCAACTGAGGCTCAAACAGCCTAAATATAGTCTGTTCATATTTTCCATGTCAATGACGTCATTCAAAAACACTCTGTGGATGGCTCGCCCTCTGATTGGTTTATCGCGCCATTAGGGGCGGAGCTTGAGCGATGACTTGACATTTAAAATCTGAACATACTATAACACGGGTTTAATATATGTACACCCGTTGAGACACCTAGTCACCATGCGAAAATACCGTTTGATCTCGATTTTCGCGCCAAAAAACCGCGTCGCACACGCAACGCCTCACCCCTTCCAATCTATCCACCTCGTCTTTCAAATCGGGAATGGCTGTAGCTTTCAATTCATGTTAAATTCCGAGTAATTTTCCAGTACAAACCAGCGGTGAATCAGTGCGAATTCACGCCCAGGTTCACCAGACCGGGTCTTCTGAACTTCCATCGCGTTCACAATATTTTCTTCCAGGTTTTTTAAAAATGTTTTCCGTGTTTTTTCAAGAAAACTGGGATATTAGGAATATTTAGACAACTAGAACTTCAGTTTTCACGTTTGTAATTCCGATGATTTGGAAATTTCGATTCAAAATCGGATTCCTATTGTTTTCAGATCCTAGAGCTAAACTTAAAGAGCGTTTTAGATGAGAAAATGGAGCCGCCCGCAGAAAAAATCAGCGGAAAAAATAAAAAAAAAGAAAATCGCCGTGGAAAAAAAGCGAAAAGCGACAAGCATCTCAAATTTTGCCAGCCTGTGCAAAAAATATTCTTGAAAGTGCGCTCCATAGACAAGGTGTCCAAAATTTAGTTGTTTTAGCTCAGTAACGCGAAACGGACGTGCTCCGAACGTTACTTGGCATTTCTAGTGACCACTTTAATAGCATCAGCACTCTTAAGTGATCCCTAGGAGAAAAAAAACCATTTCCAGGCCTTTTCCTCTCTTTGCTGGGGCGACAAGGAGATTCTGAACACTCCCGCTGTTGAGGAGTTGGCCAAGAAATACGATGTTTCTCCCCAGGTTTTTCAATAAAAAAATAGAAATAATCTTGAAAAATATCCAGACGATCCTGTACGCTTTCGCGTTCAACTCAGGCGTTGGAATCATCCCAAAATCGGCGAATCCGACTCGTATCCCGGATAATTTGCACAAGGTACAAAAAACAAACTGAAAAATTATCTACAGGAAAAAATTATGTTATCAAAATAACTTGCATGAGGAGTATTGTCATATTTTTAATGAAAAAAAAAGCTGGGCAATGCAGAAAAATTGAGGAAATGCGCTCCACGGACAAATGCGTCCTTATTTTCTTTTTGAAAATTTCAAATAGGCCACGGCATTCCTACTGGGGTGACGGAAGGTGAGCGAGGCGTCAAAGATTTTGAATTATCAATAAAAAAAGTAAGTGCGCGCTCCGGATAAAATGACGTCATTCTAAGTCATAAATTACACTGAGTATTCAACGTTCGATCGCCGTTAACTGCGAACTTGAGATTTCAATTTCCACGCCAAGTTTTGACGTCTTCCCACCTTGTTTGGGAACGCCGTGAAGGTCGTAACTTTTTAAAAGTTAGCTGAAAGTTTGGAAAAATGGAGAAAAGGAGAAAAGGCGCTCCACGGACAACTTTTTGTCTGCCAACTTTTAATTATCTGACTTTGGTAAAAGAAAGTTTACTATCACCGGAGTCTCACCTTCAAGAATTGAACTCCACGATGATATTTAATTTTTATATTTTTTGTCGGATTTCTTGGGCAATTTTCATCGCAGCGTTATGCTGTATTCGAAGCGTATCCGCGAAACCCAAAATAGCCGTCAGAGAAAGAAAAAGATAATAAGATTTTGGAGAGTCAGAGATAATTTTGCAATTCGCGGAAACCACTTTGAACACGGCACCAATAAAAGTTGACTCTAAGTCTGTTGTGAGCTTGAAAATTACTGATGTTTCCAGGTTGTCGCGTGCAAATTGTCAAGCGAGGAACTGAAGCCGCTCTTTGAATTGGACCGGAATCTGAGCTTCTGCCCCGGTTGCTTCCCTTGGCGTTGTCTTTGAGAACAGAGAGACATTAATTTCAGAAACTATTGTATGTCTTCAACTGTTTTTTCTGTGAATATTTTTTTATTTTATTGTTTTGTATCGAGAAGCAATTTAGCCACGTTTCACTTTAATGAATAAAGTTTATCAATAGGTGTCAAGAATTGATGAAAAGGGGTTGATTCCCTGAAAAAACTGAAAAAAGGTACAAAAATTGCGAATAGGAAATATTTGTTTCGAGAAATTTTGGACCTTCCGATCGTCGGATTGGTGGTGAATCGATGAAGATGCGGCCAGCGATTATCAAGTTAGTTTTTTTCGTTTATCAATATTAAAATTATAACTGTTTCATTCACGGCGTTCCCAAACGGGGTGGGGAGACGTCAAAAAATGTTTGGCGCGAAATTTGAAATCTCAAGTACGCAGCCAAATCGGGAGTTCATGCCGTTGAATACTCAGTTTAATTTGCAACGATAGGTAGCTGTGACGTCACAGTACTTTTATCTGAAGCGCGAACTTACTTTTTTTTTTGTAAATTCAGAAACGTTGACGCCTCGCTCACCTTCTCTCACCCCATTAGGAATGCCGTGCATTGGAATGAGAAAAAAAATCGATAAATAATAATCAATCGTTTTTTTTTTTTAAATTCATTTTCAATCACGGTTTTATTGTTAGTGGCCTAAAATGTGAATCCAAAAATGAAGAGGGCGGAGCAAAAACTCCGCCCTTCCCAGGTGACGTCATGGGAAAAAAACGGAATATTAAAGGCGCATGTTCAATGGGTCATGAGACGAATCGTTTTTATCTTCAAAAAAACGCAATTTTTTTGGGGTCGTGTTCAAAGTGATATCCACGAAACTCGAAATAGCCAACAGAAAACGAATATAACTTAATTTTGGAAACTCAGAGATGATTTTGAATTTCGCGAAAAAAAAGGTTTGTGCGAGAGCGCCGCAGTGCATGCACATGACACACTACACCTTACGGAAAAAAATATGGGCGGGTCGTCGTCAAAAATAAAAATTAAAAACTCAAGTGCGCAGCCAAAGGCGATCGAACAAACAAGTTATTAACGGTGAATACTCGTGTAACTTGTGAAGTATAATGACGTCATTTTATCCGGAGCGCGCACTTACTTGTTTTTGTAATTTCATTTGACGCCTCGTTCACCTTCCCTCACCCCCTTAGGAATGCCGTGTATCAATAATTATTCAAAAAAAATATTTTATGAATGAAATGGACAAGGTTTTTGAAAAAAACAAAATTAGTTGATTTACCACCGGCTTGACACAGTATTTAATAATTAATACAATGGATGTTAAGGAATTGGAATTTTTTATCGGAAAAAAGTCGAAAGGTCGATAGTAATTTTTCCATAGCTCTCGCTGAAGGATTTGTTAGCGTAATAGGTCTATAGTTGGCTGGACTTTTTTCCTTTCTTAAAAACAGGTTTATAGTCTGTTCAGATTTTTAATGTCAAGCAGATAATTCCGCCCCCGTAGCTGCAGTGTTTTTGGGGTCGATACTTTATCACGTGTAAACATGATCATTTACATGGAAGGTCTTTTTTGCGTAGGGTTTGGAATTTTCTGAAAATTTGCTCAAACGATCTTTGATGGACTGGGAATCGATTCCCCATAGCCGCTATCTGCGCAAACTTTTTGTTTTGTAGACAGGATTTTTTGAAGCTTTTGTCCTTAAACACGTGACAACGTTCGGAAGGAATGTGTCCTCAGCAAAAGTCATCTCATGGCAGCTAGGAGCGTGGTGCAGTGGCTAGCGCAGTAGTCTGCGAAGCCCATGATGAAGGTTCCTTTAAAGGAATCGGTTAGTAGCAATGAACACTACTGATAAAAAAAAAACGGGAGTGTCGGCATTGCGGCTAGAAATGCAGGCTTCATTTCTCTCTTTCGAACGGGTTATCCCGTGATCTTCCACCTTTCAATTCATCCCAGATCTTCTTATCAAGATGGGCGAATCGTCATAAAACGAGAGATCATTTATTTTCATATCAGTCAAAGATCTCTTGAGACTTTTCAAGACACTTTTTGAAACGAATTAAAGAAAAATGATACAGAAAGGACACTCTTTTTCCGATCCTAAAGAGATGCATGCAATAAAAACGATATTAGAAGAAATAGAATAATCAATATCATAAAATGAAAAAAAAATATAAGAGGCATCTTTTGTTTGAATTCTCGATTTCCGCGAGAAGCCGCGACCACTGCCAAAGTTGGAAGTGTGGAAAACGGGTGCAAAAAGAAAGTGGCTGTAAAATGGCCGCTAAAAGGGTTCCGTTTTGCGGCCTTTTTTGAGCCTTTCTTTCTTGGGAAACGGGCGCAAAAAAAGAATGACTGCAAAGTGGCCACTAAAATCGCCATAGACACTATCATACGCCGGCTAAGTCATGCTATACACCAAGTCAGAGCAAAAGCTATTAGATCTCTCATCTGAAACCGAATGTCGGGCTACAGCAAAAAAAAAAGCCGAGAGAAAATTGGCAATAATGGAAACGAGAAATCTCCTCTATACCGCTGGTTGCACGAGACTGGACCACGTGCGGAATGAAGGCATCAGATTTGCAGTAGCACCCATTGAAGAAAAGCTACGCGAAATCCGTCTGAGATGGTACGGACACGTCCTACGAGCCAAAGATTGTGATAATATTCGACCTCACCTTCAAGGGTCATTTGAACCTTGTTTTAAAGTGTCTGCCGCGGTTTTCATTTGCTCCTTGCAAATTACAGGAAAAAAGAATTTATTAAAAATTAAATCGGAGCAACTTTGTCTGCACATATCATGACATTTTCAGGAAATAAATAATTATTATTATTCTGGACTTTGGAGGTTTCCGTGCCGTGGCTCAGCATTGTTGACCGCAAAACACCTCGCTCACGACACTGAAAACGTTGTATACTGTATTGAAATCCTATCGCTTACCAATTTGTTTCTGTGCACAAACCATCTCCAAAAAACAGAAAATTAGGACTATGAATTTGATAAACTCAACAATAAACCCAGTCACCATCGTCGGGGAGCCACGAAACAAAAGGATTTGGGTTTCCCCCGTAATTTTTCAAAATTTAATCAACCTGAACTTAACAAAAGTTTGAAAATTCAAATCATCGAAAAATTTTTCACTGAAAAACATATTCCCAAATTGTGTGCCAAAAAAACTTGAGTTTTTCTATCATTAAGAGCTTCACTAAAGTTATTGAGGCCTTAAAAGGTTAAACATTCGAGTTAATCAAATTATGATTTCTGAGACTTTTTCCAGGTGATGATTAATTAATTTTCAGTAAGGCACACAATTTGGGAATACGTTTTTCAGTGAAAAAATTTTCGATGATTTGAATTTTCAAACTTTTGTTGAGTTCAGGTTGATTAAATTTTGAAAAATTGCGGGGGAAACCCAAATCCTTTTTTTCGTGGCTCCCCCACGATGACGACTGGGTTTCCCAAGTTTTGTTAGCATCGGAAGGATGTCTTTGAATATTTTCGTGTGCTGAAAGCGGAAAAAATGTCTGAAAAAACATGTCCAAGGATATAAAATTGAAATCTCAAATTTTGAACATTTTACTGTCCGAAAAAAACGTCCTAGTGATTTACTACCTTCAATGAAGCTCGAAACTTCTCATTTTTACACTTTCCTATATAAATTATTTTTTTAAGAAATCCTCTCTTCATTAGGCTCTGAATATAGTTTTTTTAAATGCAGTTTGAAAAAAATTTCAAACCTTTTTTTAGCTGCAAACCTAAAACGAAGTCTTTTTCCTCCCTGGAGTTTTTTTGAAAATGGCCTTTTTTTAAAAAAATTTTTTTAGTTAACCTAGACAGGTGTAAGCCCCTTGTTATGGTAACCGTAACGGAGACAAAAAACTTTTTTTCGACCAGATACTTTGATCTTGAAAAAAGTTATGAGCAAAAAACCTCGAAAATTTCCAGCATACAACAGCTCCATCAAACCTATTTCAGTCGTCCTGAAACATTTACTTTCTCATCTCAAAAACCACTTTCGTAACATTAATAACGTCATTGAAAATAGAAATAATATCTGTATCAACTGGTCAATAGATAATAGTCTTAAACTAATTCATCATTTTGATAAATTCAAAATCAGAAATAACACTTGTTTATACTCCGGCGATTTCAGCTCACTCTTTACTAACCTACCCCACTCTGAAATACTTAATTCCATCAATAACATCTTAGATATTTGTTTTAGGAACGCAGGAATTGATGTTACTGGAGTGACTTTTGACCAAAAACAGGAAAAAAACCTTTTTACTCTTATCCCAATAATAAAATTTATCCCAATAGTTTAACTTTCACTAAATCCCAGATTTCAAACATGGTTCACTTCGTACTGAGCAATAGTTTCGTCTCTTTCGCCGGATTCACCTTCAGACAAGTAAACGGAATACCGCAAGGCAACAACGCCTCTCCATTTATAGCAGATCTTACCTTAACGGCCATGGAATACAATTTTTATAATTAACAATAAAATCCTTTTTCGACAGACGCTTTTTTTCCACGCCGCCAGATACATGGATGACATATTCATAATTTACGATAAAAAAATAAATTAAACTTATCCCTAATCACCAACACACTATACCATAACTCATTGGAACTTAACCAAACCAATACGGAAACATATAAAACCCAATTTTTTTGGACTTAGATATTTCAATCGATGAACAAAAAAAATCTTAAGCAAATTATATAACAAAACGGATGACTATAATTTTCAAATAATCAGATACCCTCATCACGACAGTTATGTAGCTCGAAATATTGGTTTCAACACATTCACTAATGAAATTGTTAGATTCTCTAAATGCTGCAGTAGAATAGAAGACTTTATAGATAGGACTATCGATTGCATAAAAAAACTTTCATATTGAATCAATACAATTTAAACACCTTAATTAGAATTTTGAAAACAAAAAAACTTTAAATAGGACTAAATTCAAAGAAAAAAAATCGGATTTAGTTTTTGCAAAAAAAATACACATTTCATTATAACTATCCCTTCTTCACTCTACATTCCAAATTTCAACCTCAATTTTTCTACCTTTATACTTTCAATATAGACTTCCACAAGAACATAAATTTAATCTACCTCTTCGTAACTTTTTGACCTCTGCCGACAACAATCGATATCGGATATGAATGACTACATTTCCCCCTTTTTTTCTCTTTTCCTTTTTTTCTTCCCCCTTCATTTATCAGTTTTTCCCTTTTCAATTTTTTCCAAACTTTATTAATTTAAAAACTGCGCCTAGGTATAATAGCTAAAAAAATCTTTTTAAAAAAAATTTTTTTGATTTAAAGCAAGAGGGTAAAATGCTGACGATGGGTCACCCTCTAAGCCGTCCATTTTTGGGACCCGAAACGGCTGCGCGACATAAAAATATTATCATCTTTAAACCCTTTCTCCTCTAAGAAATTTCAGAAATCCTAAAACCTTTTCATAGTAATGTCCTCCTCATATGTATTTTCTCACCCTTCATATTGATCAAACACACTGAATACAAAATTTTTCGGTTCCCAGACATCGAATTTTTTTTGGGTGAAAAATGTTTTTCTTTTGTTTCGATCTGGAAATGACCTAGTAGATGTAAAAGTGCGCGTTGATCACGATTTTGCTAGTTTCGAACCAAAAGAACAAGAGATAAAAAAGTTATTCGGGAAACATACCCAAAATCACATGTTTTTTGGAATTTTCGGGTCTTAGATGGGAAATTCGCCTAATCCATGTTTGGCTCAAAAGATACAGTATTTTTTTTATGGTTTTGAGAGAAGCGAGAGGAAACGCCAGACCGCAACGTCATATACTGGTTTTGATTTTTTTGAGAAAAATCCTCTAATATGAGCAATAATGAGCAAGTATGAGTAATTACATTTAAGAAAAAAATGGAAAAAATTATTTTGAACCTTATTACAAACTTTAGTTGAGTTTCGTTGGATTTTTGTCGAGATATAGATTTTCGAAGCTTTTCACCGTAATCGTTTGAGCTACCGCATCTCAAAAACGGCTCGAGTGATGATATTCAGTTTTTTTTCAAAAAATCCTAAAAGTCATGTTCTACAACATATTTGATTTAGAGAAAATTCTACCATAACGCTCATTTTTTTTCCAACTCATCCTAAACCCAAACGCCTAATGAAAGGAAAAAAAAAACTTACTCTGTGGGTTTGTCAAATTCTGCAGTAAGCTGGCCGTTTACAGTGCATCGAAACGTGTTTTGTACGGATCCGACTCCAAAGCCACTACTTACCCCATTTACGGTAGTATACTGCAAAAGGGATGGTTTAAGAGAGCAAGCTGATATTATCTTCCTAAACTCAAATCATCCTTTAAAGGTAGGCTCGGAAAGTATGCTGGCGATATTTTTCCTAGTAGAGTTTTTCTTTTCGAAGGAATCTCACCGATATAACAGCCGTACACGTGGGTATTGTTGCCGTGCAAGTTATGTCGAAAAAGTTGCAGCCATCTTCTATCTTCATTCTGAAAAGAAGACGTAAAGGTTGCATTTTAAAAGTTGCGAGTTGACACTTTTCGAGTGTCTGCGTCTCTCTGTTCCCTCCTCCGCGAGGTCAGAGAAACATGAAAATGGCATGGCAGTATGAGAGGGCTGCCGAAAGACGAGGAGTGCGCATATTGAATCGGCAAGCTTGGGACGCTAAGGGGCGTGGCTTGTCTGCGCTCTCCACGAACCAGACACTGTCTCTTTTCTTATCGTGCCAGGACCCTTTTTCAGATGGCTCAAGTCAGCCGTGAATCAGCTACAACAGCAGTTTCAAGTCATGAGAGAAACTCGTCATGATTTTTTTTTTCTTTCTTTTTTTTCGCTCTTTCTACTGCAGTCATCAGAAGATACCATAAAAAGAGTAAAATTTTAAAACTCACACAACAACTGGCATTATTCCTCCCATGGGAACGGGCTTGATCACGGAATCCGTAGTGCAAGTTGTGCAGTCTGATATTCAAGAATATATAAACCACATTGTATAGCTTATGGAGTCTTCATCATGTTGGTTCAATTTGAAAAAAAGGGGAGCGGACCCTTCTTAAGAGTCGTCGTCGTAGGAGGCATGGTTGTCGTTGACGAAATGGATGTTGTGGTAGACATGGTCGATGTACTAGTCGTGGACATGTCGGTGGTCATAGCCGTCGTAGTAGATTGACTGATAAGTCGAGTTATTTTTGGATCTCTGACTGTAAGGCGGCACAGCCTTGTTACAAGAGTCATAAGAAAGTTGTATAGCTGATTCACGGCTGGCTTGAGCCATCGAAAAAAGGTCCTGACACGATAATGCGTGAAATAGTGCCTGGCTCGTGGAGAGCGCAGACAGGCCACGCCCCCTTACCGTCCCAAGCTAGCCTTGAATCAGCTATATTCGGATTATTGGTTTGAAACTAATTCTAGAGAAGTTCTTCTAGTCAAGATGGGTTTCCAGAAGAAGCTTCATAGAGTTCAAAATTGTGAATCGAGCTGCTTCATGAAAAACATGAGACTTGAATAGCCCTTCACAATTTTGTTTTCAAAGGCCCAAAACTGACAACCTATTGTTGTCAAAGTCGTCGTGCCTTCTACAGGCGCCGTAGATGTGGTAATCTGAAGATTTTTCAAAAAGTGATCTGGTGTATTTCCTATTGTGAGACGGTGATAAGGTCTTAACACACGTTCTCCGTGAGAATCGATGAACTGAAAAAACAGTGGGCACAAAAAGTTTATCTTTTTTTGAGACCACACCAACTACAAAACTATACAAAACTTTTAAACAAGGTTTTGTCAAGCTCCGCCCCTTTTGAGGATTACTGTAGCCAAAATACGAAGTCTAACTTTTTTCTTCCTGGTCCAAATCAAATAAAAAATTTTTTTAAACGAAAGTCAGTGACAAAATAAACGTTTTTTGTATACTGACTTTTCTTGAACATTTTTTTTCACACGGAAAAAGTTTGATTTTCATTGTCGATATAAAAAAATTTTGGCTATAGTCAATGTTCCCTGACTTGAAAGGCGAAGGAGGCGGTGCAAGGGGCGGGACGCGTAGCGTGTGCGTTCTCGGTTCTTGGCACGAGTTCAATTCAAGCCCACCGACTATTCAAAAAGCTCGGCAACCGCTCTTTTTCAATATTTTATACTATTTTTTTGATGATGCACACGTGAGCATAATCAATGAATAACTGAAAAATATATGAAAAAAGCGAAAAACGGGCTTTTCAAAGAGTAGATGGCGGTTGAATAGAACACTTGTCAAGAACCGCGAACGCACACGCTACGCGTCCGCCCCCTGCCTCGCCTCCCTCGCCTTTCAAGTCGGGAAACATTGACTATACAGTAATCCTCAAAAGAGGCGGAGCTTGACAAAGCCTTGTTTAAAAGTTTTGTATACTTTCGTAGTTGGTCTGATAAAAATATGAACTCAAAAAAAGCAACTTTTTGTGCCCTTTGTACATCGCATATCTCAGAGAACATGTGTTAATATCAAAAACTTGTCAATTTTTACGATTTTTAATAGGTTTGGATTGCAATTTTTCAATAGAAGTGATTGAAGCGAGGCTTTTGGATCACTTCAGTTGCAAAAATATGTTCGTCTAGACACTAAGGAACAGGTTTTTTGTATCGAGATTAAAGACTATGACTTGAAGAGATGATAGCCAAGAGGTCGAACTAGTATCTTTGAAAAAGTGACTCAAAATATAGTTTCATATTCATGTTGGTAACGAAAAAATGGTTACTTGAGTTACTTCAGTGACTCCAGTTGTTTCTTCTGTGTTCTGAGTCGTCACCTGAAAATTTAGAATTTTAATAATTCCAAGAAAAAGAAATAGCTCACATCGGAAGTTTCTGGAGTTGAAACAGTAGTTGACTCACCTGGGACTGTCCTCAGGCAGGTGTGAGCGAGAGGAAATGGATTTAGAAGAAAGAATAGAAGATAAACGAACGAGACTGTAGCCATCGTGATGGCTAAATAATCACTTCTCTCCGTGTTTCTTTGAATCTTTTCGATCCGCCGGCTTATTTCAACCCGTTTTTCTCCCAACGTATCCATTTCGTATCTTCATCAGCAAGCCGTATAATCGTTGATTTTTGAACAATATTTTGTTGATCATCTTCTCTTCGCCGGGTTTTATTACCATTTTCGGTTCTCGGGTTAAATTAGTGGTTTGATGGAATTCTCTACATTTTGGCATCAGAACTCGCGATTCAATATACACTTTTTAACCACTAAAATGAGGACTTTTATGCTTGGGCCGAACGAAAAAGCTCATCAAAGATGTTTCTCAAGGAATCACCAACAGGCTTTTTTTTAAATTACACCTTTGCGTTTTTTAAACTACCTTCAATGAAAAAGATATTGTGAAAAACTGAAAAGAGTCCGGAAGATTCGAAAAGTTGGGCTATAAAAAGGTGCGCAAAACTTTTTTCTTCGTTTCACGAGTCTTTGGCGGAACCTTCTTCAGCTCTTCCTAAATATCCTCAAAAAATCCATTTTACACGTTCATGGGCTTCTAGAAGACTTATCAATGACCAAAGACCGCTCTGAAATTTTTCCCCAGTTACCTCAGCCATTCCTTGTCGTTCCTAACCTCAATTTTATCCTCTTAGAAACCATAATTTTTTCAAATGGTTCCAGAAAACGCGTACAGGCTAACCAACTTCTAGAACCTCTCGAAATTCAAGATGTGTGATCTAAGAAACAGCGAAATGAAGTATTTATTGTGATTTATCCCTGTTTGGGGTAGAGGGTCTGCTCGGGGGGCTTCTGACCGGGAGTCGTGTAGAGGTCGGTCTCGTTGAGCGCCGCGGCGAAAGCGACGACGATGGCGAAGACGGCGGCGAACAACTTCATGTCTTCGGCGGCTGATGATTCTCCACCACCAAAGGCTGTCCTTTTATACGGATTCCCTGCCTATTGACTCTTGAGAACCTTGCAAAAGGGCAGATTGCCCTCTGGGAAACAGTTTTCGAACTGATGGAAATTATTTCTAACTCTCTTGGGAATGGGAAACGTTTGGAATGGCTGAAGGTGCATAGGAAAATTTTGTGGAGGTCTCGACGCGATCCATCTTTTTGCAGTGTTAGCTTATCCAAGGCGCTCCCAAACGGAGAAAAAAAATTTGGCCTGAAAATTGAAATCTCAAGCCAAAGGCGATCGAACAAACAAGTTATTAACGTTGAATACTCCGTGCAATTCGCGATGTAGAATGACGTCATTTTATCCGGAGCGCGCACTTACTTTTTTTTTGTAAATTCAGAAACCTTGACGCCTCGCTCACCTTCCCTCACCCCATTAGGAATGCCGTGTATCAATAATTATTCAAAAAAAATATTTTATGAATGAAATGGACAAGGTTTTTGAAAAAAACAAAATTAGTTGATTTACCACCGGCTTGACACAGTATTTAATAATTAATATAGTCAATGTTTCCCGACTTGAAAGGCGAGGGAGGCGGGGCAAGGGGCGGGACGCGTAGCGTGTGCGTTCGCGGTCCTTGGCACGTTTCCAATTCAACCGCCATCGACTCTTTGAAAAGCCCGTTTTCTGCTCTTTTAATATCTTTTTCAATTATTTATTGATTATATCCATGTTTGCATCAAAAAATAGTAGAAAACATTGAAAAAGAGCGGTTGCCGAGCTTTTTAAACAGTCGGCGGCAATTGAATTGAACTCGTGCCAAGAACCGCGAACGCACACGCTACGCGTCCCGCCCCTTGCCCCGCCTCCCTCGCCTTTCAAGTCGGGAAACATTGACTATACAACTTCAACTTTTTTTTTTCATAATCGTATTCAGTGATGGAATTTTTGACCAGTCAGAATATCTAAATGAAATAAATGTAGTTTTCATAGAGCTGTTTATAGTCAATCCTCCGCGGCTTGAAAAGCGAGATGGGTTGATTGGCAAGCGTAAAGCGTTGCGTGTGCGACGCGGCTTTTTGGCGGGGAGCTCAAAAACGAGCTACTTTTTAAACAGTTTTTCAATAAATTTTAATTTTTCATAGGTTTATGAAGATTCAGTTGAATGGATAAAAACTTGTCTTAACCCATCTTTTTCTATGGTTACATTTGAAATCGAACTTCCCGCCAAAAGCCGCGTCGCACTCGCAACGCGCCACCCTTGCTAGTATACTCATCTCGCTTTTGAAGTTGGGAAAATTTGATTTTACGAGTTTTTAATTTTGTCGTGGAAGCCTCTGTGAATGGTATTTTCCAGAGGTCCGGTTGTCACCGAATATCCTTTTTTTTTGGTTTTTATTCAAGATCAGATTTATTTCCCAACGCAAGATGTTCCGACGAGCGAGGCTATATGGAGTTTGAGAATTCATTTTATTTAAATTGGTGTGACCATAACTTTTCCCAATGAACGATTTTTTTTTTTTGGCGACAGCCCGCCCATATTTTTTCCGTAAAGTGTTGTGTGTCGTGTGCATACACTGCGGCGCTCTGGCGCATGCCGTGTTCAACGTTTTTCTCCGAAACTTTTACAAGAGAGATCATTTCACATTGCGGTTTTTCAAGGGTTTTCTTCGACTTCGAGGTGTTCTTTTAAAAAAAAACTAGGACTTTGTGCAGGTTGAGACTTCCCGGGCCTTATCTTAGGAACTCCAGAGTAGTCCCTATAGGGGCAATTTAATTCACAAGTTAAAATAAAAAAATTTTTACTTACACCTTCTCGAAACCGAGTACAAAATTTTCAACTTTGCGCGGCCTCACGAAGATTGGGCATCGTAGGAATTTAAAATTTTTTTGTCTTAAAAGATTTTTTTCACTCGAAAATCGAATTCAAAAATAAGAAAGGCGCCAAAGACATGGAACTAGGTTAAAAAATCGAAGAACATAAGTAGTTTTGGTTTTTTGTACGACACTCCGCTAAAACGCTTCGAAAATCGGGTGAGAAGTATATCAGATTGAAGAGGAAGGTTTTTTCTATGTTTCCACTAATTTTCTCTGTTTTTGGTTCATTGCGCTTTTACGAAAAAATCAAACACAAAAACTAAAAAACCAGTGCATTTCACCATCGCAAAAAGGGGCGTGGCTTTGCGGTCTCTAGTTAAATGACCTTCCTTTAGAGAGTGTCTGCGACGAAATGAACTCAAGGAAAAAAAAACAGAAAGTTGACGTGTTTATTAAAATCAATCCTTTCTTAGGGTAGAGGGTCGCCTCCGGGTAATGTTGAAGAGGAGTCGTGTAGAGCTCCGTCTCGTTTTTCGCGTTGTCGCCGGCGGCGGCGGCCAAAGCGATGATGGCGAAGACGGCGGCGAACAACTCCATGTCTTCGGCGACTGATAATCAACCATTCCTGCACCCCTACTTTTATTCCGATCCTCTTTAATTGACTTTTGAGAACCTTCCGAAGTGCCCTTGAGAAAGGAAGAGAAGAAAAAATCGTTCTTAAGAGAGAGAACAAAAGGATTGTTGAGAAAATGTGTGAAGAGTTTGGAAAAAATGAAGTTCTAATTTAGATAATTTATACACCTTTCAGGTAAACTTGATGGAAAAAAAATACTTTTCGGTTTTTTAAGGCTTTTTCAGGACCCCTTTAGTGCGCTCTTCAAGGGGTCCTTGAGGAACCTCTATAGTAAAATTTTCCCAGTATAGACAGATCCTAAGAACTTAGGAACTCCAGAGGGTTTCTATAGGGGCAACATTAAGGCCACTTTACCAACCCCTAAGGGCCACTAACGCTTGCAAAAGTGGTCCCTCTAGGGGTTTTAGTTATTGGCCACTATAGGGGAAATGCTAGTCGATAACCTCTGAACAAAACATCGTTTTTAAATTAAATTGAAAGACCCCTATAGGACCCATTTGACTGAAGATGTAAGGGGACTCTGAAACCCTATAGGGACCACTTTTTCGGCCCATCTACGTGCTGTTTTCTACCCTTACCCCTATAGGGATCACTCTGGAATTTTTGAAATTTTCGGCCACTTCCATTTTTTTTCCCTGTTTTATTTAGAAAAAGTCCTTTAACAAGTTTCTTACAAAATTTTTGAGTCCATTTTGAGAGCTTTGAAACAAATTTCGCGAAAATTCTGCAAAACTTTATACAAACTAGTTGGTTTTTTGAAGATAAAAGAATGGAAAAGTTGTAGATAAAGGAAAAATCCAGGTTATTGCCAAATTTTCACATTTTTCGCCATAGTTCACTGTTTTCAAACTCCTTTTTATTTTTCAAAAAAACAAGTCTACAAGGCTACAGAGTTTTGACCAATTTCCGTCCGAGTTTTTGACCTCGGCGCCAAAATGCGTTATTGTCATCCTTTTTTCTATTGATTTTCTGCTTTTTTTTTTACGTCCTTGTGCAATCGATCACTTTATCACGTTTGTTTTCTGTTTTTTTCAAGTATTTTTTTGAGTTTTCAGGATTAGCCGTGTTAAATTTCAGATTTCATGCCATTTTTAGAGAAAAACGTAGCTATTTTTTTCTCATGTAGACGAGTTTCAAAGGAAGTATAAATAATCGATTTTATTTTCAATTTCTGAAGGTGGAACATTATTGGAAACGAGAAGTAGACGTTTTAAAGTGGGAGGAATCGTTTTTTATCGTTTTTTAGACTTTTTTTTTCGTTGAATTTTCGGAAACGATACCTTTTTGAAAATGATCATTTGTGTTCAGAAGCCGTACCGACGAGAAGAAGCGTTTGACTTCGGCTTTTTTTTCCGACCTTAAGGAGGGAATGAAAATAAAAACGAGTAGACGAGGTTCTCCAAGGTATGAAATAACTTCAAAAAAAAAGCTGTCCTTATCAATTTTGCATTGCAATTTCGAGCTGTCAAAAAGCGTTTGGAAAACCTTTTCGAAAAAAATAAATTTGCGCCGAAATGGACAGGCCCAAAGTATCTTACTTGGGGGTTGCAGATCTCGAAGATTGTTTTGTTCTTTCAATCCTAATCACGAGTTTATTCAATTTTATTCTAGAGAGGCAAGGTTTCAACTACTCTGTTTGTGCTTGTTTGGCGCTTCACGAAAATTTTTTCTTAATGAAATGGATCGAGTTAAAAATCTGAAATCTCATGAAATTGACGTTCAAGTTAGTGCTGCTCTGTAATTTTCAAGATGGTTTCTTGTTCTTTACAAAGCTTCTTGGATCAATCCACGAAACTTTTGACTCTGAAGTTGTGCTCCTTTCAAAGTGATTAAAAATGTGTGCTTTTTTGGTTGATTCTTGATAATTATAGGTCATTTTCAGACCGATGATGCTGAAGATCTACGCCGAGGATGCTTCTTGACAAGGACGTCGCAGATGGAACATCTGCGACAAGGGCTGAAGGATCGTTCGTGCTCAAGACGAGAAAAGACGCTGATTAGAGCTCAAGGACCAGCCGATCACGTTTGCTTTGACTTCGGAATCGACTCCTCTCCAGCAGATATTCAGCACCAGCTTGACTCGAAGGTTGTGCCTCGTACAAAGTGACTCCGTGGTTTTTTCTCGGCAATCTTGTGAAATAGCGATATTTTGCAATGTTTCCCGAGTGAAAAAAGCATCATTTCGAGGCCAAACTTGTAGTCGCTTCAAAAAAAAGAAAGTGTTCGGGGTGTACGAGCCCCTTTGCCACCAACGAACATAAATTCTTGAAGAAGCGCGCCAGGAAACGGACGCCACCAGATCGATCGTTGGTGACGTCCACACCCGGCGCTGTACTCCAAGAGTCTCTGCAAGTTGGGAGGCAAATGCTTGGCTGGGATTCGAACCCGAGTCTCCAGATCGAGGGACGAGTTGCCTCGCCACTCTACCAAGCCCGCACGTTCGTTCCACAGGCATCGGCGCCACATACCGCCGTTGGTCCCGTGTGTTTGCTTGGGCCAAGAGGCAGAGGCGCCGTTTGATCTCCTGCCCGACTCTAGTTTGGACTCGGCGCCAAAACATTGCATCATTCTTCCATCGCCTTCCATGGCCTTCTAGAACTTCTTTTTTGCGTCCCTTTCTTTTTGCTTCATTTTTACATTTATTTAATAATATTTAAATCTCTTTTAGATTAATCATTGATTTTTTTAAGAATATAGCGACTTGATATTTAGCTTCTACCAATCAATTTTCATTTATTTGAAAGCTTAAAAAGTCATCAGCGGCTCATTTCACTATGCAAATATGAGTTAATAGTTTTAAAACAAATTTTCAAAAATGCGTATTACGGTGTGCGAGTCCGCATTCAACAAACTTCACCGTGCTTGAAAAGAAGCATCGCAAATGACGACATTTGTTCAAAATTTTTACTTTTCGTTCTACTGAATTTTTTTTTATTTTTTATTTTTGTTTAATTGAACGTAGTGAATGAATTTTCGATGATAGTCGCTTCTAATCGTATTGAAATTTTATATTTGCGAAAAAATTTTTCTCGGCGTTCCGATATATCAATCAATTTTCCGTGGAACTTGTGGTACCTGGAAGACTTCTGCGACAGCATTTTTACTCTGACAGAAATTCAGCTGAGTTTCTTATACCTCAAGATATTGAATGAAATTTCAGGGATTGACATCTTGCTTCTTTTCTCAGTCAGTCATGTCATCGAACTCGAAGATCACATGGAAATGAAGATATCACATAAAAATGAAGATAAGTTTCTTTTCCACATTTCCTCCAGCCATTTATTTCCGTTAAAATTCTCTTTAGTTCCACTTCATCCTCTATGAAAACACCTTTTTCCAAATAATTTTGGACGCTCTCAGGGCTACCCAAGATCTAGAACTTCTTAAAACGTTTGAAAAGATCAAAATTAGGTATTTATTGTTAATTTATCCATGTGTTAAAGGGGTAGAAGCTCTTCTGGGGGAGGCCTCTGGCCGGCGTACCGAGGGCCGTTGATCGCGGCGGCAAGAGCAACGACGATGGCGAAGACGGCGACGAACAGCTTCATGTCTTCGGCGACGGTTGTTTTCCTCCGTCCCTAGTCTGCTCTTTTATTCTGGTCCTCTTCTTATTGAATCTTGAGAACCTTGCAAAATGGCAGATTGTTCTTTGGGAAACAGTTCAATTTTTGATGTCTAGTTTATGGCATATCGTTTCGATGCCTATTTTTGTCGTCATTTAAACGAAAAAAGAGATGAGTATCCAAATGTTGATCAAAGATAAGTAAGAAATTTTCCAGGATCGACATGGGAAGGATGTGTCAGAAGCTGAATGAAGCCGCTGAAAAAAAAAACTGTCAACTGGAGTCGAAGATTTTTTGGTGCCTGGACGTCGGCGGGTGGATTAGACGCTACTTGGACCGGCCGATCCCGTTCGTGTCAGCTTCGGAATCGACTCTTCTCTTCAACTCCAACCGTTCCTTTTGACTCGAAGGTTGTGCCTCGTTCAGAGTGATTCCGTGGTTTTTCCCCGGCAATCTTGTGAAATAGCGATATTTTGCAATGTTTCCCGAGTGAAAATCGCGGAGTCACTCTGAACGAGGCTTCACTTCGAGGCCAAACTTGTAGTTGCTCCAAAAAAAGAAAGTCTTCGGGGTGTACGAGCCCCTTCGCCACCAACGAACATAAATTCTTGAAGAAGCGCGCCAGGAAACGGACGCCACCAGATCGATCGTTGGTGACGTCCACACCCGGCGCTGTACTCCAAGAGTCTCTGCAAGCTGGGAGGCAAATGTGGTTGTTCAGGAGAAGAATGTAGTAGACTTATTTTGAACTGTCAGAGTTTTTAGTAAACTTGTTCAACAAAACATTTCCTTTCGTTTGACTATTTATTGATTTGTCTATTGCAAGTATCAATTTTCTTCACATCTTCTTGTACAACAATTTCTGTGGTCCACTGCGACTAAATTGTTCCTTTTTTCCTGTGATGTCCGAGATTCAATTTTGATTCTTCACTGACACTGGTCAGAGTGAAGAAAGGGGGCATCTAGCCGCTCATCAACTCTTTCGAGTGGAGCCTGACTTCGGTCACCCTTTCCGGAAGAGAGTTCTCAGCCACTTGTGGCAACTTGGTCTAACCAAGGAGACTGGCGAACTTTTCCCAATCTTCCGGTCACTCAAATCTTTTATTTTGAATAGAATGCAACTTCTTCTCAGAATCACAGAAAGAATGGACATGTGAAAAGTTTTATTAAATCAAAAGTTCGAATTGTATTTTATTGTATTTGTTAGTGGGTGAGCTTTACTGACACTCGTCAGTAAGTGTGAGGTTGATCCTTCACGGGAGAGAGTTCTCACGTCACTTGGAACTCCTGAGTGGCAATTCGGTTTAACCGAAAGAGACTGGTGCATTTTCCCACTCTTCCGTGCTCCTACACCCTTTCTGGCATTATACAGAGCTTTATAGCAGTGGAGATTAGAAACTGAGAGCGTTGACATTGTTAAACGGTTGCTGAGCATTGAACATTCTTGTATAACGGAGTTCATTTCATTCTAATGATGAGAGAGTGTTCACGAAGACTTGCAAAAGTCGGACCTGGTCAGGTTCTCCCGGCCAATCTCCACAACATGTACAAGATGCTGCAGCAGCAACCGTTTGGACCTTTCATAATGTTGACTTTTAAACGTGCAGCTTTAATACTTGCAATATTCAAACTTGCAATAATAATAAAGCACTTTTTTAAACTTGCAATAATAATAAAGCACTTTTTTAAACTTGCAATAATAATAAAGCACTTTTTTTAACTTGCAATATTAATGAATGCAATATTTAAACTTGCAATATTAATACATTCTTGATACTTGCATTATTAATAAATGCATTATTTAATACTTGCAATTTCTATATTCGGAATATTAATAAATACATTATTTAAACTTGCATTCTTAATACGTGCAATATTCAAACTTGCAATATTAATAAATGCAATATTTAAACTTGCAATTTCTATATTCGGAATATCAATAAATGCATTATTTATACTTGTATTATTAATAAATGCATTATTTAAACTTGAAATATTAGTAAATGCATTTTCTATTGATATGCCTTTTGTGTTGTAATTGCTTTGCGAGAATAAAAACCGTTTATTGATTCAGTGAAAAAAAATAAAATTGCAACTTCAAGTCACACAACTTCAGTCATCTTCATTGTTCATGTTCTTTTATCAATAAATACTTTTATTCAACTGAAGTCTTCTGTGTCACGAGAAACAAGAATTTCTACAAATGGGCCGAGATACTGTTTGATGCACAAGTCATGCTTCTAGGTCATTTCTCAGAAACTCGAGTCAGATCGGGAAAAGTTCGCCAGTCTCCTTGGTTAGACCAAGTTGCCACAAGTGGCTGAGAACTCTCTTCCGGAAAGGGTGACCGAAGTCAGGCTCCACTCGAAAGAGTTGTTGAGCGGCTAGATGCCCCCTTTCTTCATTCTGATCAAAGCCAGTGAAGCTCATACTTTTAAAAAATGAGGCTGAGAAACGACAAAGAAAGAATCAAGACAAAGCCTTATCCTCCTGTGATTTCAGAGCAGTTGAGACCTCAAGCTAGTGGGTATTGGAGCACGGAAGATTGGGAAAATGCACCAGTCTCCTTCGGTTTAACCGAAGTGTCACTTGGATCACACGGCACCAAATGACGCGAGAACTCTCTTCCGCGAAGGATCAACCTCACACTTACTGACGAGTGTCAGTGAAGCTCACCCACTGGCAAAGCTCGCAGTTAAGAAATACAGGACAATCAGAAGGCTTTGCACGGTTTGCAAATACTTTTTCACCAGCAGTCGATAAAAAAATTAAAGTGCATCAAGAATGTCTCAGCCAATGTCGGAGAAACATATCAGGGCCTGCGACGCGGCCGCGCTGAGCACATCACTATGTAATGTTCGTACCAAAAGAAAAAAAATTTATTTAGGAAACAAGGGTTGGCCAGGATGTGTAGAACAGCAGCGCGACCGCGTCGCTTTACATGTCCTAAATTAAAACGTTTTTTCCAAGAAGAATGAACTCATCGTATATCGAAGTCCTTGAGCGACCAGAACTGGGCAAAACTGTCAGAAACCAAAAAAACCGCTTCACAACTTCGACAAACCGTTTCTGACACATCTGCCCAGTTCTGGCGGAAAAGTCGGCGGAGTCCCTGGAAAATTCCACACTCATTAAACATTAGAAACATAAGAAATCACCTTTAATTTCTTTGACGTCGATGCGAAAACAGAACTAGACATTGAATTTCTGAAAATCAAACATTGATTCAATATTAAAAGTTATTTTCATAAGGGTCGATGAGAGGACAGGATTGATTAGTTTCGCAAGAAAAAAAAGTTTAAAAGTTACCTTGAAGATTTAAAGAAAATTAAAGAAAACTTAAATTCTCAGTGGTGACTGGAATCAGCGACAAATTAAAGAATAATTAGTATCTAATAAAAGAATTAAAAGTAAAACATCAAAAAGTGTCGTAAATTGTGATGCTTCTTTCCAAGCACGGTGAAGTTTGCTGGATGCGGACTCACATACCGTAACAAGCATCTTTAAAATTTTCTTTTTAAACTATCAATTCATAGTGAAATGGAACGCTAATTACTTTCTAAGGTCTTAAAATAAATGAGAACTGATGGGTAGAAGCTAAGTATAAAAGGTGCTAATATTCTCGAAAATTAATGAATAAATTGAATAACCTTAAATACATTTAAATAAATGTAAAATGTATGGAGAGTGAATGATTCAAAAAGAAGTTCTAGAAGGCCATGGAAGGCGATGAAAGAATGATGCAATGTTTTGGCGCCGTGTCCAAACTAGAATCGGGCAGGAGATCAAACGGCGCCTCTGCCCCTCGGCCCAAGCAAACACACGAGACCAGCGGCGGTATGTGGCGCCGATGCCTGTGGAACGAACGTGCGGGCTTGGTAGAGTGGCGAGGCAACTCGTCCCTCGATCTGGAGACTCGGGTTCGAATCCCAGCCAAGCATTTGCCTCCCAACTTGCAGAGACTCTTGGAGTACAGCGCCGGGTGTGGACGTCACCAACGATCGATCTGGTGGCGTCCGTTTCCTGGCGCGCTTCTTCAAGAATTTATGTTCGTTGGTGGCAAAGGGGCTCGTACACCCCGAAGACTTTCTTTTTTTGGAGCAACTACAAGTTTGGCCTCGAAATGGTGCCTCGTTCAGAGTGACTTCGCGATTTTCACTCGACAAGCCTCGCAAAATATCCCTTTTTCACAAGATTGCCGAGAAAAAACCCCGAAATCACTCTGAACGGGGCACAACCTTCGAGTGAACACTAACAGCTGGAGTTGAACTGAAGAGTTGGTACTTGAAGTCGCAGCAAACGAGATCGGCCGGCCATTCCGTTCCAAGCAGCGTCTCTTCTCCGTCTTTGGCGCGAACGGTCCTTGTCGAGAATCTTCCATCCGCCAAGTCCTTGTCAGGAACATCCTTGTCGTAGATCTTCAGCATCAACTGTCTGAAAATTGTTTGTAATCAAGTATCAAGCAAAAAATCACACTTTTTACTTTTAAATACTACGAAATCACATTAAACGAGAACATTTGAGTCAAAAGGAGAAGTTCAATTTCATGTTTGCAAAATCCAAAAAAAAAGCATTTCCGATAATAAAATGTTTGCAGCACTCCAAAATCGGTTGAAGACATTTTCAATGACTCATTAATGAAAACTCGGTCTTTCTTGTAATTTTGGACGCTTCAATTTCTTCTCTTCGGAATTTCTGAGCTTTCTTTTCTACATGTCAAATTATACCTATTACTTGGCGTCCCCAAAATCGCTTTCAGAATCTCTCTAGACACCAAATCCAAGATTCCTTCTGCATCTTTCTCATCGAGCTTGGAACTTGTAGCTTGGTCGCCATCTTCTGAAAAAATAAATCGAAATGAAATGAAAAATTTGCCAATGAATTTTCAATCAAAATGTTTTATTTCTCACACACAAGTACTAAACTTCACGAAATAGATGTAGGGAGAGTTTAGGAACATATGTGTCGGATTTTGCACGAAATAAAACAAAAATATTACCGCAAAGACATAAAATATATAAAACAGTTTTCTGAAGTTCATTTCGATCAAAAGATAAACCAAAAAAGTGGACTTTCAGAAAAGGTTACTGAATGAAATCGAACGATTCCTTTACCAGATTCAGCAAATTTCCAAAAAAAAAACCGACTTCAAAAATTTTCCTATCTTTCAAACCAGACTATTTGGCTTAATAAATACATTGAAATGTTCGATAAAAACAAATTTACAAACAAAATAACCTTAAAAACGCGCAAAAAACCAATCGATGAACGTCGACCTTCTAGAACATCGAGCAAATGATGACAAAAACGTCCTGAGCCGCCAAAAGGTCAAAAAAATTGGTGGGGTCAAAATTCAAGACGACGAGTCTGTTTTTACTGTGATAAAAAAACATAATGTGCTTCTATTCGTTTTTGTTGTAAAAAAACTAATTTTTAATATAAAAATCTATCCAGTTTGATATATTCATTTATCAAAAAAATTACACATAAACGCTTTTTTTCTCGTGTAAAAAAATTTGTACATCAGTTTCATGATCAATCAAATCAAATATAACTGAAAAAAACTGTTTTTCACAACATTTCCTAGAACTTCCTAATGAATTTTTTTAAAAAAATATTTAATTATATATTTAGAGAAAAACACAAGTAAATAAACGCATTGTACGCCAAACAAAGAAAATGAATGGAAGTGACGTTTAAAACATTTATCAGGGCAATCAAATATAATTCAATTATTTTTTCGTACGTCTCATTAATATAGCTGATTCACGGCTGGCTTGAGCAAGAAGAAAAGGGTCCTGCCACGAAAAGAGACGAGACAGTTCCCTAGTTGGTGGAGATTGCAGACAGGCCACGCCTTTTTGCGCCCCAAGGTAGCCGTGAATCTTCTATATCATTCCTCGCCTTTTGGTGGAACTTTTTGAAAAAATCAAAACTAATTTCAAATTAAACATTTCAAAAGCTACCTTTTTCCATCAAAGTCGTTGGTCGAATAGATATTATCAGTAAATTTCAAGCTTTTTTACTTGTCAAAAAGTGTTCAAATGAGGGCAGAAATCACTTTATTTGCATTGAAAAAACGAAAAGCCGACAACCGGATGAAAACGAGAAAAAAAACACTATGTTGTTTATTAAGTAGGGAAGATTGGAAATATACATAATGAAAATTTACACATGTGAAGGAAAAAAAACAGACATCATGGGATTTGGAAGTGGGAAGAAGCTTCAGGACGACTTCGCTCAGAGCTCGCTGAAAAAGACAGGTTTAGGACAAAGTTCTGGGATATTTTTTGAAGGACCATTTTTCTTTTCTCATGACAAATCCTACTAGATGAATCTAAGGACGGCTTTTTCACGCGGCTATTTCTTCTAACAGGGGTTGGGTTGAACAATTTTAATTAATGAAACTTTGCTAAAAGATCTTTTTGAACTTTCTCATTACAGCTCCGCAGAAAAAAAAAACTCCTTTCGTTTCGGAGACTTGACACCTTAAAAGTGGCTATCCAGTGCTAAAGAATGCCTCGCCTTTGAAAAATCTTCAAAAAAAAATCTTCAGAAGCTCCCAAAAGTTGTCACCGAGGTTTCTTCAAGCTCTCAACGCTCCAACTTTTGAGGCTCTTCTTTCTCAAGCTTCCTTTTGGAGCTTGGGAGCATGAGCTCAGGCTTATAGCTGCTAAATGAGCGCTGCTCCTTCTCCTTTTACACCATGGAACCTGGGCTCTGCTTCCGATCTGTCTTAATTCTCTCGAAAAGTACTGTGAGCTCAGTCAATTTGTTCAGTTACAGACATTCCTAACGGCCAGCTCTCCTCTTCCAATTTATACTAAAGGGGGGGATAAAATGACCGCGAGTCTTCTTCACTCGATCTTCGAAAGTTCTGAATTCGTATTTTCCTACATTTTCTCTACATTTATTCCGTCAAATTATGTAACAGTTCAGCCTCCACATATCTCTCTCATCACTGATTGCTTTTTTGAGCTTCTCAATCTCTTTCCTAGTCAGTGAATATTTCCTCATTTCAATCCTAACGTTTAGCAACAGCAATTTCAACGCATTTTCTTTCCCATGCTCACTCCGACTCGATGAATCCGTTGGTGAAGACGCGGAGCATGAACTCGGCCTCCTCGTTGGGCTCGAAGGTCGACGGCACGACGACGTAGTTGCCCGGCGGGACGCGGAATCGTCCGGTCATCTGAAGACGTCGGTTATCTTCAGGAAAAGGGTGGTGACGTCACCTCGCGGAGGTTGATGAACGCCGCGCTGCGCATCGCCGACTTGTTGGCGGCGAAGAACTGCTTGTCGAGGCGGCCACGGACTCCACCGGCCTGAAATCGCTTTTTGGCTTTTGAATTCTTCCGAGAAGCTTGAATATGAGTAAGCAGTGCCACGGACACACTATACTTGAACAAAAGCTGGGTTAATAAAAAAAAGGTGAACATCTTAAAATTAATATGAATACGAATTTAACAAGCTATGATGATCCATCGACCCTAAAGGGGCCACTAGAATTTTTAGTGGTCTAGTAGTAACACTTAGTAGGCCACTAATTATGAGCCCCTGAAGTGGCCACTAATTTGACTACTATAGTGGCCACTAAAACGTCAAAACCCTATAGTGGTCACTAAGAATTTCCCAATTGCTTCCAAAACTTGGGCCAAAAAATAGAACTTTTTTTGAAATTTAATAAGCACAGACACCACGTAAACAAAAAGCTCAGTGTTACTTCAAAATTTCCAAAAAAGGTGCGCATTTTTAAAAAAAAAGTGCTTCACAAACTCAAAAATCAAACACACTTTACAAAGAACACAGAAATAAAAAATCAAAACCGGTCCTTTCGGAAAACTTACAGCATTCATCTGAAAAAAATCCATATCAAAATGATTAAAATGAATAAGCCATTCGTTTAGATAAGAAAAAACTTTAGGAATGCGTGAAAAAAAAAAAACAAACGTCATAAACGGCGAAACCGATTGGGACGTTGTCCAAGCCTTCCTGCTTCAGGTTTCGCCTGGAAAAAGTTCATCACTGAAGAACTGTTAACGCTAATAGTAGGGTCAACTGCTGCTTCAATACTGGCTTGAGCCATCGAAAAAATGGTCCTGAAACGATGATGCGCGAGACAGTGCCTGGCGGGTGGAGAGTGCAGACAGGCCACGCCCCTTAGCGTCTCACGCGAGCCGTGAATCAGCTATATACCCTACTTGCGGATGGAACACTCTGAAGTTCTTCTTCTCAAGACCGATTTCCATTTTGACGCTTCCAATCAAGCTTTAATACTGAAGTACCATTTATAAAACGGTAGTCAGTTTTCGGAAACGCTTCAAAATTATCTATCTCAAAAAGACGTATGTTTGAGAAGGAAGAAAAATAAGATAAATTCAAAAATGCCTAAAAATTATCAGTAGAGTGCCTAAAGACTGCCACAAAAGCAATATTCCGAATACAAAGCTTTCAAACTTCAATAATCATCGATAAATCTGGAAATTGGTACTTGACCTAGATCGCAGACAGGCCACGCCCCCTTCGCGTCCCTAGCTTACCATGAATCGTCTATACTCATTCCATTACTAAGAATATAGTCCGCCCACCGCGACTTTACAGTTTTCGCGTGTCTGCGTCTCTCTGTTCTCTCGCCGGCGAGGTCAGATAGACATGGAAATATCACGTAAACATGAGAGAGACGTCGAGAGATGAGGAGGGCGCAGAGAAGTCCCGCCCTTTCAAGTCGCGAAAAAACGGACTATAGACAAATTCCCCTTCAAGTTTCAAAAGTTCACCACAATAGTTAATTCCTCTTGGGAAGTTTCTCATAATTTCCCTCTCTTCCCCCCTCCAAACTCACCGATACTTCTGCATGACCGCAAAAATGACCGTGCAGAGTTCGTCGTCGTCATCGGGATCCGAGTCGGTGAGCTGGACGCGGAACTGGGGATTATTCGCAAAGGTGTCTGGTATAATCAAGGATGAAGGTCAACGAGGAAAGGATTACTGATGTAGTTTCGGCATCCACCGGCGGTCTGATTGCGAAGCCAGGCGCCGTCGTGAGTGTTCGTCGCCCACGTCAGTCCAGCCGCCTTGACACCCGTCATCTGAACGTCTTCGTCTAGTATTCACCTTCTAGAAGCATCCCGTGAAAAAGTGCTCAGTTAGTCGCTTGGGCTTGAGCCTACTTCTTTAAAAGGGGGCTCCACGATTTGAAGCAGTCAAAAAAGACAAAAAAAAACGGAGCTACGGGCAAGAACGAGTTTTTCCCCTTCAATTGGTACGGTACGCGAAAGTCCGCATTCTGCGTGAGCACTTTGTATGTTTGCAGTTTTTGGTCCATCCTCGGGTTTTTTTTTCCTATTCTCTGTAGTTTCATTCCATTGCGATGAGTTTACATGTAAAACTTGGAAAAAGGGGAGACCACTCAGAAAGCGCAAACACACATAGTGCATAAACAGGTTGCGGACTTTCACATACCGTACCTATCGGAAAAGAGAAACTCGTGTCGTAGGACCAAAAAAAACTACGGAAAGTGGTGAGATTTTGAAAAAAAGTTTTTGCCTGCTTCGCGACCGCGTTGTAGAAAAACGATCAGCTCCACCCAATAAGATATGGAAAATAGCACGTAAAAATTGGAGAGTTTACCATTGTCCCTTATTTTTATGTCCCAAGTCAGCAGTACATGGACTTTGACCGCTGAGAACCAGAAAAGGTGAAAAACAGAGAAAATAAGGCTGAAAAAAGCATGTTAGTGGCTTTTTTCTACTGTAGCCCCGCCCCTTTTCCAGGCTCTTCCTCCAAAAAACAATCCTGTCCACGGCTCCTTCTAAGGTGTCTAAATCTGTTTTTGGAAACGATTTTTCTATCTGAAAACTCTGAAGGTATTTTTCAAGCTAATCAAACTTATTCAAAACATTTTTTTCAATTTTTTGTTTACCTGGTACACCTCGTCCATAACATCAGGTCCGAGATTGCAAATCTCCATCTTTTCAAAGTTCCTCATGTAGTCTTCGAAAGACATCCTGAATGACGACTTTTGATCAAATTCAGAGAAGATCAAGCTCGAACCAGAACTCTCCGTCGTGGTCGAACTTGAGGCCCATGTCTTGCTTGGTGTTGTCCGGGACACTTCGCCATTCGCGGGAGTTGTCCGACCAAGGGCCGTTCCATTCCTTGAAACTTGTCAAATTTACGGGGAAAAGTAGAAAATTTTTTTTGTTCAAAGTAAATGGCAAAATTATCTCTGACACTCCAAAATTTAGTTATCAATTTCTTTCTCTAAAGCTATTTTGGATCTTTATTTGCCTGAGTATCACTTCCACACGTACACAGAAGTAATTTCTTCCCCATGCGCCTTCAAAAAATTTTTAGTTTCATGAAAGAGCTACGTATGTCTTCGCAACAGACTCCTAGAGCCAGTGTGATAGCTAAAATTTGGATTTTCTTCTTGAAACCATTTTTAAATTTCCTTCTCATGCGCCTTTAAAAATCAAGAAATCAACTAAACTTTTCTCATAACACTTGTTGCACCCTGTACCTTTAAAAGTGAGTTGAGAGAATCGTAATTCAAATGTAACTAATTTAAGTTCAAAGCTTCTGTTCAAATCGTCCTCAAGAACTCTTTGTCAAGACTTTTTTGAATCTTTCCTGAGTATCATACTTGCCACACGTGGCCAGAAAAACTTTCTTTTCACATGCGCCTTTAATAAGTTCTTGAAAGAGCTACGGTATGTCTCCTCAACAGACTCCTAGAGCCAGTGATAGCTAAAATTTGAACTTCCTTCTTGAGACCATTTTTGAACTCTTCTCATGCGCCTTTAAAATCATATCACTTGATGCACTTGAATCGACTTATTATTTTTCAAAAATGCTTTTCGCTTCGAGAATTTTATAAACTGCTTCTATGTGCCTTTAAAAGTGAAATCCTTAATGTAACTGTAGCCAATTTGAGCCCAAAATTTCGGCTTGAACCGTCCTCAACTCTCCGTGAAGACTTTTTTGAATCTTGCCTGAGTATCATAATTTCCACACGAGGCCAGAAAAGCTTTCTTTTCACATGCGCCTTTAATAAGTTCTTGAAAGAGCTACGGTATGTCTCCTCAACAGACTCCTAGAGCAAGCAATAGCTCAAATTTGAACTTTCTCCTTGAGACCATTTTGGAACTTTTGTCATGCGCCTTTAAAAATCAAAAATTCAACAAAACTGTTCTCCGAGAATTTGATAAATTATACACCCTGTGCTTTTAAAAAAGCGTTCAGAGAGTCTTAATGTAACTGTTACCAAAAAATTCAGCTTAAATCGTCCTTAAAACAAATTCTCCCTAAGACCTTTTTTGAATATTGTCTATGCTCCTTTAAAAACACAGTGTCAAACTCTGAACCTGCTCATTTCCCCACGGGTTCCTAATCCGGAGAATGCAGGCCTGGCCATTCGGCCCATCGACGATCCTCATGCCGGTGATCGAGTAGGCGTGGCCCTAGGAAAAACCAAATATAGTCCATCTTTAAATTTATTTTCGAACCTTCACAAGTCCATTGGACATTTTGGCCTCCCAGACGTTAGGATCAGCTTCGATGGAGCAGCCGAAAAGGGATCCCATTTCAAAACTGGAAAGTAGGATGTTCAATTTATTGTTTCCTCTTCAGTCGATTCACCCTCGCATCATCATCTGCATGAGGTTCTTGGGTGGATTTTTGAGATCGATGAATTCGGTCAGACCGCCGGTCATGTCTTCTAGAGCTTCTGAGGTCGTACCGCCCTTCAGGGCTTCATAGGAGCCGAACAGTCTGAATCAAAGGGTAAAATTGGAAAATTGAGGCAGTCGCTCCGGGGCGAGCCGAGCCGCAAAGATGGAAACGAGGGAAAAATGAAGAAGGCTCTTTTGACGATGTGAACGTTTCGCGAAGCGGTTCTTCCCGCCCCGGGTGGCCCCGGTCTTTTCAGCCGCTTTTGATTCCCTACTTGGCATAGGCCTTTTCGAGAAGAGCGCTCCAGAACTCGTTGTTGCTGGCCGAGTGCATGTAGAGCAGTTCTCCATTATTGGTCGGCAGTCGGTCGTCGATCACGACGTCCACCCATTTGCCGTACTGCCAGAATTGGAAGTGGAAGATTCCTGGAAATCCAGCGAATATAGGATGCAAAACTTTGGACTTCAAAGAATTCTAAGAAGGCTGAAGAAAGATTTTCCTTTAAATTCAGATGATCATTACCGCCGACATAAATTATTGATGCTAGAGTAAAAAAGTGGCTCAGAACATTTTTTAAAACTCTTACTAAAACTGGAATAGTCTGTTCATATTTTGAATGTCAAGCAGCAAACTCCGTCCCCAAAAACGCTCTGTGAATGGCTTGCTCTCTGATTGGTTTGAATTTAATGAATATGGTCACAGTATGCAGGCATGATACATATTTTGAGCCTTCAAAACCTGGGTCTCAAGAAAAGTGTGAAAACTTGTTTCGGGTCTATCAGAAGGTATAACTGATTCACGGCTGGCTTGAGCCATTGAAAAAAGGGTCCTGACACGAAATGAAAAGAGACAGTGTCTGGTTCGTGGAGAGCGCAGACAGGCCACGCCCCTTAGCGTCAAAAGCTAGCCACTTGAGGGGTGAAAAAAGCTTCGGAAAGACAAAATTCATTGGTATACATTTCAGTAGGAATCCGGAAAGTTTCTAAAATTTTTCAAGTGGAACGACTAGATCTCAAGATCGAACCAACAGTAACCACGCACCAGCATAATTCTCAGTGAACGACTGATCTGGCGGGACGACACGATAGAAGAGCTCGTCCTTGAGGGTCAGGTTGGCGGCAGCGGCCAGGAGCCAGCAGTCGCCGAGCTCTCCCTGGATGACGTCAAACCGAGAGTGTCCTTCGGTGAGGAGTTGCGGAGCGGAGACGATCTCGCCGGGCCTCAGCCACTGGACACGCTTCGGCGGTCGCTTGCTGTAGAAGAGGGAGGAGTCGGCGGCGTCGAAGAGCGGGTCTTCGAAGAGCCGCTTCTCCTGGAGACACTGGTCCCGGAGGGCGTAGAAGTCCTGCGGTTCGTGGGAGGGACGAGGTCGGATTGGGGAAGGGCCGCCGCCGCCGTCGTCTCTGGCCGGCTCGGGTCGGACGAACGGATCAACCTGTAAAATGCGGACGTTTTCGCAAGGGAATAGTTTCAGCTCACGGTGGGACTTTTTGGGTCTCTCATCAGTGCTTAAAACTGTCGAGGAGGCTTTCGAAAAGGGTCAGGGAATTTTGAAGTTTCAGAAACCTCATGATAAACTACCGTTTTCTTGATTGAAAAATTCCAATCTACATATAAAATATCATCTTTTAAGTAGCTCAAAGAAAATCCCACATCTCTCCTGAATTTCCCGGAAATGATATTGTCGAGGATGACTTTGCCAATGTTTCCGAGAGAGTTGTCCTTTCCACCCAGGCCCATGATGACGTTGCCAGCGACGGCGCCTAGAAGTTCTCATCAGAAGGAAGGACTTCTGGGGGACCATTACCGATGATTTTGCCAGTTCCCGGGTCGACGCCGAGGAACCGATGGGCGGCCTCGCCGATCAGATTCCCGATGATGTTGACCATTCCGCCGTTGAGTCGGTTCGGATTGACGTTGCCGCCGCCGCCGTTGTACTGACCACCGCCGCCGGAGCCGATCAGGTTGCCGATGAGGCCGCCGAAGCCTCCGCCACCGCCGCCTCCTTGGTTTCCACCGCCGCCGCCGATCGAGTTGATGATTCCTAAAACAGTAATTTTGGAAAATTTTCCATTGGAGCCTGCCTACAGTCTCAATAATCCTTATAGCCCATCCCAATTTTTCGGTTAAAACAGCGTACACCTTTCGATTACAGGTATCAAAATGAAGCGGGCAAAAAAGCCATGTATACTGTAGTTTTTTTCTTTCTCACTTTTTTTCAAAAAAAATTTGCACGGAGTTCATGCAACAAAAAAATTTTTTTCTTGAAAGACCCCCCACCCCCCTAAAAAAAATCGAGAGCCTCAAATCTCTTAAATAAGTCCAAAAAAAATATAAGAAAAAAAGATAAACTCAGAACTTCTTGAAAAAAACCATGTTTCTACTTATTTTTCGTTCGATTTAGATAGTGCAAAAATACAAGTTTTGATTTTTCGGAGTTCACCACGACCTCCAATATCATTGAAATTGAATCCGCCGCCGCCTCCACTGCGATTTCCGCCTCCACTGTTATCATTGTAGCCACCGCCACCGCCAGACTGCTTATTGCCTGAAAATGAATGAGATTATGAGAATAACTGTTTTTAGCGCAACAGGTTGTGTGCCTGTCTACGGTTTGAAGGGTCACGAGTTCGATCCCCACTGTGACCCAAACAAGTGGTTTAAGAAGTATTGGTATGGGAAAACAAGGGTTCAAACTCCAGCCAGTCTAAGCTTTTGAAAAACTTTCTTATCGATTCAATATTGGAAGCGACAATGATCCTTTAATAGCCACTGATTTTTGGTTTTTTTTTGAGCTGTTAGATCAGAGAAAGCTGCTTGACATTCAAAATCTGACCATACTAAATGCCCCTAGAGCCAGTCCACTCTGGCCATGTTCACTGATAACTTTTTTTTTCTTGAAAACCACCTCCGCCGCCGATCAGCCCACCAATCAAACTGCCAAAGTCGGGACCGCCGCCGCCACCTGAAACAATTCATTTTCTTTAATTAACAGCATTTTTCTGAGAATTAAACTCATGCCAATATTCCATTCATTACTTTTGAGAAGGAATTAAGGAAGAGAGGAGAAAAAAAGTCAAAACGAAGGAATGAATTTAGAAAAGAGTAAAATGACAAGTTCATGCATGAGGTATGTTAATGGTGAGAAAAAAATACAATTAGAACGGTTAATATGATAAATAATATAGAAGACGGGTTTTCTGATGAGATCACTCGAAACTGTGAAAAGTAAAAAAAATTAGTGGACTGTAGAGATATTCGAATATGCAGTTATAGAAATGGAAAAGCTGTATAGATAACTTTGAGAGCTGCATAAAAGCATATGAAACAACTTTTTCTTTAAATTTCACACGAAAAAATAATTACGGTAGTTTCTCATAGGTTCACAACTATATTTTCCCTTTTTCAGAACGAAAAAACCATGACCTTCACTGCACTATTGAAAAAAAGACTAAACACTAAACTTTTTTCGGCCAATTTCCAAGCTTTTTGGTGCCATTATTACAGTTAAAGTATACACAACAAAAAATCGAGGTAATTTGAAAAAAGTCTTTGTCAGTTTTTCCTAAAGAGCTTCATAAATTTCATAGGCAACGCCACCACCAGGATCACCACATAAATCGCATGCTTCTCCAAGAAAACACCTTGATTATATCCACCATTATTGCCTTGTCCACCGCCGTTGTTCTTGTTGCCCTTATTGAAAAAACCGCCGATCAAATCCGAGGCGATGCCCATCGCCATGTCCCGTTTCCGGGGACCTCCTTGATGATTTCCTCCAGAATTATTGCCGAAATTCCCACCGCCGCCGCCTGAACCACTGACCACACAACATTATGGCTCTAACGACTAAACGATATAGAAAAATACTGGAGTAAAAGCTGGAAAAATGAAAGGTTTCAAAAAATAGTCTAAAAATCACCAAAATTCCGTTTCAAAACCTTTCTAATAACAAAAAAATCTAGAAAATAAATAGCACAACATATAAAAACTGAATAACGCAACAAGCACTGCAAAAAAGCTATCTCACAATAAAAAGCAGAAAAAAGGGTATACGAAACGCACAAAGTAACAGATACGAAACCATTTATATTCAACGGAATCGGAAAAAACTGAAAATTGAGGTGTTGGAACAAAAAATAGTACAAAACGTCATAGAAATTTTGAAGTAAGATGAATTACACTACCGAATGAAACTTTTCAATGAAAAATAGTTGAAAAAAAAATAGAAAAATTATCCTTTTTATAGATACGAAAATATGATGAAGCTTTTTTTAACATATAAAAAAATAGAGAAGATTTTTAACCTCTAGTTTTCAAACATTTCTTTCTGGCTAAAATTTCACAGTGAAAACTGGAAAATCGAATTTTCTACTTTTCGATAAAGCTTCTAAACCAGGTTCAAAAATTTTTTTAAGCACCTTTTTTTAACAAATACTCTTAATAAAAACAGCTTTCTGGGACTTTTTAGAATGTGAAAAAAATTGCTTCTAGTTTTTTTGAAAACTCATGAATATTTAAAAATGAATTAGAGTTACAAAAATTGGAAAAACGACTTTTTTCGAATCAAAAAAACTCAAATATGCAGTTTAATTTTTAAAAGTCTGAACCACTTTTTTTCTAACCCTGAATCATTGGAAAAAAAGCTGGAGTGGTAACTTTAGGGAAAAAGGCCCCCCTACGAAAGTATACTACTACAGAAATTATTGGTCATTTTGGACAACGTTTTTTGGGGTCGTGCGCTATGACGTCACTATTAAAAATTGGCTTGGGGGTCCTGCGCTATGACGTCACTATTAAAAAGAAGTGGCTTTGGCTTGGGGGGTCGTGCGCTATGACTTCACTATTAAAAAGTGGCTTGGGGGTCCTGCGCAATGACGTCACTATAAAAAAGTGGCTTGGGAGGCGTGCGCTATGACGTCACTATTAAAAAGAAGTGGCTTGGGGGGTCGTGCGTTATGACGTCACTATTAAAAGGAGACTCATTAAATCTCAAATTCCCTCTAGTACCCACTTCAGCTTTTTTTAAGTTAAAAATAGCAAAAAAAAATCTAGCTAATCCAAGTATCTACACTATCAAACTAACAACAAAAAAACCTAACAAAGGTATCAAAACTGAAGAAAAAACTTGGAAACTCAAAAAATCCTTACCGAATCCACCGCCGCCGCCTCCGCCGCCGCCACCTCCGCCGAGGAAATTGCCGGCGAGGCCTCCGATAATATCGCCTCCAGGGCCACCAATCTATACAAAAAAAATATTGAAAAAGCAGGAAAAAAATACAAATCTTTATTAAAATTTAATGAAAAAAATCCCAAAAAAAGACCTTATCGCGGATCAAGTTGCCGGCAATGTTTCCGATCAGGCCGTTGAACTCGTCCTCCTTCACAACCACCTGAAAAAAATAAGTAGTTCTTTACAGATTATAATACAGAAAACAGATAGCTATTTCCAAAAAAATGCTTAAATTTTTTTCTGAATGCTAAAAAAATCTTGATTAATTGTAGTACAAAAAAATATGCATCCTTTCATAAAGTGCCCTCATATTTTTCAAATCCTAGCAAGAAAAAAATATGGAATATTTCAATTATAGTTCAAAAAAATAGGCATTTATAAAGTGTTCTCGTATTTCCGAATGCGAGAAGAAAAAAATATTGAAAAAAAATTCAATTACTCAAAAAAACTATTTCTATTTCTGTAAAGGAATCGCTCTATTCACTACTATAATCCAAAAAAATTGAATGAATTCAGAAAATCCATATAAATTTATTCAAACTGACACTCCTCTGTAAGCTTCTGAAAATAATAATAACAACTAGAAAATTTCAATAACGTTTTTTATTTATAAACAAAAAGAGTTTGAATGGAATAGACAAGAACAAAAGCTTCCTAATTTTTTTTTTTGAATGATATAAAAATCTTCCTGGAAAAAGTACAAGCTATAATGACCTTTCAAAAATGTAATTGAAAAACTTTCCAGACGATCTTTGATTGAGTCCGAATTTCTCTAGTTATTGATTTTACTTTGAAAACTCACTTTTTCCTCAATTTTACTACCTTATAAAATCTTCCCTTCGATTCCTGGGAAAATTTTCGACTAGTGAAAGCTCAAGAAATCATCCAGGGGGAAGAAGTTGAAAAAAACACCTTTTTTTTTAGTCAATTCATGAGTAAAACTTTGCTCCGGATAAGCTAAAATTTAAAAAAAAATCAAAAGCTTTTTTTCAATAATTTTCCCCAGCTCCAACATTTCCCTACATGTATTCCGTAAATTCAGTACTTGTGTGTGGAAAGAAGCATCTTGATTTTTTTTAAAATGCAGTTGAGTCCCTTCAAAAAATGCACCTTTTGCATGACTTCCTCCTCATCGTCGGCCATCGTGATTCCGTCGGTTAGTGACCTTCGGGGCACTTCTTCGACAACGGTCACTTCTTTTTTTCGGTAGTCTTCGTCGCTCGAAGCTACCGTTCGTTCTGGTTCTGGCAATAGAAAAATTCCCATTTTCATACAAAAAACAACAAATTCACGACGGTACAACCACAATCACGATATTCAATATTTGAAAAAAATCATCGTTTTCATTGGAAAAAAGGAAAATTGTTCCGAAACGTGGGAAAATTTCTTCATAATGAAAATTTTTACTGTTTTGGAGCAACTTTGGTGCCATAAATTATATTTTTTTTTGGTTTTGAAAAAAATTTTTCCATTCTCCAATGAACACGCCATTGAGAAAAAAAGGATAAGATTTCTAGCTTTATAAGAAAAATCGATAAATCCGCTTACCCAACTATCAATTAATCATATTTTTAATAATTCTACACTGTAGTTTTTAGACAGTAAATTCAATTTACACGTTTGAAAGTTCACATTTAGGAAAAATTGGAAAAAAATAAAAAAAATAAATTCGCGTAAATCCACATCCATTCAAATGGATCACGGCGGCGCAAAACCACACAAATTTTTCATGAAAGGTCCTTTTAAAAAAATCGTAACTTTTCCAAAGATAATTTCTTTTTCCAGTTATAAAGGATCAACATCAAGTTATCAAAAAAATGTTTTTTTCGAAAAGTTGATTGAGAAACTGGAAAAAAAAGAAGAATTTTTCTTGAATTTCCACACATTTTTTTCACTTCAAAAAAACTCGGATTTTTCTTTAATTTTATGAGTTTCTTTAATTTTTATGAATAAAAAAATTGAAAAAAATATCGAAAATTTCAAATTTCAAAACAAAAAAAGTACACATTTTTCTTGGTGAAAAAAAGGAGTTCAGCGTAATTTTTGATTGGAAGAAACATGAAAAATCCATCAAAAAAACCGGTAATTTTTTTCACTTTTTTTCACAAATGAAAATTTTCAAAAGTGATGAAAAAAAGTGAAATTTCTCGATTTCTATATATCCTAACACATACAAAAGTGAAATTTCTCGATTTCTGTATAAGCTAACACCTGGAAAACTTTAATTTTTCTATATATGATATAGGAAAGTTGAAAAATACCCAGTAAAAGTCCAAAAAAGAACAAACCATTGCTCGCGACAGCCAGCAGAAAAGGGAGCATACCAGGTGGGAAAATAAAAAACAAGCGGAAAAAATGTTCCTTCCAAGACGGGGGGAAAAGAGAGATTATATAGAGTAGCAGCCGGAAAAATATCGATAAGATGAGGTGAGTAGTATGTGTGTGTGGGGGTCTAGCGGCGGCGAATAAAATAAAATTTATCAATAAATGTACTCTTTCTCAAAGAGAATCCATAAATTGCCAGGAGAGAACAAGAATAACACTGAGCTTCGAGCCTCACTCAAACAAGGCCACGCCTCCGAAAAACCAATGGAAATGGGGACGAGGACGGAAAAAAGAAGAATTCGAGCTTTTCCATGAGAAAAAAAAAGACGGCGGCCTTCGCTGCCCTATTATGGGCTTCTGCCTCAGAATCGACAAACATTCGCCGTTTTTCCAGTGTTTTCTCTCCAATTGACCATTTGAGTAATGGGTTTTTTGTTAGGCTAGAGAAGCCTCCGTTTCAATATTCAATGAAAGGTCGGTTTCCTCAAAGCTTCCATAACTTAAGGTCTTCAGAGTGATCTCTATAGGGGCAACCTTAGGAACTTTTGGAGGGTCCCCTCTGGAGGAACACTTTACCAACCCCTTTAGGGTCCACTAGAACTCGAAAAAATGGTCCCTACAGGGGTTTTAGTTAGCGGCCCCTATAAGAGACATGTTGTACCGGGACCACTTGAGCTTTAGGGGCTAAGGGGTCAAACCCTAAACTTCCTATAGGGAACCCTTTTTCGGCCCCTAGAGGGACCACTCTGGGAATCCTCAGAATACCTCAGCTCAATTTCGACCAGTTTAGGTGTTTCAAAATAAACAAAATCAAGATTTTTATCATTAATTATCAAAATGTCCTCAAATTTCAGAGAAAAAGGAAGATTAGAGTTCAAAAAACGGGAAAAAATTCAAAAATACCGCCATTTTTTTAATATTTTATTTCCAAATGACCATTTAAGTAATGCGTTTTTTTCCCCATTGATTTATAACCTTGAGAAAAAAATAAAATCCAGTATTTTTTTAGAGAAATTTCCCATACTTGAATCTTACTACAGCCAATACCACAAAAACAGTAATAATACTGTTACAAAAGTTAAAAACTCGGTTTCCTTTCTACATATTATTTTTTTCTATTTATAGATTTTTATACATGTATATGCAGCTCCTTTCGTTAAAAAGCCAAAAAAATCGTTAATAAACATTATAGTGGCCTTTATATGGTCTTTCTTTCACAACAATCGATTCTCATGATCTCATACCGAAATGAAAAAAATACAACTTTCTCATGAGATAAATTATTATCATTATTTACGTTAAACGAAGCCCTAGTAATAAATATGAATTGCGAAAAAAGGTAGGAAGAAAGAAAATCAAGAAAAAATCTCACAATTAAAAAAAAATCAAAAAACAATAATAAATATCCTCCGGAAATAGACCAGATTTCTTGCGATTTACATTCAAAAAAAAATTTATTTCGGTAAAAATTTTGTTGAAAACTCACGGCGTTAAAAATTATTTTCGAATTTAATGAGTATGCGAGTTAGCGTCGCTCTGTGTATGCACCAAAGACGTCAAACATTACGGAAATTGTGGGAGGGGCGTCGTCAAAAAAACGCCGTGAGCTTCAAACCTTTTTCTACAGGCTTATAACCTTTTCCACTTGATTACTTTTAAATCTACTGTTTTCCTTTGAACACTTCTTTGAATAGTTTCTCATCAGTCCAGAGAATTGAAAACTTCAAAAAGCTAATTAGAAGCCTTCAAGATGCGAGAGAAAAATGACTCGGTTGCCGTTTTTTTGGGACCGAATTGGTTCCAAAAAGATCAGAGAGCGGGGAAAAGAGAGGAAAAACATAGAGGGACCGTTTAAAAATAAAGTAAAGGTCGGAAAAATGGAAGGAAATCGAATAGAAGAAGAAAATATTACTCAAGTTGAGTGATTTCAAAGCGAAAATGGGGTAAAAATCAATCAGAAAAGCCTAAAAAATAATAAAAGAATTTCAGTAAATTACTTGGAAAGTACTAAATTTCAAGTTTCGGAGCTCAAAAACATCAAGCGAACGTTGAAATTCGTGCTTGAAGACCTACAGAAATTCATATAGACCTTCTAAGGTGCACTATTTTGAAATTAGAAACATTTAAAGACCTAAAAACCCTTCAAAAACTTTAAAACAATGCAAAAACTCCTAAATAAACGGCTCTCTCACAATATCCGGCATTGAAAAATCGTCTATGCATTACAACTTCTCAAATTTCTATAAAATCTCCAAAAATTTTTGAAAAAAAAAACTGAAGAAAAACACGAAAGAGCGACACACAAACAACACGCACACAGAGGCACTGAGAATAACTGCCGAGATAAATGCGAGACACTGGCGGTACATTGACGAGCTCGCAAACATCTCGCTTTTTTTCTCGCGCCGGTCTCGCATTTTTCTGGGCGCCAGCTCGCACTTTTCTAGGCGCGAGCTCGCTTTTCTCTCGCAATTTGAAAATTTCCGAAATGCAAGATAAATGCGAGATGGCGCCGAGAAAAATGCGAGGTCGCGCCGAGAGAAATGCGGGATCGCGCCTAGAAAAAAGCAACATTTTTGCGAGTTAGTCAATGTACCGCCACCGAGCTCGCGTTTATCTCGTCAGTTATTCTTAGTGGGAACGGAATCAATGTGAGTGTTTTTTTTCTGTGTCGGTAGACCAGGGGGAGTCTCGCGGGACACTGGCGCTTGTTTTGATCGACTGCCATAGGCGTTTTTTTTTTCAAAAATTGAACTGGTGAATAAAATATACATTCGTTTGAACGACATATATTTAACCTAATCTCTATATATCCCCTTCAAGTACCACCTCTACGCGGTGATGGGGAGGCAACGCCATTTATGGCGGCTAACGGTACACCGGTCACGCAGTTCGGCTTGCTTCTGCTAACAGAATGGGCGGTCTTTTTTAGCCCTGGCAAGGCAAAAAGGATAATCAGACCAAAATTATGCTATAACACGTTCAACACCACGGATGGAACTTTTTCGCAAGAATACCAGTCAACCAGGACGACAAAACTGGATGACCGATTGCATAAGACCTCCTGGAAAACGTGTGGTCCACGCTTCGATCAATAAAAGGCACTAAAAGGCAATAAAAGGTCGAAAGCGAAGATGGACCATCTAAGTATCTAAGTAAGTAAGTAAGTAATCTCTATTCTTATATGTTTAAAAAATCATATTGAAGACTGGATATCTAATAGAAATGAATCTGGAAAACACTTTTTTTCTTCGCAAAACGATGGACCAAAATATCAGATCACTCATAAATATTCTGACGAGTTTCGAATTGCGCTCCAACGAACTATGTTCCTGATTGGCTTAAGCCTAAGCCATCTTTCATGGATTTTATTTTTAAAACTTAACTCGCATGATCCCTATTGTCAATGGGAAATTTCGTAATACGAAAAACGAGATTTTCAGCTTAATTAACTGTAAGTTACGAGTAAAATGAATTTTTAAAAGATAATGCTAAAAAGTGAAGCTGTTTTCTTTTTACTTTCCTAGTCTAGGAATCCTAGATTACTCAGGAAAAAATCTCAAGGAGAAAATGTGGGGTAAAAAACAATAAAAAGTCCAATTGATACAAAAATATCTTGTTAATTGTCGATAAAGTAATTGAAATCACGAGATTTTGAGCATAATCAACTGTAAACCATGAATGAAATGAATTTCTACAAGCTAAAGTTTAAAAATAAACTTTTTACAGCCAGAACAAAATAACAAGTAAAAGAATGGTTTGAGAAAAAGAAAAAAATGTTGAATTTAGAACTCGAGAAATTCTGTTATTTCTTCCCTGGTTTCTTTCGAGAACACCAAGGAAAACAAGCTGAGGAAAGGAACGATGAAAAAGTTCCATTCTATTCAGAAAAGGTTCGATAAAAATTGAATCGTGACAAACAAATTCTCTCAGTTGAATCATCGCTATTATACTCTGAGGAAAAAACTTTCATCATACTTCCAAAAGAAAAACTAAACCGAAGAAACGTGGAATATTCCTAGACTCGTCTCAAGAAAAAAAGAGCTCGGAATCGTTTAACATGTATTTCTGAAGTCAGAAAAATAAAATCGAACTTAAAAGCGTAAATTTCAAAGCTCTATTCCGAATTATGGCTTCTATTTATTCCTCAAAGCTTGAAGAAGCTAAATTTGGACCGAAAAGTTAATCTGTACGAAATAAAAAGCAAAGTAAACCAGAGAAAAGACAGAAACTTCACGCTACGCCGAATGACGGCCTTTCTTTTTTGATGAATGGTTTTTTTTTTGCCTTTTTTCTCCACGCCCTGTTTGCTTCGCCAATAAACAAATGGATTGGCACTTGGAAAAGATTGAAAAGTTGGTTTTGAGCTAGAAGTCGTGAAACAAAAGATATAAATCAGCATATTCACCAAGTATAGAAAGATGCCAAATGACAAATTTTATATCCTCTCTAAATTTCCAACGGTTTGTTCAATTGGAATTATTCCAGAAAAATGATTATAGCAAAATGTGATTAGATTTGAACTTTTGAAATTAAATAAATAGTAAAAAGTATAAAAAGATTAGAAACCCACTTTTTTTCAATCAAAAAAAGTTTTTTTCAAAAAGTTGGTCTCAAAGATGTTTGTTCACAGTTCGCTCTATTAAAATGAATTTTTTTCAAGTTTGACAAAAAAATTAGGTTCCATAAAACGACTCAAAAAAATGTTAATAACAGAATATCCAACCGGGAATCCCCTTACAGGCTCACAAAAACTGTAAAAATCGCAAAAATATCACAAAAATTAAAAAATGAAGTTTTTTTCATGAAGATTGTGTCTATTGAAATGTCTTTTTTATGATGGAGAGCTCAAAACTTACTCTTGTAGCACTATTCTGAACAAAAAAGTTCAAAAAAACATTTTAGAATCATAAAATTGAGAAAAATTGATTAAAATAAGTAAAGCTTCGAAAATTTAGCTTAAAATGAGGAATTTCAGGAATACCAGTACTTTTTTT